CCATTCGCATTTTTTGGTCAATTTGCTTCTCCCGGTTGATGATTTGACCGTTAGCTAGATTCGGCAATCGTCCTCGAAGGGCCCGTCCAAAGAATGCTTCTCCTGGTGATGTCCCAATCATCCGATTCACGGATGTACGAATGCCGAATAGCGCTTGCTGGAGTCGCTGTCTCAGAGGTAGTGATGAAGGCATCCCACTCAAGCGCCTGCGCACGACGCCATGGAATCTCTCCACCATTCCGTTGGAGCATGGATACCGCGGGCTCGACTTGATATGCTTGACTCCTGCTTTCCGGAGAAAAGTTTCTGTTTCGTCCGACACCAGCTGTGGCCCATTGTCGCTAACTAGCTCCACCGGTAGACCATGTCTTGCGAATACTTCCGACAATGCTTGTATTATGACTCTCGACGTGGTGCTGGATAGCAAGAGCAACTCGGGATATCGGGATCCGTAGTCGATGACCGACAAGAAGTGATGATCCTCGATCTCCACGAGGTCCACCGCCACCCGATACCAGACTGGTAGGATTTCTGACGGTTGGAGGGGTTGTGGAGGATTCCGCTGCCTCTTCCAGCATGTCGAGCATGTCCTAGCGAATTCTGAGGCATCTTTGCTCATGGACGGCCACCATACACTTTGTCGCAACGTGTCCAGAAACGTGTCGAGTCCTGGATGGCCTTCGTGTGCGATACGGAGGACTTGGTCATACAAGGTACCGGGTATGACGATGCGATTGTTATGCATGACGATGTCATCAACCACTGACAACGAGTCCCTTATTCGAAAGTATACCTCGTCGCTGCCGTCGCATGTATTCCACTTGCCTTGTAACACTCTGTTCCTGACTCGACTTAGCTGACCATCAGTGTCTGTGGCTAGCCGGACATCTTCGCAAGAGATTGGAGCTTCCCCCAGGATTAAGCCAACATACTCCTTCATTGACCTGGCCTCTGCCGGACTGGCTTCAACTGCTTGGGAGGGGGCTCTCGATAGCGCGTCAGTACAAATCATTGACGTTCCTGGCCTTCTTTACGATTGCCACCAGAGGCTTGTGGTCAGTGAATACGATCACTTGTCGCCCCAGTACGAATTGGCGGAATTTTACCAAGCCGAAAACCACAGCCAGCATCTCTCTCTCGAGCTGCGAATACCGTGTCTCGGGATCCTTGAGAGCTCTGCTAGCGCATGACACGGGTTGAAAGCGGCCATGATTGTCCTTCTGCCACAGTATAGCTCCCAGGCCACATGGAGATGCATCCACACTAATGGCCGTCTCCCTGGTTGGCGTGACGTCGAAGAACGACAGACGTAACAATCTAGACGCGGCCTCCTCTTTGAGTGTGTTGAACTCCATCCAGAGCGAGTTGTCTGCGACGAATGGCTCGCGTTTTGCCAATGTCCTGACCGGTGCCGTTGCGTCCGCTAATCCAGGGATGAATTTTCCGAGGTATGTTAGCATACCAAGGAATCGCCGTACATCCGACTGAGATTCTGGCAGAGGCATGTCTAGGATTGCCTTCACTTTGTCTGGGTCAGGATTGACGCCCTGGGCGTTCAGTATGCTGCCAAGGTATCTAACCTCACTTTGCTTCCACTGACATTTGTCGTTGTTCAATTTCAGCTGTGCCGCTTGTAGTCGCTCTAGGACTCGCTGCAGTCGTTCATCGTGTTGCTTGATGCTGTCACCGGTGACCAGTACATCGTCTACGTACACGAAGACTCCTGGGATACCAGCGAGCAGGTCAGACATGACCCTTTGGAAGATTTCCGGGGCGCATGAGATGCCGAAGGGTAACCGCTTGAATCGGAACAAACCTTCCTCCGTCGTGAAAGTTGTGTACGGCTGTGAGCTGGATGACAGCGGGATTTGGTGGAATCCAGACTCTGCGTCCAAGACCGAGAAAATCGTTGCACCGTGGATTTGGGCTGTTATTTCCTCAGCGGTAGGCATGGCTCTCTTCTCCCGAATGATGTTTTGGTTCAACTTCCTGTAATCTATACACAAGCGAAGCTTGCCGTTAGATTTGCGGCTAGGAACTATCGGTGAGATCCATGGAGTCGCCTCTTTCACTGGTTCGATAATTCCAGCCTCCAACATTCGACTTAGTTCTGCCTTGACCTCCTCGCGGATGCTGAAAGCATGTCGTCGGCAGGCAGACGCCACAGGCACGGCGTTTGGGTCCACGGCGATGTCTACCGGCCGCATAGTCACTGTGTTGATGTCGGCAATGTCTACCGGCGGCATAGTCACTGTGTTGATGTCGGGCTCATCAACGGTGACAGTGACCAATTGTAACTGCTGAATGACGTCCTGTCCGAAGAGGGGACATTTCCCGGGTGAGACCACAAAGCACCGACAAGCTATCGATCTGCCATTTGCTTCAAACGTTGCGGTCGCCGTACCAAGTGTGTGGACTTCCTGGCCACCGTATCCACGGAGTCGTCTGTCCGGTAATTCCTCTGGCTGGACGACCGTGCAGGGCATTATTGTCCGTGTGGCACCCGTGTCTAACAGACCGTGTACTATCTTACCATCAACCCGCACATCGACCCAATAGCGGGGATCATGAGCTGCGCGTAGCGTTGCCGCAGGCTCCATGGTATAAGCCTCTTCGAATTCGTCTTCGACCACCAATGTATCTTCCTCTATTTTATTGCTGAGTCTGTCTTTCCGGAGGCAGACCTGAGGAAAGTGGCCCACTATCCCACAGTGCCGGCATCTAGTCCGGCCTGCCGGGCAAAAGGATCTTCCCGGGGTATGTTCTCCCCCACAATACTTGCACGCTCCTTTCCGCCTTTTATGTCGAGGAGGTTGTGCCGAGGCTCCTGCCACTTTCCTGGACTCCTCTCCTGACATGACTCCGTTTACCATTGATGTCGATGATGATGATAGCGGCTGCGGAGTCGGTGCTACTGGCTGCTCGTACAGTAGCGAGTCCAGTATAGATGCTTCCATTCCTACTGCCTTTGCCGATGCCGCAGTTAGCGTCAGATCTGCGGTCGCTAGGAGTTCTCGTCTTATAGCTGATGACTGCAGTCCTTCAATGAACTGGTCTCTGATGACTCCATTCACGATTGTGTCCACATCGGTGCTGTCGAAGCTGCATTGTTGTGCCATAGCCCGAAGGGCTGACAAATAGGCTGTCACAGTCTCCCCATTCCTCTGCTTCCGACCTCTAAACCTGTGCCGTTCTGCTGTCAGGTTGATGGAAGGCTTGAAATACTTCTCCAAGGCCGTTTTCAGAGGAGTGTACGTGTCAGGTGGGACATCCCCTTCTGCCTCAGCTGTGGTCACAACCACGCCTTTGGTGATCCGCCGGAGGTCGATTCCGCCAATATTCAGCAGCAGTTTCCTCTTCTGCGCGGCTGCGTCGATCTTCTGTAGGTCAAGGTAGGCTTCGAAGTCTTCCAACCACAAGGCGAATTCCTCAGCTTGGTTCGTGTCCTCAGAGACTTGAAAGGAACTTGGAGCTCTGCCGAGAGAACTTGCCATCTTGAGTCCTGCTTGTTCATTGCGCCAATGTTGTCCTGAAGACTGAACTGCTGTTACATACTAGAGAGACCGAATATAAGGTAAATAGGTGCGAGGTACATATTGTGACATAACTAACACCAGGGTACTAAAGGTGACACCTACATAGTATCTACTACCACAGACCTCCAGCAAATAGGACAAATGGGACATGTATCATAACCCTCCATACATCACATTCCTCTTGCGATACTAGTAGTACAAATAGCCAGTGATAGTTTCACACTCCAAGTTTTTTCACCGCCGGTATGTTTCTTACGACACACAGTACAATTGCCATCACATACTGGCACTGATTCATTCCAATCTTTTGTCTGATGGTAGGACAGAAGTTGTAAGACAGTCTCCTCCAGCTGTGCACTACTACCGACACCTTTTCTTTGGAACATGTAACGTTACGTCTATCAAATGGTTACAGTGCAACCCGCTCGCCGTCACTTTTATGTTTCCAGTGAAAAGCAGTCCCGTCGATGTGGCCAACTGTTCGCTTCATTCTGTGAACCCTTTCAAGTAATTAGTTCTTGTTGGTGAGCGGTGTATCAAGGTTGCTGCCTTGCTGTGGAGGATCTGTATCGTCTCCGGAGAATAGAGCAGTAGGAACTAGCAGCTTTACTCCTGGCGACAGCACTTCACGGTGCTTGTCTTCTCTCCAGATCATGAAAGAAATACCCGAATGAGGGTGTCCTGCTCAAGCTGCTGGCCATCTTGTCAAGATAATAATAGACCCATCATCTACTCTCCCAGACCAGGCTTGTTCCGGTGGGTTTAGTTTACCAATACCCAGAGTGAGGGTGAGCATTCCGAGGGGACGCTGTTCAGAAGATCCCGAGGTCTGAACCAACGACTATATGTCACATGCATGGTTGTGCTGTACTGCTACGCATCGGCTTCTAGTATGCTTGCATTCATGGTAGCATTGACTGCAGACCTGAGCGGTCACGTGCATGTTTCTGTCTCGCGAGTTCCCGGATGCATGCACCGGAGCTTGCGCCGCTCTGTGCTGCGCTGCTTTTGTTTAGTTCCTGGTTGTTGGATTTTAGTAGTGTTTTAGACTAGTTGGTGTAAACAGTTGCTTTTCGGAGTTCATGTAGAAAGTTCAAGGTTATTGTTTCTTCGAATCGCTTTCCGTTGTGCACGAATGTGGAATGTGTCACTGTGTGAGTGTGCGTTCCCTTTAGTGAGCTTTTCTTAGTAACAGACGCCATCAAGATGCCTGGGGGCAATCGACCTACACAGTGTGCATATGCCCAATAAAATGTTTTCATTTTGCTTCTCCTGTCCAGCCACTATATCCAACGGTCTACATCTGATGTTAAACGTGTTCACTCAGCGTCCATTGATACAGGTTGCCTAGCTGCTTACATGTGCATATACACTTCTCCAGCTCCATACCGATTGTACTGATGACTTGCGGCATGAGCACTTGACGGGCGAGAAGCGGAGGTAGCTGCGCCTGTGTGCGTCGTGATTGCCGCACATAATGGCTTCACATATGCAAATAGGATCAGGTGAACACCTTTGTTGATGAGTTTACTTGGAACTGCAGTGTACCAAGTACCACAGGCCATGGCCGCCCATGATCTTCTCCAGCTCCACACTGATTGTACTGTTGACTTGAGACAGGAACATCTACCTGAGAAGAAGCGACTTTCCCTCCCTTGCTGTTTAAGGCTACGAATGCTCTTCGCGAGCTCCACACCGATTGTACTAGCGACTTGAGACATGAGCACAAGTACCACTGGCCATTGCTGCACATGATCTTCTTCAGCTCCACACTGATTGTACTAGCGACTTGAGCTAAGAACATCTACCTGAGGAGAAGCGACTACGAATGCTCTTCGCCAGCTCCACACCGATTGTACTAGTGACTTGAGACATGAGCACAAGTGCCACTGGCCATGGCTGCACATTATCTTCTCCAGCTCCACACTGATTGTACTGTTGACTGAAGACATGAAAACCTGCATTGGGAGAAGTGACTGTTTACTGTTTACGACTGTGGATGTTCTTTGCCAGCTCCATACTGATTGTCCTGGCGTCTGAAGAAATGAACACTTGACAGAGGAACTGCCACAGCACTGAGCACTAGCATGCCGAGACTGTACTCTACAACAGCAGCAGCATGTCTGGCGTTGGAACTACAACTTGTCAAGTATGCATTTGCTGCTTGTACCCTTGCCTTCCTTTGCCAGTCCTGTGCTGCAGGCGTAGCTGTACAGTACTACAGTCACCGTTATGATGATGCTCACATGATCATCATCATGCAATGCTCTGCGCAGTGCACCACCCCACCCTTGTGTAGGGACTGCTGCCATTGCAATGTGCCACTGTTGCCTGTTGCCTGATGCACAGTGTGTGATGATACCTGACTGTGTTGATGTTCACCTGCAGGGCTGATGTGGAGGCTCAGTACCAGAAGAAACTGCAGAGTTTGGCCACCAAGGCATCCAAGGTTGCGGTAAAGTCAGTTGGGTAAGTTTCTCAGACTTCAGTTATGACACCCATGGGGATTGCTCCTCTGGACAAAATAGAATGAGATTCGCTAAACACAGTATGACACATGTGTTTCCCACATGGGAAGAGTCAGGCCAGGATATGATCCTTTTGGCCCGGTACTACTGGCGCTTACCCCTTCCGCCGCACAGGCTTGGGGTTAACGTTTGGCATTTACACAGGTTACGTCATTCCACAATATGTATTCGTACCTGGTCAATACTTCCCACTGTCCATTGCGGTGTGCCGTGGTTGCCTCAAAGTCGTTTTGCTGGATAGTCACAGCCTGTTCTGTGCGCAAGAGTAACTACTGTATTTTCCGGAGTATATTTTAAAACACTCGTAGTTCACCCAAACAAAGTCGGCTTAAACAACGACGATGATCAAACGAACCAGGAAATGCAGCGTAGATGTCTGTTTTCGTGACAAAAATCTGGGTGCGGCTCGTACTCCAGTGCGGCGTATACTCCGGAAAACACGGTAGATTCTTGTCGCAGGTGTCAGTCTAGACTAGAGTCTGTGTTTGAGATCTGCTTGCTGCCATGTCCGATGTTGTGTTTGAGTGCAGCTCTCTTCAGTCATCGTGGAACTGCATCATGTCCTGTTTGAACTCTGAAGCCGAGTATCACAAGTAAGTCTGAAGAGCATGCCCGGTACCGGTATGCCGCCCGTACTCTGCCATGATGTTCTACTGCCGTTCATCGTTTCTTGCTGCAATCTAGCCATGGACCGTTCTCAGAATGTGCCTGGTGGGTCAAAACTTGCAAATTCACTAGTTTGCTGTACGAAAGATGTGCCCTGCGATTGCCATTTGAAACAGAAGGGTGAGTGCAGGAGAAAAGAAGCGGGAATTCTATCTAGCATGACAGTGCTTGAGGCCTAATTTTGTGGAGAAAATGAGGTAGAGTTGGCTATTTACCACGGCCCTGCTTTACAAATCACAGGTGAAGCAGCCGTTCTTTGCGCTTTTCTGAATCTGCTTCCTGCCGGGGTTCGTAGAAAATGTTGAAAACAAAATGTTGAATGTTCTTGATTCTATTGCAGAGGACTTGCTGAAACTCTTTCCAACCAGATATCTAAACCATTGAAGGCTCATGGCGAAGAAATGTACAAAGAAAGGAAGAACGTAAGTTCAATTTGAATGAGTGCCAATGTATGGTGCCATGCTGATGCTTGGCAACCACCAGTGTGTAGTGTGCATGTGCTGTCGATGGATCTGCCTTCAGTGTGCTACTGGCACCCTTCCCTTGCCAGGAGCTTCTGATGGTCATGCACTGAAGGTTTTGAGTCGATGACATTCACGGCAATTTCTGTGCCTTTTTAATTCTTTCCAGGGTGAAGCTAATGTTGAACGTGCACTCAAGGCTTTCAATGAGCGCCGGTCGAAGGAGACATCTGTAAGTCGGCCGTGATCCACTTGACTCCCTACATGCCAAGTCCGGATAATCCACGTTATTGCTGAACTTACTGGCAGGCTGCGTTGTACTGCCCACTGCACGCTTGTTACCTGAGAGGGGCGGATGGGCTGGTGAACAAACATGTTTTTTTGTGTGCTAAGTTATTGGAGATGTTCCAAGTCTAGTATGGCCGCTGGTAGTAGGGCAGTGCGATTGCTAAAGATACCGTATGACCCAATCCGACCATGTGCTTTACCAGATCCTTTTCTCTGGGCCCACCTTCATGCATGCTTGGTTGCTGTTGTTGAATGATTTTTTCAATCATAAAAACGTTCGGATACATGTTCCGGCGTAAAGTAGCACGAGAGCATCGCACATTGATTCACAGTCGGTGAAAGTGGAATTGCATTGCTGACATTGTACATACATAACTATGTGCAATGGGAGGCTCATTGGGTAGTGTCCATCACTCTGCTTCTGTCAATTTTGTTATAATGTTGTTTTTTTCCAGTCCCGTAACGCTGCCTACAACCGTTGCAAGGAGGTGGAAACCATGACCGAGATGGTGGAGGCAACGAAATCGGACAAGGAAGCATTCAAGATCGGCAAGGCACTGAAGAAAGCAGAAGAGCTGGCAAAGAAAGTCGGTGAGATATCGTGCTGCTGTGTTCGTGATTTGTGTCTATTATCAGCATTGACTCAACTGCATGGGCTGTGTGTGTGCGTGCGTGTGTGTGTACGTGTTTGTCATATCCAGATAAAGAATACCGACGCGACTGCATCGAAAGTGAAAATCTCCGTCTGGCGTGGGAGCATAACATGTTCAGTTTCTGTGAGGTAAGTTGAGCTGTTGCATGTCATGCACATTGTGCACATGTACAGTCGTTGTCTAAGAAATTTGACCTGCCAGTCTAAAGTTGCTCCGCGTTTCCATTTCAATGCCGCCATGCACAGTCCAAAAACCCATCATAGGGCCGCATGAGCAGCCTTGGCGCGGTTGCTTCGGCCCACGGGCCGGATTTCTTTACTACTGTATATGTAGACAGGATAGCAACCTTTTTGTTTTTTAAACAGTAGTGCCTGATTCTCGCCACAACCTACGAAGTTCCCATACATCCTAGGCAGCATTTGAATTTTGCTGCTCGTGGGAAACTCAGCAAAACCCATCTTCTCCCTTCTATTCAGTTCAAAGGAGCATTTCACATGATTCCAGAAAATGAAAAGTTCGGATAATCGGCACTCTACTGTATACAGTCGTCCCTCTTTAATCCAGCACTTTATTAACCAGCACCCTCGATAAACCAACACAATTTTCAGTAGCCCAAATGTCCCCTTCATGCATATTGCAGCAGTAAATCAGACTTGTTAATCCAGCACCCTCCCTAATCCAGCAGATATTCCGTGGCACAAATGGTGCCAGATTATAGAGGGACCACTGTACCCCCATCCATGCAAGAAAGAAGCCACTGTTTGGTAGGAAAGAGCCTCATCCGACCACCCAATAGTCGTCTTTTGTAACGTGCATGTGCACATTGCACACTGGCCTGTAGCCTGTAGCCTGTCCCCTTCGTCTTGTTTTCTATCTGTCTAGCGAATGGAGAACGTTGCTCAAACTCAGACCGCCTTTTGCCGTGATGTATTTGGCCAGTATTGCTCGTCTGTTGAGGACAAGATTCCAGTTCTGCAACAGGTACAGTCTGATATACCGGCATCCACTACTAGTACATTCCGTGTTGTGCTGCCATCTCACCTTTCATTTTCAGAGTGGTGTGCGGGTGGGTGGTGACGTGTGTGGCATGTGGATGGGTGGTGGCGTGTGTGGTATATGGATGGGTGGTGGCGTGTGGGTGGGTGGGCGTGTGATGTATGTGGGTATGGTGTGGTTTGTGGATTTGTGGTGTGTGCGGGTGGGTGTGTGGGTGGATGGGTGGAGTGTGTGGGTAAGTGTGTGGGTGGTGGGTGGGTGCATGGGTGGTGATGTGTGGGTGGTGATGTGTGGGTGGTGATGTGTGGGTGGTGATGTGTGGGTGGTGTATGTGTTATGGCAAGAGTACATACCCCCCCCCCCCAGAGTGTGCAACTCGACTATGGGTGCTGTCCCGACAGAATTTCAAGTTGACGTCATTTTGATGATGCAATGCGCACTGTACACGGATTATCAGACGAATCCGGAACCTGTGGTTGACCGAAGCCGATCGATCCTGTACAAATTATTGCAAAGAAAAACGTGTGATGCGTTGACACCCGTACACATGTTGTAAATCACTGGTGCAAGGAGCATCGCATCATAAATAATGACGTCAACTTGAAATTCTGTCGGGACAGCAGGGTATGTGGGAGTTGCACACTCTGGGGGGTTATGTACTCTTGGTTATGGGTATAGATCGGTAGATTGGCTTCTTTTCATTATTGTTTTCTCTTCCAGTCACATGCTCTCATCAATAATGCTTACTCCCAGGATGGGATTATAATTTATGCAAGTACTTCGAAGTATTACAGAATTATGTGCAGTCATAGTCATAGCTGTGCTATGTAGTAATGTGTATACTGAAGTACTTCAAAGTACTTGACAGAAACTGCGGTAGTGGCCAGTGAAATTAATCTGACCTACATTCAAGTCTGGGGACTGGCATGTCAACCATGTGGACTTGGAACGCATAATTTTCTTGTGCTCGCAACTAATTGCGTAATGCAACGTTTGTGAAACTGGGAACATCCCAAGTTGTAGCATACCCAACCACCACAAGTGGCTGATTGGCAGTGATTGCAAGTCTAAGCTTGGCTCAACTTTAGCAACGCGCGATTAGGACCTTCTTTGCTGCAAATGTTGTGCATTATAGGTTCAAGAGCTGCTCGTAGATTTGTAAAACTTGTACACTGTACTCAGCTACGCGAATGCCAAGAAGCCGCACACCTCTGCATTGTGCATTGATTCCAATCAAGGCGACGTCGCTTCACTGACTTCTTCTGTGAATGGTACTAGTATATGGTGACTTCACATCGCTCTCTTGGGTTTCACAAGGTGTGCATCGAATCACACATGCACATAGCAGAAAAAGCCTTCTGTGAATCTCTCTTTAAACGCTGGACATCATCCCCAACTTCGGGATCCGATTTCATTGACCCCCCCCCCCCCAACAGTGCGATATTGGGAAACTGTCAGTCAGTAGCTGTGCCTAATCTTGTGCTTGGCTCCCGTAATGCTCCCAATGTTTGTTGTCTGTGTATAGAGTGTGGAGCAGATGAGGATGAGTCTGAACGCTATTGATGAAGTGGAAGACATCAAGCTCTGCTGTTCATTGAAAGGCACTGGTAGCAACACCGCTGAACACGTTCTGTACCATTGCTTTGTAAGTTGCCCTCAAGATGGCTGCGCGCGCTGCTGTGCATCAATACAATTGTGAAGAAGCGTTGATCATCCCTCTATTTGGTTGCGGTGTTAAACCGACGCACACACACACAGACACACAAACACACACACACACACTGTGCTGTGCGGAACTGTGACGGAATGGACTTCCTGGTAATAGGTCTAGAGACCTTTTCATATATTCCACCATTCTCGTCTAAAACTGTTACGTGACCATGTATTCTGTGTCTGCAAGTTACTTTATCTGTGATTGTCTTTTGAGTATATTACTGTACCATTTAGGCTAGTCCGGCTACCACTAGTAAGCACGCTCCTCTCACAGGAACACATGCCAGTGAAGGCGTTCCACTGGATGTTGACATAGCACAATCCAGCATGGCGAATCTGACCTGTCATATTGTCTGGGTCCCAGCACTGACGACCAATGGCGTGCACAGTTCACATGTCACTTTTGCTCCAATATAAACAGGATCCGCACTGAGGCAGGCCGCAAAACTTTGAATACTACCCTACTTTGCCAGCTCTCGCCGCTAATGATTTTCCGTGTGATTTTGGTGCACATTGCACTGGTTCACATGAGCAAAATGCGTCGAGAGAGGTTGCAAGGGGCACTCCTGGCTGCATTCCAGGCACATACGTGGTACCAGAAACACGTGAACCAATCCTTGTTGCAATGATCCAGGGATTGGCAGAGGGAATACAGCAACAGCAGCCTCGATGCATATAGCAAACCTCCCTCCACAACGTCGAGTCTGCATTGCTGTGGAAGAGAGAGAGAGAGAGAGAGAGAGAGAGAGAGAGAGAGAGAGAGAGAGAGAGAGGGAGGGAGAGGGGGGGGGGGAGATGGATACTGCATCTGATATTTCTGTACAACTCAGTGAGTAGCTGCGCGACCTTTTGCTAATGTATTGTCCTTAACCTTGCCTTGTCTCTGTCATTTGCTGTTTTTCTCCTGCCCCTCCCACTAAACACACATGCACGGACACACACACACACACACACACACACGTACGCCTTTGTCATGCAGGCGGAAGATGAATCCGTTCAAATAAATGAAGAGAGACGCATCCAAAGTCTGAGGGAGCGATGTGCATTCTTCTTCCAGGAGTGCCGCAAGAACGAGGAGTACAGGGATGGTAAGCGTGCCGCTTAGAATTTAGTTTGTATGGACGGTGTGTGCTGATCCTTTTCTATCCTGTTGCTACTGTACGCAGTACGCAGGGTTGCAATGGGTACCGAGTATGACTATGATAAGAAACGGAAAGAGAGAAAGAGGTCAAGTTTGGAGTTGTCGGCAATTGCCAAAATTACTCCTTTGTAATTATGATATGTAGAGTTATTTCAAATCCTATGTCCATCTATTGTCCAGTCTGACTGACACCTACTGCTAGGGCGCATGAACAAGGCAGCACTGGGGCTATTAGATGCCAGGGTGCATGAACAAGGCAGCACTGGTGCTATTAGATGACCACGCCTGCGTGTGTGTTTTTATTTGCTTAGGCCTTGTGTCGCCTAGCGGTATTGGAACGCCAGAAGCGGATTTGGAGCAGCAAGCCAAGGTATGCAGTCGTTTCATTGTCTTGTACTGGATTCATGGCCGATTGCAGGGGATTGTGTGCATGACAGTGTAAATGTTCTCACGGTGTAAAGTAACATTACGGTATTTACACCATTAAATTCGTGTGGATTATCTGCTCACTGCCATGCTGTGTCAATGCAACTAGAGTGCGTACACCGTGGATCCACAGGTATTTAACTGGTCTTCCGCAGGATCACCTAGCCTTTGGAAACACCATTGGACATCACTTTACTGCACTCTCCTCCCCGCCACTTCTATTTTCGCAAATGCTTCTGTTGTTCACACAAACCCAGGTCTGTCTACCACTTTATTCTGACCAATCCCCATTGCAAGCTGACCCTGCCTGTCGTGTGCACTTGCTGTTTCCATACTGTTGCCCTGTCGTGCCTTTTCGTGATTGTTTCGAACAGATCAATTCCAGTGTGGACCACGTGCAGGCCTGTCTCTACAAGCTGCGGAAATCCCTGGCCGTGTACGACGGTAGTTCATGTCCAAGTTATCCGCTCAGTAACCAAATAGAAACTCGACCGGCTGCAAAGGTATAGTGTAGCCCCGGGACGTTTACTCACGAGGTTCTCCGTTGCTGCAGATTTTAATCTAACTCTCCTGTATTATGATAACCGTTGAAACGGAAATCCCATGTAGAACACAGACCTGCACTCGTAGAAATATCAAACACTTATTTCTTACATGCAATGAATTTACTGCGATCATCTCTTTCTCTCTCTTTCACACATGCACACGAACACACACACACACACTCTCTCTCTCTCTCTCTCTCTCTCTCTCTCTCTCTCTCTCTGTGGCTTCTTGTATGGCGCTGTGTTCAGGGCCAGGTTCCAGTAACTGTGATGAATATCCCACTAACGAATGGAATCGGCAGAGAGGCCAGTCCAGGAGTCCAAGATCTGCACTTTGATATTGGTAACATTCCGCTGTCTCCAACTCAATCAATACACGACCGTAACTCCGTGAGCTCCTGCTCGTCGCAAACTTCCACCACCAAGTCCAGGCGACGGATCAATTTCTCTACAAAGAAGAAGAAAGACACACTGACAGTCGGTGGGTAGCCTATTATGTACATTAGACGGTGTATTGTGTATGTGTGTTTGTTGAAGTACACTTTCACTCAGTGAAACCCCACCCAGAGTGTATATTTGGCGCCTCAGCTAGCACGCCCTTGATGTCTCGGAAGTGGCACGAATGCGGCTGGACGTACACATGTACAAATACAATGATGGGATTGGAACTAATCCAGGGTGCCAGCTTTGCACTTTGGGTCGCAGGCGCATGCCCCGTATGGGTTCCTGGGTGCCCGGAACCCCCCCCCCCTTTTTCCGCTCAAAATGCAGGATTTTGCTTCATTTTTTGAAATTTTTCCAAGGTGGCCCCCCAGAACCCCCCCCCCCCCTTGAAGGGCACCGGCGCACGCGCCTGGGTCGGATTTCACCGAGCCCAACTGTACATGTCAGCGTACAATGTGCTCCTGAGAATCCTCCCGGGAGAGGCCAGTTCAGCTGCGACGTTTGATGCTAGGCAGGGCTAACAGTGGTATGTAGGTCTGCGAATCTAGAACGGACATGGCTACTTGCAGGGTCCATTGTTCGTATGTTTTCCCTTGAAAAACAAGCCAGCCAGGTCCATTTTGCACTGCTCACCAAGCATAAGAGCACAGTGCTCCTGTTGGCTTGGGTCCTCAAGTTCAGAACAAATGGTCACCTTCAACTTTCAGCAAATGCTCCAAAGTAAAAAAATACCCCGCTGACCATTGCCCAACAGCAAGTAACTTCTGGATGTCACGTGACACCAGTTGACAATGGAATGTCAAGCAGCAATCTGGAGATGTACAACACAATGAGTAGACTGACAGCAGCGATGCCCCACAACCAGCCAGCACCAGCGGCAATGATGTTGGCAGCCTCATCATACTCCGTACCTGTTATTTGAAAACATCTACTATTCAAGACACAAATACACCAGGACATTGTGCAGTTCTCTCAACTACAGTCAACTTCGCGTATAACGACACTCGGCGGGGCATCAAAAAAGTGTCCTTATTCGCGAAGTGTCCTTATACCCGAAGTCTCATTATGTGTATTACAGTTGGATGGGACTTCGCTCTGGGCATGGAAATTCTGTCGTTATTCGCGAATTGTCGTTATATCCGCAGTCGTTATTAGCGAAGTTGACTGTACTCGTTTTCTTACCCACCCGGTCTTATTTCAAGTAAACTGGTGAAATCCACTCTCATCATTTGTCCTGATTATGTGATACGACATCACATTGTGTTTTTTGCTTTCTTACTGAATGTCATCCGACAGATTCAGCAAGGGGTACCTCTGTCAGCATGGCCAACGTCAGGAGAGCTTCCAGCGTTGATGTTTATGGTGAGGCTGCTGCTGGCTACATGTTTGTGTGTGCTATTTCAAAAAGTGTTTGATTTGGCTGTTTGCGTGAGCCTTTTACGCTCTGCTACCTTTTGATATGACACATTATGAGGAGGAAGGGTCCAACCCATAGCCAGAGTCGACTACAAATTGCAGAATGCAGTGTATGCATGCTATTAACCCGACTGCTGCCTGGACGATAAGTGCTGCGAATAGTGATCACGCACCCTGGCCTGAGTAGCTCACTTGGCTAAGTTAGCCCACCTGGGCCACGTTATGTTGCCAGTACATGTACCACCCCAGTCACAGAGCACAAGTTGGTTGAATTTGGCCGTCAGGAGGCCAGCGCAAGGTATCCGGGGCGTGGGTCTGATTCCAGCGAGGGGCAATGTGGTACCCCGCAGCACAAGGGTAGCGTGATACCCTACGCAAACGTGCGCGCTGCATGAGTAGCGTGATACTCGCCTAGCGCTTTTGCTGTTGCCTAGCAATGCGTTTCTGTCTTTCCCGGGCCCCCCAATACATGTTGGGTGGCCCTGCGCATGACTGCACGTTGTCATAGCAACCTTTGAAATCTCAAGCCGGTTACCAACAAGCTAGGAATCAGACCAAGCCGCCGAATGCCCCCGCCGGCCACCGGCGCTTCATTGCAATGGAATTTTGTCAAGAATAGTGAGCAAGGACAGATCAAATTATGCGAATACATATACATATAGCTTGGAGTACCATCATGCTGAGTGACACTCATTGTGAGACATAAGAGAGTGTAGAGCGATAATAAATTTCAGGAGGCGGGGGTGGGAGGGAGAAATTGCAAAACAGTTAGATGCATGCAGCAGCACAGCTAGCAAGAGAAAGAAGCCGTGAATGGGTTTGTTCCTATTCTTGATGGCTATGGCCATCCGTTGGCCCAACGGTATTCGTGTGAGTACGGCGTTTGTTCGTGCTGCCAGCTCGCGCCCGGCGTTTGTTTGTGCTGCCAGCTCGGGCCCCGGTGCGCGAGTGAAACCGAACTTTGAAAAGGCTTTCGCTCTTTAATGCTATTGACTGTCTTTCATACAATACCTATTGATGTCTAGAGACATGCTGTCTAGCCTTCCCCTGGTACGCATTACACAGGACTTTGTTGAAGTTCATACCGTGAACTGCCAAAGGGAAATGTTTGAATGGTGCTGGGGCGGGTGCGACATTACAGTGTCCTTGCAGCCGGCCTAATCGCGTTGTCGCCACAACCGATTTTGTCCTGCACTTTCCTAGTCTGAATACAAGGTGGCTGTAAGGCAGTAATGGGACACTGAGATCTTTGTTGTTCCACTTCTGCTTCCAGAGACGCCAACGGCACCAACGGCACAAGCATCAGCAACAGCGCCAACATCACCAACAGAGAACCATCCGAATTTCCATGAAGAAGATATAGATGGTGGGTTATTTGGATGCTCTCTCTCTCTCTCTCTCTCACTCTCTCACTCTCTCTCTCTCTCTCTCTCTCTCTCTCTCTCTCTCTCTCACCCCTCTTAATTAACTCACTTACTCACTCACTCAATTTATAAGTATATCTTTGCTTTCTTGGCTTGTAGAAAGTCAATCTAGTGCACGTAGTGTGTGTGTGTAAGACATGATGTGATCATGCAAGCGAATAGAATACCAGTACCGTAAAAGTCCGTAAATAAGTACGTATTTACTTTTGAATTTAGTGGCCACACCCGTACTAACTTTCGGGCGGGTACTGACTTTCGGGCACGAACTAACTTTCGGACCTGACTTGTGTGTAGTGGAGAAGTCATTTTCATGTTGATGTACATGCTACGTGCTGCATGTGCGCATCGTACCGGTACTTATTTCGGGCAGTATGTTTATCGGGCTTGACTTGACTTCAACAGACAGAGCCAAAAGAATGAAGGGGGTATTTCTTTCGGGCAGGTACTTATTTACGGACTTTTACGGTATCATGGTGGCCTAAGCAGATGATCATTAGTGTTATCAAGTTGTCAGTCCATATGCACTGGTGATGCCGGCCACTCACATTCACTCATATTCACCCTCATTCAGTGCAAAACGTAAAGAATTCCATGCGACATTGCAGGATTTGAACAGCTTGAACCGGTTTTAGTAGCGAATAGACACCCTTAGCAAACAACGCTATTATTTACGGTACTCGTACCTTGATCACCCAAATAGCGTTGAAGCTGCAGCGTATAAACGTTATGGGGGCTGATTTATCGTTGTGACCAACGGTACGTGTTTTGGCCAAATATTCCATAGTCTGTACGCATTTCACCTTGTATCGCGTATATGGTGACAAAAATGGTTGTACCGCGCGAAATCAAAGCTATTCTCGTGGCAACAGCGTACTAAAAATAGCGTGCATCTTGCTAAAGGTCGAACCCAAATCACGGTATTTTCCCCCTTACGATAATACCGTTACAACATACAATGGTTTGCTAAGGGTAGGGATATCAGCGAACGCACTGCCAGCCCATCTGCGCAGGCCAGCCTGGCCCATCTACGCGCGGCCGACAAGAAAACTCATGAACACTTTCATTTTTTTGCAAAATAAATCGTGCGAAGAAGATGCACGGAATGGCTGAAAACTAGGCTGAGGAATAGTAGCATCCAGAGACTCTCAAACAAATTCATGGTCCATCGCTTCTGACAATGGCAGCGAAGACATCAGGGAGCTGATTGCAGCAACTCTCTACCAAGCGCGATGCTGGTTACTCACCAGGGCAGGGCGCTTCCATCGCGCAAGAAATGGCCGCGAGCTAGAAATGGAAGTCCGATTTTGGAACGATCCAACCAGGGAAATTCCTTGAAAATTGGCCTGAACACCTCTCATACTGGTGTTTCACGATGTGCAAACTTTCAGAGAAATCGACCGGGGAGAACGTGGTGAGTTCGTGGGTCCTCGAGTATCGCGTATGATTTGAATGGTCGCGGGGACAGAAGAACAGTAATTTTACGACTCCCAGCGGTGCAAACAGACCGCGGCCATGTTTTCTCTGTCGGCCGCGATCACGTTCAAAAAATCGATGACGCAATGCATGCGCAGAGGCCTGCGCAGTGCGTTCGCTGACATCCCTACTAAGGGTGTCTAATGCATCCACTTTACTGCTCGTGTCATCCTCAGGTATGTGCTTGATCATCATGTACGATATCATGTACAATGTACAGTCGTATGTGTAGGAGGACTGTATGCATGCTATGTAAGCGAGAGGTGTGCACTTTGTACATGTGCAATGTTTGTACACGCACACCATGGTGGGCTGCCAGTATGTACAGTTGGGTTCAATGAAATCAAACGTTGTGAATGAAAGATAACACCCTGTGGCAGGGGCAGTTCACAGCTCGGTGTTTGCAGGGCTAGGGTCGCATTTCACTGGCCAGCTGACCTGTATGCTGCTTGATGTTGATGGCAAATGCTCACTATTGCCTCTTTAGTCTTTACGGCCTTTACCGTAAAAGCCCGTGTATAAGCCCCGGGCGTATAGAATAGCAGCCTCGATTTCCTGGGCGTATACAAGGGCACGGGCGTATACTTGGAATAGGGATAGCAGTAAGTATTGGGTATCAGTACCTGTATATGTACTGGTGTTGCCGGCATACCTGGGCGTATACATGGGCATGGGCGCTATTTTGAAACAAAAGTGTTGACTTCCCCCTGACAGGGCGTGTACACGGAGGGTGGGCGTAATTCCGAGTGGGCGTATACAGGGGCTTTTACGGTATGCCATAATAACACGTGCCACTCGTGTTGCTTCACAGCAGTACATTATGAATTGGTTTGGTCAAACTTTGGTGTTGTGATCTCCATAGCTAGGTGTGACACTGGTTGTTGCCTGGTTATTGCTGTACATGTTGGTGATCTCCATAGCTAGGTGTGACACTGGTTGCCTGGTTAATATTGCTGTACATGTTGGTGCCGCTGCCGCCATCTTGTCTCCCTGTGCAGATCAAAGTGAGTTTGATGATGATCCGTCGGACACTTACGGTAAGTCCAGTACTGGAATGTCACATCACATGATCTAGCCGAGGTACATGTACACGTACACGTATATTGTCACAGAGTCTGCGTGCATAGCCGCTGTAGAGAGTCATCATTTTAGTCCAGTTCTGCCAGGGTGGAATACAGTACACGCGTTTCTCTGCTCTTCTTCTGGACATTAACTGTGATGGTGTAGGCTGTGAAGCCGGTGATGTCAGCTTGCCACTGTGTCACATTTATTATGTAGGGCCAAGAGGCGCTAACCAACAGTGCTGGTATGGAACTGTGATTGTCGGCCAACAAGTGGCACACTGCCTGCCTTAATTATGTAGCCTGCCTGCATCACCCCTGTACTCATGTACACGGTATTCGAAACCCGTCATCACTCATACTAGGTCACCCGGTTTTCTTTGGCTTGATTTCTTTTTTTCGAATCTTGGCACAGTCAGCTTGCACTCCAGCTCTGAGCGACCGTTAGCTTCAAACCACAGCGAAAGTGTAGTCTTTGATTTTCCGCACTGAGCGGTTGAAGATGCATGCTGTAGTGAAGGCGGTGTGCCCAAAGGAAAACGGAAGAGACCACAGTTGTATATTCTTGATTATGGTCTTCTGGGAGTGTTGGCATGCGGTACAGGTGAGTAGCAGTGTGTGTACCGCGGCTCTGTGCCTATCACTACCACTGTTGTAGATCTACTCTTGTACACACTGTGTAGGGCTACAGTCAAAACTTGATAAGACGTACTGCCCACAAGGGAACTCAGAAAAAGTACTTCCTAGCCAAAGTACTTACTACAACCGCGCTGCAATCAAGTGTGCCAATGTTTGGTCAGCTGCAAAAAGTACTTGCTAGCGATAGTGTGTCTTACACCCTGTGCATACTTAAGCTGTGTTCACAATTGGCGCGCGTTTGTGCTTATTTTGCTGGTTTATGGGCGTACGGAAACGCACCGAAATGGAAATCCCAAAATGTTGTATCTTTCTGCGCGTATCAGGCGCGTACCGGCGTACATGCCAGTCACTTTGACTGGTGGGGTCAACGAATTAGTCTCGAAGGCATCGCACGCCCTAAATACGACTCGAATTGCTGTTTTTGTGAAAGCCTGAGCGCCCAATTGGGCACGCATGAACCGCAAACGTACCGCGTCCACGCCGGCTTTGACTGCATCCGTGTGCTGCGGCTTCCTGCAATGTGTAATGCTGTTTCTGTGTGTGTGTGTGTGTGTGTGTGTGTGTGTGTGTGTGTATGTGTGTGTGTGTGTGTGTGTGTGTGTGTGTGTGTGTGTGTGTGCATGCGTGCATGCGTGTGTGTCGCACCATTCTCTTCATCCTCCCTATCATCCTACTAGCACGTCCGTTAGAGGGTTGTGAGCAATGTCGAGCACTGTATGACTTTGATGCCACTGAAGATGCAGAACTTACTATTCATGAAGGCGACATCATTGACATCACTTCGCAGCCTGGCGAGGGCTGGTGGGAAGGCAGACTGAATGGCAAGATTGGCTGCTTTCCTGAATCCTATGTGGAAATGATTTGAGCAGGTTGGGAATGTGTGTGTGTACACGTGTGTGTGTGTGTGCGTGTGTGCACGTGTGTGCATGCGTGTGTGTGTGTGTGTGTGTGTGTGTTCCTGGATGAGTACCAGTGATGATTGCCTTTGCGAACACTTGTGTGTGCCCATGCATGGCTGTGTGTTCTAAACGTTCCTGTGGCTGACGTTTTCCCCAGTGCTTCCTTCTCCAGGGCCGAGTTGCAGCACGGCAAGATTGCTTGATCCTGCCATGAATCTCTTTTACTTAGTTTCTTTTCCATGCCAGTTATCGTATTTATCACTTTTGATGTACTGGTTTGTAAAACTGCAGCTCCTGTTATGCCCTGCAAGTGCTGAGCTTGTGCAAGCTCAGTGCTTCCGTCAACTTAATTTAGTTTCCCCTTGGCTCGCCCGCCGTAGATTTGCGTATAGCTGTGCTCCGCCTACACATTATTTTTCAACAGTGCTGCAACTGCAACCCGGTGTCGCACGCTCTACTGCAACTCTTTGCCTTTCGGGTCGGTTACTTTGCGCTGGCAGTGGCTTTCTGGGGGAGTATATAGTGTGCAGTGATGTGCCGATACTGGCAACTGCAGGTCTTCTTTTCTTTCTTTTCTATGTGTGCAGTAATAGCATCTACGACTCCAACCTTTAACCTTTTGAGTTTTTACCTCTTGATTGTTAACCCCTTTTACAGACCACAGAAATTCCGAATCTTTTCAGATTATCTATCATGCTGTCACCAAATCAGAGGCCCCATCCCCCCCCCCCCCCCTAGGATGCTTTGTTAAGTCATAATTATCATCCACTACCTTTTGTCATGCTGCTTGCTGTATATATTCAAGCCTCCTTGCTATGCTTCGGTTGCTGTGACAATCCCTTGATTGACTTGTGCCACAAGTACACCACCACCATGCTCGCTCTGATGTTGATACCGTCAAGAGTTCATAACCCCCCAGAGTGTGCAACGCCCATCCAGCTCTGCATAGGGTTTTGGTCGAGCTGAATCGGATCTTCTGATGTCATGCATACACTCCACACCACCGCAAGCCCGGTCTGGAGGCAGGGCACCGTTGTTTTTGGTCCGAGTGTACCCGCGACTCTCCGGGTTCCCCTCAGATGCGTACGGTATTATGACGCAAAGATCCGATTACGCTCGACCAAGACCCTATGCACAGCTGGATCAGATGTTGCACACTCTGGGGGGTTATGTACTCTTGATACCGTGTTACTATTGACATTATTTTTGATTTCCCCTTTTCTATTTTGACACCGGGGCCTCCTTTGGGGGGACCATCACAAGCACAATCAAATACAGTGCTGGCAACTAAAATCCAAGGGGGTCGGATTTCAGTTGCAAGCACTGTACATGTAGATATTGCCAAGAGTACATAACCCCCCAAGAGTGTGCAACTCCCACATACCCTGCTGTCCCGACAGAATTTCAAGTTGACGTCATTATTTATGACGCAATGCTCCTTGCACCAGTGATTTACAACATGTGTACGGGTGTCAACGCATCACACGTTTTTCTTTGCAATAATTTGTACAGGATCGATCGGCTTCGGTCAACCACAGGTTCCGGATTCGTCTGATAATCCGTGTACAGTGCGCATTGCATCATCAAAATGACGTCAACTTGAAATTCTGTCGGGACAGCACCCATAGTGGAGTTGCACACTCTGGGGGGTTATGTACTCTTGATATTGCTAATAATGTACGTACAGTATTATAATTGACCTCTTTTTACAGACAAAAAAGTCCTGTTTCCAGTTTGTGCCTCAATATTCTGTGCTCGATTGGTACTACAGCGGGTAGTGTTCTCCCCGGGTGACACAGTGAGCAACATACAGTACATGTACCGTCACGCCTACATACTGTGATGTTGATGATGGGAATAGTAGCTATATTTACCATTCTCTGCTAGCATCATTGCAATCGCACCAAGAGACTAGAGCAAAGAAGATCTGTACTCGCGGCCAAACACTTCTAGAAACAGCTGGCTTGCTGTGGGAGCGTTCCACCTGCTTTCTAGTTTAACGCAACAAACAAAATCTCAAAAAGGAAATTGAAGGGATGAGGGAAATTCTGTGAATAACAAACTGAATACACTTTTTTTCTTTTTAATCCTAAGAGAGTAATGATCCAAGCAGACAACTTGGCTGAATAGACAGGAACACTTGATATACCCAGCAGTTCCCCGAATATACAAGCAAAAAATAATTATATGAATATTGAATACAATCATTTAAGCTACACAGTAAACGTGCGGAAAGTAAAAATTCATCGATACTGGAGAAAAAACTCCTTCAAAACAACGCACCCGTACGCCTCCAGAAGAATTTAAAAGATATACCAAATTGGTGAAAATGACGTGGGGGTGGGGGTGACATGGTGACGGTCCAGTAAATGCGCGTGCAAGAAGACTAGATACTTTGATGTTACCTTGGTCATGTAGTTAGTGAAAGCAAGCTGCAAGCATGGCTAAATCTGTCACAGTGCTGCTCGAGCAGCCATTGCATAGTACATGCAGTCCTGCATAGTGCGACGGGCAAAGGCGTTGAAACTAAAGCTGGCGTGTGCATACAAGTGCACTGCAGAACATTGGCATGGATGTGTTACACAGGCACTAGGTAAAGCCTGTAATGCTAGCACTGGGTCTGGTCATGTGGCCTACAGCCATCAATAGCCTGCATACAGTTCTGCGCTGTCTGAGCAACAACTGTTACTAGGCAATACTAGGCGGCAACATGGTGCGATGGTGAAGGCGTGGGTTGTCCAGCCTCTCCAGGTATGGTGATCAGTACGGCATACTCACCCAGCACCTTCTGCACACCGGAACGTACATCCGTGGAGTTGCACGTCACACAGGATACAAGCACAGGGTACAGCTGGATGAGCTGTTGCCACATACCTAGCAGTGCAACAACCACCACAGCAATCATGCGCACACAGAAATATTAGAGCAACAGCACCAGCAACACCATAGTCCAGGAGCCACATGGCCAAATTATTCAGCACTGCTCCAACCTCTTTCGCACAACCTGAACTTACTCTAGCCGTGTAGAGGACACTTTTGTCATAAAAGGTCAGTTGACATTATCATAATTATCAGGAATCTTAGGGGTGAAACGAGTATCTATTTTGACCAATCGATCACTCATTTGTAATATTCGATCGAGTATCCGATTACTGTATTTCGAGTATTTTACTAAAATTCAAGAGCTAGATTTGTGAGTTCTCGACCAATTCGGAAGAAATTATCTGTGAACATTGAACAAAAGTTGCCAACGTCTTGTACAGAGTGTAAAGTAACGATTTTCATCAGTATTTTCATATCTCATAACTAACTACCGTTACTCGCCGTGGTGATTGCATCGTCCAAGTCATAAAATACTGACTCAAAGACATGCATAATGCATGCATACCCATGCCAGTGGACGAGCATAGCAGTGCAACAAAAGCTTTTCAAAAATAGAATGCCAATACTTTAAACAAAATAAAATAAAATAAAAACGATCGAGTGCAAAATTTCGAATACTCGCTCGTATGAAATTTTCGAACGAATACTCGAATATTCGAACTAATCGTTTCACCCCTCCTAATCAGGATGTGTTGTGAAACCACAAGTTCTCGAGAGTGAAAGGCCTTCTCGCTTGTGACAATTTGTTCGTGTTAATGCAGTTGTATCCCGACTCCGCCGTACCGTTGATGTTTACGACGTAGTATACGCTACATGCGCTATGTGCGGTTTGCTGTGTGCGCTGTAGTTGTATGTTGTATGTGTATGCTTTTATCATATACGCTGTCATTTTCACGCTATAACTACCTGGTGGTTGTAGTGTTAGTTATTCAGTTGTTCATTCATTCATTCATTGTTCATTGTTATTAGTCGATGGAAGTGAAAGATATTGTTGAGAATAAATAGTTGTCCTCGTGCCGTGTGGGGTCGTTCGTTCCTGACACTTTGGAGAACCAGAGGGTTCACAACATTTGGCGACCACGCCAGGATACGAAGCGAGCATGGCACAGGAACTATGGATCATTGAAGCCAGCTTTATCGCTAACGGAATTCGGTATGGATTTGAAGGTGATAGGTTGAGAGAATACGTGGAGGAGAGGCTCCAACAGAGCGAGGAGTTTGAAGAGCGCAGTGCTAGACGGCAAGAGGGTGTGCTCCGCACAGAGTTTAACGAAAAGCTCAAGAAGATGGACGAGCGCATCGCCGTCAGTACATATTGTGAGGGAGCAAAGCGAGATTTGCTTGCCTCACGCGAAAGGACGCCGGACAAGGCGTGGAAGACTTTGCTTACAGACAAGCAGCGGTCAGAAGAGTATTTGAAGCCAGTGGGAGGATCGGATCCAAGGCCCACTGCGTCGGTACAGAGCATGGCGACATCGGTCGGAGACGCTCAGAAGCAGCTGGAGTCTCGGCCGAACGACGTAGAAGAGCAAGACGTAGAAGCGCAAGACGTAGAAGCGCAAGGCGTAGAAGCTGAGGAAATGAGAAGGGCGATGCTGGTTAGCACGGAAGAAGTAAGCGGCAAGACTGTGTGGAACACGGAGATCGAATGTAGGTTATCTGGTCCAGCGTCCGCCCCACGAGGCAGTGGTCCAGTGACTGTGTTGTGTGTAACAGCCCAGATCGGTAAGCTTGGTGTTGAGAATGTTGAGGTGAAGCCGTTCGGTGCGGAATCAAGCCAACAGCGGATGTACAAGTTCGCCATCACGATCCTGGGTAGCTCCGCAGTCATTCCGGTATGTGCTCTTGTGAAACCAACGTTAGAGCTTCATCTGAAGTGCGCAAGCCCGCAGACCATTGCTCAGTTGGCAGAAATGGTGAGCACTCGTAATATTCCACCTTGGCCACCGCCACAGCAGCGGATGACTCGTTCTGGGCGTGTAGTCAGAGCCCTGATCGTTTTTGACTTATGAGTTGTTGTACGGCGGTGAGAAGCCCTTTGGTGGGGAGAATGTTGTGAAACCACAAGTTCTCGAGAGTGAAAGGCCTTCTCGCTTGTGACAATTTGTTCGTGTTAATGCAGTTGTATCCCGACTCCGCCGTACCGTTGATGTTTACGACGTAGTATACGCTACATGCGCTATGTGCGGTTTGCTGTGTGCGCTGTAGTTGTATGTTGTATGTGTATGCTTTTATCATATACGCTGTCATTTTCACGCTATAACTACCTGGTGGTTGTAGTGTTAGTTATTCAGTTGTTCATTCATTCATTCATTGTTCATTGTTATTAGTCGATGGAAGTGAAAGATATTGTTGAGAATAAATAGTTGTCCTCGTGCCGTGTGGGGTCGTTCGTTCCTGACACTTTGGAGAACCAGAGGGTTCACAACATTTACAACAGGATGCAAAGTAACACCGAGCAACACCCACATTGGTCACAAGCGAAACTGGGTTCTTAGAAGCGTGGCCAATGCCAGTTGTCTCTGTCAGCATGGTGGTACACGTATGCATAGCAGCAGCAGCAGCAGCAGCAGCAGCAGATTGTGTCTTACTGGTTGTTTGTTCTGATGTTGGAGTGGTCTTCATAGTCTGCAACATGAGAGCCACTGCGTGTAGAACAAACGAAGTCTCAGCAAGCTGACTCCTGAGAAGCATGGGAGAATTGGATCACAAACAGCCAAGCACAAACACATTGTAGCATTCCTGCACACCACAAAGCCGACCATATCTCTCACAAGATGGTACAAAGAAGATAAAATAATAGCTATGAGCACCGGGGGTGGGATCTTCGACAAGCACAGATTACCAACTACATGACATTGTATATCAACTTATTATCAAGACACTCACATAACCTCACTTTACTGGTCATTCTCCGCCTTCTAAATCCACCTCTCACGCCCACTTCCCAAAAGACACAGTTGGTTCTTACCTTGGCAATGGGCAATCGCCAGTGAGCTTTTCATCTTGCTGAAATTTCTTTAGAACACTACAGCAGCGGCGAACCAAAGACTCGAGGGCCACCGATGCTGAAACACAGGGAGAGAGGGAGAGAGAGGGGTGGGGGAACAACACAAGTGAGCTAGCAATGTCTGGCTCTCAATATCAATGTGGAATGCGCGAGTATCGTAGTGACGTGCGCATGTGCCTATACCCGGGCATAAGCACACCCTCACAAATAAGCGCATGGGCTTATAAGTGAACCTAAATGCAGTCCATCCCTCTACACACAGGCACCACAAAAACACCATGTTCACATAGTTCAATGTGCATCGCGGTACCGCACTATGTGCATAATTATGCAAGGTACCGGTGCACTAGCAACTCAGGCGCATGCACCTATGAGACGAAACAACCCGCAAAAAATAGCAAATAACGCAAAAACGCACTCATAAGCGCACAGGCCTTTATGCGTGTCACTACGGTATGAGAAATTTCATGTACAATACAATGTTTCAAACATACTTGTAGGGTAAGATACAGCTTTCACCAGGCTCACTGACACCAACCCAGACTGACTGCTTTCAGGACAGAGCCATAGGAGCAGAATGCAATGATGTGGCAGAAGTATGTGTCAAGCCAGGCATGAACATTGGCTGGCGCTCTAGTCTAGCAATCAAAGTACTTACCAGATCTTCCTTTGCCTTGTACCAGTACGGAACAGTTGAGCAGCGTTTCAAAGCAAGCGCGTGCAACCTGCTCACGGCCAAGCAGATTAAACTCAGCGACAGTGACTAGATGCACAGAAAATAGACGGAAGAAAAGGAGCCATTGACGGATAACACATGCAGCCACTAGACACAATTGTAAACAAGGAAAGAAAACTACAACATAAAGAACCACAACGTTGCACAACAAGGAGAACAACTGTGAAAATGAGGCGGGCGGGCGTACCATCAAGCGGCGACGTCTGGGACAGGATGGATCCACGGTTGAGTAGCTCAATAGCTGAAGATACGACCCGCGGTGGACACTGGTCAGTATGTGACAGGATCTCATCGCGAATCAAATGTACAACCTGCCGGAGGACAGAAACCAAACAAGTGTGACGGGCCAATGCAGAAAATCAAAATTCAACATCGCACACAACAAAGTTGCACAGTGCTTAAAACTGATATGCGGAACCAATGATGAAGCCCCCATCCCCTCCCCCAGTGACGGCAATACCCCATAGCTGTATACATCATCAGTCCTGCCAACAAAGGATTGTGCCAATGCTTCATAGAAACAGTTTTCGTTCGAAACATGACAACAATGCAAAGTTACAAACAGATTGGAAGGTTAGGTGGCAATCCTTTGCCCGCCGTGCATCGCCAAGAAGCCAAGATGTACTTACGCAAACATCCTTCTCCTCAAACATCAACCGATCATCCACGGAGAGGACGCCCGGCGGGTCACTGGACAAGCAATGAAAGCATCAACAGCGCAGCGCGTACACAAACACTCAGATGATGCAGGCAAACTGATCCGAGATACCACCATGTGTACATGTCTAGGATACCACTGTGTGTAGGCTTTCAATTGGGCTACACTTCATCTGTGCCTTGAGGATGATGGTGTTCCTGCGGATGCGGAAAAACAAGCCTGACTAACTCAGCATGGGAACCACAAGATTCTAAATACACAGATCAGGGGTCTAAGTGCAGCCATCCTAGACCAATCATTAGGCAGTGAAGAATTCTACAGTCAGACCTCGCATAACAGCACACATCCGTTTTCCACAAAAATATCCGGATAGGCGAGGGAACCGGATAATCGAACACACATACTGTATGTAAGCATGGCATATGCTGTACATTTGTAACCAACTATTTTCTTCCGGATGGCGAGGGATCCGGATAAACGAGAACCGGATAAGCGAGGTCTGACTGTATAATGATTAGATAGGGGACTGCATAAAGTGAATTGGACCCAGTTTAGTTACCAATGCACACACCTCACAGACTACGCGTGTGTCTACACTGACCTGGCTGGAAAGAGAAAGTCCTCGCAGATCTGCAGAACGACAGTGTAGACCTCCACATCAGATGGCACTGTAGAGCACATGCACACACGGACGCACGCAAAACATGCATGTACAAACGCACACATACACACACATGCACACACACGCACGCACACACAACACCAACGTCATGACAATCAGATATACGGTATGTCAAAATATAGAATCAAGTACAATTACATGAAGCACAGTAATGCTCTCTTTGCATTCCAAGCACCCTCCACGGGGCACACACTAGACTACACACACGTACGCACTCACGCGTGCACACACACACACACACACACATGCGCGCACGCACACACACACAAAGACACATACACACACGCACACACACACGCATGCGTGCGTGCGCGCGCGCGCGCGCGCGCGCGCCCGCCCGCGCGCGCACGCACGCACGCACGCACGCACGCACGCACGCACACACACACACACACACACACACACACACACACACACATACTATTATTATTTTAAAAATAATTTCAAAATCAATACAACATGCGGACACAGAGACACACACACACACACACACACGCAAACACACGCACACACATGCTGCTGTTTAAAATCAATGCACTCCTAGTGAGCCATACCAGCCTCGGCATTGCGCAGAGCTGCCAATCCAATTGGTACAACCGTCAGCAGAACTTCCAAAGCAAGTAGCCAGGTACTTGTGCTGGGACAGCTGTATTTACACGCAAGTGGAATTTGCAACGCCTGCACAAGGAAAACACAATCATTCACAGCAGAAAACGTACTAAGTGCACTGGTGGTATTCGGAAAGCAGAATGCTAAAATAGTGCTTTTAATATACTGGCAGTTCCGCCCACAATAAATTCAGGTTTTTACTGCATTACGATATTCATATGTCGAGCACATCACACCCTCCTCCAATCATCGACTAGATAGAGACATACACTACATGACTAATATGTGTTCATCATGTATGCTATACCTGTATTGTAAGCAGGGAATAGATGAGAATGTTAGTTCTCAGGGCCCTGGTTACATGCATGGAACTACAGGATACTGTATATGTGGTGGTAGGGCAAAGAATGGATGGGCACTTTGAAACGGGCCACAGTCTTCAATGGCAATAACAAGAATCATGGGAGGTATTCCTGCCTCACACCAGCCTGCATATTCAATCACCACATTACAGCATGAGGTATGCTCGGCTGTGATATGTCAAACGGCATGCCAGGTGCACACAGAGCTAGACATGATCGAAATGCAGCAGCAGCACATTGAACAGCCAGTACACATACCTTGAGAATGCATAGCAGCACAGTGGGATCATGTCCATTGTGTGTGTCAGTGTAGAGCTTGCAGGCAATTCGCCATGCTGCCTCCCCAAGCAGTATACAGCTTTTGCGCTGCTCCTTGCTTGCCGGTTGCAAGTTGCTGGGCAGGCTGGTCGCAAAAGAAGTCAACTGCAGGACAAGCTCAAAGAGAGCAAAGACAAATCCTTCCTTCGAGTCTGCAGACTCCGACGATGTTGTCGATGTTTCTCCATCTCTGCTGCACGTCTGTGCAGCCTCACTACAGATCTTCTGCACATTGCTCAGACTGGATTCCTGCAGCGGTGTCATGGAAGAATTGCTTGTCATCAGAGTGACCTGGTCTGCAGGTACGCTCAGCACACCGCTCATGACTTTCCTCAGCTGACGCAGGTGTGCTGCGCTGAAGCCAGCCGACAAGTGATCCTGTAGATACGGAAGCTGCTGCATGTGCACACACAGCAGTGTCTGAAGGCTGCTGCGGTCCACCGGCTGCTCCTGATTGCTGCTCTGCGACGCGGCCGATGCCTGGCGATAGGACATACTCGGCGTGGTGGGGAGTTGAGCACACTGCAGCGCCAACTGTCGCCACACCTGCCAGAGCTGCTGCCAGAGGTCTTGCTGCTCCGCCTGATCGCTCCTCTTGGTGAGCAGTAGCTGGTGTAAGCTGCGCAGCGCCGCCATTGCCAGCTCACCCTGACCTTCCGACACGCACGCATGGATGGCCGACAGGAGCATGTCCCAGGCACGATGGAAGCCGATGAGCAGTGCCAGGATCTCGAGCTGCTGGGCGAAAATGCCGGCGATGCCCTGCAGCGTCAGCACCTGAGTCTCTGCCCACTGCTTACGTAGCGTGTTGCGCGAGTGATGCACGATAACGACAGAGCTCTGCTTGGCTTTTTCACCAGATTGCTCGACAGTATCTAGAGTATGCTGTATGTACTCTAGCAGTGGAAACAGGACCTACAGGAAAGGCAAGCAAATGCAACACACAAAAACCCCATTTTAATACTTCAAAAAGGAGAATTGTAGCTCTCTACAAGCATCAACAAGTCTTCAGGCGGTTCAAAGTCGCTACCCAGTGCAGCCCGTCAGCAGCACCAGAAACACCATAGGCACTGAGAAACTGTTTGACTGCTCACTCAACTACAACACCAAAGCACAAAAGAGCACTACTAGGATGTACATGTACAGATGTGCAAAAGTAGAAAATGACATAAAGAATTGATTGTGAACAGCATGCCGGTACAGTGTGTTCCCTAGCATAGTGTACTACTACTACTACAGTACACTATGCTAGGGAACACATGATGTTACTGTACCTTCCATAGTACGATATTCCAGGAGATTGGAGACAGGAGATGACCGTGTGCATCAATGGTCGAGAAGAGGGTCTGAGCGGCGCTCTTGCGCACCGCAGCCCTTTCATCGATGCATAGCCGGCCGAGTACGTAGAACAGACTGCACCAGAGGCAGTCGTAGCGTGGGATTTCCGACGCCATGTCCTCCACGGTACGAATGACACCGCTCACAGTGGTGGGTAGAGCAGCAGCAGCAGCGGGCTGATCCTCCCTCGGCTCGGCAGTGACAATTGAGCAAGAAGAGGTCGTCTCGCCAACCGATGCTGCTGCCTCTCGGCGCCGAGCCGGCACTTTCGGCCAAGAAACAATGGAGTCAGTTGTAGACGAAAGCCACGGGCAGGTGAAATCTTGCGGCAGGCCAACTTCAATAGTAGACTGATGATGGCAAAGGAAATCTGAAATATTCCACTGTAAACATACACACCACACACACACACGCACACACACACACACACACATACACACGCGCGCGCGCATACACACACACACACTGGGGGCATGTTCGATTGGTAGGATCGGGATCCCGATCCACCGGATCCACTGGATTCGCACCCTTTCGATTGGTGGAATCCGGATCCGGATCCTTCGGATTTGGATCCAGTCAACCCACCTCGGGGAGCAGGGTTGACCGGATCCAACGGATCCAAATGTGACCTTTATGCGTATATGGCGGGTAAAAATCATTTTTGTACACATTGTGGTACGCACACGTGGATGGAGATAGAGCTTGTTGACTTTTTGTACGACGCATGCGATGAGAACGGCGCTCACCCTTTTGGGTGACTTGTGAGCGCCATTGTCAACATGGCAACAGTCAAGGTCCAAAATAAAGTGTTCAGTTGAATCTGAAGGATCTCAAGAGAATCTCATGTACACAAATGACATCAAGAACTAAGTGGGCAAGCAGACACCACCACATGCACGGTACTTACCAGCAAGCCAACAGCCGTCAAACTGATATTCAAGTCTTGCGTCTGAAGACCAAAGTGCGATGCTACATCCAGGCACTGTGTCAGACATGTCAGAGGCAGCAGAGCCAGGAAGTCGGCCACGACGAGCTGAAGAGCTTCAAATCCAAGCTGAACAACACCAGAGCTAGACAGGCAACAGGAAAACAAAGCAAGTCAATTGATGTACATGTAAATATGCTTCAACAATGGATATGCAGGAAAGTTTCCTTGCCCATTGCTTGAGAAAACCGAACACCCACACGCAAGAGCACATGCAAGAGTACACACACATGCGCGCGTGCGCACGCACATACACACATGCACACACACACGCACGCGCGCGCGCGCACACACACACACACACACACACACACAACCACACACATGCATGGTCAGCTCTCCTGTGCAGCTGTCATTGGTATACACAGAGTCCAAATCGCATGGACGCGATTGTTCATATAGACAAGAATGTGGGTGTGGTGGGACTGTTCAAGGCCAGGGAAGAGACACATCTACTGTACAGTGAGATTAGTGCAAGAAGACATGGCTAAGGAATCGTGTAGATCCACATACTTATCAAGTTGAGCTGAAGAGCGGATGATCTGAAGGATCAATGGCCAATCATCTGACAGCTGATCACCAAGAGACTGTAGAATCTGTCAGAGAAAAGGACAGGAAATGGCAAGAGGAGAGAGGGTATGAAGCAAGGCCCTCAGGTTGAAGACGTAACGTTACTTCAAAACAGGTGTGTATCACCCCAGCTGCTGCGCCAATCTCTGGATTGGTATCACCAACAGAGTGGTTTCATATCTATCACATGACCACATGGGACAGCCAAGTTGGTTTCAACTCCAGTCAACCGTTGCACGTGATGTCGGCCATGTTGGTTCCACTGTCCACATGAAATGATCACTTTCTAGTTTCTACACAGATTTAGTCACATGACAAACTGATGTGAGACCACTCTATAGCTAAAGTGGATGCTGTGTCCAGGGGTGAACCATAGAAAAAGAAAACTGCACTGTCTACAGATCCATCTGCCCAGCCAGGAAACTAGCTATGTGTAGATGAGAAATACAGACACTCGGAAGTCGAGGACAACTTTCAGCAGTCCCATGGCCGTATAAATTCTCACTCGGTACCTACAGCCGACCTTACTACAGGACAAACAGCAGCAATGATGGGATTGGGCCATCTAAACGCTTTTTCTCTCTTTTCTTACTCTTTATCTTGTGTTCATAGCCAATGGGGTCACACTATAGCAAAAGGCAAGGTCAGATAATTACAACTAGTTCCTCCCTTCAAAGCCATTTGAGACGTGCGACGCGATGAACCAGCATCCTACTGGTTCACTTCACTATGCATACGTGAATAATAACAACGCTGATCCTCCAAACCAAGGGCTTATCACATCATTCTTTTTCTTTGATAACGCGGTTTGCACTGTACCTCAAAAACACAGGTAAGCTGGTGATTGCAGACATCAGCCTTGCTACACTCGGACAATCGCGAAAGGGAGAGCAAGATGTCATGGAAGGTCTCCTGAAACACACAACGATCAACACACAGACACACGGCCAGACAGACAGGCACATACACATGCACACACATGCTAATTTAATAGCAATATTAAGAGGCAAAACTGATGGGCAGAACACAAGCTCCATTCAGCCTATTGCAGAAATGACAATGTACTAGGAACGCGCACAACAAGCCACCGAAGCGCCATAGAGAATGTCTTACCCTATTTCCAGATTCACCATGTTCTCGCAGCGCCAACGGAACAATGGCCGTCAGGCACTTAGCAGATGCATCTCTCAGTCCAGCGTGATTAGACGCACACGCCTAACAAGAAGAGAAATGAAAATCCAAGGAAGCATACGGGTGCACACACACGCACGCACGCACGCACGCACGCACGCACACACACACACACACACACATACACACACACACACATACACACACACAGCTGGATGAGAGCAGGGATAGCTAGCAAAGCAACATATTGTGGATAAACAAAGGCAAGTCCATGGTCAAGTCTTTCAGCACACTGACAGTGCAAATATAGAAACAAAACATCACACAGGCACACACAGGCACACACAGGCACACACATCACACAGGTACATGCCCGCATAGGCCCACAGGCACATGTGCACACTTGCCCACAGGCACATGTGCACACTTGCCCACAGGCACATGTGCACACTTGCCCACAGGCACATGTGCACACATGCCCACAGGCACATGTGCACACTTGCCCACAGGCACATGTGCACACTTGCCCACAGGCACATGTGCACACATGCCCACAGGCACATGTGCACACATGCCCACAGGTACATGTGCACACTTGCCCACAGGTACATGTGCACACTTGCCCACATCACACAGGCACATGTGCACACATGCCCACAGGCACATGTGCACACATGCCCACAGGCACATGTGCACACTTGCCCACAGGCACATGTGCACACATGCCCACATCACACAGGCACACACTGAGAGGCACACTGTAAACCTACTGAGAGTATGTGCTTGACAAGAAGTTTCCAGAACAGTGGCAGCCGTTTCAAGTTGACTTTGCAGCACAGCACCAGCAGGTGACAAGAGAATAGGCTGGGCTCCTACAAAGCATACACACCAAACACAGGGAAAGAAACGTGACAAACACCCATGTACACACACAAACACAAGTTGATGATACAACTGGTACAACTATAGATGCATCCCAAAAAAGCGCCAAGCTCCTTGTGACCCACACTGAACTACACTGGCCCTAAACTGTCTCAAGCAGTGTAGCAACTATGTACAACGCTAGCCAAGAAAGCAAAACACAAGCTGGAACTGAAAACTCAAGACTCGAGAAAATAAGAACTGAAGAAAGCCATTCAACCGAATATATTTCCATGAGAGAGGAGGAGAGTGTCAAACATTCCATGGTCACACTTAATTGTTTCTCGGAATATGCCGACACGAAGGGTGAAAAACTTAGCACATCGAGCGACGAACCCAACATCCACCAGTGCTACCTGCAGTAACCTACCTACCTCACACACCTCCACTCCACTCACCCACATACCCACACACACACTACTTTACACAATGGTGCTAAACTAGTACCATCCGCAGAAGTCTTGATAGGGCAAAAGATTTAGACCGACCATGGTAATTCATTTGCGACACACAGCACCGGTGCAACATCTCGCATGATTTCACAATACCGCAGATCACGCTTGCTGGGTAAAACACCATTCACAAGTCTTCACCACTACACGTGGGATGACCACTTTTTTATGTTACAATGTGCGACAATGGTGGCCACCATGTCAAAGAAGGGAAGCTGTGAACAACCTGAACACGTACTAGACAAGTCGAGATCCTAGAGGCTGGAAAGCGCAGAAAACGCTTTAGAGTGTGAGAGTTGACAAGGAGAGATGAAGCTTTTGGAAGGAAAGGCACAGGGGGACTTTCTACATACCCGGCCGGAATTGGCATGATTGCGTGCAGCACTGAACAATGCACAGAGGGCATTGAGCAGATCCAGAAGACCCTTATCTGACAGATACCTACACGGACACACAAACACAACATGTAGAAGAGAAGATGACAGAGATTGTCTGCTGCTACCACTTCTTCAGCACTGACAGAACAAAGTTCAAGCTAACGTTAGGCAACACAAGCCAACAGGTATGCACTAAAAGGTATTCGCATGTTTGGTCAGAGCAAGAATAGCCTCGCAGCACACCCACATATACGCACTCACACCCCCCCCCCCCCCCACACACACACACAGACGTACACATGGTACAAGCATGAGCTGCACGGTGAGTACCACCATGGCATCCTAGCGTGGTGAATCTGGTGATCCTTGAATCCAACCTCATGAATCAGAACCACATTCACTGCACAGCCCAGTGTAGATGGTACTACAGCCTTACAGGGATGGCAGAACTGGTACGATACAGTTGGCCACCAACGTGTGTTTATTGCTGATGAGGTCATGTGCATCCGCCATATAATACACAAACTGTATGAAAGACTAAGGTGTAGCTGGACCAATCACAAACTGGTTTTGCCGGATACGTGCTACAAGGGTTGTGTAGCCTCTAGAACTGCTGTACCCACAAGGTGGGATTTCACTTGCCCACTATGATGGCTCGTCAGCCATCCTTCATATCACATAGTGGTCTAAATAGCCCCACTCGGCGCTCGGAAAGCCAACACGGTTTTCATGTTTTCTACGTTGCACATTCCACGAAAAGGTTCGATTTCGTTGCTTTCAGTTCACTACTATAACAAATCGATTTGAAATCGATAGTATGACGTACATTCAGAAGATCAATAGAAACATATGCATGCACATGCACACACACGTGCACACACACACACACACACCTGCTCTCTCTCTCTCTCTCTCTCTCTCTCACACACACACACACACACACACACACACACACACACACACACACACACACGCACACAGCATACTCGTACGATATAAGGCCAAAACAAAAAATAGGCTTGTTTCCGGTCGGCAACCCCTCAAAAAGGAGACTTGGTCGGCCGGAATGAAACTTTTTTTAACTTTTTTTGGATACTTTTTTTGGTTCCTCAATCGTTGTGGTATTGATGGACAAGAGCACCAGGTTACTGTCCTACACATGTACATTGTACATACATGTACATCATGGCAAGGATCAATGTCAAAGTTGACTGACTCACTGTTCTTGTACAGCATGTGGTGTATTCCTGTTTTCGTACATCCTGAGAAATCAAGCAAACAGTTCGAGTCCTTCCAGCTCCGTTATTCAAGCTCGTATCGACCCCGGAGGTTTTCGAGCCGACAGCTGAGAATCTCTGCTACCTTGTAGGTGTTTCGATTGTGGAATTCGGTTGAGATTTGACTGAGTTATGACTCGATGAGTGCACTTGCACACATGGCATTGCCACCGTTTGTATACATTTGGGACCAAAAAAAGTTTCAGAATTTGGGAAAAAGTGGCCCGGTCGGGCGACCGGAAACAAGGTCATTATTTGTTTTGGCCTAATAGTAATACTCACGCGCTGTTCTGGCATAGCTGCTGTAGTAACAATGCAAGGTGGCTGCCTTCTCCCTGGTTCATCTAAGTAACATAAAACAAGAAACATACACGCATGCACCCATCATCCACTACACTGCCTCTACGTCGAACATTCATGCAACAATGGAATCATCGTCATCTCCTGATATCTCCATCGTTGTACATGTATGAAACTTCGGAGCAGATACAGCTTTACTTGATATTTCCACTGGAATTACAGACGATATGGTACTGGTGTCAAGTGGTTTGTTTGTACAAACAATGAGCTTTTTGACAAGTCGAGATTCCTTCGTGAAAGGTCTTATGATTGCATGCAAGCGCATGCATCCGCACCCACATGGCAACATATCAGTACAGAAGTGCACACATCTATACCACCGGTAGATCTTTCTGAAGGGCAAGGTAATTCTACACATACCGTAAAGTACCACGAGAGCGCCCCACCTTGATTTTACAGCCAAGGGAAGGGAAATCGTGTACGGAGTGTTGCTAAGTTTGTACGGTGCGAGAACCTGAGTGTACTAGGTAACACTTGACATGTTTCTGTGTGGAGCTCGCATCCGCTGGAAGGTACACTGAGTACGGATTGACTGCACAGCGTGCAATGTGTGTACAGGGTCCGTGTCGTATGACCTACAGACAGGACACCATCTCCATAAGGCGGTCACGAAAGGACAAGATGGTGGGACGTTCTCGTGGTGCTTTACGGTACTAGTAAACAAAAGCAAGAGCACAGTCCAGAAAGCCTTACCAATTCTTCCTGTGTTTGCGACTGCATGACTTGTAAATTCAGTGCCGCAAACATTGTCTGGAAAAGAACAGGTTGAAAAGGACACAGATATAGGTATTGTATTCCGCAGCACATGGAAAATGGGATGATGAGGGAGATGAATGAAGCAGGTAGCACAAGGATTCAACAAGGACACACACAGATCAAACGTAGCTGAGCCATGAAAGGAAGATGGGGATAATACCAAGTATAATAAGAGAGATTCCGCAAAACGAAATTTCGCGTACGTTCCGCATGCACAAAACTTCGTGTGAGATTTCTCAGTTAAAGGGCGAAGCTAGCTTGGTGCAAGAAATTTTTTTTGTGTCTTTTCGCTTAACCTACTCAACTGACGACTTGGTCATGACTACATTGTGACCAAGTGCACAGTGTTTTTGTGAATATCTGAAGAACTACTTTCTGTGAGAAGGTATTTTCGTGGCTGCTGACAAGGATGTTTCTGAGACCTTTCATTTAGCAGAGAGAGAGAGAGAGAGAGAGAGAGAGAGAGAGAGAGAGAGAGAGAGAGAGAGAGAGAGAGAGAGAGAGAGAGAGAGAGAGAGGGGGGGGGGGGGAGAGAGAGACGAGCGCACACATGCACGTACACACACACACAGTGATATTCACCTGATAACAGTCCAATGCAACCAGCCAAGTATCCCTCAGCACGGCCCCATGCACTAACGCAATGGAGAGCAAGCATTTCGTACATTGCATCTTCTTCGGAGTAATCTGAAACACACCACAAGAGGCGCAGTAACACAAACATCCCCGAGCTGCATAGCAATGTGTGGGCGCTATCATGGTACAGTATCTATAACAAATGACTATGGCAATACACTTGAGCACATAGAGTTCTCCAAATTCCACATGCGAACTACAATGCTTCAAAAAAGAAAACACCGTACACTACAGAAAAGGTGATGGCTCCTCTGTTCCAAGTACTTGTTCCTCCAGCCTAGCATGCATTTCAAACAGCAACATAAACATTTTGAAATCCAGAGGCTTCAACTGTACACGTAGCACAAGAATATTCATATCACTACTGTACTGGTAATATCACTACTTGTATACAAGAGAATGCAGTCAGGTGTTTTAAACAATGCAAATATCATCATGGAATATGTAAAGTGGTACATGGTACATGGTATATCCAGAGGCAGACAGTTGTAATGCTATCAAGTGTATCCTGCACTCTCACCCTGATAGTCGCCATGCGGTCCTCAGGATTGGTGGTGGGACTGCCTAGCGGACCCAGGTCTGACACGGGCTGGGCAGCTCGGCACAGGTTCTGCAAAAAGTTCAGCATGAGCGCGTCCAGCTCCACTCGGCCGCACACACCCACCAGGGTGTGGAAGGCGCGCAGCACAGCCTCTGTCACGCTAGGCACTTGACTAAAAACGACAACAGCAACAGCAACAGCAACATCAACAGCAGCAGCAGCAGCAGTAATGTGTACATATCAGGATGACTCGAGGCATTCAAACAGAGAACGGGCCTAAATTCCAGTTCTGAACGCCTCCACCACTCACCTAGCATCGAGAAGAAGCGAGAGGCTTCCCAAGATGTCCTTGCTGCTCACTTTCACCATTGCACTGACAACACGGTCCGAGTCTGCAACCACACGCATGCACACACGCAAATGAAATACATATAACAGGTTTGTTTTGGGAAGCAAAGCCCATCGAAGCACCAGTGCACACTACAAGGCATCCTATTTGAACTAATCTGATTGAATGTGCACGTGCAATTAATCTATCACAGCCGCAGGATAGGGCTAGCACACAGAACACATACACGCACATACACGCGCACACACACACACACATACATACACCCACACCCACACACCGTGACTCACTAACCTGCCTCAGACCCAATGACTGTCACACCACAGTCACTGGACGTGTCGGTGATGTCCGCAGTACTACTAGATCCGCTGCCACCATCAACTGCCAAAGTGGGATGGTCAGACCTGACAGGGCTTAGCAATATATTACTTGATGTGCTGCCCCTGCTTCCAATGGCAGACGGTAGTGCATCGAGTGTTGAGTCCACTATCGGGGAAAGTCCCACACTATGTACAGTGTCCAAGAGACATGACACACCTTCGCTCAGAGCATAGCCTTCTGCCACCTAGTCAAAGATAAGACAAGAACTGAATGCAATCAAGACTCCGTACGATACAGATGAATGAGTACTAGAGTAATCACCAGCCTGACAAGAGCCAGATTTTTACCATAGTCTCCAATCACTAAAGCCTAGTTCACATTCGACGGAACGCTGACGGTACGGGACGTAAGGGCCCGTCAGGAAGGCTGGGGTGAGCTGTAAAATTTTGTACGATTCGTACGACACGACATTCTGCAGTCGTTGCGTCGTTCAACAGCGAACGGCACCAGTCATAAGGCACGGTCCGTGACGGGGTCACTATCGGACCTAATTTCTTATTTTTCGGGACTTCTCTTCAATTATTTCTCCTTGAATGAAGCAGAACCAAGTTCACAATACCAGTTTTTCATGAAGACCAAAAAAGTAGGTTCGAAAGGTGTGCCATTCAAATAATAGCTCCAGGAAATGATAAAACAGTTCGTCTGTCACGCTCCTGAACTATCCCTAAATACCATATGTGACATCCGGCCTTATCTTGCTAAAATTCAACTCAAGTCGTGTTAGCGATTCTGCGAGTTATCATGGGAAGCGCAGTGTTCGAAATGCTAAAAATTTCCAAGTACGAATCAGGAGTAGTCGGCACACGCCGCCGTCTGCTGTTCACACTCAAAATGCAGCTGTTTTGTACGCTTGCGTCCCCGTCTAGGGTATGAAAAGTTGGATCGATCCAACTCTTCCCGTCGCTTCCCGATCCGTACGGCAGTACGGTTGCGTTCCCGTTCCTGGTGTTCACATTGGACGCCGTCAGACTGTCCCGTCACTTCCCGGCGATCCTTACGTCGGGTCCCGTCGCGCCCCGTCGAATGTGAACTAGGCTAAACACCAGCACACATCACCTAGGAGACTGCTCCCCCCCCCCCCCCCACACACACACATGCATTGAAGTTCAACAGACCATAGGCACAGTCAAATCCAGTCCGGTTCCTGTCAACAACACACAAACAAAACAAAAATAAACCCAACTGACCTGGGGAGCCTCATGCTTTTCAAGCATTTGTAACAGCATGCCACGGGCTGTGCCTACTGGTGACAGGGCAAGAACAGAGTGTGTTGTGCCACCATACAGAAAACCCTCGCGGTACAGATTGCTGGGAGAGGATGATATGGACATGCCAGACGAATCAGGAACAGTTGAGCCGTCCGAGTTCACTTGATGGCCGCTACCCACTGCTGACAAGCTAGCTGATGGTTTGGGCTGCAGCTGATTCTGAATAAAGAAGTGCAGGCTGCAAATGATGTCCGCAAACACCTTGGTGGACTGCTCTTGCAAATCGTAAAAGTAGCAGAATGACCTATTGAAAAGCGACATCGAAAACACATAAAGATATGCCAGTAAGCTGAGGGGTACATGTACCGGCAAAACCCCACTGTGCTGCATACTCGTGCATAGTGTGAACAGCTGAGGTAGACAACACACCAAGACACACACACACACACACAACTAACAACCCCAAAGCCTATCTGTGGTTGCATGGTGATACCTGTAGATGTGATCTGACAAGGGCAGACTACTGTGTATCAGACACGCTGACTTGCATTACTTTAATACAGCGCATAGAATACAACAGTTCTTGCTGAATGCAGTTTACTGTTATTGCAGTCTTTGCTACAATGTCGGTGAGAGAAAAGTCGCACTGATAATGCTTGTGATAACTTATGCAATGTTTACTTGTATTAAGATACAGATACGATGCCACTAGCACGTGCTGAATGCTGCATGTTGCAGCCACTGGCACACACTAACTGCCGAAGGCTGAATGCTGCATGTTACACTGAACACTAACCGCAGAAGTCGTGGCTGCACAGCAAGCTGGTGCAGAACCTCCACAGCAAGTACTCGCTGCCAAATCGGCTTGTCAATCTCCAAGAACTTGACCAGCAGCGACAAGAAGATCTCACACTCCGTGACCTGCAGACAGAATGCAGAAAAACGGCAGCGCCACGATGATTTTGATCCATCCTACGTGCCTCCAAAACTTACACACACAGCGAACCCACATCACAGATTGTCGTGCCAGTGCCAGTGTGTCAATAAAGGCACAGAATACAGAGTTCTAGCCAGGTCAAAATAGTAAGGGGGAGAGAGAGAGAGAGAGCAGTTACCCCATTTTCCAAAATGGTCTTGCAATGCAAAATGCAACGTACGGGGCGAACCCCCGACTTCACCCGAGACACATGTGCCTTTATGAACCCTCTAGTCATGACTATCGACTGCATTATTGTTGAATGGCATGAAAAACACAAAACTCAACACATGAGTGTGTGTGTGGGGGGGGGGGGGGCACGTTTCACAGGAGGGCGCTGCGCCCCCCTACCCTCCTTTGGCTAGAATCCTGGAGTACAGCAAGCGTAACATTGGAATCACACAGGTGCAGGACCTAGAGCACTCCTGACAAGCTACACTATGACTTTGTTATGATATCTGAGTAATGTGACTGTGACTGACCAGCAAGACGTAGAAGTGCTTGATGAGCACGCCGACGATGCGCAAGAGACGCAGGCACACCGGGAATGAGGGCTTGTCTGCAACAGCGCCGCCGCTGCTGAGAGCGTTGGGCGACATGGCCAGGTTGTACTTGATCGAGGGAGAGAACAGCTTGATCACCAATGGGCACACGCGCTCCTTCAGCATGAAGCTAAACTCCGGTATCTATACAAACAACAAAGGATGAATACAATCATGTACAGAGAAAGCCTGCAGTGAATCACCGGTGATCTAGGCAGCATAATGTGTTATTAACAGCGTGCTCAGCTATTTTTCTGTGTCCATCACGTGAAGAAAGGAGCGTTTGAACTTTGAACGCCAGTCACACCTTACACAACTTTATATTTTTAACTTGGAAATTGTGGGCACATTTTACAAAAAAATTCCTTGGCTCACCATCTGAGTTTTTATATTTTTAAATTATTTTTAAATTACAACTGCACTGTACAACTGCACTGTACAACTGCACTGTACAACTGCACTGTACCTGTAAGAATGCCTCCGGGTGAGCACTAAGTAGTGACTCCAGCAGCTCCAGGCCAAGGGTGCGACTTATCTCCGGCACTTCTGTCAACCAATAGGGTGGGTCGCCATTGGTGAGTTGACACAAGTCCTACGCACAGGCAGCAACAAGAGCGCAGCACGTTGTAATGGCAAAGCACTATTCACACAATGGCGTCAAATTATTTTTTATTATTAAATTTTGAATAGGGCATTCCCACAGGCCTAAGGCCTTCTTACGGGGTACCCTATACGTTTTTGTATGGAAGAGCGAAAAAATGACTTACTATTGCTACTGGCACGTCACCCTACTTAGGTTTTGCATTGTTTCTAGCAACGCATCGGCAGTGTCAGGTCACACCAATCATCAATTTCTCTAGTAGTTTCCACGTAGCACAGATTGCATGCACTACAGTATTATCATCCTCAAGCCAACGGTACAGTGGCCATGGTTTTCCTGGTATAGGACACTTTACACTGATCATCAGGTTCCCCAAATCTTGCAGAGTTCACATTCCAGCCCTCCTACACAGAACTCTTCACTGTGCACCAGCCTTCTACTAAGAAGTACGATGCTGCATTGTTTCATGCAGACGCAAAGACCTAGCGCAACAAAGATGGAGACTAACCTGAAAGACAAGGTAGGCATCCTGGGCACACGGTGGAAGATTCACAGGCGACTTGCGAGAGGACGACTGAAGTTGAGCTGGCAGCGGGTACATCAGGAATAGCACAAACTTCAAAACTTGCGCACACAACAGGAAATTGGTGGTGCAGGGGTAATTCGGCACCATTTGTGCTAAGGCAATTCTGCTGGATTAGGGAGGGTGCTGGATTAGAAAATCTGATTTACTGCTGCAATGTGCATAAAAGGACATTTTGGCAACTGAAAATTGTGCTGGTTTATAGAGGGTGCTGGTTGTAAAGTGCTGGATTAAAGAGGGACGACTGTATTACAGGACACGTTGATCAGGAGCCAGGTGCAAAGTGGTGATTGCGGCAAGAGAAGGAATGGCTCACTTTATTGTAACTCCCAGAAGCTTCCAATGTAGAGCATGCTTCCACCCTGGTGACCCAAAGGTGATCTCAAGGTGACAGCAAATTGCAGGAGTAATGTTACTAAATTCCAGTGACACACCAAACACTCAGGAAAGTGACTTATAGATAGTAGATACCAATCTACCACACATTAGCAAAGCTGTTCACTGCCCTTACGAGTTTTCAGGTTGCCATTGGCAGCTGCTTCTTCCTCAGCCGCCATGCGCTCAAATAGAGACGTGACCAGCTGCCTCATTGCTGCGATGGCCGTGTTACTGGTCACAGGGTCTTTAGACGTGTGCAGTCTGAAGCATATCGCAAGTACCTGAGCACAGCCAACATGCAACACAGACACATGACTTGCCCAAGACACACCCAGTACTGTACACAGGGAGAGTGCACGGACATTTTAATTAATGACAGTCAGTCCGAATACTACGTGAAGTGTACACACACACATACACACACACACACACACACACACACACACACAACACACATACGCACAACACACACGCACAACACACACACACACACACGGAGGGTTTGGGATTATAATCATACATGACAGACCTACACACATAATGAATAGTCGTGATGTGTGTCCACTGTAGATGGATAGTGCCCCCCCCCCCCCCCCCCTCTCCTATGAGTACAACGGGGCGGGGGAGAGTACATCCATAGTACGAACACTGGCCTGTGCACTTCAATGTGCCACATCTTTACTAGTATTCAAGGGATGCATTCCACAGGTCAGGAGAGTACTTCTGTTGACTATTATTTAACAGTACATGAAGCTGAAACAGGTGAAACCCGGTCATGTGATCAACTGGTAACAGCAACACGCTGATCGGTATGACCACTACTAGTATTCTGTGATACCAAGTACTACATAGAATGTACGAGAGGTAGCCTGGTTTCAGAGACCACCTACATTTTACTATTTTAAAGATCGCACTAGCCTAGGCCAGTCTCATGGTTGGATGCCGAGAACCACGTTTCCCCGTATTCCCAGTTACCTTGGCAAGCTGAGCACCATGCACGTGCTGTGTGGACGTGAACAGTAGCACAATGGTCTGCAGGACGCGCAGGTCATCCAGACCCAATGACATGACGCTGCACAGCAGCCCGATGATATTGGAGACATGAGACTGTTGAACGCAATACGTGGAGCACAGCATACAATAGAAGACACAGGCGTTAGGACTTCAGTAGGTTCTGTAATGACACCTATGCATTAAACATGCCTGCAGCATTTCGTAAGGCAATTTGCTCCACATTCAGCAGGCATAGCCAGCTCTACAACATTTGCGAGCACAACCTTACACAGTTCATGACCTTTTATGCAGAGCCAGCTGGTATCAAAATGTGTACAGTCACAGATCAAGTGGACTTGCCCCATGAAACCATATGGCGGGGAGATAATGCATAACTCCCATGCCGGCAAGAGCAACTGATGATATAATACACACACTACTGCGTCTAACCCCCGGTTCAGGCACTTGCTACTACTACTCACAAAACCCTATCTCCACAACTGGGTGAAAAGCAAACTAAACACATGCACTGTACCAAAACCCAGATTCATTTTATAGTAATAATTATTGGCGTGTCAGATCCCGGGCATAGGAAGTTAGGGGAGTGTGCATGTACGGTAAATTGTACTTTGAAGTCTATGACTTTCGCTGCTTGAAAGTCCTGGAGACAGCACTCTGAGACTGCACTAAGTGTCAGTGGAAATGCAAGGAATGTACGAATGATGATGACGATTCATGGGTCCGTTGGAATCCACGTTGCCGTTTACCTCTGGAATAGCATTCTGTGATATCAGCCGCTGCAGTGAGGTCAACGAGAGCTGAATAAACCGTGCATTCTTCGTTTCACACGCGAAGAGCAGCGGATGGACAACATCATCGGTGTTCTGTAGTGCTGAACAAACAATAAAAAGAGTGGAAACAAAAGGAACTATTCAACTAGGAGTGACACGACTACCGCTTTGACAATCATTAAACAGAGCGCTACATCGATCGGCAATTTCTTATACTATCGAACATTTTTTTCTCCAAAAGACACACACGGAGGCCATACTGCGATTGGCTGATTTGGAGACAAGCACATTGTGAACGGCCAATGACCATCAGCGTTTGTTCTGCACCTCTGTGGGTGACAATGACTCGCGCTGCTGTCTGCAGTTCGCGCGGTGTTTGTCGTGCTAGAAACGGAGCGTCACTGTAAGTTGGAATCTCTAGTGATGTTTAGGCTGCTGGAGCACCATAAATCATAGTGTTCCCTTAGCACAGATTTTATTAGTCTCCTCAAGCTTATAATTATGATGAGGGGTGAGTTCTCCAAAGCACTGCGTATGGAGCAGGGAGTGGCTCTTTCTTGCAGGTTTGCCGAGTGGAAGGTTCTGTGGACTTCGGGACTTCTTGTGTGCTGTGGATGGCAATCAGGAGTCCGTCAAGTGTCCAGTCAAGTCGGCCCGAAAAGCGCGAGCTAACATGCAGGGAACGACACATAATTCCTCTATTATCGCCGAAGTCGCTACCAGTATTAATTTTTGTAATATCTTCTCAAGCGGCAAGAACTGGGTTCAGAAGGAATGACATACGACTTCTCCCATGCACAACACCATACATTGCAAATCCGCAATGGAATTTCAACAATGTGTTGCAACCAATTGCCGTAAATGTGTACACGTTGTACGGCGCCATGCGAGGTATGTGCACCTGACGTTACGCGTATTATTATCATATTAGAGAGGTTCCGCATAACGTAATTACGTTAGTAAAAAACGTAGTCGATCTACGGAAAGTCTTACGTAAACTGCATGCGCATCTGTGTTCCGCCTTACGGGAGTTTTCAAATCACGTAGCTGCCCTTGGCAACTCCGAACGCGGCAGTGTACGACCAGATCGACCTGGGGAGAGAGTCATACATTTGTACCCCAATCCACTTACGGACCAGCTACGTTACCAGAGCCCTATCTACGTACTCTACGTAGACAACTTTCCGTAAGTGGAGTGCAAACTCGCGAATTCACGGGTTTTCCCCGCCCACTAACGTAAAGTTGCTCAACTTTACGTAGTGCGGAACCTCTCTATTATTACTGACAGTATCTGGTATCCTGCAATACTACCATGGCAGGATACTAGTAAAGGAGTGGAAGCACACGTGCAGACACGCTCCTGTCAGATCTGCCTGAGACATGCAAAGAATAGTGGCAAGTCATATTCTGTACCTTCAATGATGGCATCGTTCTGGAGCGTGGAGTAGTGACGCAGCTTTAGTATAGCTCGTTCTACAGACTAAACACAAACACCACATACACGTGGAAGGCATTTAGCTCAACACCACACGAGTACAAACACAGTATACAGTGTTACTGTTTACAAAACGATCAAATGAAAATGTTCAGGGTGGATATTTTGAATTTCTAACCTCCTTGACTGCTGGGTGTTTACGGCGTGCTTCTGACGACAACGTTCTTAAATCCCCTTGAACTAAATTGATCAGCTGAGACACAGCAGACAATTTTCCACCACCGCTCATAATTGCAGCCTGCGGTCAAGATCTTCCAATCTCACTATTCAATATCATTCAATGCCTTGCTGCAAATTGAAGTAAACTCGTCCAGGGCTCCACATTTCTAAAGTCGACTGAAAGCAGATGGAAGGCTTCGAGTAATGACTATGTAGCTCAACTAACTTCAGACTAGAGTATTCTGCATTCATGAATGGTTGAGGAAAACTACTTCGTATGTTATGATACGGTAATTGTTGACAATGTTGTTCCTGTTCCTGATCATGAAGATTGAAGGCGAAATTCCAAAAATGATTATGGGCTTTTTGGGGCAGCTACGACGTGTTCTTTGCTTGTCAATCTTGATACGATGCAAGTCGTTCACTTTCTGGTAACTAAACTGGTTGAGTTTGAAGCAGGACTACTCCCTGGTTTGAAGGCTATGCATGAAGCATCACCTCAAAACTCGCTGCTTTACTCAGGTTTGTTCACCTATGCCGCTATGGCAGGGAAAATAGGCCTGATTTACACGAACGCTTTGAACTCGTACTTCGATAAACCAAGCCTGACCGGCAGGCGCGCTAAAATTTGCAAAGTGCGCCGCCCGCGGGCCGCTGTACAGCAGTCATCACCATGGCAATCAACCGAACAAGCCGAACAAAATATGGCGCCAAAAATACGGATTTGGCCTTTTCACTTTTTGTTGACGCAGTTTTGTTTTGGGAAAAGCAAAACATCTTGTACGCGTGCACTGCTGCACATGACACTTGACAGTGAGTGCTGTAGAGAGAGTGTAGTGTGAGCTGTCTGTTGTGCAGTGTGCATGCACTGGATCAGGGCAAGTCGAATACGCATATGTACCGGATGTATAGTAGCAAGAGTTTATGTACTCTTGATAGTAGGCATGCAGCACGTGGCGCACTCACTAGTAGTACTAGTAGTAATGTAGTAATTCAGTCACTGGGAAAAAACTCGCTGAAAGAAAAGCAAGAAGGATTCGCCTGATTCGAATGTAAAACTGACTGACGGCTTCATTGGCAGTCAGGTTTTCTGGTAGTGGTCTCCTTCTGTTGGGCAAAGTCGGAGGCATTGGTACTACAATGGCCAACCGCTCCGCCACACTACACCTTCAAGATGGCTCATCCTTCGTTGGTACAGCTTTCGGTGCTGAGCGGAGTGTTGCCGGAGAAGTCGGTGAGTACATGTGATTTATTGTCCACGTGCAGAATCGTCGTTCTCGACGTTTGGAAGCTACTCACCTCTTCCTCCTCTTCTCCTTCGAGGTCACATTGCATGTTCTTTGGCAAGCTGTGCTTGCTGTGATGCTTGTGGCTGCACGCAATCCCGGACGATTACCTGGAATCAGTTACTAGCTTTGTCTGTGCGCATGCGTGCGTGCTTGACAATATCAATTGGGTGTACTAATTGCATTTCAATGCCATTGGTCTCACGTTGAACATCTGAATGCACATTGAAGTTCTCATTGTGCCACTGCACCTTGCGTGTCGCTCGCAATTGCACACCTTGTAATTACATGTATTAGCACTCTACCACCCAGACTAGCATACCCTCACCCTGTTATTTTGCTCAGTTGTGAAACAAAACTCAGGGAATATCTTGCTCTGTGGAACTCGTTGGTCGTGAAGACGAAATCGTGAACATGGCCCGTGCCCCTGTCGTATTCTTTCATACCTACGTTATACGAAATACTGATAGGTCATAAACCAAGCCAAGTGGAGAGATCGAGCACACACCTAAACGAAATGGGCACATACAGACCTTTTTTTTGTTGTTTTCACATGTGTGATGGAATTTGAAACTATTAATATTATAAATGTGTTCATTTTTAGTGATACTGCTAATGTGTGAATGTAATGACTCATGCTGCAGTTACAAGCCTTGGTGATCTCAACAGGCACATTTTACCAATTCATCTGGCCATTCCAACCTTTCAGTCAAACTTAGGGATAATGTAAATGCTACTCGCTGGGCAATGGGTATACCAACATCACTATCAAGGTTGCTGCATTCCATACACAGAAACAATGCCCATTGGATGCCTCGTTCATTGGCAGAAATAACAATAAGAGTGGGTAGAAAGTGACACGCGGTGGCAGCTCAGTGGGTGATTCGAATCCTGGATTTGCACCAAGCAGGCATGACTTTTTTTTAATGTTTTTTTTGTGTTCTGTGCAGTCTTTCAAACTGGCATGGTTGGATACCCTGAGTCTCTCACCGATCCATCGTACAAATCACAAATTCTGATCCTAACATATCCGCTTATCGGCAATTATGGTGTCGTCAAAGCGGAGAAGGACGCACTGGGCCTACTGAAGACTTTTGAGTCAGCTGGTGTTCATGTGTCTGGCTTTGTTGTGGGCAACTTGAGCGAGAACTACAGCCACTGGGCTGCTGCTACATCTCTTCATGCATGGCTGAAGGAACACAACGTGCCTGGTTTGTATGGTAAGTTTGGGACTGGACAGACTCACTTTCCCTCCATTAGGCGGTGCGGGGGAAAGTCCACTACAACTGTACACACCGTGATACGAACCGTGCACAAAAGGTCATGAACTATGTACGGTCACATTCACGGTTGTACTAGAGCTGGATGTACCTGCCAAATATGGGACGAATTGCCATGCGAAAGGTTACGGCCATCTTCGATGCATACTTCCCATTTAATCGTCTCTATCATGGCTGCTTTCCATGCTGTTCTTATCAGATTGCTAAGGGACGTAAGTAAAGACTTGTTAGATTGACAGCATGAAACAAGGTGGATATCATAAGTAAAGACTTCCATACCCACCATCAAACTATAAGTGTCGGCATGTTCCTGGACATTATATTCAATTATGTTCATAGTAGAAAAAATCATGTGAATAGTCGATGTGGAGATAATAACCCAGGGATCGATTTACTTTGATTTTTTTGCATAGCAGTCACTGTTACACAGTTTTACAATTGACTAGCAACTCCCAGTATCGATTAGCAGTTTTCCTTCATCGAAGTTTACATGTATATCTGTACAATAACAGGATTTTGTACAGAAGAGGACAATAGCTGCAGTTGCTATTTGCTTTTCCGAACGAACGGTTAACCTGAATATTTTACGTTAGGGTTTTCGCTTGGGCTTGTTACATGTTCAGCGTCCATCCGACTTCGAGTTCTTCACAACACAATGTCCTTCAACAGGGCAGTTCCACTGATTCCTTCCACAAAGAAGGCTCAGGAAAGCGCTCAAACGATCGTGACACTTCGTTCAAAACGCACAGAATTTTCGCTTTTCTCCTTTTCTTCATCGAAACGAATCGACACTCCTGGCGCGTCCAGTTCTTTTTCCCGCTTCTGGACAGTGATCAGATTCACTGACATGTTGGCTACATGAGACTAAGAACCATCTACTTCAACTGTGTCTTGTTGAACAGAAACAAACTGAATTGAGCTTGACAGTGAAAGAAGAAAGGAGAACTTCAGGGAAAGTCGTCGCCGTGTAGAAAACTTCAAAAGACTGCAGACTAGACTGTGCAGTCTTGTACGACCGGTCGACCAGTGCTATAGCATTGGCTAGTGCAGTGTCCAAAATCAAACAGAGCGCGATCCGCGACCCGCTCGCGGTCTGAGCAGGACAGGCCAGTTGGTTGGAGTAGTAAAATACTACTCCCTAGTCAGCAGTGTGTACAACAGTCGCATGCAAACTGCACTTAAACAGTACGGAATGGTCTTTGTACATACCGGTATGCATGGCCAGTAAAAACGAAAAGCGAATCGCAGCCAGTGAATTTTGATTCGCAAACTGCGATGCGAACCCGGATAAATCGATCCCTGTAACCGTAAAATAGCTATGAACAGTTTCATTTTGTTCATAGCTATTTTATAGAAAAATCAGCGAGTTGTTTCCTGGTCCATCCTAGTATAGTACTGCTTGTAGTCTGGATGCGATTCTTTCAATGTTCTCTTTGTTCATGTAGTACTGTTTTGCCGTTCCTAGATCAACTTGAGTCATGTTTGGCTTGTCACGTTCGAAGACAGAACATTCAAGATGCTTGTGCTACTAGAACATGCTGCACAAATGTCCAGTACAGATACAACACTGCCGTTTCTTTCATCTTTCTCTTTGTAGGAGTTGACACTCGATTCCTAACACAGAAGATCCGTGAGCACGGCACAGTTCTTGGAAAGGTTTGTACTGGGTGTTGATGACTATGTGTTGTGATGTAGATCTTCATTGTATCAGATCTAGTTTCATGAAAACCTGTCTGTAAACCGTATCCCTGAAAAGTCGTTACGTTTGCATTCTTTGCTGGCTGCGATGATGCGGGTAATTTGCCCAGGATTGCTCGTAATGAGGAACTTTGTTTCGAGACTAATTGTGTGCCCCATTGTGTGCTGAATTGTGCTTCTGTGTAGATCATCCTGGAAGGGGACAAGGCCGAGGCTACTGAATGGGAAGATCCTAACTTGAGACATTTGGTCGCTGAGGTATCGTGCACTGAATCAACGGTCTACAATCCTGATGGTGATGTTTCCATTGTTGCTGTGGATTGCGGTATCAAGACCAACCAGATCCGTTGTCTTGCCGAGCGTGGTGCTCGTGTCAAGGTTGTCCCATGGAATCATGACTTCAGTAAAGAAGGTACGCTGATGTGGATTGTTTTGGTCACCAAAAGGTGTTGCTGCTGGCATTAGTGTTGATTTAGTGCTAGCTTCAGCGTGTCCTGCTTTGCTTGAAGTGGTCAGTGTCCAACCTGTTGTTAGTACTGTGCAATCCTGTTCCTTTTTTTCTTTCTTTCTTTGTTTCCTCTCGTCTTAGACTGTGATGGTGTGTTCCTTAGCAACGGCCCGGGTGACCCATCTCGCTGTGACACGACTATTGAAAACGTCAAAGAAATGCTCGGTGCCAGTGAACCTAAGCCGATGTTTGGCATTTGCCTTGGTCATCAGCTGATGGCCTTGGCTGCTGGCGGCTCTACATTCAAGATGAAGTAAGTCCCCGCCCCTATTCTTTCGAAAGAAGCTCGATAGGGTAGGGTTTCTTTGAGCCTGAAATTGCCATGTCTGTGGATTCAGTTCACACTGCATTTTGATATTTCTACAGTCAGACCTCGCTTAACCGCACACATCTGTTTTCCACAAAAATATCCGGATAGGCGAGGGAACCGGATAACTGAACACACATACTGTATATGCATGTGGCATGTCAAAAGCAGTGACATCGTACATACATGTAGACGGGTCCTATGCAGTACAACTATCGTGCACAGTGTGTAAAACAAGCGAGAAAAATGACAAGTGCATGCAACTTAGGCCGTGATCGTTTGGTCGGATCCAGATCCAGATCCATCGGATCCACTAGATCTGCAATGATCGATTGGTCGAATCCGGATCCAGATCCTTCGGATTTGGATCCGAGCAACCCTGCTCCGGGAGCAGGGTTGACTGGATCCATCGGATCCAAATGTGACCTTTGTGCGTATATGGTGGGTAAAAATCATTTTTATACTCATTGTCGTACGTCTAGTGGACTTTTGTTGACTTTTCGTACGACGCGGGCGATCAGTACGACTTATGCCTTTTTTGGGTGACCTGTCAGCGCCATTTTTTACTTCGTCAACATGGCAACAGCCAAGGTCCGCAAAAAAGTGTTCGGTTGATTCTGAAGGATCCGACGGATCTGAGATTTGGATCTGGATCTGGATCCGACCAAACGATCATAGCCTAAGTCCTGTCCACATGCACCCAGCAGGTCAAGGACCTCATTTGCCTGTACAACTCCCTGATTCTAGCTTTTGGAAGCCACATGCAACCGGATACGACGAAGCTTTTTGTACACATTTTAACCAGTTTGTACACAAAATCATGCACCGGTATGCGGATCGCGAGGTCCGGTTATGTTGTATGCATAACATATGCTGCACATCGGTAACCAGCGATTTTCTTCCGGATGGCAAGGGATCCGGATAAGCGAGGTCTGACTGTATTGACATTCCAATACTGAGCATGTTGCTTGTGTGTGTGTGTCTGTGTGTGTGTCTGTATTGTATGAAGGTATGGTAATCGTGGTCACAACCTGCCTTGTATCCTTCCGGACACCGGTCGCTGCTTCATCACTACCCAGAACCATGGCTTCGCCGTTAATCCCACTGCAATGGAGGACAGCTGGACCCAGTTGTTTGTCAACGCTAATGATGACACCAACGAGGGCCTTGTCCACAAAACCAAGCCGTTCTTCAGCGTCCAATTCCATCCAGAGGCCATGGGTGGTCCCCAAGACCTGGAAAATCTTTTTGACGTCTTCCTGGACACTGTGCGTGCATCGAAGAGTGGCAACAAGTGAGTACAATCGTGTATTTCAGTGAAAACGTATTGAGTTCAATTTGAACGATACTCAATTCTTGTCTGAATTGAGCGATTGAAAATTCTTTCAGATATTGGGAAAGAAAATGTCTGGCTACTGTAGAACAATAAAAATGTGGACACAAGTTTATGCGATCGAGTCCACCGACTGTGCCAGATTTGAACAGCAGCAGGAGTGTGTAGTTTAGGTTCTTTGAACATTGATTGGAATATCCCTCCGCTCCCGAGTGTATTCGATCAAAATCGGTAAAATGGGGACCCAGCAAGGAACTTTTAACGAGATGCATTTCGCTTTGGCACTGGATGGCCTGTAGCCCTTGGACTAACTGTGCAGCTGAGGACGCAAGCTTTTTCAGAAAGTCCAGCCTTATTGAAATGTTGTAAAGCAGACCAAAGTTATGACCCAAACGGTATTACTGTTACAGTACGGTCGGGCTAGGATTTCACCCAGCACAACATACGGTGTCACAACTGTGCATCGACTAGTACATGAAAATAAGAATGGCCTAGGCTACGACTCACAAGGCTGATCCCTCATTTCTTCGGCGCCAGACGGTACTGTATGTAGTCCTGACGACAATCAACCGATTTGCAGGTAATCGGGGATCTCAAAGTGTTGATACCTGTAAACTTTCTCATTGGCAAGTATATATGAACGCTCGCGTAAGCTTCAACAACTAATAACCACCGTTGAGAATTTAATACAGTCAACTTCGCTAATAACGACTGTCGATGTAACGGCAATTTGCGAATAACAACAGAATTTCCATGCCCAGAGCAAAGTCCCATCTAACTGCAACACATATAATGAGATGAACTCGGATGGTGAGCCAATTAAATTATGGTGAATTATCATTTATGGTCGCACTCGCTGACTGTATAAGATCTGGTTATGTTGGTGGACAGTTAGTCGTAACTCGTAACATGTTGTCCTACATATAATGAGCTTCGGGTATAACGACACTTCACGAATAAGGACACTTTCCTGATGCCCCGCAGAGTGTCGTTATACGCTGTTGACTGTACTTTTTATGGTAATTCTTTCAAGTCATGTTGTCCAGTTTCACAGTATGGCCACGTTCGAATAGCGATCATAATTTCTTTCTGTGACTTTCGTGTTTGTGTTTTTCCAGACCTTCTGTCTACAACAACCTTGTGACTCGCTACCAGGCAGAGAAACCCAAGTTTAACGCCAAGGTGTCCAAGGTGCTTGTGTTGGGCTCCGGTGGTTTGTCCATTGGTCAGGCTGGAGAGTTTGACTACTCTGGATCACAGGTAACCTTTCACCTTTTTAAGTTTTATTGTTCCTTGATGTGCTTTCTTGCTTTGAGATTGGATGAGATTGAAGGCATTGACTGTGATGTGAACTCAAATGTAGGGGTTTGTGATACTACAGTTGCGCTCGGTGAAATCCGATCCGAAGTCTAAAGCTGGCTCCCTGGACACCTTCCGATCACATTGTATTTTTACATGTGTATGTCCGTTCCACTTCCAGGGCATCAAAGGCTGTGCAAATTGATTGTACCAAATGTGCACTCTGGGTCGAATTGCACCGACACCAGCTGTAGTAGTATGTGTTGTAAATCGAGACAAGTGCCATATCACACACACTCGCGCCCACATGCACATGCACACACACGCACACAGAATGTGTAGACAACTCTTGAAAAGCACCAGATTTTGTTAGAGCCGAGCTTCTTCACCACGAGATAATACCATAACAATGAGCAACAGAAGCACGTGGTCGTGTATGTTGACATGCCGAGAGCAGGCTGGCAGGAAAAGCTGGCAAGCATGTGTTCTGGACCATGGGTTAGAATTTATGTGTTTGTATCCTCAATCTGCGGACAGAACTGTTTCGTCCTTTGTGGACTCCTCAGCGCAGCACAGAGAAAATGAGGCCGAACCTGATAGCAATGAAAAATAAACTTTCCAAAGCCAGATTTAAACCAGGCCCGAACGTACCTTGCCAGAGTGCTCGAACTGACAAGTCAGTGAGCTCTGCATAACGCAAACAGCAAAGGCACTGCCCCACATGAGAGTGCTCAACTGCTACAAGAGCAGGAGCGAAATACTCAATCTGCGGACAGAACTGTTTCGTCCTTCGTGGACTCGTCAGAAAATGAGGCCGAACCTGATATGTGTTTGTATCTGTGTTTGTGTTGAATGGTGTTTGTGCAGGCTATCAAAGCTCTGAAGGAGGAGGGCCTGCGCGTTGTTCTGATCAACCCAAACGTTGCCACTGTACAGACGTCGAAGGGCATGGCAGATAACATCTACTTCCTTCCCATCACGCCTCACTATGTGGAGCAAGTAAGAGGGTGGGGACGATTACAGTTTTGCTTGCTCTTGGCGACTACTTTGATTTTCCTATATGCTGGCAATGCATTTCACTTACAGGTGCCAGTGTTACTCCTATGTGATGTTTGTCACTGGTCTCATTTTTATGTGCTGGTTGTGTTGTTGGTTTGTTTGGACAGCTCTTCCTTTCTATGTGACATTTTAGGATATTTGTCTTGTTTCCGAGTTGCTAAATGTACCCCATTTATATGTTGATTCCTGCAATGCATAGGTTATCGAGCATGAGCGTCCCGACGGCATTCTTTTGTCGTTTGGTGGACAAACAGCTCTGAACTGCGGTATCAAGCTGACCAAGTCAGGTGTGCTGGAGCGCTATGGCGTTGAAGTTCTTGGTACCCCTGTGAATGCTATCATCAACACCGAGGATAGGCAAAAGTTTGCTGATGAGCTGGCACAGATCAACGAGTATGTTGCACCCAGTGAAACTGCATCTAGTGTCGAAGATGTAAGTGTCCTACTGATGAAAGAAGGAGTACCTTGTTTGGTATTATGTGTATTAAGCTGCCAATGTGTGTGTCTTTCATCGGTGTGCTCATGTTGACGGCCTCTTGCAAGGAAAACTGCTGCTATTGTAGTCGCTTAGTACGGCGATCAGGAAGTCATGTTTAACCTTTTTCCTGGTCTATTATCTTGTCTAGGCATTGGCTGCTGCTGAACGCATTGGCTACCCAGTGCTGGTGCGCTCTGGCTTTGCTCTTGGTGGGCTTGGCTCTGGCTTCGCTGCCAACCCCGTGGAGCTGACCGCACTGTCGCAGAGAGTTGTCTCGCAGGGTGGTCAGGTGACCATTGACAAGTCACTGAGAGGCTGGAAGGAGATTGAGTATGAAGTCGTCCGTGACGCCATGGATAACTGCATCACTGTAAGTGAGCCTGTTCTTTGCTTTCCTACTGTGCGTACTTGTCGTATTTGACATCCTTGCAATCCGTTCAGAAAAAGATGATCATCTTGCTTTCGACCTTTTCAGATTTTTGCCATGCTCTTCCCATTGTGTTTTTGATGTTTATTTCCCCATAACGCAGACCATAACAGAGTTATTTTTTTGGACTTCGCATTGGTCGTGGTACTGATGTTATGCTGGTCAGAAACCCATTTCCGGGTGAATTAGAATTGGGGTTTTGTGCCTGGTTCGGCCTTAGCATGAACTACAGAATTGTTACAGGAAGTGTTTACAATAGTGATGAGTATGATGGGATCAAAGTCCGAACATTTGCAAGCGTAATGCTATTTGCTGCATGGTGTTCTGTACTTGACTGGATCTTGTAGCTTGATAGGGTGGGTTGGTTGACTAGCCGCTGGCTAATCTTTTATGCTGCTCTTTCTGTTATGTGCTTGTAGGTGTGCAACATGGAGAATGTAGATCCTCTCGGTATTCACACCGGTGAGAGCATTGTTGTTGCGCCCAGCCAGACCCTCACCAACCTTGAGTACAACACACTGAGAACCACTGCCATCAAGGTAGCTCGACGTATCGGAATCGTAGGTGAATGCAACATCCAGTACTGCATGAACCCAGATTCGAACCAGGTCAGTGCTTCTTAGTAGTTCTTACACTTTTCTTCCTCCTGCTTTCTGGCGAGGTCTTTGGTAATTCTGTGACGTCACACAAGAACTCTTTGCACCTCTTGTTTTCAGACACAATGATTAACTTCTGTGCTTATTTGTTATTGGCTGGATACAGGTTGTGTCACTTGTTCGGGTGTTGTGAGGCTACTCACTCTGCCTGTGGTAATGGGGTCGTGTATGGTTCGGCTCTTGTTTTTGTGCAAGAGTACTGTGCCAACTGTGTTGCGCTTTGTCCTGCTCGCTGTGTGTATGTGTGTGTCTCTCTCTCTCTCTCTCTCTCTCTCTCTCTCTCTCTCTCTCTCTCTCTCTCTCTCTCTCTCTCTCTCTCTCTCTCTCTCTCTCTCTCTCTCTCTCCTTCTCTCTTGTCCTGCACAGTACTACATTATTGAGATGAATGCCCGTCTCTCAAGAAGCTCTGCCCTGGCCAGCAAAGCCACTGGATACCCATTGGCCTACGTAGCTGCTAAGCTGGCGCTTGGCAAGCCGTTGACTGACCTGAAGAACTCGGTTACCAACTCAACCACCGCCTGCTTTGAGCCCAGTCTTGACTACATAGTCGTCAAGGTGCCACGCTGGGATCTTGGAAAGTTCATCCGTGTCAACAACAAGGTGTGTTGGCCATCTTCGCTCATGTTGTCATCCATATTTCTACAATGTATGTAGTAGTTTACTTTAGCTTTCTTCAGCAGAAGTTGGTGTTGCCGAGTTATACTGATCATGATAGCGCACATTCCCTGCTATTGCTTTTTACAGCAAAGCAGCCTACCCTCTGCAGTATGTTGTGTATCGCTGTTCACTCAGGTACATAAAACACTCTTTCAAACTACCCCGAGTAACCCTGATTATGCTTCCGAGTTTCTTCTCTTCATGTCGCCATGTCCTGCGTCTTCCTTACTGCAGCTCGGTAGCTCTATGAAGTCTGTTGGAGAGGGAATGGCCATTGGACGCACATTTGAGGAAGCGTTGCAGAAAGCACTTCGTATGGTGGACGAGAATGTGATGGGATTCGATCACTCTGTTGTGGAGCTTTCCGAGGAGGTAAATTTTATTTGTATTTATATAATCTGGTGTACTGTGTTCTTGGCTACCATCTGCATGTGTTCTTCCCATCCTCTTCCTTTCATTTCTCTAAATGGTCACAACAAGTTTGGATCCATATGTAATAGCTTTGAATTGTTTCGCCGGCCACTTAGTCCTTGTGTCTGTGCCTTGCTTTCCTGCAGGTCTTGTGCAATCCATCGGACAAACGCATCTTTGTGCTGGCCAAAGCACTGCACGAAGGTTACACAGTCGACCGTCTGCATGAGCTTACTCGCATTGATCGCTGGTTCCTGTATCGAATGGAGAACATCATCAAGTATGGCCTCATGCTCTCCACGTGCGGTGTCAAGGTAAGGGCCGTGTTTCTTGTTTTTTTGCTGGCATCTGAGGACTTGATTGTCTCTTTTCCCTACTTCTTCCGTCGTAGGATTACTGATCACTGTGTGTGTCTGCCGGTTGTTTCCTATAGATGGAAGTTGCTGACCGCCAGTTGCTTCTGGGCGCCAAGAAGCGTGGTTTCTCAGACAAGCAGATTGCTCACGTCATGGGAAGGTAGGTTTTAGCTTGCCTTTTGACCTCAGTATCTGGTCTTTATTTGAAGGTACGATGGTTGTATTGCTGACATTCACATATAGCTTGAACGTCTGTGGATGGACCCTTCATTTCAACTGACACCCTTCTTTTTATTTCTTGCTGTTCGTATGCCTTTGCAGCACCGAGATTGCAGTTCGTCAACAGCGTAAGGCAGTGAATGTTGTGCCCAACGTCAAACAGATTGATACTGTTGCTGCAGAGTACCCGGCTGCAACCAACTACCTGTATCTGACGTACCACGGCGAACACAACGACGTCACCTTTGGCAACTCCAACTACGTGATGGTGCTTGGCTCTGGTGTCTACCGCATTGGCAGCTCTGTTGAGTTTGACTGGTGTGGTGTGGGCTGCATCCGCGAGCTGAGACGAGTGAGTTATGATATCCATCTCAGTGTCCAGGTTGTACATGCTGTTGTTTCGCTTTCTTGTTAGTGTTTAGGTTTGTTATTTGCGTAGGAAGAACCGTCTGCACAATATGGGGGTCAATTGTCTCTGGCTTGTCATTGTACATTCATGAATTCTTCCACTCTTCTTGGTCTCTCACTACAAAATAATCAAGTTTGCCTCAGTGAGCATCTTCAGGAAATTCCCCTAGTACTCGACTTGAAAGTATTCCTATGCTTGCTTTGGGATTGTGTGGTGTCTGCGTGTTTGCTTCCACCAGCCCCTGTATAATACAATGTATTTGCTTCCCGTTGATGTGTGTGTGTTTGTTTAATAGCGTGGCTACTATACTATCATGGTCAACTGTAACCCGGAGACCGTCAGTACTGACTACGATGAGTGCGATCGTCTGTACTTTGAGGAGATCTCGTTCGAGGTGAGTACACTATACAGTGCAGCTGATAGCTATCTGATATTCTGCATGTGGCTTTTGGTCCGCGGTGCACAGCTACCTCCTAATCATGTTGGTCCCCACTGCTCTCTCAGTCAGTATTCTGTGTAGTGAGTATGTTGCTCTATTCATTTGAATAGCCCATTACTGTTGTCTTCATTGTGTTTGCTCTCAATCTCTTGCTTAGACTTCAATGGACATCTACGACATGGAATGCCCCGATGGCATGATCCTCTCCATGGGTGGCCAACTCCCTAACAACATCGCTATGGCTTTGCACAGGCAGAAGGTAAAGAGTGGTGGAACAATGCTCCCTGGCTCCTGGCTGTATTTTCTCTTGTTCATAGACATGCTGGAGGAGTATGAACTGCACTGTACTGAATGGGTGTGTTTCTCAACACATGTATAGCCGGTGGTAGCGCGAATGTGTGAACTTTTCTTTTCTTTTACTGTACTGAAGTGGTTGCAAATAGCAGGGAATTGCTGGCAATGTTCCCTTGTGCCATATTGTTGTGCTACTCTCTGATTTGGCTGAGTGAAGGACAGCTACATATGTGATGTTGGGGTGAAGTTCGGAGTAGCATCCCTTTCTTCGGCTTTGCTCAATTATAACTAGTTGGTCAGGATGTTCTACAATAACCCGATACTTCGAAGCACTAGTACATGTATTGCTGGTAGCATTGCCCTTGCTGCCTCCTTTCCCACCATTGTAACCGTGATTGGTCTTGTCACTGGTGTTAGAAAAGGTAGCTATAGTAGTTTGCCAGGGTTTCTGTCTGGCTCCATCCGCCCATGGTGGTGTTGGATTGATGTGCCAGGCTACAGTGTGCTGCCAGTGGATTTATTTTATGTCCATCACAGCGTTTCTAGTTGTATTGCATTACTACTGTTGCGTGAAATATCCTCTTGTTCTTACCTTGGCTTCTGTGATCTGTCACTTCAGGTTCGCATCCTTGGTACTTCTCCCGAGTGTATTGACAATGCTGAGAACCGATTCAAGTTCTCGCGTCTGCTTGACAACATTGGTATCCAACAGCCGCAATGGAGGGAACTCACTGACCTGGATGTATGTGCATGTGCCCTTTTGTTTTCCTATCTCTCCCTTTCCCACTGCCATCATCTATCTTTCTACCTTGTGTGCATGCGTAATGTTTATCCACTGTATGCCAATGCTCTCCGGCCACCAACATACACACTGGTGTCACCGTGTGTTGGTCTGCATGAGAGAACAAAGCTCGCTATCTGCATGTGTCTTAGTAGCATGGCTCCTGGTGTCCAAAGTTGTAGAAAATGTTGCATTCCCCCATTCCCATGTTTGAGAATCAATATTACACGAGTGAATGTGGTGACCCCGAATTTGTATAGCAGATTCAGGATCAGCATTCAACTCCTGCCTCCTAAACTGCCAAAATAAATAGAGTTGAAACGAGCGTATCTATAGCAAACGAGCGATCAGTTTCACTAACGAGCAAGCTATCGAGCGAGCTAACGAGTTTCATTGATGTGGCAAATAATTATGATTATTTTTTTGAATAATTTTTTTCTAAGTTCGATTTTTTTCAGCTGGTTCAAATTATCACCGCCGGCATTTGGGGTTGCTGCTGCTTCACTTCGGACTGCTGTTTGGTGTCGAGATGTCTTTTCAGCGCCGTCGTCGATTATATTAGCCTTTGTAAGAATAGACCGTTTTGCAAAGATTGCAAGTAGCCCTGGTCTTCGCTGCATCGCGGGAGAAAACTTCCAAACGACTGAGCGTAACTTTCACTCGAATGGAGAGGTGACCGAAGCATATCCTGCGACAGGTCAGCAGATGCGGAACAAGACATCAGTAGAGTCCACACCAAAAATGCAACGACAACTGAAACAACTCAAGTGTCGTGCAGGCATACAGTCACCTGTAACTGCGAGTGATTTTCACTTTGCGCGGGATCGGGACTGGACTCTCGATCGACCAGGGCCTAGGGAGTCGTAAAATATTTTACGACTCCCCGGTCGACATGTTCTGCCATGTGTACGGTGTTCGTTAGTGCAAACGAGCTGGCCGCACAAACGAGCCGAGTTTCTGGCGAGTGAGCTAACGAGTATCCGGTGAGATCGTTTCAACACTAAAAATAAACAAATTCTTTCAGAAATAAAAACTTCTGTGACGAATGACCATGAAACTATGCCAATAGTTGCAACTGTTGCCAATACCCTAGCACCAACGCAACCAGTATAATTATGTGAATGGAGCGCTTGCGATATCCGCTTTATTTGATAGGCTCCCCAGGTCTAACATGTTCCGCTATTGGCCTTTTTTGCTTTATTGTTGTTCCAGGCTGCCCTTGAGTTCTGCAAGGCTGTGCGCTTCCCTGTCTTGGTGCGACCGTCGTACGTGTTGAGCGGTGCTGCTATGAGCGTGGCCTACAACGAGGACGACCTGCAGATCTACCTGACCCGTGCTGGCAAGGTGTCCAAGGAATACCCGGTTGTCATTACCAAGTTCATCTTGGAGGCCAAGGTTAGCGCTGCTTGTGTGGCTGCACTAGGTTTGTGTCTTTCCTATTGCAAAAGATCTACTTCAGAACGAGTTCCTCTCATCCCAATAGTTAGTAGATTTAGCGTTAATTGCTGTATTGTGTATGTACATTGCTCATTTTTGCTTTTTTCAGGAAATCGATGTGGATGCCGTGGCGAGGAACGGCGAAGTCCTGTGCATGGCAATTTCAGAGCACGTGGAGAACGCCGGTGTACATTCCGGCGATGCCTCTCTGATCCTACCAGCGCAGGGCCTGAACGATGAGACGAGAAACCGCATTCACAACATTGTGTACGCCATTGGCCGTGCCCTTGATGTCACCGGTCCGTTCAACATGCAGCTCATTGCAAAGGTGAGCGAGCGAGAAGACTGCATTGGCGTGCAGAAGATGAGGTCCGGTAGTTTTGTGAATTCATGGGCACAGTGGCTTGATCCACATGTACTTCTGGGACTATTCAAGTGATATCACAGCAACCGAGTGTCGTTTGTGCATTTGCTTTCTTGTGTGCAGAACAACCAGCTGAAGGTGATTGAGTGCAACTTGCGTGTATCGCGCTCCTTCCCCTTCGTCTCCAAGACACTGAACACCGACTTCATTGCTCTCGCAACTGGTGTGATCGTCAACGGTAATGTCGACGTCCCCACCGATCTGTCTGGTGATGGCCGCGTGGGTGTTAAGGTATGTGACCGTGCCCATGATGTGGTAGGCCAGGTGTGCACTGCGAGTCGATTCACTTGCTTCGGCAGTATCCTGGCGCACACCTTGATCTGTTTCGTTCGGATGTTTTCCACAAGTGTTGCTGTAAGAGATTATCACGGGTGTGCATGCAGTGAATTTGCAGATCTGTGTGCTTCTCTTGTGACGAGAGCACATGGTAAAGTGTACATGGTATATTATTGTGCTGTTTTGTGAGCTCTTTGAGGAAGGTTCGACTTGTGTTTGTGTCGTACAGTACTTCATCCTCTGTCGATTTGTGTGTACTTATTTGTTCTCAGGTACCCCAGTTCTCTTTCTCTCGTCTCGCTGGTGCTGATGTTATGCTCGGTGTGGAGATGTCCAGCACTGGTGAAGTTGCCTGCTTCGGTGAGAATCGCTATGAGGCTTATCTGAAGGCAATGTTGAGCACAGGCTTCAAGATCCCCAAAAAATCCATCCTGCTTTCTTTCGGAAAGGTGAGTTGGAATGTTACATGACTTGTTCCTATATTCTGCTATGGATCACATCTTGGCTATATCGTTGTGATTTGGCAATGCCGATAAAGAACCTGCATGTGTTGTGTCTTCTCTCTTCCCCTGTGGTGCTATTGTTTTAGCACAGCGACCAATGCAAGTTGTTCACGTTTTCTCCATCTTCTTCCAACACCATGTGTATTTGACTATTTGTGTGTGTTTATTTCTGCTGGTCAGAATCGTGATGAGATGCTGGAAGCAGTTCGCACTCTTCATTTAATGAAGTATGAGCTATACGGTAGTCCAGGCACTGCCCAGTTCTACTTGAACCGAAACATCCCTGTAAGTACAGGTTCCTGCACGAGTACGAGGGCAGTACCGCGGAATCCAGCCCGCGCCGCGATAGCGGCAAGGGCTGGATGAACAGCGGTACTGGCCGAGTATGAGTGACTGGAACGTGTTTCCCGTGTGCACCCAAGCCAAATAAAGAGATACATGACAGACACACCTGCATTGTGTTTTGTGATTGTTTTCTGGTACAGTTTTTTCGTAGTAGTCCATAGTGCTTTTTTTCTCGTGGGGTCATTGACATGCGTTGTCGACTGGGCATCAGGCATTCTGGCTGTTCTGTTCCTACAGATTCTTCCCACGTCTTGATCGGAAACCTCGGCAAATAATTGCGCGGGTCCTGCAGTTTGCTGAGCATTGCGCGCTTTGGTTGAGGCTCATCCGGCTCGTCCAAGATCTCCTTCGCGAGCGACTCCGCAATAAAAGTTTCAGTCTCAACCTCAACCTTTCGGAGGAGCTCATTCACATCGCCAATATCGTTCAAAAAAGGGGCTTCTTTTCTCCCAGTTCCAGATCAAATGTTGGAGCGCCATGATGACAGTTGTGGTTGCAAACAGTCGCTCATCTGCTTTCTTTATTTTATTAGTAACCTATGAAAAACCATGAAGTACTCGTAGAGAGTCAGTCCAGTGACGACGGGCAGTGGAATCCGTTCCTGCCCGTCGTTACTTGCCGACGGGCAGTGGAATCCGTTCCTGCCCGTCGTCACTTGACGACGGGCAGTGGATCCAGTTCCATCACCTTTGAGCAGGCAGGACCGCGCTTTCCAGCCCGCGCTGTTTCATCTGTCATTGGTCCACTCCAAGGCGACAATCACGTGACATACGGGAAGTTCTGTTTTCCTTTGTGTGGTCACTGGGGTTATCTATGCAAAGGCGCACAATCTGAAAGAAATATACTGCATGATTGACGACTTGCTACTGGTCAAAGCGATGGTTGATCAGATTTGAGTTGGGATTCTGTACATGTAGTTGCTTTCATTTCTTTGTCATAATACAAACAGGTGTTTTGGCTCCACATGCGTTTAGCAGACTGAAGGCCATGATTCCAAAGCAGTATCTCTTCACTGGAGAGTATCCCAACAGCTGCGGCATTTTCGGTATTTACCTAACGCCTGTATTCTACATCAATGTGAACTTGTAGGTGAAGGTCGTGGAGAACTGGCCATTTGAAGAAGGTACGCCTGCACCAGGAAGCATTGCTGACTACCTGGCAAATCACAAGTTCGACCTGGTCATCAACCTGCCAACGGGTGCTCGCAAGCCCACTCCGACTGTGACCAAGGGCTATATGACCCGCCGCATGGCTGTTGACTATGATGTGCCGCTCATCACTGACGTCAAGGCTGCCAAGCTCTTCATTGAGGTATGCTTCCACCGTAGTCACTCCTGTTGACTAACTTACTCTGCCGTGCCCGCTTGGGCTGTATTTGGCAAACTCGTCCACGGTCTGCTCTTCTCCAAACTTCTGAGGTGCCTGCCTTGTTGATACTATTTCGCTGAATGAGTATGTATTGACTTACAATCCGATTGCCTGGCACTGTTCTCTCGGTAGTACATATTCTTTCACGTACATTTTTGGTGGTATGTGAATGCATTATACTTGTAGAGCTTACCATACACCATGATCCAGACATGTATGCATGCAATCAGATTTCATTGCATTGGGGTACGTATTTCGGGCAGTATCTGTATTCAAGAGTGTAAGGTGCACGATTTGGAACTGGATACATTTTCGGCACACGGTTTGGTAGTATGTAGACGGCAGTTCTTGATTATAGTACCCTGCTTTGGCTACGTGTGTGTGTGCGTGCGTGCGTGTGTACGTGCTGTGTGGTGCACTTCGCTAACATGCCAATTTGCTTGCGTTTGTGTGAACAGGCTTTGAAGAGGGTTGGTGGTGTTCCACTGATGAAGCCACACGTTGACTGCATCACCACGCATCATACAGTGAGACTGCCCGGTCTGATCGATGTACATGTGCATGCTCGCGAGCCGGGCGGTGAGCACAAGGAGACGTTTGAGAGCTGCAGCCGGGCTGCTCTTGCTGGCGGAGTCACCACTATGCTGTGCATGCCCAACACCAACCCGCCGCTCACCAACCTCAAGCACTTCAAGATGGCGCATAAGGTAAAGTGAAAGTTGTATAAACGTACCCTGGTTATAACATACTATAGTACATTAGGTACTGCTTTTGACAACCTTGCATTTATTATGTTACCGGACTGCCAGTCTTTTATCCGGGTGTCTCGGGACCCAATGATATGCACATCTGAGAGTCTTACGTAACACGGAAATACACTACAGTCAGACCTCGCTTAACCGCACACATCCGTTTTCCACAAAACATATCCAGATAGGAGAGGGAACCGGATAATCCAACACCCATACTGTATGTATGCATGGAATATGCTGTAAATCGGTGACCAACGATTTTCTTCCGGATGACGAGGGATCCGGGTAAAAGAGGACCGGATAAGCGAGGTCTGCCTGTATAACCATAATGGATAAGATCTGATTGCTGTGATATTCATTCGGTTGTGTTTCTGGTGGCCACATGTGGTTGACCGAGGTTGTCTTGATTGGATAATGCTTTGTCTTGGATGGGCAAGGATATGTCTTCGTCGTTAGTAGCTGCCCATGATAGAACTCGCTGACTCTTGCTCTCTTCCACCAGTACGGCCTTATGATGATCTGTGTTGCCACACCTGCCGACATGTCGGTAGACTGCCGATTTTGGAGGCTTGTCAGGACCTGCCGACAATTGACCTTCTCCTGCCGACAATAGCCCTGAAAAGTCCAATTTTGACCTTCTTGGTCTAGAAAACATGGTTCAGATTTTTTTGTTTTTTCTGATCATCACGAGTATTTTCCATAGACAGCTCTCTCCTCAGGTGCTAAGCGATATCATCGTCTGGCTCGAGAAAACCTGGAGTCATCAAGCAAAGTAGCTTTTATCCAACTGAACAAGACCGGGACACTCAGCCTTCGAACAATTTGAAGTTCGATCGGACGCTCTGACTTTTGTCAGTACGACCGTACTCGACTCATACGCACTGCACTTGCACTCGTGCCGGTGCACCGGCATGCGGCAGTGCATGCATGCACACGTAGATCTACTCGTACGTAGTCGACTAGTCGTAGTGTGCAGTCACTGCAGTGCCCCGCATATCGCGCATGCACTCGGCCCAGTGCATGCAGTGCATGCACGCGGCCCTGTGCATGCAGCGCCAGTGCCAGTGCAGCCAGCGGCATGCGGCAGTCAGTGTGCAGTGATCCGTAGATCTACCCGTCGCGCTTTGGATCGCATCCGGATGCTAACTGGGCCAGTCCGATCGAGCGTGGGCCATGCAGTAAGTCTACTTTTTTTTGTAGAACTCTCTGTAGCAGTGTCTGTACACACTGTAGGTCACACGATACGTGGATAGTCGATACCCGATACTCCGATAGCGCTAAGTGTGTCTTTCTTCTTTCATGCACTGGCGCCATGGCACAAGTCATAGATCTACATGACATACATTGTATGCTGTGTTTGCATGCATGCACCAGGCTGTATACAACGAGTCATGTACAATCAGACTGATGAGTGATGTACTGCATGCACTGCTACGCGATCCGGTGCATGCACGCGCACAAATAATTCAATACAAGTACAGTAGTCAATAGTGTAAACTGAGACTTTCGCTGACTGTTCATGCGGTACTGTATTCTGTAGATCTAAATAGACTGAAATACTAGTAGTCACTACGTGGCAGTGCGCATTTAGGCCGCTTGTCCTAGCAATAGATCCTGTCAGTGCTTTAGTCTAGACCATCTTATTCTACATGATGCAGACAATCATTACCGGTACATGTATTCATAATTCTGCTCGGACAAGCCCGTGCCGGTAACACCATTGACATTCGCAAAGTCGAATACAGTACCTCGAGCCCTTCAGTCACGCAGTGGTGTCCCGCCCTGGCCATACATGATTCAGTCGTAGATCTGTCTTGCTTGCTTGCAACGCAGCTAGCCAAGAGGAGCAAGAGACGTCGCCCCTCCACGGCTCCAGACGTACGACCTGCGAGGCGAAATGGGTGCCCCGCCCTGTCACAGTACCGGTAATACAGTCATGTTCAGTACGATTCAGTCACAGGAGTCGACTCGTATGACTTGCGGGCTTGGAACACAGCTAGCCAATCGTCTTCGGACATACGATATCACCCGCGATGTGAAAAGAGCATCACACACGTACACTGCCACTGGATATGTCGCCCATTGTCGGTATGATGCAGCCCACCAGGCGCAGGTGTACTGCACCATACTGGCGATGAATAGATCAAGGCAGGAGTAGGACTTTTGTGGTGAAAACAGCAACCAAAAAAACATGCCAATGATGCAGCGCGCTGGTGCTCTGCAGCGTATAAAGGCGGAGTTGTGTCCTTGTGAAAAGTACCAGATGCCGGAGCAACGAGACTTCTTCTTCCTCTTTTTGTTTTGAGTCGGAGGTGATGTAGTTGACTTGTGTAGCGTAGCGTGCTGAGAAAGAAATACCGATAGTTTGCTTTATCAGTGTGATGTCTAAGTCTGACTCTGACGGGGAAGACTCCCCGCCACGTCCCCTAGCGAAAAGGAAGAGAGTAAAATGGTCCCAGGCTTACATGAAGGAATGGGAGGCCGAACCGGAGTTGTCTGGCTGGTTGACAAAATCCAAGCGGACTGAAGGAAAGGCCTTTTGCATAGTCTGCTGCTGCGACCTTAGTTATCACAACGGCGGAGTCGCTGACTTGAAGAAGCATGCGGGGCGGGATGTCCACAAGGCCAATGTCCGAAGTCGGGAACTGCATGGAGATTTGCGCAAGGTGAAAGCTGGCCCGAAGCAGCGAGATGCCATGTCAGTGGCATGCAGCAACGCTGTTTTGCAGCTGGGTTTTTTCCTCGCTGAGAATCATCTGGCAATTGCAACTGCAGACCGCTTGACACCGCTGATAGCCGCTATGTGCCCGGATTCGAAGATCGCTGCAGGGATGAAAGCTGCGAGGACCAAGATGACGGCCGTGGTGCACACAATTGCGGAGGATATGCACTCCAACCTCCTCCAGATACTACGAAGATCGTACTTCTCGATCATGCCCGACGAGTCCGCGGATGTTTCTGTACAAGAGCAAGTGGCTGTTGCGGTCAGAGTGTTCAACAGCGATGAGGGCTGTGTCCGAACCTACAGCCTAGGCCTGCGTCCCGTGGACCAAGCCAATGCAGAGAGTATTTTCGGTATCATCTCGTCCATGTTGGAAGACGGTGGACTGAGCTGGGACAATGTCATTGGGTACTGCTCGGACGGTGCCAATGTCATGCGAGGGTCACGCAATTCTGTTATGACCCGGATCCTTGCCAGGCAGCCCCATGCGTACACCCTCCATTGTGTATGCCATGTTGCACAGCTGTGTGCACAAGCTGCGTGCGATGCCCTGCTACCGGATAATTTCCAGGACTGGCTTCAGCGTGTGGCGTACTTCTTTGACCGGTCTCCAAAAAGAACTGCCGCCCTGAGGAAGGTGCAACAAGAGTATGATGTCAAGCAGCACAAGCTAGTCAAGCCTGCGCCGACGAGATGGCTGAGCCTGCATGCATCTGTAATGCGGATGCTGGAGCAGTGGGAGGCCTTGCTCCACTACTTTCAGTCGTGCCCGGATGTCTGCCAACTGCAAAACGTAATGGACTGGGTGTCATTGATGGAGCGACCAGAAACGAAAGCGTATTTGCTGTTTCTGGGAGAGGTTCTCCCATTGTTTGTCACATTCAACCTCAGTTTCCAAAGTGAAGACGTGAAAGTTCACTTACTTTCAAAGTCCCAGGCCCAGCTGCACAGAATGCTCCTCTTTAATTGCGTGAAGGCTTCCGCAGTACGTGGCGCAGATGGCAACGTTGATACGGAGATTCAGCTTGACATTTATGATGATGAGTTGGAGCTGTCAAGGCGAGACATGATTATTTCGGCAGACGCTATGGCATTGCTCGCCACATTGCCGGACGAACGCCGAAAGCGGTTTGCAACCAGAGTTCGCAGTTTCTACCAGACGGCTGTGGTGCAGGTCAGGAGAAGGCTGCCGCTAACGTGCCCAGTGCTGCGTGGGCTAGAGTTCCTTTGTCCTGTAGCTGGAAAGGACTGTGCTGCTCAAAGTGTTGCGGATGTGGCGCGTGCGTTTCCGCATGCTGTGAGTACCGGCAGCCTGGATGCGTTGGTCCGAGAGTGGCAGTGCTACCAGTGTACCACGCACAAGAACCTTCCCACGGAAGTTGACCGCTACTGGCATGCAATTGGGAGGCTAACCGGTATCAACGGCGATGCAATGTTCCCAACGTTGTCGTCATTGGCTCGTGCTGTTCTTGCTCTGCCACATTCAAATGCCGACATTGAGCGCCAGTTCTCAGCAGTGACTGCGGATAAGACGAAGACAAGGAATCGAATGCAGGAAGACCTTTTGCAGTCGCTGATGACCATCACACAGAATAAGTCCTCCCAGGGGTTCAGCCCGACGGAGAAAATGCGTGAGCGCCTGCCTCACCATGTTGCTGTCGCTGCAGGCCGTGCCGTAGGAAACCAGCAGCCCGTGGACCCAGAGACCATTGCTATACCTGCAGCACACGCAGTGCCCGAGCCGGAATTGTCGAGCAGTGATTCTGCGTCTCAGGCCCATCCACCCAGCACTGTACCTGCTAATGTGTCGCTGCCAGTCAATGCCGCACCTGCTCAGGAGTCTGTGCCAGCCAATGCTACGCCATCTATGCATATGCCTGCTGTTACTATCTCCAGGCGGATTTGGCGTGTTGGGCAGCTCTGTGAGTACTATTTGCCGATGGAATGCTCACAGAGTTGTATAGATGGCAGAAGTGGTAGCAGTGCTTGTGCAGTGATTGCTACGTATGTTGTGTCAAGAGCATTACGTGGCCAGCTTGAGTTGCCTGCCCCAGGTGCACCACCCTCGCCTGCATGCACCAGCACCTTTATCGGCTGCATCCGTGATGGAAACCGCACATACGACGCAGCTGGATTGAGCAGTGCCTTCCTATCTGTGTATGATGCGAAGGACCTCATGCCAGTCTCCCACGGTGTGTGCGTGATGAAAGATGGTGATCTAGGTATCCGCAACAATGCAGCCTGTAGAAGTGTGATGGAGAAAGCTGGCAACATGGCCATGAAGTGTGACCGCATCGTTGCTGGAGTGCTCGTGCACAACCCGTTGTGTATCGCCATTGTCTTCACACCACATGGCTTTGCTATTGTGTTCGACAGCCACCGTCACCGTGAGAAGGGACCAATGGTTGCTGTCCTGCGGCACAAGGCATCGTGGTCTGCCATGGGTGAGTTCATCCCGGGGCTGTTCCCTGGTAGCAAGCTGACTGACGGTCACTTTTGTATTCTGCAGGCATGTTGACTCATTTTGCTCTTCATGTAGTTGCATCTGAGTGCCAATTATCATTCTATTGTTGTTATTCGTTTGTTTAGTTTGTTTTGATTTCTTGGTTTATCGGGTTGGTTTTACTCTTTCAATTTTCATTTTATTTTTGGTGCTCTATTAAGCGCTATGTGGCTTATAATTTCCTTATTCTTCATTTTGTATTTTAGCGCTTTCTGGAGTTATCATTTTCGTTTTCTTCATTTTGCACCACATTATTATTTCTTGCAGATGTTTTAGTGCTAAGAAGAGGTTGGTGCGACTTCGGCAAGTCGGTAGGAAAAGCGTGAGCTCCCATGTAGGGAGCAACACACCCCTGTTTTAGTGCTACATGTAATTATTATAATATTGTCTTTTGGTTCAGTTTGTATTCTGCCAATTGTGTGCGTACATCAGTAACCCAGTGGATTTTCTGGTATGCCTGGTATAAGTTGCTTTCCACTCTACTTGAATAGTGAAATATGATGGTATATCCCTGATAAAATATCTTTTGTTAATAGCTATGCACAGCGTGTTAATGCAAATGGGTGGTGAGGTGGCAGAGGACATTGATTGTTATGTAGTGGCATGTGTGTGTAGATAGTGGCGGTAGCGGGATCGGGGGTCCGGGGGCGAAGCCCCCGGACGATGCATTTTAGTTTTGAATCCTACTGATATTTGGCTAAAATGGTGTGGCAACACTGGATGATGGTGGTGGTGATGGCCTGCCTGCAGGTCGCCCGGTAGGAGGGGATTCTACTGTTTGTAGTACTGAAGTTTCATAGCTTTTATTGGAGCTTCAACTTTGTTTTGTAAGTCACCTTGTAGTTACTGTACAGCTCCTGTATGCAGCCCTTTTCTCCACTATTGCAACTGTGCCACTGCCATGTGTGTTGTATTGAACTGACGTTTTGACTGTTGGCTTGTTTGTCTGTTTGGCATAGCTTGCCCAAGACGGAGCTTGCTGCGACTACGGCTTGTACGCTGGAGCTGGCCCAGACAACTTCACAGAGCTTCATCGTATTGGCGCAGCTGCCTGTGGCCTGAAGATGTATCTCAACAAGACATTCACTTCGCTGCGACTGGACGACATGTCCATATGGCTACGGGTATGCTTCTTCTCTTTACAGTGTAGTGTTCATCCATGATCAAATCAAAGTTCCATCATAGCATACCTGTATCTGTAGCACGTATGTTGGCGATAGACAACCGATGGTTTATGCACTTGCTCTCAAAGTTACTTGCCCTATTGGTGACTTCTTGTGCTTTTTGTGTATGCGCTTTATGTGTTGGCATTGGTATCTCTCTGTTGTAGCACTTGGAGAACTGGCCGAGTCACTTACCACTTGTTGCACATGCTGAGAGGCAGTCGATGGGTGCTGTCATCCTGCTGGCAGGCTTGGCCAAGCGTCCCATCCACATTGCCCACGTTGCGCGCAAGGAGGAAGTAAGTACACTCGAACTTGAGCAGACTGCACTTGAGCTGCCATGGTGCCAAGCGTTTATACAGTGGCATACATTGTAGGTGACCCGTACACACGCGGCCGCACGTTGCTAGTACTCAGTAGTTTAGTGTCTGTTAGTCCTGCTTTGCTCTTGTTGTTACAGTATTTTGTGTGCGACTGCTATTGACCCTACAGCACATGTATGTTGTTTCATCAAGCTTGAATGTGCTTTCACATGCATGGAGTCTCCCCCGGTGGCCCCTTTGGTCACTTTTCCTGCAGTCTTGCCAGGGCAGTTTATGCATGTCTTATTGGTCATGTCTACTGCTGTATGCCCTGCTCAGGTTCTCATCATCAAGGCAGCCAAAGCAAACGGTCAGAAGGTCACTTGCGAAGTCTGCCCACACCATCTCTTCCTGACAGATAAGGACGCTGAGCGACTTGGCAAGGGCTGGGGCGACGTATGCCCATGCCTTGTCTCACAAGAGGACCAGGATTCACTCTGGGACAACCTTGATGTTATCGACTGCTTTGCAACTGATCACGGTATGGGTTACGCCTCTAACTTGTTGCCACGGTTACGCAGCTGTATTGCATTGCGCATGGCGTGTACTGTGACCACTGCATCCTCCTGGTTATTCGCTATCTGTTCCGTCTTTGATACGTTCTGTTTTTGTATTTTTTCTGTTGTCGACAGCCCCACATGCTCTGTCAGAGAAGCAGTCAGAGACGCCGCCACCTGGATTCCCTGGCTTGGAGACCATGCTGCCTCTCCTGTTGACCGCTGTGCGTGAGGGCCGCCTCACCTTTGAGGTAAGTCTACTTTTCATTGGCATGGTGTTGCTCCTGTGATGTGAATATTAGCAGCCATGGGTCAACAGTTGAATTTGCCCATTGTGTTGGACTGTCCAGTGTGGAATGCTCTACAATTATGTTTTGAGGTATATTCCTCCAAACAGTGCTTCTTGTGTGCCGCTGCACAGCTTGTCCTTTAAATGTGTGTACTGGCTGTGCGTGTTGTTGTCTGTCAGAACTTTTTTTCAAAAATATCTCCGGGCTTCTATTGTTTGTTCCCTTTAGGACATTATCAAGCGCCTCAGTACCAACCCACGGCGTATCTTTGGCCTTCCAGAGCAGCCTGACACTTACATTGAGGTCGACATGGAAGAAAAGTGGACTATTCCAGAGGCCATGCCTTTCACAAAGAGCAAGTGGACACCGTTCGCTGGCAGGGAGGTCATCGGCTCTGTCCGCAAGGTTGTCCTGCGTGGCAAGGTTGCCTACATCGATGGTGCGGTAAGTTGACCCACCCAGTGGGTATGGGAAATTTGTGGAGTGCTGGCAAGGACACTAAGCTGGAGTGCTTGTGCCAGTAGTTCCAATAGTATTCCACCGTCTCCAGTTATGGGCTGGAATTTCGGCATGAGCTTTAGATTTTTAGGACCGTATTCCACCAGTATCGGTCACCCCTCCCTCGCCCCCATACTTGGGGCCTTGGTTTCCCGGCTCAGTGGGGACTAAACCCCAGTTAGGAGTCGACTACCGGCACCCCCTGTTCAATTCGGCTTTTAGGTCCTGAATGGTTGACTTTTAACCGGAAAATATGGATGGTAGTTGTCCGGTCTCATTTTTACGCCTTTTGTTTCGTGTGTGTGTGTGTGTGTGTGTGTGTGTGTGTGTGCGGAAAAATAGGGATTCACTGGCCAGAAAAAGTCACTTCAATCAGCTGTGTGGTGGATACCAGGCTAAAAATAGTGGCGGTCAATTCATCAGCCTTGCAAGCTGTTGAATGGTGTAATCCCAGCACAAGTTGCTATGTCTAACATAGCTGTTCGCTATCATCGCTTCCGCGATGGGCAGGTCTGAGGTCTGAGGTGTGTGTGTGTGTGTGTGTGTGTGTGTGTGTGTGTGTGTGTGTTTTCAGATCCTAGCTGAGCCCGGCACTGGTCGTGATGTGCGCTCTCTGGAGAACCTTCATTTGATCACACCTGCACTCCCTCCGTCGCCGCCAGCACAGCCAGCGGCTCGCGTGCGTGTTCCAGCCACTGTGTCGGCAACTCGCGTCATCAGTCCCAAGAAGCCGATGCACATGGAGGTGCGCACGTCTCGCACACGCATGCTCTCCGAGTCTTACGACTGCGGTATGTTCAGTGTTCATTTGATATTCGATTACTAGTACTGCCTGTACGGAACGATTTAACTTCTTGTTCACGAACTGAACGAACGCTTGCAACTCCGAACTCTACTCGAAAGAACAAAATGAAGTAGGAAATACTGTAAACCGAAGAACGAAAGGACAGCATGGATGTCGCAAAGGACTCTGCTTTGGCGGACATCAGAATCATGCTGGAGTATGTCGTGTAGCAGAAAGTGTGGGAATGTGTACGTGCCCGCGTGTGCTTTTGGTTATGTGTTACAATTGACTAGAGCAACTATTGTGCTTCTTAATCTGTGTGTGACGGCCTTCAGATGAGCATGAGCGTTCGTTATCGCCACCTCCGTTTGGAAAGGACTCTGTGAGGCAACATGGACTCAGTGGACAGAATGTGTTGGCTGCTGGACAGTTCGGAAGAGAGCAGGTAAGTTCTGGTAGCCAACCGGATGCTCCATAAGCTGGTTCGGAGGAAGCCACCTGGTGTGCTGCATGGGAGATTGGGATATTTTGTGTCTCCAGATGAGGTAGTGAAGTTTGTTGTTTACCTTAAGCTGTGTTCACAACTGGCGTGTGTACGCGTGAAACCAAGCGTTTGTGCATATTTTTGCTGGCTTTTGGGGCGCCATGCGTACGGAAACGCGCCGAAATGGAAATTCCAACATGTTGGAATTTTCAGCGCGTATCAGGCGCGTACCAGCGTACATGCCAGTCACCTTCACTGACGGGGTCAAAAAATTAGTACTCAAAGGTGTCGCACGCGCTAAATACGACTCAGATTGCTGTTTTTTTTTGTGAAAGCTTGAGCGCTCGTTTGGGCACACATGAAGCGCAAGCGTACCGCGTCCACGCGCCAGTTGGGAACACAGCTTCACTCTAGACCGGCTTGTGTCTTCTCGTATCAAAGTATTTTAATTTTTGTCTTGGACGGTATTTCTCCTGTGTGTTGTGTACAGCTTCATCAGATCTTCAATGTGTCTCACCAGATGCGACAGCTTGTAATGCGTGGTGGTGGCTCTGACTTGCTCAAGGTACTAGATACGCACACACTCTGCAGTTTTGTTCTTCTACATTAATCCCACTGTCACCTGATCTGTTGGGTGTAGTAGCTAAGAATGTGGAGAACCCAAGGAAGCGACTGTTTCGTCTTTATTACGCTTCTGCTGTGTCCTCTGTTAGGGCCGTGTGATGGCAAATGTGTTTTACTTCTGCTGTATCCTCTGTTAGGGCCGTGTGATGGCAAATGTGTTTTACGAGGTCAGCACAAGGACCCAGCTGTCGTTCGCATCAGCCATGAAGCGACTCGGTGGAGAGGTGATTGAACTGGCGCCTGACAAATCCTCTGTGCAGAAAGGAGAATCGCTTTCCGACTCGTTACAAGTTATTTCTGGCTACTCTGATGTTGTTATCCTGCGCCATCCCGAGCCAGCTCCGTGGAAGGTAACTTGTGAATTGTGAATATCCCTTCATTGGAATGCTTGTACAATTGTGCTTGTTGTTTTTGTTGTTGATTTATAATTTACTTCGCAAGGCCACTTCTGATCTATTTTGTTGGTCTTACTATATCGATTCAATTGCCTTCGTTCGTGTTTGTTAGAATAGAGCGAGATAAAACGGAGAAAAATCTGACGAAAAAACTACTCACTACGACGACTCAAACCAGGCGCCTTCGCTATAGGCCACCGATGCTATGGTGTAGTCGTCATCCCTTTCAATACGTTTACCGGGTATATCTTTCTTTTTTTTCATTGATCGTTCAACGACTGTTTCTTTTTGTGGCGAGTTCCATTATGTCGTGAAATGAAACAAGCCTTGTCAGAGATATGATTTCTTGAAATTACTGTTGTGTTGTCTGCAATCGCAGTATGGTTTCGTTGGGTCTAAATAAGCAACTTTTCTTCTATGTATTTTTTGCATAGAAATGCCGTTTGACCAGACCACTGATCAATGCTGGTGATGGCTGTGGTGAGCATCCCACTCAGGCGCTTCTTGATGTCTTCACAATCAGAGAAGAGATCGGCACTGTCAATGGCCTCACTGTAAGTGGTTAAGTGTCGCTGTCCTGACTTGGTCTGTGTGTTGTTGTTGGAGTGTGAGCTGTCCGTGAATTTGCTCTCGCGATTGGCATTTTGGATTACACATTCCGGACGCGGGTTTGGGAAATCTGGAATAATCAGAATAAACGGGTTAGAGCCAGGTACAGATCATCTAGCTGATAAAGCGTTTGTCAAGAGTGCGTACGTACTTTCTGGAGGAAGATGTAGAAAACTGCTTGCTTCGGAACCAGCAGAATTGGATTTGTGAATTCTGAACACGGCTAACAGGTTCTAGCAGGTTGGCGGAAGACACGAGCTGTCTGTATGTATGTATGTATGTATTATCGGTGCTGTCAAACTGTGTATTTATTGTTATGGATGCTGGACCGGACTGGATTGTGTGCAATCAAACATGCTCTGTAAGTGCTGTAGTCTTCACCGTACACGGCCAGTTTCTTCATCGGAACTTGAACACTAACCTGCTGATTGAAACGCTGCTCCTTTGTTCCCACAGATCACGATGGTGGGTGACTTGAAGCATGGCCGCACAGTGCACTCTCTGGCTAAGCTGCTGTCGTTCTATCGCATTCAGCTGCGCTACGTCTCGCCGCAATCTCTGCGCATGCCGGACGACGTGCGGGAGGTCGTATCCAAGGCCGGCATTTCACAGGTGAGCTGGACATCATGTTTGTGTACTGGCCAGTAGTTTTTAGATGTTGGTAGGTGCACAGTGATTTTTGCTGTTTCTTTGCCTGCACTGGTACAGTATGTAGTAGTCAACTTCTTTCCTATCAAGTGCTGTATCCTTTTCTTTTCTTATTGATGTCTGCAGTTCTCCTCATGTCTTGTCTAATTCTGTCTGCATCCTGTCTGTATGCGATGTCGAGTTCTACTGGGCTGAGATATCCAATGAATTTGCCCATCTGTACATGCTTACTAACAATCTCTCTACGATCATGTTATTGCTGTGTCTGTACCTATTGCTGTAGACTGAGTTCTCATCGCTGGAGGAGGCTCTCGTCGACACCGATGTCTTGTACATGACGCGCATTCAACGCGAGCGCTTCCCGTCGCCCGAGGAGTATGATCAGGTGAGATTGCTGACTATGTGCTGCTGTTCCTGCTGCTGCTGCTGCTGCTTCTGCTGCTGCTTCTGCTGCTGCTTCTGCTGCTGCTCCTCCTGCTGCTCCTCCTGCTGGTGCTCTGAGCTGGAAGGGAATCTAGGTGTCAGCAACTATTGCTGGTGATGTTGTCTCGAGTCTGTGTAGCTTCCATGCTGACCATGTGTGCGTTGTTTTGTCACTGTTTTATGCTTAGGTCGCTGGCTGCTATGTGCTGACTCCGGAGGTTCTGACCAAGGCCAAAGAGAAGATGGTTGTCATGCACCCGCTGCCTCGTGTTGATGAGATCAGTCCGGCCATCGACTCCGACCCACGCGCCGCCTACTTCCGCCAGGCCGAGTATGGAATGTACGTGCGCATGGCACTCCTCGCTATGGTTCTTGGCGTAGCGTGATTGGCACGGAGTGTATGATGAACTCGTGAATAAGAAGATGGCTATGGTGAGCCATAGGACGTGCTGTTTTTGTACAGTCTGCCTCCGCCAGCCATTGCCAGTGCGCATATTTTTCTTAGCTGCTGAGCTGCTTTTGTATGGCTTGATTACGTCGCACCGACACTGTGCTGACCAAGCTCTGCATGCATGTGGATGAACTCCAGCCGAAGAAGATTGCAAAAAGGCCCCTGACAAAGTCCCTGTTGTACGAATGCTCTCTTGACTGTGCATTGGACTGGTCAACGCGATCAGATGATCCATGAGAAACCACAGCTGAATATTTGTTCTCCCTAGATTGAGTTTCTTTTCTGCCAGTTGCCAGAACATCATCTACCAGTATGAATCTGAATCCTGGCTATTCAAAAAATTAATGTCTGAGCACATTTCTTTTTCAAAGGGAACTAAATGAGTTTCTGTTCTGTCATCAAACTGTATCTCCATGAGTAGTTTCATGGTACGTACTTGTATATAACCCGAACCACTTTGGTAATAAAGACACACCAAGGTTACCAATAGTACTTTCAAAACAAAAAGTTTTCGTTTGAGGGTGGGTGGGTTTTAGGAGTTTCGGTTTGAAAATATTTTACTGAATGCACATGCCGAATCCCCAGTTACTTTTTGGAAGTGGGTGCTGAAAATTGACATCAAGTTTTTATTGGAATTTGTTTTACCTGCAGGAACAGTAGTTGGGTGAGGGCTGAAAAGTACTAACACTTTTTAAGTTTTGTAAAACCAACCGGTAACCCCAGCCAGTCCCTTACAGAAGAAATGCTGTTTACTAGAAGTTGGTAGAGGTACAGGATTTCCAGCGAGATCAAGGAGATGTACAGTCTGTATCGGCTATAGCGTACCCTTTTGATTTCTGTGATTTTATCACTATAACCGATGCATCACTATATGCGATACGATCGATTTTTTTTTCTTTCTTTCTTTTGCATCGACACATGACAGGCAAGGAAATACTTCCAGCATGGCGTTTTGACAAATGAGCATGCTGCATAGTTGACAGTGCCCGCATTTCCATAAAAAAATTCTGCTATGTACATGTACAGTAGGTATCGGTTATAGCGTGGGTGTTTGAAAAACGACTTTCTATTCTTATTTCCGATATTTCTTACACACGATACATCAAGTGTGACATCATAATTATGCATGTGCGCAGGAGCAGGACGATCATCGTAGACCTACGTTAATTTTAAAAACGTATTGTGCATGCGGCTGGTCATGGTCCCATAGGCTTACCATGTGGCTATCCAACATGAGTTACATGACCACAACAGTTGAACCTGCAGCACCACGACGCAACGCGAGTCAGATCAGAACTGCATGGGACAGATGTTATTACTACAGGCGATACACTTTGTACTAATCTGGCATGTTTTGCTACACAAAGTCCATTCTTAGGACCGCTATATTCTACTATGCGATAAAATTGCTTGTAAGAATAGAATTGCACTTGAAACCCATGTTATGATTATGAAAACATGAGTTCATTCCTGTAGGTGGTACATGTACATGTATATTCTTTTACACGACCACGCTATAACCGATACGCACTTGCACTGTACATGTATCACTATAAAAATAAGCAACGCGAAGAAAGTAAAAAAAAGAATAGGGCCTTTGATATTATTGCTACATGGATTTTAAAGTGATCACTATAGCCGATAATAATAGTGTGTTATGCATGTTTTGATTCTTTGTTGCCATCATAATATCCGATATATCATTACATCCGATAATATTGGTTATAGTGATATTTTTACTGGATAAAATACGTTTTGCTTTTGATATTTCGTACCAATATATATCACTGTAGCCGATATATTAAAATATATTCTCATATCCGGTCACTCTATAGCCGATACAGACTGTACACAACTTCATAGTCGATAGAGGAGAAAACATTTCACGCACCTATCGTGAAAAAGTACTGACAGTGTTCGTGCACTTTGATAAGTCTACCAAGAGTCCATAAACTCTTGCCTCTACGTACCGTCTACTGCTATCGGTAGAATGACTCTGCTCTACCAGGTAGCTAAAAACGAACGCAGTCGTAATTTACAGCTACGTTCGTTTTTAGCTGCCTGGTAGATCTATAGAGTAGAGTAGAGTCATCCTACCGCTAGCGGAAAGAGTCCATAATCTCGGGGGATTATACTATAGACTCTTGATAGAGGTAGAGGCAAGAGTTTATGGATATTGTTGGTTGAGGAAGTGCACGAAAGCTGTCCTACCGGATTTTGTAGTTTTCACGATATGTACGTGAAATGTTTTCTTCTCTATGAAGTACAACTTGATATAATCTTGCTGGAAATCCCGTACTTCTACCAGCTTTTACCTGGTAGAGCCGGTAGAGAAAGGTAGAAAACACACACAGGAATTGCAGCGTTGTGTGGAGCTTGCTTCGCTGAAGGGGGCCTCCAATTGGCTCACGTGCCGGCCACTGAAAGTCCACGGCTTTTCCCTCAGCAAGGCTGGCTTTCGCGACGCCATCCATGTTCGCTATGGCTGGGTCCCTCCAATATGCAATGCTGCCGTCCGCCTGCGTCTGTGGTCAGGCATTCAGCACCGCGCATGCCCTGTCGTGCCCTATTGTATCCGTCACTCCGGCATAACGAGCTGCGAGACATCACCGCCTCACTGCTTTCACGCGTCGCACATGACGTAAGTGTGGAGCCGTCTCTCCAGCCCCTTTCCGGGGAACGGATGAGGTATCGTACTGCAATCAGCGAGGATGGCGCCCGCCTAGATGTTGCTGCCAGCGGGGTGTGGGGCGGCCGTTTCGAGAGGACATTCTTTGATGTCCGGGTATTTAACCCTTTTGTCCGATCGAACACCGCTCCCTCCCTCAACAGCACGTTCACTAAGCACGAGAAGGAGAAACGGCGACACTATGAAGAGCGTGTTAGGGAAGTAGAGAAGGCATCGTTCGTCCCCTTGGTGTTTTGTGCCTCCGGTGGTCAAGGCAAGGCTGCCTCTGCTTTCCTCAAGCGCATTGCATCAATGCTGGCCGAGAAGCGGAAGGAACCGTTCTCCATGGTGATGGCTCACCTTCGTTGCCGCCTAGGGTTTGCCCTCATCAGATCGGCGATTGCAAGCTTAAGAGGTCATCGATCCAGGCGAGCACCTTTGGATCAGCAGCTGGAGTGCCCCTCAGCTCTAGTGAATGCTGAGTGTCGTCTGGGTTAACCCTCACCTCTTGTTATATGGCTGTATTGTTTTCGCTATTAGTTAGTTTTCTTTGTTATGATTTCTTTTTTTCTTTTTCTTTTTACCAGGCGTGGGCCATCCCCTGAATTCATAGGTGCCAAACATTCTTTTTCTTTAGTTTCCTTTGTAAATATGATTTCTTTTTCTTTTTACCAGGCGTGGGCCATCCCCTGAATTCATAGGTGCCAGACATTCTTTTTTCTTTCTTTTTCTTTTTACCAGGCGTGGGCCATCCCCTGAATTCATAGGTGCCAACTCTTTTTTAAAAAAAAAGAAAAAAAAAAGAGAAAGGTAGAAAAAACTAAGAATCTACTCTTTTGAGTAGATAAAAAAAGGAACGAATCTACCAAAAGAAGTAGTTTCTACACAAACCTGCATGTACATGTGGATCAAAAACGAACGCCACCTTAGCCTACTGCATTAGCAAGTTTGTACAAATTCCGTTGCAACCCCCAGCATCTGTTTCGACTGAAGTCATGTTATCAAGAAGCCAATACACTCTTTTTACCTCTGGACAATTTACCATGCTTCATCGAAATATTCAGAAAAATGAAGAGAGCCCAGAATGTGCATATAGATTTACAAGGCGTAATGGACGCAAAAACATACACACCCGCACACACAGCCATGACCAACACCAAGAGCAGGGAAAAAAGTAATCATCAGCATCCAGCACTGTAACACCGGAACAGGTGACAATCACCAGGCAATTTTAGAATTTGGATAAGTGCAGCGAACATGTACACGTACAGATACAGGACTTTGGCAATAGGTCTTAAAAAAAAATATTTCAATTGTATGCAAACAGGCAGAGGGGAAAAATAAGGATGCGCATAGACAAAGGTCGAACGTCTACCAGAGTAGTAAGTGATTCGTACCCCGGCAGCATTGGCAGCAAACTAGGGAAGAGGAACTCAGTAGGGTAGGACGAGTGCATGGCGAAATACAAAAATCAAAGCAATTCCATTGTTCCGTTTCGGTCAATCTTCGGGATACGGATACAGCGAATGGTACACGACACCAACACTATGACTGATGGGTTCAAAGTGGCCTCGTGGTCCGAGGGGACAGGCACCCAGGCAGACTGATGACTAAAGAGACTTGGTCACATCGAAGCTAATGCCCTCCACAGCACTACAGGAGGACAAGACGACAGGGCTACGGTAGAGCAGGGCTCTTTATCTCTCTCTCTCACTCACATGTACATCTAAGCCAACGGAGTCAACTGATCATTGGAGCAGGATAATCAGCAGCACTATATCTAGGAAACAAGCAATGGGTAGAACAGAAGCGTGAAAAAGGCCCAGCGGAGAGCAATGGCCAATACTTATCCGCTCTTCTTCGAATGCTGAATCAACCACTGTAGTGTAATGTCTGCACATGGAGAAGAGAAGCACATGTTCCACAGTCAGACACGAAAATAACTTAAAAATAAGTACAGTTGTCATTTTGTTGATCTAAGCCAGCACGAACTGAAATGTACCACACATGCTTCGACCGGGCACTTTGCAGGCATATACACAGTCAAGTCTCCAGGGTCTGTTGCCCCTGCCACCACATGACTATAGTATTTTCCGGAGTATAAGCCGGAGCCAGATTTATACGGAATACAGACATCTACTACAGTACAGTGCAGGCAAGTGAAATCCGACCCCTGAGCGGTGCGATAACATTCTAGCGGACCCTATTTTCGTAGTTTTACAATCCCATGTTGGGTCTTTGCGATGTGAGCGTACCGCTCAGGGGTCGGATTTCAGTTGCCAGCACTGTAGTACCCTGTAAGTACCCTGTATATCACCGTTCACTTGACCATCGCAGTATAAGCCACACGTTTTTTTGGTGTGAATTACAAGTGTGTAAAGTGCGGCTTATACTCCGGAAAATACGGTACACAGGCCAAACGTGTTTGTGTAGGTAACACGCTAGACCGCAAGCTAGGACGCACCACTGTCTCATATGCAGGGGATCTCGTTGGCCCCAGCACAGAGGTGTCCAAGACAAAGGCAAAAAGCACTGGGGAAGACACATACCAATGTTATGTCGCTCTTTGCAGGAGATGGAGTAGCAGCAGATTTCGCGATCCTGGACTGCTTGAAGGTTTCTGTATAGCAAACGGAAAGAAATTGTGAGTATGAATCAGGAAAACATGCAGCAGGTTCACGTCAAGCATTCACACGAAAAGCTAAGAAACAATAGTTGCTATCGTGAGCTCCAGCCAACTGTGACGAAGCAGTATGTACGTAGCTGAGCAAAGCGAAATAAAATCAATTGGAAGGTGACAAGACTGATGACATTCAGAGAGAGAGAGAGAGAGAGAGAGAGAGAGAGAGAGAGGGGGGGGGGGGGGGGGGCTACACAAGTTGGTTAGCATGTATGGGGTACCATGGGCATCACTGAAATGATGCAAAACTCACAGTCGTGCAATGAGATCCTTCTCGTCCAGAGCATTTGGCAAGTCCTTCTTATTGCCAAGTACAAGAATCTGAAAGAAACACCAGCACGCAGGCAAGCACCAAAGCAGATACCACCCCAGGCACAAAAGCACAGCCACATACAAGCATCAACATTATTAGTCAGTTACAGAAAAAGACACACACAATAAACACTAAGTGCAAAGCATGCCCATCCAGAGAGGCTCTCTAGAAGAATGACTCATTACTGCCAATTGGCACAACTCCTCTGAACTAGCAACCAAATCAGGGGATACTTGAACTCTAATGCAGTGGTATATAACCACAAAATTCACCTTAAATAATATAATTTAATACAATAGTAGAATGCCACATACCCTACTCGCATGATTAGAGCCCTCTCTTGAATAGTGCCCCAGTCTCTAAGAGCCAGTGAAATAATAAAACCCTCTCTGCACCGGAGTACCGGTGTCCAGGATGCAGGGTAGCAGGGTATCATTATAATCTGTCCCCATAGTTACTTATCAGAGGAGCAGGAGTGTCTTGTCGTACTGCTGTGGTACTGCCAAATTAGTACGAGAATGATGAAATCTTCATGTGGAACGTGCATGGTTTAGATGGGTCTGACTCCGCTCCCTTATACATGTACTCCCAATCTGAACCCTTGAGAAAGTTCTGCACCCCAAGGGTTGCGGATAACCGGCACTGTATTGTACAACAGCCACGTTCTTCTCATTGTGTGCATCTACATTATATTATAGGAGAATGCTTACCGGAATTCCCTGCAGTTGGGGCTTCTCCAACAGGTTGTGGAGCTCATTCCGAGATGCATCGAGCTTCTCCTGATCCGCCGAGTCGACCATGTATACTATACAGTTAACACCACGGCAGTATCTCTCCCACATGCTGCGGAAACGCGGCTGGCCACCAATGTCCCAAAGCTGCAAAAAGTGGAAAACACAACAGGAAATATGTACTCAGCAGGGTCTATTGCAGTATTCCAGTGATAGGAAAACAGAACACAATAGCAGTATAGTGGAACTCAAGTAGTAGTACATACTCTGATAGAACGTACACCTGCTCAGTAGGAAAACATTATAGCACGGGTGTGTTACTCCGTGCCGAATTGCAGTCGTGGGCAAAGAAATCCGACCACCATGGGAAAAGCAGTGCCGCGTTTCCATTTCAATTACATCATGCACGATCCAAAAACTTGGGGTGAAACGAATTCACCGAATATTCTAGAATTATTCGTTTAGGCGATACCAAAATAAAATCGAGATTCCCGGGCAGGACCCATGTGAAATTGGTGCGGGTGGGCGATTTTTTATTTTTTTTCCCATGTATGTACATGACTACATGTGTGCATGCCATGTTGAACTTTTTTTGCAGCATTTTCCGGTAATTTTTATTCATTTTTTACAGACAACAGGTACACGGTTTACCCGTTCAATTTTTCTATATTTCGGCCAACGATGGCCCTGATCTGTACATCAGGGAGTCGTACAAGCTCGGGTTTGGCTTTGGCTCGATTTTGGTGCGGGAGGGCCCGGGAATCTCTATTTTTTTTGGCCTCGCCTTATAGGAGAACAATTCGAAGTGCATGTATTCTTTTCGGAAATGAATAATGTGCATGTGAAAGTTTGCAACACGAGAGCATAAACCGCGTGCAAGTCACGCGTTGAGTACAGTATAAGTAGAGCGCGGTGGTTGGAAAAGAAGGGACTATGACTCTATGTTCAGATGCTAGTTACACTATCTTGTTCCCCAAGAAATAGCTTGCATACGAATCTTCTGCGTAAGGAGTGCTTATAATTTGAGCAATCGATGCTTTTTACCTAAACATGAGTAACAACACACGGTAGGGATTCAATAGAAATAATTCAAATAAACTTCTCTCATTATTGATATGCCTGCAAATCTAACAATCTCTCTCTCTCTCTCCCCCCTCCCTCCGTTGCACTCGCACCATACCTTGATTGTAACGTTTCCTTTCGATACTTTCCTCATGTTGAAACCAACTGTTGGAATCATATCCTCGTTGAATTGACCAGACTGGGTGGAAAAGATAAACGAACAGAAAGGTTATTTGGTCAGTACATGTAGCATCCATATTCTTCAAGAGATTAATGTTTCCCAACAATGTGCTACAATAGGTCTCGACAAATGGGGGTGTCTACTTCGAAGTACCATTCAGAACGAACATACATGTGAAACCTGGCTTTACTGTTTTTAAAACAACCATCCGTGGGAGAGACCTATCCCAGTCTTTGAGTGCAAATGACCCTTACACATTCGGATTAGAAAAAAGTGGTCTTCTAAGACTAGGTGGATGTTGCAGCCAGGTGGTCCCTTGACCACATTTTCCTGCATCTACTTTGAACGAAGACACTTTCTTTATCTACTTTGAATCACTAGAACGTAGAGTTATTGTTGTTTCCCTGCTACATGCTGTGTGGATAGGACATATTCAACCAGCCAGCCCCCCCCCCCCTGAAAGAAACATTAAATTTTGTTTGTTGTGGGTGGTATAAGGTACCATAAAATAGTCAGTATAGCATAAAGCAACACCATAACACAGACAGAAAGCAATACAATTATATACCCCCACCGCCACCACCATTGTACAGAGCATGTACCGAGCATGCACAGGATACACACACAGCAGAGAGAGAGAGAGAGAGAGAGAGAGAGAGAGAGAGAGAGAGAGAGAGAGAGAAAGAGAGAGACGCGCGCGCACGCACACACACACACCACATAACAAACATTCTGACACACCATTGGCAGGCTACAGCTGTACACGTGCAGGCCAGTTGACACCACAATTATTATGATTTCCATAAACCCAGTATGGTTAGAGTTACTTCCAGCACCTGTACTATCTACTACTGGCTGCAGTCCGTATCTAGTAGTAGCAGCACATGTCATGTGCTTGTTTGTTCGGTTTCCTGAAGTGATGTCATTGTCATAACTAAAATGTGTTTTATACATGGTGGGATGAACACACAGAATCCGATGTGATTTGGAGACTGTGCAAGGCAATTGCAGAGGCAAGTGTTGTGTTGGTACTTTGGTCGGGGAGCTCTAGCCAAAAGGGGTTCGTGCAACTCTCTTACTTCCTCGTGCACGTAGTCATACGACATACACGAAAATTCGACAGTCAACAAATTGAATCAATACGAAATCCTATTCAGTACACCCAGTTCAAACAACATAAAAAAATAATGTACTCACTGCAATGACATTGACGAAGGTAGTTTTTCCAGAGTTCTGGAGGCCAACCAAGGTCAATTCCATCTCCTCCTTCCAGAACAAACTCTTGATCCAATCTAATACTCTCTGAAAGAATGAGGCCATTGTGGCGCTCACTTATCGTTCCGATGCCCACGAACAAACGAAATGAACTAATAGGTGAGCCACCGGCTCTCACAATCTTCTCTCCGCCAGCCAATTCCAAACAAACTGAAGACCAGAGTATGTCCGTCGTAAAGACAGCACAGCGTGGGCTACACTTGATGTTCAACAAAAAGAAATTCGAGCAAGAACTTACTTCGTTCAACGTTGCAACCGAACTTACTTGAGCATAAAAAATCTTGACACAAAAACACACGCCGTCAGACTTTCTTCCCGCGACTCTCACAGCACTCTGAGCATGCACTCAGGCGCAAGTCGCAAGTACACCCGGGAGATGCTCGAGCGCTAGCGCACTGGCTACGTAGATCTACGTGGGTACATGTACTTTTTAGCGCACTTCATGTATGTAGCGCTAGCGCTACTCGTACTCGCGTCCTTGTGCACTTTTCACAAAAAAAACACTTCACTCGCGAAGCTTTTGACCGCTAGCGCTACTTACAAGTGACTAGGTACTAGTATGAGTCTATGTAACTATGTGCTCATTATCAGCGCAGCGCATCCTTGTTGTAGGAAAGGTCCCATGATCACGTGATTTTCAGGACGATGTCATGTGGCCACATCTTTATGACGTCGAAACCTGGTTTGGAAAAAAAGCGCCGAGTCGCGGGTGTTTTGAAGCAAACTCCCCGATCTGCTGTCGTGCTGATATGACTTCCAAGCTTGGGAACAGGCAGCTGCACAACAAAGGTTTGTGAAATGACTATGTTGTCTTCGAGTATGCAGAATGCAAGGAAGACGGGGAGGCTTTGTGGCGAGAGGGGCCAGTACAGGGGCAGGCGGGACTGATTCTGGGCCTGCTCGTGGTGGTGGCGGGGGCCGATGGAACCGTGGCTCATGGAGAGGAGGTAAGATTCATGTAAATAATTGTAAATCTACACGTGGAGTTCAACAATTTAAAATGACGTACATGTAGATGTACATGTATGTGGAACTCGTGCAGTTGGAGTCTTCGTAAAATCCAGGATCAGGGAGGTGCTTACTGCATCATGTCAACCGGCGTTTTCGCATCATCCACTGCGCATTTCATACGTATCACATGTACATGTAGTTGGAAAATTGCTCCTATCATGATCAATCACGTATTAGCAGGGGCATAGCAGCCGCTCCGGCCGGTCCGGCTTTGGCCGGACCACGTTGTCGCCCGACCACAACCACCATAGGAAAACAATGCCAAAAGTGCCCAGAATGCAGGATTTTGCACCCTAATTTCCAAAAAAATACCACGGGGACATCCCCCCGCAGCCCCCCCCCCCCCCCCCCTGGCCGGACCACCACCAATGGCGGTGCTACGCGCCTGATTAGCAAAAGTATATAACCCCCCAAGAGTGTGCAACTCCTGATACCCTTTCTATGGGGTAAGCCGACGGCGAAAGCTCACATCACGTGGTGCAGTGTCGCAGTTGTACGTTTCCAGCCCGTTTTTAGCGAGCAGTGGAGTACTAAAAAAAGCACTCTGACAGAAACTCACTGCGCGTATGCAAATCCCCAGCATGATCACGGCAGATTTTCGGATTGCGCGCACGCTATCCTACGTTTGTACGTAGTACAAAGGTATCTGAGACACGTGATGTGAGTTTTCGCCGTCGGAGACCCCATATGCAGAGTTGCACACTCTTGGGGGGTTATATACTCTTGGTATTAGTCACCAAGACTAAGTACACAAGTGCATATAATTGTGCTCACAACGTCGTTCAATGATGTAATCTTGTTATCATCCAGTATTAAATATAAAAGTCTAGATGAAAGTTTAGATGATATAATTATGATAATTATCATCTAAACTCTTATTCCGGAGCCTTGCTAAGGCGTTGGACTTCACATAGTGATGTGGTACATTTGGCAAAGTCAGGATGCAGCACCCTTTATTGCGTATGTGTGCGGGTGTGCACACATGTGTGTGCGTGTGTGTGTGTGGGTGTGTGGGTGCACATGCGTGCGGGTGTGTGTGTGTGTGTGTGCGTGGCCCTGGCTTGTTTGGATATACAGTACATGTAACATGTAATCAAATGATCATGTGTGAGCGGCACTCGGGCCGCTCAGACAGACATTGCCACGAGACGTATTCTGTACACGCCCTGTACCATTAGTGGCATTACACTCATCCCACACAGATTTTCATGTGCACCAGGGAATCATTCATAGCATCTAGGGAGGCGGCAAGAGACCATGGTACCCGAAACATGTACGTTCGACCCCGGATTTGGACGTTCCACGTGTTTCGTAATCTATGAAGCTCGCAGCTGCGGTCATGGCTTTGACCTGCTGATCCCAAACGCAGCCCAGACCAGCGATGCCAGATGCTAGCATGCATAAATCGTGCCTCAAGCCTCAAGTTCGTGTTGTCTCCCCTGATGCTAGGTGTTCTCAGTGTGTGCGAACACGGCCAGTAAGGCGAGGGACCATGCATATAGGTTGTCTTGTTTTCCAGACTTGACCTGTATCAAGGCCGAGAAGAGTCCATAGCCGTAACAACATATGAACCGTGGGTTCTTGCTAGTACAGAAATGAAGGTACATTTACACATAGAAACTATAATTTTGCTTTTGGCACCCGTGGGCTGAAGACTTTCGTTTGCTAGTTCGCAATGCAAATCGGTCACTGTCCTACTGCTAAAAAGATGATCACACCGATTGGATAACTGTTAGCCTACTGGTAGTCAGAGGTACTAATTGCAGTTACATGGACATGCAGTGGTGCAGTGCACATGTGGGGTACCGCACTGAATGAAGAGCCCTCAACACCGCCGAATACACCTTGGTCTTACAGCAGGGAGGGAGTGAAAATTAGTTTATACTGCCTAATGCCTATACATTTTACCCTCTCCCTGCTGCATGTGCGTGTACATGTTCTGTCAATGAGATCATGTAGACACATCAGTATCACCTGGACATAGAATACATAGTTTTGGTGCGTACCGGTGACCTGTTCTTATCATCTCCGCCATTACCCCAATACTGGCCACCTTTGGTGTCTGTGCTGTGCGGTACATGTATTTGGATTGCTGTTCAATTGTAGGTTGGCGAGGTCGTGGTAGAGGGCAGGGCGGTGGCTATGCCAGAGGTAAGCCATCCTTCTCGATTGGGTAGTTGATCGGTGGAGGGACGTTGTGCTTGAGAGGTACATGCACTGCCTGTTTGTGTATTATTTATAGTGTTGCGAGACAGCGTTGAAAAGCTACAATCCACCCAAATATTTTAAATAGGGCTCCATCAATAGTCATAATTATCATGGTGATCAAATCCCAGAGTATATTGCTCTATTGTGAGTGGAGCCTGCATTCCGGGGGGGGGGGGGGGGGGGGGGGGGGACATTTCCTCGCTCGAAATTCAAAGCATACACCATGTCTCCCACAGAAAAACTGCTCTTGTCTAGGTTACCGTCATAAACCTTGACTTGCTTTAATACACACTTCCCATGGACGTAACACACCGAACCGTGTACGTACGTTGCGACCAAACATTAACTCCTAGGGCGTCTTGCCATCTTGGCCGCCAATTTGTTGTGTCCTTCAATACACACAAGCTACATGTTTCCTTAGTTATACATCTTGTTCTCGACATACTCGGTTAGGTGTCATCCAGCAGGAAGTAGTTCCTCGCAACAACAGCAGAGAAAGATGCGCTTTCTCTACTAAGCATGCACATAAGCCAGGTCATTACATCACGCGTGTACGTAGTACTAATACTACTACCTCTACCACTACCACTACTGTAGCTACACAACAGTCGTTTGAAGTCATGCTCTTGGGGTTTTAGGCAGTGGAGTGTATGCTTGTATAAATCAACTATGGGTGAAATGGTCAATGTGGCTGATTCAATGTACAGTAGGTATCGGTTATAGCGTAGGTGTTTGAAAAACGACTTTCTATTCTTTAAGTTAAAATGTTTCCGATATTTCTTACACACGATAAATCAAGTGTGACATATCATATGCATGTGTGGAGGGACGGGAAGACCACCGTGCATGCAATGTAGTGCTACTGTGCATGCGGCTGGTCATAGTCAGGAGGCTTACTATGTATGTGGCTATGCGAAATGGCCAACAACAGTTGAACCTGCAGCACTACGACGCAACGCGAGTCAGATCACAACTGCATTGAACAGACGTTATTACTACAGGCGATACACTTTGTACTAATCTGGCATGTTTCGCTACGCAAAGTCCATTCTTAGGACCGATATTTTCTTCTATGCGATAAAATTGCTTGTAAGAATAAATGTGCACTTGAAACCCATGTTATGATTATGAAAACGTGAGAGTTCATTCTTGTAGGCAGTATATTCCTTTACACGACCACACTATAACCGATACGCACTGTATCAGCCACATTGACCATTTGTCATGTATATGTGAAGGGCTTCACTTCAAAACGCGATAAAGGCCAAACCGGAGCTTTTGCGTTTTTTGTCACGAAGGAATCCGTTTTCACCCCACGGACCTCTGTGTGTCGGTTTTATGGGTCAAAACGCGAGTCTTCAAATTCCTTCTCCTAAGTTCGGATAAGACACAACAAAGTATACTGCTATGAATGAACAGATGAAAATTTTGGCAAGACAAGATGCCAATTATCAAACTGTGTGCTCTCTGCTTTCTCTGCAGGAGGTTATGGTCGTGGTGGCTCTACACAGAGCGCCACTGGCGCAAATGCTTATGCCGAGGGTTCGATTGTCAGTTCTCAGTCACAAGCCAGGCGAGTGCAAACAACCCTTGTCAACTGTCCGTACGCCGGCTGGTCACTCTACTTCCCTACTGATGGTAGGTGTTGGAATTTTAGAATGTCTACAGGTGCAATGCTGCTCCATGCATAGCTGTTCTATGCCGCCCATCTCTAGTGCACTTGTGCATGCAAGCTCACTTACACGTACAACTGATAGCTGTGTCTGTTGCATTTTCGACCCATGCGAGTCATGTTCTTTGTCATGATGTGTCTGCTGTGTTGCTCTAGCGTTCAGCCCAACTTCGCTAGCAGGGAAGCGCTCTGCAGTCTTCGCTGAGTACTTTCGCAAGCTGGCACGGACGTGGACTCCAGAAACCCGAGTATGTCAGACTACCATATGGAACCTGAAGATTTTCTATTTTGGTCTTTTCTTCTGTGCGTTGGGGTTATGCTGGAGTCGTGGCAGTCTCTAGCCACTGTAATCAGATTTGAAGCTACAGTTGATTGAACAGACTAAATCACAGAGTGATATCTCCGAGCCTGATTCCATCGTTGCTCTTTGTTGCTCTTTGGCCTGGTGTATATGCCCTGTCTGGCTGCAGGAAGCTATTGAGCTGCAAGGATCGATTGGTGTTGACTTCACAACGCTGCAGGATGATCCTAGTAAGTGCATACTCACATACAGCCAATATTGACTCATACAGCTATTTGCACTCACATACAGCCAATATTGACTCATACAGCTATTTGCACTCACATACAGCCAATATTGACTCATACAGCTATTTGCTTTGACATTGACATGCACCGATCGTGGGGAGCTATTGAGCTGTTTGCAAAGCTAAGTTCGAATATCTGCAATGTTGCATGGACATTGGAAGAGCACATTAAAGCTCTAGTGGGGAAACGGTTACCCTTTTAAAAGCTAACAAGCGGGCACCTGGCTCAATAGGTGGGTTATCAGGTACCCTTTAGCAGTCATTGACCTTTCCAAGAACATTGCCAATGCGTATGATACAGTAAGACCACGAATTTTAACGTCAATAAAAATTAACGATCTCCTGATTCTCTATAAGTGACATCAGTATCAGTAGCCGTAACCCTTCGCTGTTGGAATTTTTGATGTATGTAATGGCTACCGTGGGTATCAGCTAGTTGGCTGAAGAGCGCATGGAGGAGAGGGGTAGAGGAACATTTTATAATCTCCTGGTTTTTTGTTGGTTAGCGAGGTGACATGTTAACGAATTCCGGCTGTCAAAACCGGCAAATGACTGTACATTCACATCAGCCAACACTTTCATAACTTATTACAGCTTGCTTCGCTTCACGCTGCTGCTCCGGGTCGAGAAATTTTAGAGCCTGAAACTGAGGGTCCAAAGCTGCAGCATGCACCGACTCGTTGTTGGTATCCACATTGTCCAAATGGAAACGCTGGGTAATACTGTCAGCAACTTCCTGCTTTACACATGCCAACACCGGCAGATCATCATCTTCTCTTGTCTGGCAATGTGACTTCAGTGCTGTCAACTGGGAAGAAACCAGGACAGGGTCGAATAGTTCTCACCGTCCAAAGATCACCTGGTCCACTGACCTCAGGAAATCAATGAGATGTTCCACTGTGGCCCACTGGTCGGTGGACAAGTCCAGTTGGCGCCCGTCTTTGTCTGGCATATCTGCAAGGACCAGCTGCACCGGCACTTTGAGCTGGACAAGATGATCAAACATCGGATAGATGCTGTTCCACCTTGTTGGGCAGTGAACAACGTGCTTCACTTCCTTCGCACCAACCAGACGCTGCTTGTCTTCAAGCTGGCTAGTTTTCAATGTGAAGTGCTTGAAACGTCCAACTAAATGCAACTGCTGTTGCCGATTCTGCTATGCCCACGTGTCTCTGCTAACTATAGCTGCACTTTGGTGGTAAACACGGTCGTAGCATCGCCCGAGATTACATATCTGCGTAGCCTGGGGATAGTGCCATTGATGGGAGCAGTTACTGGGAAGAACTTAGCGTGTAATTCAACCACTTGGGGAGCACTTTGCACTGGTGGAATTCTGGTGTTGTTGTGACGAGTTTTCTTTTTTGATTTATCCTTTTTTTCTTTTGCTCTTAATGAATAGGTCTGAACCAGAAGCTGCCGGATTTCCTGAGCGATTTAAAGGAGCAGCCGTCACCTGTCCTAGCTGCAATGGGAGTAGCAGTGCATCAGGTAAGACTGAGCCTTACCATTTGAATATACAGTAAAACCTGGTTTTAGCGACCACTCTGCCACTGCTTCTTGGATGTCGAAGCCTCTGTCAGCCATGATCATATCGCCCTTGTCCAGAAGCTTCACAAGACCAGACCGCATGGTAATGTCTTTGTCAGATATGCCCCCCCCCCCCCCCCCCCCTCCGTGGGCTTCAGAGACAAAGGATACCAAGCCGGTTGGTGTACAGCCCAACAGTACCTTGAACGTATTGCGACTCTTGTAGTCGCTGTACGTTAACGACTGGTTCATCAGGCCTAATGGTCTCTGGCACTGGATTTCGAAGCAGTCGATTATGTTCCGGACGTTCGGATATCGGCTTCTGAACGACCGGGGCATCCACGAGTCGATCAGTCTACGCGATAGGAACGGAAATGACAGTTTCAGCTCGAGAGCAAGGAAAGGAATCCATGTCGCGAACAGCCTGCTGTAAGTGGACTCGGCCAATCCCATGCGCGTGCATATATCCAAGGCTGGCACACTGAGCCTAAGACGCACAACAACGGACAGCAGTTGATCACCACACGACACATTCTTCCACGGGCGAGGACCACTGGATGTTTCGGCTGCTACTGTTGAGTTTCCATTCCAGCTCCTCAGTTGCGCAGCCTTTGGCTCCAACTATGCAGTAAAAGACTGCAGGGAGGCGAAGGTGGGGAATCCAGTATAAAAACGCGTCAACGCATCTTTTCCATCCAGGAAAGAGCAGTGTTGCCAACCGCCCGCCCGTATTTGTCCGTATTTTTACGGAAAAACGAAGTTTTGTCCGCAGTACGGATTTCAACCGAATATCCCGCAAACGATCATGTATATGATCGATTACTAAAACCATCATAACTTCATCGTTTCGTGTGCAAAGTCAACAATCGAAGGGTCTACGCGGTAGCAAAAACTCCAAGCCGCCCAATGCAACAATCGCTGAAGCGACGTCCGACTCCAGAGATATCGCGCGCCGTATTCAGGTATTCTTACCTTGGCAAAAACAAATTTTTCATCGAACTCTTCGCCATTGTTTTTGAGGGGGGGGGGGGGGGGTCCTTTTTTTGCGTGCCCTTTGAGCAATTGAGCACTTTACAATGACGTAGCCGGCTGAAGTTTGAATCATCTCGAACAATTTTGAGCGTTCTGCGATGAAGGAGAGTCGAATGGTGTTGATGGGACGATTTGCTTGCATATTAGGCTTGGAGACGACTTTGCTGTGTTACGGCGCCTGATTTGTGGCGGCTTCATAATGGTGCTTGGCATCCTGGCGTTGCTCCTGCCTAGAGCTTTCCAACGAGCCCTAGATTGTGAAAATCAAGCGAAGTAGAACAGACGGTTATAACCTAGTGAAGTTGAAAATTGTACTGAATTTGTGCGTAGCCTTTACAGTTGAACTAAATCAGTCAAAATGTTGACCTGAAAAACGAGTACGGAAACCTCTGAAAAATTCTGCAAAATGGCACTGGCCAATACGCATGGGGGTAGAGGCCACTTGGTAACACTGAAAGAGAAGGACAGCACTTGCTGCTCGAGGTGCGCAACCTTAGCTTGTAACTCGCTGTTCTTGGCCAAGAGCTCGTCCATCGTAGGAATCGGATAGGAACCATGGGGGGGGGGGGGGGGGGTGATAGGAGTAGGAACTCAGTTTGAGTTCCTGCAGAGCACAGGAGAATGAGGAGATAAACATGAAGTTAATTTAGGTGTATTAAAATGTCGGTGTCGGTGACCTGACAGGTTTCAGTTGTAATGTAGAATTAGGTGACTGGCATTCCCGTCACATACATGTACAGTGCATACTCTAATGCCTTTACGTGTAATCTAAATTTAGGTGCATGGTCCCACCAAAATTAAATTTATTCCCGTAGCTATGCAGAAGACGTTACTTCAGTAACGTCTGGCGCTAGCCAGGGTCCACACAGCTTTAATTTGGTGTTTGTTTGTTTGTGTGTGTCACGCCTGGCGCTATCCCGTATCTGTCCCGTACCGTACCATCAAAGACAGCTGGCCACAAACAGCTGGCCACAATATTCAAATAGGGCTTTCAAATGCAAGATCGTAACGTGAAGCAACTTGGAAGAATGAGTATGAATGCGAAGTGTGTCGGGTAATGCATGTAGGGCGATTGTGCGGGTTCGAATCCCAGGTTATGCCTAAAAAAATAGGAGAATTGAAAAATTTATAACATCCCTATGCTTTTTTGCCTAGGTCATCAAGGTGGTAGACGTTGTCGTATTACCCTCGACCGTACCTGTCCCGTACCGTACCATCAAAGACGGCTGGCCACAAACAGCTGGCCACAATATTCAAATAGGGCTTTCAAATGCAAGATCATAACGTGAAGCAACTTGGAAGAATTAGTATGTATGCGAAGTGTATCGGGGATGCATGCAGGGCGATAGTGCAGGTTCGAATCCCAGGTTTAATAATATGTCTTGAAAAAAATAGGAGAAATGAAAAAATTATAACATCCCTATGCTTTTTTTTGCCTAGGTCATCAAGGCAAAAAAGCATAGCGTAGGGCCCTGAGCTTCCAAGCTCTCTCGTCCTGAAAATAACGTGTTCTACAGTATTCCATAAGAACAAAGATGAAAATTCAAACATGAACAAAACGTCAAGCTAGCCTACCTTGGTCAACCGAGAGATAGACGCAGGATGCAGGGGGTCATCGTTTTTTTTTGTCCCGACACGAAGTGATCAGAGCAAACACGATGATGCTGTGATGGCTGCCACGACGTTCCATATGTATTCTGCCTTCGTAGGGACACGATCCATTGTCGACTTTGTCGTTCAAAACTCGATGCTCGAGCCAGCAGAGTGACGATTGGAGCATCCAACAACACTACACAAAACTGTCATTCATCCTGACATGCAGAAAGAAAGTAAAACTATTTAAACTGGCAAGTTCGGGCTCTACGTCTTCTCCAGATCTCCGTGAAAATACAAAATGCACATGGGCTCTCCACCTTCTCCGTGAATATAATAATAACCAACACTGCCAAGAGCACACTAAAAGTACCGGTACAGGCAAGGCCGTCACAGCCGGGGCGGCTGAGGCCGCCCCACTTTTTCGGCCGTTTTTTTGTTGTTTTTTTGGAGCACATTACAACAAAGCACAATGATCGCAGCTTAGCGCAAACGTGACAAATCCTTGTCCCCGATCGTGGTTTGTTGCAGAAAAAGTCTTTCATTGCAGTTACACTGAAATGGCACCAAATGCCTGGAAATGCTTGCAATTGGCTTCAATTTTTGAATTTTTTCCCGGGGGAGGGTAATGTTTGTCCCCGATCGTAGCGTAGCGTCTTCTTCGTTTGCTGCAGAATCAAAAAGACTTTCATTGTAGTTACCGCACACTGAAATGGCACCAAATACCCGGAAATGCTTGCAATTGGCTTCAATTTTTGAAATTTTTTCCCGGGGAGGACCCGGACCCCCCTTCCATGGCCGCCCCACCTCCAAAGTCGGTGCGACGGGCCTGACAGGTATATTTCAAATTTGAAATGACAAACTACAACTCAACTTCTCAACTAACTTGTACTTTTGTTGTGTGTTTGGCCAGCAGCTGCAGGCCAGTGCCATTTCGCGGCTTTTGCCAACCAAACAATGTGCGCATCATTGGTTGCCCCTCACAACGGTTCAACGTGGAAGATAGTCTATAGTCTCCTTGTACTCTTTGAAGACTGTCATGAAAATACAACAGACATTGTGTGTGCGTGCGCGCGTGCGTGCGCGTGTGTGTGTGTGCGTGTGCATGCATGCATGCATGCATGCTTGTGTGTGTGTGTATGCACGTGTGTGTGTGCGTCTCTTTCTATGATTAGGTTCTGGTCGAGGCACAAGCAGCGGCAGCAGCAGCAACCGCTTCAGGGTCACCACCTGCTGGTGTTCCTCAGATTGCTGTCCGGTACGGTACTGTCTTCTCCACATGTATACCCCTGGTGTGAAGTCTGTCTGGAATACACGCCCGTTATTGAAGATGGGTACTATTTGTGGCACATGACCCTGGTTTTTGTGTTAAGATATGTACCACTGCCGAGTTTGATGGCTTTCACGTAAAACGTCATTTTTGAGGACAGTGTATTGCTCTTATCAACCTTCTTTGTTTTTGTTTCAAATTCTCACATACCGTAAAGTCTTGTATAAAAGCCGCGGCTTCTATGACTTTCTTAGTGAAATTTTGCAGGCTTCTATATGAGACAGGCTTCTATACAAGACAGGTATTTCTTTGTATGTCAACAGACTCAACACCAAACCAGGCTTATGTGTGATTTGATGGGCCCAAATTTGCGGCTTCTATTCGAGGGCGGCTTCTATTCAAGTGCGGCTTTTATACAAGACTTTACGGTAGTTTGTTTGCTGTTGTTGGATTGCTAGTTGCTTGTTCCCATTGTTAATGCTCGGGTCCTTTTGTTAATGTTTTTCCATGCTGACAGAATCTTACACTTTGAGCCACTGACACCACTCAAGATTCTAAAAGCACCACAGTACGGTGAGTCTCATCATTTCAGTTGGAATAGGACCGTTTCTTACCACCGAAACTCTCCCTAAAATCGCACAGAGAAGGGCCTAGGGTTGCACAATCAATATGGCACCTGCCGTGATGCAAGATCCACAAGCGGATCACGAAAGGCTCAATATCTTCGTGACCGTCGCAGCCGATCGCTTCTCCGGTTTGTCATGAGAAGAGACCGTATTTGTTGATGTTGGTCTTGAGCAACTTGTCAAACAGCAGAATTGCAGCAGGCATGTTGGCGTTTTGGTGGTATGCTATGTTTGATTTGTCTCTTCAGTTGTTTGGCTTGAAACTCCGGGAAGAAATATGATGCAGAATGATGGTGCCTGGTTGAATTTTCTCTTTCTGATTGCATATTATGGCATTGTCCTTGCATCTGACAAGTCGGGTAGCATGGCACAACTTTTACCTTATCTTCCTGAGTTGATCATTCTCTCCATGCCTTCCTGCTATGTCTATGTGGGTGCTATGTATATGGGTGCTGTGTGTACCGGTATGTGGGTGCTGTGTGTGTGTGGGTGCTGTGTGCCCGCATTCTGTGTGCAGGCAAATTTGTGTCTGTGCGCGGCACTGTCGTTCGTGTGGGTAATGTCAAGCCACTGGTGACACGACTGACATTCCAGTGCAACAGCTGTGCAGCTGAACAGGTGCGTTACACATTGAGTGAATTTGCACTGAATCCAACATCACCATGGGTTTGTCCTAGACTATGGTTGGGATTTTTTAAATAGGGGAGGGGACCAGGATCAGGTCTTGCTGGGCAGCGAAAGGATTTTTCCTTTCGGGATACGGCCCAAAGTCAATTGGGAACTTGTGACATTGCACAAGGTACTGGAAGTAAGACCTATGCAGCGAATGAGATTTCAGTCTTTGACCAGTGGTTGGTGAATACAATCTATTATATCCTCCTCCACGGTTTAGGACCTGGAACGTTATGTCTCATTCTGTAATGGTGTGGTGATGCCTCATACTAGAAGCCGTGGAGTGTTAGTTCCTGGCCTACATGGCCTCGAATCCTGTGCATTATTTTTTTACTTCTCTGTAGTACTGTCTCTTTATGCACATGGTCATGTACTGGTGTGCATGTGTTGTATGTCCGGTAAATGTACAATCTAGATTCTACACTGAAGGGTGTGTATGATGTGTGTGTGTGGGGGGGGGGGGGGGGGGGGAGGGGGATTCTGCAGCAGCATGGTTTGGTGCACACTGCTATGCAAGGGAATCTGTTTCTTGCCATCTATTATTGCCAGCGATCAATACCGAGTTATTGACAGAAGTATAAATGCGGTAGCACTGATTGAATGCTCTGGACATTGAAATCATTATCGGTGTTCCAGTCTTGTGTGTGTTTCTTGATGTTTATTTGTGTTGCAGACACTTGTGTTGCCTGATGGAAAGTACATGCAGCCTTCTCAGGTCAGAGTCTTTGATCTATTGTTCTTTGGCATACTGTTGTGCTCATTGGAAACGATGAACGGGCTATGAAATGAAAGCAACGCAGCTGTGATTCGTCACACGGTCATGTGACACGTGTTGCCTTGCACATGATCCTCGGGACTCTAAGACAGTCATCTCAGACCTGGCGACATCGGCAAGTCCGCACTCGATAGCAGAATCCTGAAATTTACATCCCCATCACCATCATCGTGCCCCCGGCCGTAGATCTAAGATCGCTGAGATATTGTTGAGCAAGAACCTTTAGCGCAAGCTCTTTTGTTTGTTTTGTAGTTCGCGCAACCTCCTCATAAGCTGTTGTATTGCCGGCACATACAATCTGCTTGTTCTGTACTGTATATGACAATGGCAGATGCGGTTTATCAGATGTGTATTTTCGTGCGCGACTCTTTAGGGCAGATCCCGATGTAAATCACTGCTACTCTTTGCTGTAATAGCTGCTGCCGCGTCTGCTGTCATCTTCATTTGTCTGTTCCAGTGTCCTGGTGATGGATGTCGGGCCAAAGTGTTCAACCCGTTGCGTAGCAGTCCACAAACACAGACCACCGATTGGCAGTCCATCAAGTAAGTGATGCACTTTAGGTCAGATCATCCCACGCCCAGCTGTGTGTGTGTGTGCGTGTGTGTCTGTGTGTCTGTGTGTCTGTGTGTCTGTGTGTGTGTGTCTGTGCGTGCGTGTGTGTGTGTGTGTGTCTGTGTGTGTGTGTGTGTGTGTGTGTGTGTGTGTTGTGATTCTATCTGTGTGCATCATAATACTTAGTGATTGTGATATACATGTAGTACTATAGAGAACTAGAGAATGCACTATTGGTCAAAGAACTAGAGAATGCACTATTGGTCAAAGAACTAGAGAATGCACACTATTGGTCAAAGAACATGCTAATTGTTCACCCTGTAGGTGGCCAACATGTTTCCTTTCATTCCTAGTTTGGTGCACACTACTTGGAGTTTAGTGTTCCTGGTTACTGCTGCTGATACACACTATACTGTGTCTCGTAGGCTGCAAGAATGTAATGATCTTGGCGAGGAGCAGCGCGAGGCTGGCAGAATTCCACGCACAGTGGAAGTGGAGCTCACGTCGGACATGGGTAAGCACTCTGTTGTGAGAGATTGTCACCTATAATATTGCAGTCTGTAATATTCTCTCTCTTTCTTTCTCAAACGCACGAATACGTGCAAACATACATATGCACACATACACACACACACGCGCTCACACACACACTCTCTCTCATTTGCTCTTTGTGGCGGTGTTGACAATCCTTGTCTTCTTTATAAAGCTTGCCCTACATTTGAACCTGACTAAAGTTGGGCTCTTTACATGTATTTGGGAGTTACATGCTTTTCTCCTTTTGATGTGTTCATTGCTAGTGGATTCCTGTGTTCCTGGAGATGTCGTAACAGTCGCCGCTATTGTGAAAGCATCCGGGACAGATGAAGGTAAATCTTTGTGCAGCGTTATTAGCCCGGTATTCTTTCCAAAGTAAAGCCCTCTCTCTCTCTCTCTCTCTCTCTCTCTCTCTCTCTCTCTCTCTCTCTCTCTCTCTCTCTCTCTCTCTCTCTCTCTCTTACAAGGGCGTTCAATGAGGAGGGTGGAATGTGTGTGGTGTGTGTGTGTGTGTGTGTGTATTGTCTTTGTGTAGCACGCGGTCGTTTCAACAAGGACAAGTGCACTTTCCTCATCTACCTTGAAGCCAACTCAATCAGCAACAGTAAAGCTACTGCTGGTAGCAATGGTGGCAGCAATAGTGCTGGTACAGGTGACAATGCAACTGATCCAGCCAGTGCCAACGGTCCACATGTTCAGTTCTCAGCAAAGGTAGCATTCGATATGCATTCGCCGTTTTCATTTTTCTTCTAATGTCTTGTGCATGTACGAGTGATGATGTTGATGTTATCACATTCAAGATTTTGGTAAGCATTGCGTTTTGGTATTCCTGCCATTGGGTTCTGATGAAATGCAGTCTGTGTTTACGGCTGTGTTCCTCGCTTTCTTATAGGATCTGTACGCCATACAAAAGATTCAAGAAGAGGATCATCTCTTCCGCCTGATCATCAAGTAAGCATGTGTCATCATCCTGATAGGGGCATAGGCGAGCTATGTGGCCAACTTCCGGTTGCTCCTACGGGGAAATAATTCCTCAAATAGGACACAGCGCCATTAATATCTAGCCTAGAATCTCGTGGCAGAGCTAACCAAACGTACTCCTGCTCTCAGAAAGAATGAAGGCGTAGAATGACCGTTTCCCCCCACTGTATATGTTGGACATGGCTAGTTTGCATGACGACTTTGCTGCCTTTTTTCCTAATTTTACTGATCCGTGTCATGTTTGCTCTGTTGTTGTGCTGTTGTGTTGCGTAGTTCATTATGTCCTTCAATCTATGGACATGAGGTAAGATGGTGCTAAGTATAATGCCCATTTGGTTTTCATTGCGATCAAATCCTGTCTTTTTTATCAGGTTGCCGATCAGACACATTTGTCCGTGTGTTGCATTGTTACTTCAAGCATTTTCACTCAGTGTACATGTGTGCTTTGACGGCTGCTGTGGTGTGGCATGGTGGGTGTGGTGTGGTATGATATGGCGTGGTATTGCATGAGGTTGTGTGGTGTGGTGTGGTATGATAGAGTATGGTATGGTGTGGTGTAGTGTGGTATGGTATTGTATTTTATGGTATGGTATTGTATGGTATGATATTGTACTGTTTGTGCCACTGTACCTCTGCCAGCACACTCTTACATTTTTGCATTTGCTGTTTTTTTCTTTCTCTTTGACTGGTGTGTAGTTAGTAAAGGCTGGTCTAGCACTTGGCCTATTTGGTGGAACAAGGAGATTTCTCGGTGAAAAGGTAAAGGAGACTCACTGCTTTCCACATGCTCTGCAGTATGCCATATTTCGGTCTTCAATGCACTCTCTTGACCCTGTGTATGCTTGTCTTGCCAATGTTGAGTTTGCAGTGGCATGTTGCAGTTCCTCTGAGTAGGCCGCCCTAAAATATCTTGAATCTTCGGTATTGCTTCATATTTTACAATCCAGACTTGCATCCATTCTCCTTGTCTCTCAACGTCTGACTCTCTCTCTCTCTCTCTCTCTCTCTCTCTCTCTCTCTCTCTCTCTCTCTCTCTCTCTCTAATGGATTGAGCTGTTCTTTGCTTGCAGTGCGATTCACATGGAATAATCTCTCAACTTCTGTGTTCTGTGCAGAATCGCATTCCCGTACGTGGTGATCCTCATGTTCTCGTTGTTGGTGATCCTGGTCTAGGAAAGAGTCAGGTATGGTGGCATCATGTGGAGTGCTTGCTTCATCTCCCTATAGAATTGTCATGTTTTGTGACTGTAGAAAAAGGTTTATCGGTATCGAAAATGCTCACTTGCTTGTTATGGGTGCTTTGTTCTTGCTTGTAATGTGTGTGTGAATTTTACTGCTCATTGTGTGCAGATGCTCCAGGCTGTTGCAAATATCGCTCCCCGCGGCGTGTATGTGTGTGGCAATACCACAACTACATCGGGTTTAACGGTGAGGGTACAGTTCTGTTCATGTTACATGGGAAACCTTGACGTACTTACTACCACTGGAGAGTCAGTGCTACCGAGTGTGTACATCGGCATGTGTATTCCATAGGCAGCTGGCTGATGTTTTGGCAGTCTGGTCGACCTTGCTCTCAGTCAGTGCCAGCTGTAACGTCCCTTTTTTCCCCTCTCCATGTGCATATGAGTACATTGTGTGTGTGTGTGTGTGTGTGTGTGCGTGTGTGTGCGTGTGTGTGCGTGTGTGTGCGTGTGTGTGTGTGTGTGTGCAGGTGACACTAAGTCGGGATGGTGGCACTGGAGACTATGCGCTGGAAGCCGGTGCTCTCGTTTTGGCCGATCAAGGTAAGCAACGATGGCTGCGATGTGCATGTCTTTCTCTCCTTTCTCACTCTCTCTCTCTCTCTCTCTCTCTCTCTCTCTGTTTCTCTCTCTCTCTTTCTCTCTCTCTCTCTCTATCTCTCTCTCTCTCTCTCTCTCTCTCTCTCAGTGAGGATACATGGACATGTATGTTTGTTAGTATACCCTCTACTGTGAGTCTACTACAGTGCACATTATCAGCAAGTTTCAATTTCAGCCTCCAATGGCTGGTTCTCTTTTCAGCCGCACTAAAATCTCCTGCGTTGTTCCTGTCTATGCACTGTCAGACTGTTTCATACGATCTGTAAATTCAGCTGCAACTAAATTTTGCCTTGAAAGGGTCCGGTTGAGAAAAAAAGAGGAAAAACCCCAGCCGTCAGTAAGTACAGCACTGGTGTGGGCGAATACTTGTTGATTTACAGTTTACCTTCTCCCTGTGCAGGCTGTTGTTGCATCGATGAGTTTGATAAGATGGGTAACCAGCACCAAGCTCTCTTGGAGGCCATGGTGAGTACCATCTGCCCAGCATAGCCACACTTCATGATTTTCCCGGCTTTTCTGCTCACACCTGTTGATGTTTGTTGTACGCAGTTTAAGCCGCAGTGATCCTCTGGAAATGTCAAGCTTATCGCTATGAGGCCGATATCTTTTTCATGCACATTTCGATTTGTAACGTCTTGCTGGCCCTGTGCAGCGCACTGTGACACAAACTGCTTGTCAGATACAGTCTTGTTTTCTATATCCAGCACATGTGTGTGTATGTGTGTGTATGTGTGTGGGTGTGTGGGGGTGGGGGTGGGGTGTGTGTGCGTGTGTGTACGTGTGTGGTACAGGAACAACAAAGTATCAGCATTGCCAAGGCTGGAATTGTGTGCAGGTTAGCTATCTAAAATCGTCTTGTTTCTTCGTTTTGCCACACTTCACAGGCTGAACATAGCCGACGCTTTGTGATATTAGATTACTGTTTAGAGATGTAAAACACATTCATCCATGCAAGCCATTAGGCCAGAAGATACTTTGAACAATAATTATTTACTAGGAAATTTGTTTGAACATCCTGCAATGTGCTGCGGTTGTTGCACAGATGATTGTGTATCTTAGACATTTGGAACTACCGTAAAGTACCGCGAGAGCGCCCCACCTTGATTTTACAGCCAGGGAAAAGAAAATCGTATGGCAGAGTGCAACAAAGTTTGTACGGTGTGAGAACCTTAGTTTTTGTGGAGCTCGTGTCCGCTCGAAGGTAAACTGAGTACGGATTGACTGCACAACTTGCAATGTGTGTACAAGGTTCGTGTCGTATGACCTACAGACGGGACCCCACCTCCACAATACGACCACAAAAGGTGAGATGGTGGGGCGCTCTGGTGGTACTTTATGGTAGTAGTAGAGTGTACTTTGTTTCTGCCATGGAGTGTTACCCACGCTGTGATTCCAGTTTGTCTGTTTTCTTGCTTTCTTGTTTGCCTTAGCCTGCCAGCACGAGCATCTATTTTGGCTGCAGCCAATCCTGTGGGTGGGCATTATAACAAAGCCAAGACGGTGTCGGAAAACCTCAAGTAAGCCTCCTTTCTCCTGTGTGTGTGTGTGTGTGTGTGTGTGTGTGTGTGTGTGTGTGTGTGTGTGTGTGTGTGTGTGTGTGTGTGCATGTGGGGGCGATGAGGTTACGCGTTGGTGGCTGGTGTTTGCAACATTTCCTGGCATGCTCAGGCGGGATGCTCAGGCGGGATTGCTTGAGGCTGGCACGTGTATGCTCAGATGGGTTTGATTAAGACTGGCACGTGTTGATTAGTAGCACAACAGGACAAAGTGTATTATGTTCCGCGCATTCCGAGAACTCCCAGATTGCTGGTTTGGATCTACATGTACTACATGTAATCTATGGATTCCTAGATTGCGCGGGACCGTGCAACCTGGCAATTCTCAGACTGCATAGAGGGATCCGTGCAGTCTGATAATCCCAAGATTGTGCAGGGCTTGCTGCAAAATCTTTAGGTCGCGCAGGGACCCCCTTGGAAGAGACCTCGTCAGTCTTTTGATGTAGTGAGATCATCTGACCTATTGCACTACTTTAGTTATCGTCCTGATGATGATTTTCCTGATGTACTACAGTTTTTTCTCTCATGTTCTACCGTCGTTAGAGCTGCTTCTTGAAGAGAATATTGAGCAATGGGGACAGTACAATTGTTCTTTCGTAGTTCAGGTGGTGAGGTGCGTTGGGTGGGTCATGGAAAATGATCCGAAAAATTGAAATTACAGATCAAAATACTGCAAAACTATGAACTCTCATTAATATAAAAAGTAAAAAGGACCAAGGAACTACAAGTTACACTATATATAATAATGTCCACTAAGGGGCCGTCCGTAAATATCGATGTTTTTTTAGAGACGATATTGGTGCTTCTCTCCCTTGACCCCCCCTCCCCCCAGAAGACGCACATGTACATCTAGATCATGGAATCAATATTTTGGATGCTCATTTTTTTCCTTTTTTTGTCAATAATATGAACCCAAGATGGCAAGTTTGCAGTATTTATATGGTCTAATTGAGAAGGAGAGCATTATGACTTTTTTGGTCGCCCTCGAGAACACTTGTGGCCAGCAGCCTTCTTGTGCTGCATTAGCCCATAGTAGGTCCGTGTTTGTTCGCACTGCCTCTACGTCTTGAAAAAGGTCTCCTGCAGGCATCGTTCGGCCGATTTCCACAATCAATAGCTCATTCTTTTGCTCTTGAAATTCGCCATGGGCATACAGCTTCCAATTTTTGATTTTGTTCTTGTGTCGCGAGTTTTAGCTCCGCGAACGGAAGCTGGTTTCACATTTCTTGTATAGCCATTTAGACGTCCGCGTGCAGGGATCGGCGAAACTTCAAATATTTACATCGATATTTTTCTGATGCTCGAAAAGACGCACATGGCTCAAACCCCCTCCCCCCCAGACGCACCAATATCGTCTCTAAAAAAACATCGATATTTACGGACGGCCCCTAACACCACCAGTTCCTAAACAATCAGCTAGAGCTAGAGCTAGAGCTGTTAGCCAGTTAGTTGTAGAACGTCAGTACCGTCGGTCAGTGTCGTGCAATGTTATCGCATGAGCTGATTGTTTCGTAACTGGTGGTGTTAGTGGACATTATAGTGTAACTTGTAGTTCCTTGGTCCTTTTTACTTTTTATAAATAATCCTTGGCTCTCCATCCGAGTTCTCATTAATATAATAATTGAAAAAAGAGAGATAAAGATGACATTTGAAAATCAAATGGTGATATTTTAGATATCATAATGCAACATGATCTAGGGGCATGTTCGATTGGTAGGATCGGGATGCCGATCCACCGGATCCACTGGATTCGCACCCTTTCAATTGGTCGAATCCGGATCCGGATCCTTCGGATTTGGACCCGGTCAACCCACCTCGGGGTGCAGGGTTGACCGAATCCAACGGTGACCTTTGTGCGTATATAGCGGGTAAAAATCATTTTTGTACACATTGTGGTACGCATACGTGGATCGAGATAGGGCTTGTTGATTTTTTTGTACGACGCGCGCGCGCGCGATGAGTACGACTTTCACCCTTTTGGGTGACTTGTGAGCGCCATTTTATTACTTCGTCAACATGGCAACAATCAAGGTCCAAAATAATGTGTTCAGTTGACTCTGAAGGATCCGACGGATCTGAGATCTGGATCCCGATCCTTACCAATCGAACATGCCCTAGGTCAGGGCATAATACCCCACCCCTAAAATTTAAAAAAAGTGAGATTCGAACACACATGTACATAATACATTATTATTTTCAATAGTACCCCATTTTTGGGGCAGGGCGCCCCTGTCACAGAACCCGCTCGTTGCCTACTACTGGTCACACTGCAGGGACAGGGATAGATTTTTCCATTATTTGAAGGGTTCTCACACTGCTCACTCAGTGTGCTGCTGTTCAGATTGTCTACATGGTGCATGTAGGAAAAGAAGAGCTGCGTAAGCTGCAGGTTCTGGAAGGCTCAGGTTGCGTAAACTTTTAGAATGCACGCAACATGCAGGCTGCAGCTGTTGGATAATTCTGTTGTCTATGTTCTGTTTTGTTTGTTTGTTTTGTATCCCTGTGTTCATTGCTTTTGCTGTACAGGATGGGTAGTGCCCTGCTGTCTAGATTTGACCTGGTGAGCGGCAGCATGCCCTCATACACCCCTGAATACTTTTCCATACTTCAACGGCTCTTCACTTTCTGACACTATCTACTGTCTGTGGGCAATACTTTGCGAGTTATTGATCCGCAGTCAGGCATTTCTCCTGTGCATCGCAGCTGTTGTTCACACAGAGTGATATCATGTGATGTTGTTGTGTTGCATTCACTTTTACTGATCCTATCGCGCCGTGGCCAGAACTGCGTATGTGTGAAGTGCTCTATGACCCGGCGCCAGCTGCCGGCATCCAATCTTGTGGCACGAGCCGGCAATTGTGGCCTTCTCCAACATGTTGGATTTTTCACATCTGTCTGCTGACTGCAATCACTGCTGTTGCAAGTGTGCATGCAGAAAGATTGTTTGGGCGACTGTGAAAACTAGCAAGCTGGAGTTGCCGGGTCAAGCCTGCCTCATGTAAACACAGGCACAAAAGTTTTTTTTCCCAACCGTACAGACGTCCGGGTTGAAAACTCTCTTGTAAGCACAGCCTAAAACGCTCGAAGCACAAGAGGCATGGGGACTAACTAATGTTGTGTTCGGTTTTTTTGTTGGTTCTTGGAGAAATTTCTCTTGGAAGACAAAGAAACGATTTTTTGGTCATGCCTGGAAACACGTGTATTTGTAGTAGTCTGCATGCGTAGCATTGTGTAGATCCATGAACGCGGAGAATCTTCAGTTTTAACCACCTCCGAAGTTTGGCGAGCTCAGATTTCTCTCTCTCTATTTCTCTGTCTCTGTCTGCTCTGCTCTCTCTCTCTCTCTCATTCTATCTTTGTCTTGTCTTTCTTTCTCCTGTCTTCTGTTGTGATAGGTGTTTATATTGCTGGACAAGCCTGATGAGGTAAAGTACTATTTTCAATCATGTCTATACTATACTGCTTTGTTCTCACGGGTTTCCACTGTCTCAGTTGGCTCCCGAGTCCTGACATCTGTGTGTGTGTGTGTACGTGTGTGTGTATGTACATGTGTACATGTGTGCTGGTGACTGGTGGCTGTGCAGGAGCTCGACTGGATGCTGTCAGAGCATGTAATGGCACTGCATGCTGGGCAAAGACGGTGAGATTATATGTGTGTGTGTGTGTGTGTGTTGGGGGGGGGGGGGGGGGGGGGGGGCATCGCTGTAAAGCTTGTCTACTATTTTAAAAGCAAGTGATGTTCAAAACTTCAAATAGAAAGTTTCCCGGCGAAAATTTTGTTGTTGGATTGCCTTGAATGACTCAATCCCACTCTGTCTTATCAGTGTATGTGTTCTCTTTTGTTTCTGTTGGTATGTTCAGCGTTGCTGGCACGCCACGTATGATCAGGGTGAGTTTTACATCAAGGAGTTCAGCACCATGTCGTTTAGTTACACAGCTGATGCCTGTGAACTCATCATAATTATGCCTTGTTGGCAATGAAAGACCATAGTGGTGTGACTAGCACCTTGCAGCAGACCCCTCACAGCACACTGAGAATGCACACACTCAGTTCAGTTCTATGAGAGAGCAGTCAGAAGAACGCTCGATGTGACGCAGTGCGCGACTGAAGGAATTAAAAAGTACGACATTCATTGTCTAATGAAAACTACTTTGAAGTATGTATAGTAATTCACTGTTCTTGGACCTTTGTTTTTCCTGTATTTCACGTGATGAGAAGGCTTGAAAGTATACTCGTGAAAACTTCTCCGAGGAAACTGAATACTTGCTGACTGTGTGAAAAATGTTGTTTACCCACTTCCATTGTATGCTCTTCACAAAGTTGCTAAGTTTTGTTTCTGGTTCTTTGTCCTTTTGTGGGCAGCGTGGTGCTGGACCAGAGACCCCAGGTGGCATAGCAACCAGTGGAGATGACAGCAGCTATGCTCAGTGGCAAGCTGACAAGCCACTGTCTGAGCGACTCAAACTGCCCTCAAATGAGATATTCGATCCCATTCCACCGGCACTGCTGCGAAAGGTAAGCACAGTGCTGTTAGCTTGGTTCCGGTCTGTTGATAAACCCATGCGCGAGTGCAAGGAAGAGCCTTGGGTGCCTTGTTGGTGGCGTCTCTAGTATCACAGCTGAAGCAGTTGTGGGCTAGCAATTGGCATGAGTCCTTCCCAATCCCTGACACCACGGAGGTGGAAAATTACGTTCCTTGTGCTAGTTTCCACGGATCTCATTGGAGTTCTGTGGAAACTGAACAGGTAGCCATTGTATGTTACTTCAGGCTATAGCTCAACTCTGTCTAGTACATAGATTCAGCGATATGGCATCCAAGAATGGGGAAGTACTACTAGTACTAGTATTTCAATCCAATGTGTGATTATCATAGCCCAGCACTTTTTCAGGACGCTGGCCATTTAGGGCGCCAAACCAGTCTCGACTGGTCATGGTAAAATTGCTCTGCCCACCCACAGCAGGGCCACAGTCGTCATAACTGATTGTCTTCACTTTCTTCAAATGCTTGTTTCGCCTGATTGTCCCATGCAGTATGTCGCCTATGCCTCCAAGTATGTACAGCCGCGGCTGAGCAAGGAAGCTGCGGATGTCCTTCAGGTAAGCCACTGTGTATCAGTCAAGACTGACTTTCTGCCTGTCTTGTTGCTGATGTCTCATTCGTAGTGTTTTCCCTCTTCTCCATCCGTCTTCCTTTTGGAATGTCGACTCTTTTACTCTGCTAGCATCCATGTATCTCATACACTGGCAACCAGACAAGCTCATTGTTTATCGGCCAGTGCTGTGTGTATCGTGTGATTCTTCTTCTGCACAGAAATTCTATCTTGGTCTGCGTAAGAACCATGACTCTATGGATAGTACTCCGATCACAGCACGACAACTGGAGTCGCTGATCCGGCTCTCCGAGGTAAGCATTGATAGCTGCTCAATTCAACCAAACCAAGGGAGCTGTACTGATGCAATGCCTCAGCATATTATTATGGTACATCCGTTTTCTTTTTATATGCAATGTGTTCTTTCGGTGTATGTGTGGGGACCTGTTTGCGCGTGTGGTGTATGTTGACATGTGCGTATGTGGGCATGCATGCATGTTTGTGGATACATGCATGTGTGTGTGTGGTGTATGGGGACATGTGTGTTGTACGGGACATGCATGCATGTTTGTGGATACATGCATGTGTGTGTGTGGTGCATGGGGACATGTGTGTTGTACGGGACATGTGTGTGTGTGGGGGGGGGGGGGGGGTGGTGGTGGTGTGTGTGTGTCACCGTGTATGTGCTGACTATGCTCTGGCGCCTGCAGGCACGTGCACGCATTGAACTGTGCGAAGAGGTGTCAGCCAGTCATGCAGAGGACGTCGTTCAAATCATGAATCACAGGTACGACTGACGAGTGTACTAGTACATATGTGTTACTTTTACTTCGAAGTACGTCCAACAGGTAGTAGAAAGAGAACTACCTACTCTGGAGTGTACAACTCCACTTATGAGATCGAACTGCAGAGATTGTTGTCTGCAGGTTTTTTTGTGAGTCCTGGAAGCCGAGATCGGCAACTCCAGTCGTGTACCGCATTCGTATGACACATAGGGTTTATCATTATTGTTTTATTACTGTACCTTGATGTGGAAAATGCTGTTAACATGCTTGGATTTTTCTCATCTCTTATGTGCAGCCCAGCACTCTGGTTCATGTACTCTTAGTATTAGCGAGTTAGTGCTGCTTTTTCCTCAACATGATACATGCTAGGATGGGCTCACAGTCCAACATCAATGTGCTAACACTTCATTTTCCATGCGGAGTTGGTACCCTACTGTATACCCTACTCTCTGTGTGTAAGTGTTTGTGTGTACATGTGTGTGTCTGTGTGTGTGTACCTGTGATATTTGTGCTGTAGCATGATGGATGTGTACACAGATGGCGTGGGCGCGGTGGACTGCCTACGCTCGCAGTCCGGTTCTGGCATGAGCAAAACAGCACAGGGCAAGCGCCTGGCATCACAGCTGCAGCGCGTCTCTGAACAGACCTATAATGCTCTGTTCTCAGTGCAGCAGATCAAGACAATTGCACAGGTACTTGCGCTTGCCTGTATGACTGTAGTGTTCACACATACATATATGGACTGTCACACGCATGTATGCACGCGGCACCGTTTGTGCTCCTATCCATTTACATATACCGCTTTCCACGCCTGTGCTGACAGTCGGTACGCACCGACTCTGTACTCGTGCACGCACACCATTACATTCTGTTGGTATCATATTGTGGAGCTTTCCGGAGCTCCGGGAGAGTTGTTGTTTGGAAAAAAGCAAGAGAACAACATTACACTGTACTAATGTAATATTGGTTTACTGTATGCACCTTGGGGGCAAGTTCAGCTACTAGTACATAATTTATTATACTTAGTTCCTCAGTCAGTCAACCCTGCTCTCTGGTTGAGTCATTTGCACTCCTTGTTTGAGTCACGTCTTTGCTTATTTTTCTTAGGAGATCGGTGTTGACATGCGACTAGTGGACGATCTCATTGCATCGCTGAATAACCAGGGTTTCCTGCTGAAGAAAGGACCACGCGTGTATCAGCTTCAGATCGCATCCTGACTCCAGTACGACATGTGTAAGTGGTGTTCCCTGGCTGCTTTCTTACCATCCTCTTGTGCAGTGTACATGTACTGAGCCGGTACTGATGCATGTATGCCACCTGCGGACTCAGTGCCATGTCAACCTACAGTGCTGGCAACTGAAATCCGACCCCTGAGCGGTGCGTTCACATTCTAGCGATCTCTATTTCGTAGTGTTACAATCCTGTGTTGGGCCTTTGCGATGTGAGCACACCACTCAGGGGTCGGATTCCAGTTGCCAGCACTGTACTTGTAGATATTGGTTGCTCTGCTGGCAGTGGCTGTCATCTTAGCGTTGCTTTCTTGAACTCACTTTCCTGTTCCATCTTCCCCGTCTGTTACTACAGGTGCTTCGAAGTACTTGTGGGATGCAACCACCAACCCTCGGCACTCGTCACACTGCAGTAGGATGCCTGTAGTGGATTCACTGTTTTTTTCTTGTGTGTGGGTGTGTGTGTGTGTTGTGTGGGTGGGTGCGCGTGTGGGTGTATATTTTGTGGGTCCTGAGATTGCTAAGCCACAGACCCACTTTGAGTTTGTGCCATGCATGCAAGCTTGTATGTACATAACCACTGCGACTTTAGATACCTGTAATATAGCTTTGTAAATAGCTTGACTGATCGACACTGACTACATCAATAATTATATTGTGTCTGTGAACTGTGATGTACATACGATATGGAGTCCCAACACTTTAATTATTCGTCTTTTATTCAGTTACTTACTCATTATATCCCGTCCTATTAGTAAAGTGTTGACTCAGATCACACGCTCGTTTCTGAATCATTGATTTTCCAGCCATGTGTAACAAAGAAAGAACCTCAAATTGACGTCAGCATGTTGATTATATAGGAATGGCTTGTGGAAAGTCAAGCAGTGCCATGAATGTTCCCATCCCGAAACATGTTGCTGCCGTCCACAGATAAACACAAACAAACAATGAATGCGGCAGCTCTCCTGCTCACTACTACCACAGCTATTTTTTTTTGCTCAGGTTGATCATGGGCAACACAAAAGGCACATCAAATGATTTGCAGTTCTCTAAGCTGACAGGTGTTCATGCATTTTCACTGCGGAGTGATGCTAAACAGACCGAGATACTGACTACCTGTGGTACAATGCCATAATCTTCATGTTACATGTGAAATATTTCAAATCTTCCAAGACAGCAAGCAGCTTTGTAGTAGCTTAGCTCAAATAGACATAATTATACAAGTACTGAAGTAGGTAACATCTTGGTTGACGGGCTTGGTTCCCATGCCTAAGCCTATACCAGTTACCAACTGCAGATCTGTGTCCCATTCCAATTACGCTGCTGCTATCGTTCCGACTGCTGCTGCTGATGATGGTAACAATGATTGTCATGCCGAGGCATACTTACCACCGGTCGATAGGCTCAGCGAGTTTCTCAAGCCGTGCAGAGGCCTTTGCTTTGAGAGCATTGCGCGACACCTGGAAGGCGTCGGGATCGAACTGCAGGTGGTCCATGGTTTCACGCTTGATCGGAACCGAGAGCTCGTCGAGGCGCGGGTTGGCGCTCTCAAAGCTGTTCGCTGGCGTCCAGATGGGACTGCGGCACGGTTTGTAACCCACCGCGGTCGTCTTTGGCGCCGCTAGCTCCAGCGTGCGCTCAGACGCGTCTGCCTTGCGAGCGGCAGCCGACACCTCCCACTCGGGCTCGCGGAACGGTCCGGGATTGTATGTCTTGGGCTCGGCGAGTTGCTCAACTCTTGCGGATGCCGTCGCCTTTTTAGCCAGCTCCGAGACTATGCAGTGATCCTGCGGTGTGCATGGAGGAAGCGGCAGACACTAGGCAGTTCAAGCTGTTGTACCCAATCAAATGTGACAATCATTGCGTGTTGCTTTCATGCCATTGGCTCTTTGTAAAGATAGAGTGCCTGTGGTGGGTAATGTGTTGTACGCATGCTAATACTTGTAGACTTGTGGCAAGTGAAATCCCCATTGGTGTACACATGCTGCATGGATGGCCTCTCCGCCTTGATGTCCCGAGTTTTGTCCCTAGCCTGCTCACATAGGGATCATCAAACTTGGCCCAAGGTTCCTAATCGGTCATGTGGAGCGTCAAAGTACTCCCGTGTCATCCTAAACATTGCCATGGTTCTAAATCAGTCCGGATTTCACTTGCCACAGCTGTAAGCATGCAAGTAGTGCTGTTCTCAAGTTGAGTGCTTCAGCATTCCAGTGTCTTGTCACCACCAACACAGTCATTCCAGTGTCTTGTCACCACCAACACAGCCAGTGCAGTGTATACGGTCATGTAATTTCCTTCTTTTCACTTGAACGTAAAAATGCCTTCACTCACCGTTCTTGGGGGCTGGTAGTCCTTGTGCGGTTGTTTAGGCTGTGCCAGCTGTACTGTCCGCTGCCTGCTCTCACTGTCTAGTTGCTGCGCTGCTTGGCTGGTCTCTCGGATAGGAGACACACGGCCACAGCTACCGATGTCGTGCATTTCCCTGTACATGGCACAGATGAGTACAGGGACAGTCCTCTACAAGTACTTCAGTAGATGCCTTGATTGTTTGTACATGTGCTGGCACTGGCCTATATGGAGCCAGTGCACTGCATGTAGTCTACACACCATCACTCAATCTGTGGACAGAACTGCGTGTTCCGTCATTCGTGGACTCGTCAGTGTTGCACAGAGAAAATGAAGCCGAACCTAACACCATTACGTGAAAAGACATGTTTGCACGTTTTCAAATACGTATTGCACACATACCTTTGCTGCCCATCAATGAAGGCTTTCATCTCTGTCTTGGGCTGCGCCAGTGCCTCTACTCGCTGACTTGCCTCGGCCTGTTTCGCCGGCCCACTTACATGCCAAATGGAGGACTCCCTTCCACAGCTACCAACGTCAAACTCGGGTCTTTGTGAGATTGTAATACACATGTAAGAACACACACACACACACACACACACACACACACACACACACACACACACACACACACACACACACACACACAGATATAATAGGGAGGTTTAGTCCCACGTAATCGGTGGGTACTTTACGTGTGTGTACCACGTGATACTCAGTGACCCAAGTACAGACGTTTTCTGATTCACGACATACCGTGTATGGAGGCTCACCCATGTTCCGCCAGAACGTGGGTGAAAATCAGAATAGAGCGCATTGTGCGAGCTGTGAGAGTGTTCAGCTGAAGAAGTTTCCGAAGCACTAAATCAAAATATTCGATGAGCTTCTAAGCTTCGTCTTTGACCAAGTTTGGGCCTTTCGCTTCATGCTTTTGTTTGTTCCGTGTGACTAAACACAACATTGCAAACATGGGTCCATTGCAGGAACTTTACGTGTATCACCCACGTTCCCGTATCCGTTACGTGGGACTAAACCTCCCTAATACACACACGTTCCTGTAACATTATTGGTGAAGCCAGTAGGCTGTGCTTCGAAGCATACAGATAACGTAAGGAGGTAACAGAGCTAGGGTGCTCCAAAGGTACTGACAACTAAATACATCACCATGATATTTATTTACTGTAACTCGGGATGAGAGGTTAGGAGAAGGGCCATGGACTGCAAGACACGCCTTTCACCTCTGACACAGGAGAGCAAACAGTTGACACGCTATAAAATTGACCAGGAATTCATACTTGCACAGGACACAAGAGAGAGAGAGAGAGAGAGAGAGAGAGAGAGAGAGAGAGAGAGAGAGAGAGAGAGAGAGAGAGAGAGAGAGAGAGAGAGAGAGAGAGAGAGAGAGAGAGAGAGAGAGAGAGAGAGAGAGAGAGAGAGAGAGAGAGAGAGAGAGAGGAACTTGTACAGTATACATGTAGTACATGTATGACGCCATAATGCGATGATGTGGATCTACATGCACATGCACACAAATACAATGCCACATTGGGCAGCAGCTTACGCATGTAGCGCTGGATTTTGAAAGTCTTTCTTCGGCGCAGCCAGGCTGCAGGTGCGTTGTGATGGCGAGGCCTTGAGCGCTGCGGGGTTGATGGCGCTGATTGGCGTTTGGTTACCCCACACTATGGGATTCCTGTGGCAATAACGATAATGTGGAGAGCAATGGTCCCGTGGTAAAGAATAAAGATGCCTGGGGCTAGCCGTGAATTGTAATATTGCCAAGCAGGCAAGTATGCTGCCTCAGCAGCCTGTACCAGCAAAACATCCCATTCAACTTGATAATTCTGTCTTGGAAAGTACAGTCATGTACAATGTTGAGCACAGCAACCACCGAGGAGTTACAGCATTCAGGGAGGTGATGCGAGACCATAGTACGAGAAAGAATGTATGTATGTTTATACCCTGGATTTGGAACTTTGTTCTACACGACCCATAGACAACGCAACTCGCAACCGCGCCGTACGTGACCTGCTCACCGCAAACGTGAACCGGACCAGTAATGTCAAACAGAGCACGCGTAACTGAATTGGCCCTGCCCCAAGGATGCACTCACTGGCACACACACAGCCCGGGAGCGAAACCCACCCGCGTGGGTAGTGCAACACTTACGGGAATGACGTCAGCTCAACTCGCATCGATTGCTTCGGCACAGATAGCTCCTGAGCTCGTTTTCTGGACAGGCATATTCATTTACAAAACAGAACATGCGTGTACATGAACATAGTTATTGCACACAATCCTGGGTACTGTACATATGAGCACACACAAACACGAATACACAAGTTTGGCCTAAAGGTGCGGCAGTCATACAATACTCACTTACTTAGTAGCATGTTGGATAGTCGGTAACAGCACAGCACCCACCCGGACCAGCTTCACCGTACTCAGTCTAGACCATGTACTCAGTCTAGACCATGTACTCAGTCTAGACCATGTACTCAGTCTAGACCATGGCATGTATAGTTGAACATTACGGTGTACAGTTTCAGGCCATAGCAGTCAATCTGGCCAATCAATGGCTGAACCTCGATTTTTGACCGAATTGACCCACTCAACTTGTGCAATACCTCGACTGAGTTGTCATTTTCAAACTGCTTCACCCTGCCGGTGGATGCGCATACATGTACATGATGGAAAAATCATTGCCCATGCACCGAGAGGAGTGGGTACTTTGGGATCCTCCCTTTTACGGCGCACCATGCTACCACCTGCTGCTCAGTACAAGCTCGAATTTACTTGAAGCATAAATCGTGCATGCGCTGAACTCAGTGTGGGTATGCATATGATGCACACTTGTGCCAGTAGTTAGATGCTAACGCAAACTGGTGTTACTTTGGACTTCGAAGCAGGGTGTAACGAGAGAGCTTGGAAGCTCAGGGCCCTACGCTATGCTTTTTTGCCTAGCTCATCATGCATGTTATTAGAGCTGATGGGACTTTCTCTTTGGCCCCAACTTCATTGCGGTCTTATAGTGTTTTACGTCGACTGTGACCATGACGGCTACAATGCCCAACTATACCACAACGAACTGATCGGCTACATCATTGTATTGCAAAAAGTGTCCATCTGTTCGAATAACATGCATGATGAGCTAGGCAACAAAGCATAGCGTAGGGCCCTGAGCGAAAGAAACAAGCAGCTGCTCCGATAGCACGGCGCAATCAAATAATTCTGCATTCAGGTTCTTGCTCAACCTGCGCAAAGTCCAGATTCGAATGCTGATTGACCATGCATTCTTTCAGAAGTCTGCAGTCCGACGTGAGTCTCGTGGCTAAGGAAAGTTGTTCTAAGCGTTTTCACATCCATCAAAATCCATCATGAAGTTTTTGTTAACGGAGGAGTTTTTGAGGACCCTGGCTAGCGCCAGACGTTACTGCACTATCGCCCTGCATGCATTCCCCGATACACTTCGCATACATATATGCCAGGCTCTACAGTCTCTCATTTCTTGGTCGGCTGATCGCTTTAATGCTATACATAATGCTACTATACATACTCATTCTCTTGATGGTACGGTACAGGACAGATACGGGATAGTGCCAGGCGTGACACAAACACACACGAAATTAAAGCTGTGTGGACCCTGGCTAGCGCCAGACGTTACTGAAGTAACGTCTTCTGCATAGCTACATGAATAAAACCTTTTATAATGTTGTAGTACTCCCTGCTTCAAAGTCCAAATCAAGACTACCGTACTGGCAATATATGTTGCCGCGTAACGCGTAACGCAGGGGGGTGCGGCGTAACGCGCGACCAGGCTAGTGCGACAAATTTTCGTTGCGTTCGTAACGCGCGTCCGGCGGGGTGCGGCGATCTTTTCATTGCAAAAAAGGCTGAAAACTGTGAAAGCACGTGTACCGCGTGGTGAAAAGTTCAAAACTGGACGCAGCAGGAGGTCCTGCAATAGCAAAAAAGGACTGCGGCAATATAGAAACCTGTGTAACCAGGGTAACGGCTCCTGTGCGACTTTGCATGTAACGCCCTGCGTGCGGTAAACATGTGCCAATGTAACGCTTCATGGTCTCACTGCGACCATATATATTGCCAGTACGGTATTATTTTATTATTTACTGAGTGGAACTCTGCAAACAAACCATTATGTACTGGCCCATGCACTGTATAAACCAAAAAACAGTATTGCTCACGTGCTAACAGTTAGTACCCCACATTGAGCATAACCAGCTTTCCGGCTCACCTGCTGTACTTCATAGCACGTTGTCCATTGGAAAGGGACCGAGTGGTCCTACCAACAGTGGTCGGTGGGTTACGCAGTGAGCTGGACTGGCTCCTACGCTCGTGTGCTCGTTCCACTGCAAGGCGAGACGTGGGAACAGCATCGTAGTGTTCATGTATGTTATCTAACAGGGGACATCCGTGCTTCTTAGTCTGCCCCAGTCAGGCAGAGCATCAGCATACAACTGATACATGTACTTGGTAACACCGGCCAACATGCAACCCGGAATATGTGTACCGTATTTTCCTGAATATAAGTCGACCTTTTACGACCTAAAAACGGAACTAAAAAAGGGGTAGTCGACTTACAATCGGGGTTTAACTGCCACAAGACCGGGACATTGAGGTCCCAAGTATGGGGCTTCAACACATACGCGAAAAAGCCGTCAAAAGGGAATGCTTCCTCTTTGACGGTTTTTACAAGTAGTTGTCTTATGAGTGCTTGTGCAAGCCGCTCGACACGGATTAACAGCGAGCTTCAAGTGTACCGGGCATTTCCAAAGTTCAACTGTGTAGACATGCAGCATCATGCCGGGAACAGCACTGGCCATGCATCAGTCAGTGCTAGAAATAAATCTCATTTTCAATGCAACTGAATGCCTGTTTCCACCGACATAGATGTGGATATCGTATCAACTAAGAACTCCCATGCATATCGGTCACGGTCATATCAATCTCTCAAATCATATCAGAACCCACACATGATTTCACGCTATACCAGAAATGAAATGTACCCCACACTGGATAGCCAAAAGAACTGGCAAACTTCAACATACATGTAGACTCTTAGTGGTCAAACTGATAAGGATGCTGCATTGGAACTGTACTCAAATCATTCAGAACTTGCTGCATGATTTATATCATCTTTTTTTCTGAATACTGTCAAACGGGAAAGTCTAAACGTTATCGTGAAGCCGGTTTGAGATGTCTGTGTAACGATGCGCACACATCGGTGTATGTTCTTTCCGTTGTACAAACATCGTTAAACTTTTTGCACGTTATCATGCCAAAATTAACTTTTTGGTCGTTAGACATTCCGGTTTTACAGTAGACTGTGCGTACAGTAGACTGTGCGTACAGTAGACTGTGCGTATTAATAAAGGACATAGGTATATTGTTTTGTTCTATCGCTCACCTTCCATTTTGCTCCACTGTGTAGGCTGACTGCAGTCGACTGATGTAGATTGACAGTACACGTATTGTTACAGCTCATCAACACAGATGATTTTCGCATGCAATAGCTGGCCGCGCTATGCCTCCCGATGATCTCGATGGTCTGAATCAGCTTCGTCCAGCTATGAAGGCCTCGCGATCCACAAGAAGGTAAGCCCTTTCCACTCGTGTCAGATAGTCATACATGTATTGCCTGTCGACAGCAGTACCTAATTACTGCCGCGCCAGGTACTGGATCAGTGCTAGGGGCGAACCTAACTCTGCGACACTGTGTTGGACTTGTCCTGGCTTCGATTGCGCTACTCGTATGCGCTAGCGAAGGACGCCGCGTCTAACCCGACGTTCCTCTTGGGTGTTACCACTACCAGTAGTAAGCAAGGGATGTCGAATAATTCACTATTGCCTGAGTATTGGCGATTGGGAGCATCGATCCCTGAAGTATCGACCCATCCCATGCATAGTGGGCATAGCCATATCCGCAATGCTGAACTGTTAGTGTGACCTGGTACATGGTGTCAGAGACTGAGTCGCAGTGAGTGTGAACCATGGGCATGGAGTGGGTCGAAGAGGACACATCAAGTGACCATGGTGACAAGTGCTTGTGGTCTGGTGATCATGGTGATCATGCCGTTGCCTAGCGCTTCACCTTGTCGAGTATCGTGGAGCTTGGGTTAGCTAGCTGGTTAGGTAGGCTGCTTTCATTTTTCACGACTCCCTGGCGGCCTGCACTGACACTGTCACCATGGTCACTCCTGGGCTTGACAATAGACTGTGTGTGCCACTTGGTTAGCATTTTACCGTTCACACCAACTAAAGTTTTACCGTTCACACCAACTAAAGTCACTAATATTTCCACCATCGGTCCGTAGATCTACCGTTTTTTGTTTGTTTTCAAGACATGGTTAGCATTTCGGTTTCTGACCCAACGATCGGCTTGTGACGTCACCCTAGTAGTTGGAATCTTACCGGTTCGTTCTCCCGGTAAACAGAACCTTCTAAGTTAGTTCTATCGTCGAAACGATACCAAACCGACGGTATTTTGGGTGCTGGGTACGAGTACCGTTGGATTTAGCGTAAGCGGAAAAACGCTAACCATGTCTAATGACACGCATGGTACATGCAAGCCAGGCATCTTCGTGATCAAGTGTATGCCATACATACTGCTAGTATGGGATCAGGAGCAGTTGACACGCCGGCGACTGAGTCAATCATGTCTGATGTTCATCTACACAACATTATGTACCACAGTATGATGCCACCTACAATCTTTATGACATACAAACATTTCAATGATGGATGTACAAGTCTCGGTTTCATGGGTACTCTTGATGAAACCAAGGCTGTTTTTACACGAGGCGTTTCAACCTGGGTCAAGTTTCAACTCGCCATGAACACAGATTGACTGGCGCATTTACATGACGCATTGCGCTCGACCCGGGTTGAAATCGTACGACCGTACTGTTGTGCGTATCTCACGCTAGGTTTGAACAGCACTGCACAAGCAAATTTCGCGTAAAAGTATTCACATGACCATACAGGACTCTAGAAGTGGACTTTTGGCGGCATATGGTCAGACCTTGCTAAACCGCACACATCCGTTTTCCACAAAAAATATCCGGATAGGCAAGGGAACCAGAAAATCGAACACCGGCTATGTAGGATGCATCACATATGCTGTTCATCTGTAACCAGTTATTTTCTTCCGGATGGCGAGGGATCCGGATAAAGGAGGACCGGATTAGCGAGGTCTGACTGTATCAGTATTTGACCCGGGTCAACTCTCTGCTTGTAAACACCAACCTAGTTTAGTATTTTGTCTATCGACTTTCAACCCTGGCTGAACTCGACCCGGGTTGAAATTTCTTGTGTAAACACAGTCTAAGAGTACAGTCATGGACACGTACCAGTGAGTTGTATACAACTCCCTGATATATACTACATGTAGCGAACATTTTATGTCACAGTACACTTCATGAGACTTCCCACGCACTATGATTGTACTTTGAAGTACATGTAGTATGAACCTGGGCAAAATACCGCATGATCACCATGATCCTGAATTGTATACACACGTGACTATTGGCTTTTTTTCTCCATTTGAATCATGTGTGGTGTGCTCCTGTGTTTCCTTCCTATTCTCACCTTTTTTTTAGCTTGACTTGATAAAGATATTGTGTCAAGTATGAACCTGGGAGTATTACTCCTTCTCAGTCAGGCCTCAGGCTTCAGTGCAACCGGAGGCTGTAGCAAAGCTGCGTCATCGTTCCTGAAGCGGCTTGGAGTCCTGTCCGAGACAAGCAGAAGGAGCCCTCCTCCATTACGATAGCCTTGGATCTGCTCCAAATTCTCTTTGTCGCCTGCCAGTGTTCAGCTAATGCAAGCCCGGCTCCGGGGTCATCATGCCTTTTCCATCATGATCTGTCCTCAGTTGGATCCACGTGCTCGGGACGCAGCAGTAGTGGAATCGTTGGCTCTACTAGCCTACTACTACTGAGCCACAGTGGTCAACAACTGTCATCACGGGAATCCCAAAAACCGGATCTGAGACAGCTTCGAGTTGTTGACTCGCATGATTTTCCGAGAATGATTGTTTTAGAATTTTGTCATTTGTTCTTGAGGTTTTCCTCCACTTTACTTTGTATCTTGAGCAATGTGTACATGTACTAATACAGTACCACCGGAAGCAGTATTCAACTGGTCTGGTCGTACCAAACCCTTTCATACATTGTGTTTGATATACTCACGGTAAATATACAAAATTTCGGTGCTGCAAAATTTCGGCACTTCGCGATTTTTGACATTTCGGCGGCGATTTATTTTCACCGTGGGGTAGAGGGCATGGTATAGTGCGACAGATGCTGTGAAAAATTTCATCGGCGTTTTAATTTAGGCCGTTTTGGGTTGGTGCCGAATATAGCCGAATTAAATAGCTGCCGAAAATTTGTATATATACAGTAGTGGGAACATAATAAACCCTCTTTAGCAGTAAACATGGCTGTGTTGGTGGCCACAAAGTTGGTCCGGTAATAACCTAACCAATCGGACCAGTTCTGATAGTACCGGTAATTATTATACATTTCCTCTACTCTCTGATTTTTCATGCTCTTTGTGGAACCAAGAGTACATAACCAGAGAGAGAATACTACCATACCATCGCGTATGCATGGCCACTTGTACGGTAGTTGTACGGTCGTAGACAGCTATTATTATTGTAGATACCAGGGAGTAGTACAAGCTGGGGCGGTACAACTTTTTGGGGAATTTTTTGACTGCATTTTTGAGTTTATCCGCAAGGCAGAGATGAAATTTGAAAATATTTTCTGGTGCATATCTTGAGAATAGCCTTCTCTAGCTTCCTATAGTTTTATTTTTACTTTTGGACAAAAATTGAAAACGTTTTATGAAAGGTTCGTGTTATTTTTTCACGGACCTTTCATAAAACTTTTTCAAATTTTGTCCAAAAGTAAAAATAAAACTATAGGAAGGTAGAGAAGAAGGCTCTTCTCCAGAGATTCACCAGAAAACATTTTCAAATTTCATCTCCACCTTGCCGATAAACTCAAAAATGCAGTCAAAATGTGATCAAAAAGACCCCTAAAAAGTTGTACCGCCCCAGCCACCTTATTGTACTACTCCCTACACTACATAATGTAGGCCCTGGTAGATACAACCAGGGAGTACAGTAGTATTATTCCACTCCCTGGATACAACTCAACTCTCTGGCCCCGGCCCGGTGCCTGGTCGTAGGCCATGATTGTCATCAGGGAGTAGTACAATGTACTACTCCCTGATTGTCATGCATATCAGCAAGAGTACATAATTAATGTGTAGTTATGTACTCTTGATATCAGGGATCCTGGGCGTCGTACAAATAAAACCCGGGCTTGTACGACTCCCTGGGGTACGGCCCTACGGGTGCCCTTGGCCTTGCATGACTTGACTGTCCTGTGTACAATTTTGTAATATTTCATGGAAGAAGTCAAAACTAATTTTTGTTTGTTTGACTTGGAGTGAGCAACAGTTACTGTTTTGCTCTCATCTGCTAGCAGGACAAGGGCATTCTAGGAGTAGTTGAGGGTAATTTGTTCTTGAGACAAATAGCCGGAAAATGGCAGCAACATGAAATCTTCACCCAGGCACATATATTTTTCTTTGTATAATCGTGGTGCGAATTTTGAAATAGTAGTCTTAGTCTGAGTTACCTTTGTTGTGGTCGAAGTCATGCTGATATCTGAATGATGCTAAAAAGAAATCTGGCAAAGGTCTCCAATGGCCTTAGGAAGGCAGTCAGCGAGGGAGAGTGGACACGATTGTTTGGGACTGCTCCTGGAGCAAATCACCATGTTTCGTACAATGAATTTTGTCAGAATGTCCAGCTTATCAAGGAACTTATGGCTGAAAATGACCAGGCCATTAGCAGTGACTCGACTGTTGTGCTCAATGGACTCTTGAGTGCTGTTTTGGCTCATGTGACACCTGAGACGGTTTCAAGCACTGGCCATCCTGGACCTTTCTTGGAGAAACTGATTGAGGAGACACTGCTAGAGTTACTTGTTCGTTGGAGCTGCCGCCTATCGTCAGTCATGGAACTGTGGCGTGTACAGCTGCGTTTTTACTTGGTATTGCTCAGTGAATCGTCCCAGCCAGTCTTACAGCAGATGTCCATTGTGCGGCCGCTGAAACGTGTCCTTCAAGAATGTGCACGTTCCCGTAAATCTATTGCAGCGTCTCCAGCCGATGACAGCGGAGGAGTAGACGAAGCATTTGTGCAACTACTGTTGCAGCTGTGCGTGATCATGAACCGGGAAAAGTCAGCACTGGAGCAGTTCCTTGCAGTGGGAAATTCCAGCTTGGGCAGCACGAAAGCTGGCGCCCAGTCGCAGTGTGCTGAGTTTGCCATTTTCAGCTATCTTGTTCCTTACATGCACCACTGTGGGGTGGTGGGCACGCAAGCACGTGATGGATTAGTGCTGTGCCTACTACAAGCAGCTAACAATTCACGAGCACTGTCGTACATCAAGAATGACTCCAACTTCTGCTCGGTAAGATCTGCTGTCAGCTAAGGCGGCTCCTCTAATACTAGTACAGTTGTTTTAAAAGTTAGACCCTTGGGCTTAGGCTTCCCAAGCTGGCGGTATGATGAACCATGGCCGGCAGAACACTCCCGGTAATCATATGTTCTCATGATATTCCATCCACTCCAGGGGCGTCGGAAGGTATTTTAGTGTCGTACGGTCAGCCATTTGAAGTACACAAGTTACTCGTGTGGGGAGGGGTGACTGAGCCGAAATTCTTGGAAATTTAGAGTCTAGATCAGTGTACTTTATTGATTCACTGGGTACCTGGGGCAAAAAGTGGTACGGTCAATACCGTATTGATCGTACCGTCTCCGACGCCCCTGCACTCTCTCTCTCTCTATCTATCTTTATCTATCTACAGTAGACTCGTACGCCCAAGAACGCGGTTTCAGAGGGCCAGCCTAGCAATGTTCTTATTTTTCAGCGCCCCAGGCTACGTTCTTATTTCGCGTTCTTATGCGTCCAACATGACCCGTGACGCTCATGTACAATGCACTTTGCGCTACATGTACCGGTTGTACACTTTACATGCACGTGTAGTATGTAGCACTGCACTGGGTGATGTTTTCGCGAGGATCCGACAAGAGTTTGTGGTTGCGGACTTGTTTTTCGTGTACTCGGACAAGATCATGAAGGAAAAATGTCGCGTTCTTAAAAATCTTGGAGTTCGTTCTTATATCCAGGCTGGAGCGTTCTTAGATTTCCAGCCTGGACGTTTTTGGGCGCCACGTTCTTGGGCGTACGAGGCTACTGTATCTCTCTATTTATCTCTCTATCTATCTATCTCTATCTATCTCTCTATCCCTATCTCTCTCTATCTCTCTCTCTCTCTCTCTCTCTCACTCTCTCTCTCTCTCCTTCCCTCCCTTCTCCCTCCCTGCCTCCCTCCCGCTCTCCCTCCCTTCTTACTTCCCTCCCTCTCTCCCTTTCTCCCTCCCTCTCTCCCTCCCTCTCTTCTTCCCAGGCCTCCTTTCCTTGTCTCTATCAGGTTGGTCTTGGTTTATGGATGTAATATTATGTACATGTATGATGCTTCCTAGAACTTCCTACAAATTGGAATATCAGCTTATATTTTTAATACCGCTGAGAGTTAGGCCTGGCTATTTGGCTATGAATTTTCACTTTACTCTCTCTCTCTCTCTCTCTCTCTCTCTCTCTCTCTCTCTCTCTCTCTCTCTCTCTCTCTCTCTCTCTCTCTCTCTCTCTCTCTCTCTCTCTCTCTCTCTCTCTCCTGTTTGCTCAGATGCTTGGCCTTGGTCTTGGTGGCCTGTACTCTGAGTTGCCTACTCAGCTCAAGTTTTCCTGCGCCGACTGGGGTGATCTGACACCAATGATACCTTTAGTTCCTGGACTGCAGACGTTTGTGCAGTCGCTACAGTTTTGCAATGACGTCATCCAAGTAAGTACTCTTGCACTGCTGCTTTTGTGCAGTTATACACTGTTGGATGTTGAAATCCGGCTTCAACTCTGCTGAGTTGTTGGGCCAACACCCAATGCGTGTAGAGGCTCTCACGATAGGCATCCTTTTGTATTTGGAGAATCTAGTGAATTAGAACTGAATCGAATCGAAATGGTCGGCACCAAGGGACAACTAGCCCTCATGGAAGGGTCAAATTGACTCAAACTCCCTGAGTAGCTAGCGGATATCAGCCTGGGATACCGGTGGCAGCATGTCTTCCCCCTTACTGTAAGAATATTCACCGCACATGCATGGGCTGTCGAGAATCCTGTGCACACAGCAAGCAGGCTGGCGTTGGCTTGAACGTGTCTGCCAGCTTATGGTGCTAGTACTTACCTGATCCTGAAATTGGTGTTATTGTTGGCCACCGGTGCGTGTTCTATGTTTGCTACATTGGGAGGGGAGGGGAGTACCAGCGTGCAAGCACCTTTCGAGTATTTTACCTTTCTATGTGCTGGTAGTATAGGTGTGTGGCTGAAAACATTGCTGGCTGATCTTGTCCCTTGCAGATTGCATTGCCAGGAATATCCTCACAACTGGCCTCATTGATCAGAACGGGCTTCTTTGAGCAAATCTTGGCTCACATGCTGCTTCAGGTAAGCATCGCAATTTTCCTGAAACGTAAAAAGAAAAAGGACCACATGATAAGAATTAGTTGGATTCTTGCAGAGTGGTTGGGAAAAAGCTGCTTGACCACTTTCTATGTATGAAGCTGCAGGAGGTCTCACCACCTTTACTCAGTGTAAACAAATATTGACTTTTTCAACTGCTCAGTGTATTTGCCTGTATTGCGGCAGTGTGGCTCAGTTTGTGCACTTTGTGATGTGATCTACTGTATGTCGTATCTCTGCTTTGATCTCGTGTAGCCTATCACCAAGGACACGATATCAGCCGTAGCATATCTCAATGTCATACTGTTAAGTGTAACTGAGCCAGTGCTACTGTGTGAGCTGCTCAAGTTCATTCTTCAGTACATGGACGACGAGGGAAATCGCTTGCTGCATCGCCTCATAGCATTCATCAACTCAAGAGACTCCCAGGTGAGAAGACCATTCTGAATGTGTAAAGCTGTGTTCACAACTGGCGCGTGGACGCGGTACGCTTGCGGTTCATGCGTGCCCAAACGCGCGTTCAGGCTTTCACAAAAAACAGCAATTCGAGTCGTATTCAGCGCGTGTGACACCTTCGAGTACTAATGTTTTGACCCCACCAGTGAAAGTGACTGGCATGTACGCTGGTACGCGCCTGATACGTGCTGAAAATTCCAACATGTTGGAATTTCCATTTCGGCGCGTTTCCGTACGCATGGCGCCCCAAAAGCCAGCAAAAATACGCACAAACGCGTGGTTTCACCCGTACACGCGCCAGTTGTGAACACAGCTTAAAGGGGAAGTTAAGGCTAAAATCAATATTTCACCAGTTGTAGTCTTCGGGGTGCTGAGTCGAATGGTCGTGGTCCGAGGAAGCTGAGACGCTCCCTTCCTACTTTAATCCCAATCGAACTCGCGCACTTCCACCGAAACTGGGTGACTGCGCCCTACTAGATGGGGATTTGTATGCAAAATTTCACTAAAAGCGCCATTTCGTTCTTATAAAAGCACGGATGACCGCGATTGGCCCATATGGCCATATGTTGTAGTCTTTTGGACGCTGAGTCGACTGGTTTTGGTCCGAGAAAGCTGCGATGCAGCGTTCCTCCTTTATTCCCAATCGAACATGGTTGAACAAGCGGTCACGTGCTCCTGCGTGCCCAAGTCACCTGGTCACAGCGCCAGCAGGCGACAACTTTCACACCAAGGTTCAACTCGAGTGACAGGACTGCACCCGAAAAAGGTCAAACAGGCTGTAAGTTGTACCCTGCAGGCACGGTGACCAGGTGACTGGTGTATGCAGGAGCACGTGACCGCTTGTTCAAGCATGTTCGATTGGGAATAAGGGCCGAACGCTGCATCGCAGCCTTTTCGGACCAAAACCAGTCGACTCAGCGTCCAAAAGACTACAACATATGGGCCAATCGCGGTCATCCGTGCTTTTATAAGAACGAAATGGCGCTCTTAGTGACATTTTGCATACAAATCCCCATCTAGTAGGGCGCAGTCACCCAGTTTCGGTGGAAGTGCGCGAGTTCGATTGGGAACAAAGGAGGAAGGGAGCGTCTCAGCTTCCTCGGACCACGACCATTCGACTCAGCACCCCTAAGACTACAACTGGTGAAATTTTGATTTTAGCCTTAACTTCCCCTTTAACTGTTGTCTGCATATCCTTCCCTCCTTATAGAGTGGTTTCACATCCTTGTCATGTGACTCAATTTGTGTAGAAAGTAGTCATGGCATGTGGACAGTGGATCCAACATGGCCGACATCATGTGACCCATAGATGCAGATGTTGAGTGGAGTTGGAACTACATGTACTGTAATTTCACAAATGTTCGGTGTACTTTTATTTTCGGTACTTTCGGTGCGTCTGTTTCATACCTAAAATTTCAATACACCGAACAAACACTAACACACATAATCCGATAGGGAACTGCTTCTCTGTACCAAAAAATTCTGTTCACCTAACCTGGCCTGTTGCCCTCATACCGAACATATTGAGCACCGAAAATTTCTGAAATTAGAGTATGATTGTGGTCATGTGCAACAGCTTTATTGTCTAATAGGGGGGGGGAGAGCTTTGGTGTTAGGAATGTATTTGATTGTTCTTTTGAATCAGTGGCGAATGAGAACTTCTCACTAGTCTGTGGCTCAGTGTCATGTTGTCATGTCTTTCTGCTCGTTTCTTTGCTGCAGCTTAGTAACGTTGCACTTTCATTGTTCATCTCCCTGCTTGACTTGAACTGCGAAGATGTCATGTTGGAGTTGACATTCAAGTAAGTGCGACACCATCCCCTTTGCCTAAGACTTAGCTTTTGAATATCTGTGAGATGATGGGGCCAGGAGAAGAGTTAGTCGCAACTGGTGTAGCTCGTCACACTATGGCGAAGCCTGTTCGCTTTCCTCTCTTTCCACATGGTAGTATAGTCTGCGCTTATCAATGCTCTGTCCATTCCTAGTCTTTTACCCTATTGCACGGACCTAATCAGCAGTCTGGCTACCCCGCGAAATAGCTGGCTGCATTGTCTTTCTCTGAATGGATTGTTCACTATCATCTGAGTAAACTTGTTGAGAAAAGCTCACTTTGGTTTATGCTCATGTTTGTGTAGGTATCTTCTACCGGGAGATCACGTTCAGCCTTCTCAGTGGTCGCTCATAAGCCAACCAGACTTGTGCAGTGAATCAGCAACACGATTCCTTGTGCTGATACCGTCTTGCTGCTGGCACGGGGAGCAGCTGTATATGGAGGTTGCTCAGAAATCCTTTGCTGAAAAGCTCGCAGGTTAGTTATAGTTGGCTTGTCTTGTTTAGGAGGATTTAATATGAAGAAAATGTAGAGGGATGATAAGCATTGGTAAGGATGGTATTTTGATGGTGCAAAATAAGCAGATCCCCTTCTTTGTTTCAAGGATAACTACATGTCTACATATATCAACCTGACCCTCGTCTCTAGTCGTTCGTCTCCTCTTCTTTTTTCCCCGCCTCTTGTCTCTTGTCTCTCTCTCTCTCTCTCTCTCTCTCTCTCTCTCTCTCTCTCTCTCTCTCTCTCTCTCTCTCTCTCTCTCTCTCTCTGTCTTTCTTTCCCCCCAGAGACACTGGGGGTATGGTTATCAGAGGCTTATTCATAGGGCAAATTTCATGAGCCGGCGCTGTAGCTAGCTGCTGTCCGTCTTTTAGGTAGCTGCTGTCCGTCTTTTAGGTAGCTGGTGACCCATCGCAGAACAGTACCATACTAGTAGGTTCTGACTGCTTGGAGATGTCCCTCTCCGGAAGCAGCTGCTGGAGAGACAATCGCCGGGTGGTGGGGATGATAGACTGTATCACATGACCATTTCACTTGACGTTCTAGAGTGAGGCTGCCCCTCTTGGTGTTGTGCCTTGTTAGTATAATTATCTCCAGTACTCAGCACACTGTTGAACTTGCTGACATAGAACATGTGAGGTATTCGGCCTGAGCTGAAGTGTGCTGGTATGTTATGTGATGTGATTGTGTTTGATGTAGCTTTGCGTAATGTCGTCACCCCGTCCCAGTCACCTCTGGGTAGTGTCCTGCAGTCTGGTGAGAAAATGGAGTCACCCTCTCCAGGGAGCCTCACTGGTATATCGGTGGTCGATGGCTACCGGGAATTGCTTGCCGGGGCTCACGAATGTGTGCTCGCTTGCGAGCAGGCCTGTCGGTGCTGGTCAAGTCGCTACAATTCCTGCCACGCGTCGTATCGTCTAGCTGATGCCGTGCCCTTCAGTGGCTGGTCATCGCTGGCTACCACCAGCGTTGCGCAATCGCCTGTGAATGGCCGGAATCCGACCACCGCAGGTGTTGGCCGTAGTGGCGATGATCATGCGTCAAGCAGCGGTGCTACCTCCAACCACTCTAGTGACAGTGGTCTGGGAAGGGGACGTGCGCAAAGTGAGTGTGCGAGTACAAGAGACTGTACGGCAGCTAGAGTGTGCAGCGCTGGTCTTTGCTTGTTGTTCATTTTATCCTGTCATCAATGTTTCTTTGCTAGTATATGCCAAATGACTAATATCCACAGCCTACATGTATGCAGAAGCTACCTTCTGACCAATATGAGATGTTTGATGAAACCTGAATAAAGTGGTACATGTACTCTCTGAAGAGTTGTCCGACGTACAAGCCAAGTTTCCAAAGCGACTTATCTACACGCGTGTGCGCACTCTCGAGCACGCCCGCGCGCTCGCACCCCCCCCCCCCCCACACACACACGCACGCACGGTGTCACATTCTTGTCTGCGTATTGCTTTGTTGTCCATTCTCACGGCAGCAGGTTCAGGTTCTACACTGCGTCCTCGTTCAGACAGCACCGACAGTTGCTCATCGCACGCCTCGGCCTCTTTCCCGACATCGGGGCTGTTTCTGGCAGCCGTACTGGATCGATTAGGAAGCCTTCTCACCCAGGATAGTTATAGCACCCTACTTGTTACGTCTCTGCTCTCTCGCCTTGCCCGATATCCACAGCCATTACTCACGTCCTATATACTCAACCACTCGCTTATGCTGAAAGCTGAAGTACCGTCCTTACATCGAGTAAGTGAAGGCTTTCATCTTGAAAAAGTCAATAGAGTCTAGATCCAGTTATTAGTATAATTGAATACTATATTCACAAGCTTTGACGTCTGAAGTAAACATATTGTAAGACCTGTAAATATAAGGAGGAAGTAAATCTAACGTTTTAACGAGTGACATTTCTTCGTTATAATAAGTTCTGTTGAGGTTGTATGGCCTCATATGTGTTATGTGCAGATATGCCTGACGACTGCAAGATTGTTAACGTATCTTCTCGTTAACCTATGTATCTTGGACAATCGTTAAATTTGCTACTCGTTATACTAACATGTCTTACAGTATGGGGATTCGTATGTTATTCATAAAAGAATTGTTCTATAATTCTCTTGAAGTAAATCTGCTGCTTTGCCTCTACCAGAATAGGTTGGATACCGTTAGATGAAGGCACCTTTTTCAAGTTTGTTTTGACGTGCCGTGTTGTTTCCTACCTTCCAACTCCCACGCACAGGCTGAGCTGATCTTTCTCTACACATGTTGTATGCATTTGCTCATGCAGTATACATCCTGTGTATGTATTTGCTCATGCAGTGTACATCCTGTGCATCATGTAGTTTGTTCTGCTGTTCTGCCTCTGTGAAGACATTGACCAACTTGAAAGACTTGATTGACTCGCTAAACAAGCGCTACGATGACTTTCCGCACTACCTGGCCCGTGCTAGGAAGACCCTGCTGGCGAGGCAGATTCCTGCCGGTACGCCGCATGCTGCCAACACAGTCACTGAAGCTAGCACACCGGGACGGCTCGCGGAATCTCCATTTCCCAATGCCTCAACTGCTGCTGCTGGTCTGAATCTGTAAGAAAGTCGCGTGGCACGCTCACCATAATACTTTAAAGCACCCCTTTTTTTAATTACATGTAGGTGTTTGTCTGCAGGCATAAACACTATAGAACGTAATAATGTATGTGGTGAAACCTGTCTGATCTGACCACTCTAGTGATCCCGACGTCGTCTTCGTGTACGGTTGGTCCTAGCCAGGGTCAAGTGTCTGGAGAAGTCACCCTTCACTGGGTGCTAGAGGTGCTCGCCTGATCAGAGTGGTCCCCCTTGGCAGCCTTTCCGTAGGGTGCCCGCACAGGCTGATTGACCTGTAACCATCAGGAAAGAAATGTGTGCTGTGGACAACGTTGTCCTCTGTCTTTTCGGTGTAATCTTACACCACGGTTAACAATTTTATGGGGCTATAATTATTGTGGAATTGTTGGAAAAAGATAATTACAATTTCACAGCGGCTGACCCATGGTTCAATCACAGGCCCGCTTCGCCGCTTGTGTGTGGCCCTAGTCACTGACTCTCGACCAGTCTCACCTATCATTGTGAAGATATCCTTGAATTCTATGTTCTCCGTACAGCTCATGCATTGGACCTAATGTTAGCTTGATAACCATGGCCTAAACTATCCATGAGCTGTTTGTGTTACCGTTTGCTTGTGTTGCATGCGAGCGTACACAATGCATCTGAGCTTACACATGGCTTTGCAGAAGAATTCCTGACATCTCGTTACCTGCTGGAGGCAGAACATTTTAATTTTTGAAACTCATGTACCTGTACATGTACATGGCCGGAACTTGGTCACTGTGGCTTGCGTTCTATGCTAGCAGTGACCAAAAAAGCGACCAGTCCCTCTGTATGAGGTTATGTGAATGACTTCATAGCGTATGAATGATCCAGCTCTGCATAGGGTCTTGGTCGAGCGTAATCGGATCTTCTGATGTCATGCTTACACTCCACACCAGCGCAAGGCCGGTCTCGAGGCAAGGCACCGTTGTTTTTGATCAGAGAGTACCCGCGACTTTCTGAGTTCCCCTCTCAGATGTGTATGGTATTATGACGCAAAGATCCGATTACGCTCGACCAAGACCCTATGCAGAGCTGGATCAGGCATTGCACACTCTGGAGGGTTATGTACTCTTGGTATTACCTTACCGACCAGTGCTTGTGGTGTCATTGTTTTGCTACTCCGTACAAAGTGTCTCAGATGATAAAGCACCCGCGTCACCTCCTTAGTAAGACTTTTCCTACTTACTACCTCTGGCCAATGTTTTATCACAGGCACACGGATCTAGCTAGCGGTGAGCTAGGCCGATCCCCGAGAACGACATCCGGTTTGACTTCATCCGCCGTGGCCATGGATCGTAGCAACGTTCACTCCTCTAAGCCATCAGGAAAGAAGAAGCGTCCTGCCGCCCAGATGCTGTTCAGTATTGTGATTCTTCACGAGTTCTTGAAGGAGATGGCCGCCATTGCCCAAGAACAATCTCTTCTACACTATGTTATGATTGAGTAAGACACTGAAACTCGACTGTGTTTTTTTAGCACTACCATACCAGTCTGGAGTGTCGTCAAACTCTACCAATCCATACTATCCGTGTACCCACTACACTCAGAAAACTATATTTCATCCCGTCATGAAACCTGCCACCCAAGCTGGCAAGAAACAATTTTTAAAGCGGAATATATTTTATCGGGCCAGTTGAGTTCCTCCTTTCTTTCCATTTTCTAGTTGAGCTTCCTGATTATGCTGCTGGATGCTGTGCATCATTTCTTGCTAGGCAATGTGTTAGAGTGTATGTGTCTGAGTGTGTGGTGTGTGTCTATATGTGTCTGTCTGTCTGTCGGTTTGTCTGTTGTTGTTGAAATTTTATTTTGTATCGCAGACCGAACGGGCAACTGTCTGTCTGTCTGTCTGTCGATTTGTAGTGCTTGCTCTGAACATGTAGCCAGTAGCTTAGTACATAGCGGTGTGTTTGCGTGTGTGTGTGTGTGTGTGTGTGTGTGTGTGTGTGTGTGTGTGTGTGTGTGTGTGTGTGTGTGTGTGTGTGTTTCTTCTCAACCTGCTGGAACAATTTGAATAGTCTAGTCTCCGCTCTGCTTGTTATTGCTGGTGCTTTTTTTAAACAAATTTCTCATGCAATTAAACTGTTTCATTGTATTTGGGTGACCTGAATAAAATATTTGACCCAATACAATACAACTGGTGCCTGGTGTGGTGTGCTGTTAGCAACTGAGCATGCCACTTTGGATAGATTCAGTACAAAAAGTCATGCATGTACTGCTCGATGAAATGCGAGCAGTGTGTGTCTGTTAGCACCAGGTACTGGACAGACCCCAGGCAGCCCTTTGAACACTGGGCCATGCAGTGGCGCGGGGTGCTTTCTGCCTTCTTGTATCTGTGGGCTCGGATTTCATCGAATATCGTTGTAGTAAACTATGCTACAGTCAAGGCAAATCAAATCTAACCTTGTGAATACCGCTGAGCTACATTCACTGCACCGTGTGGGGGTGTTTGTAATGCTGTCGTACATGTAGGGCCATGCAGCCCTGCTGGCCTGGTGGGTGTCATGTTCATGAGGCTCAATTACATTCGCCATCACATATTCACTGTACATGTACTTGTACAATGTACACATACACTCTCAGTCTGTTTTTGGGAGTCTGCAACTAATTTCCCTGATTTGTCTTCCTGGTGCTCCTCCGGTTCTTGACGGTGTTCATTGAAAGCTGTACAGGTACTCTTGCAAGTACGTTTACCTGGTGTGATCATTGTCTTCTCATACAGCATACACCTACCTGACTACTACGTACAACTACCTGACTACTACATACACATAGCCAGGCTTTCTAGTATCTAAAAAAACAATGCTGCATATGGTACTCAAGTACATGTAGTTTAAAAGTTGACTACGATGTCCAACATTGGCCGGATTTTTTGGCGAATATGCATGTGTAGTACGTGTAGTAGTACCGGTAGTACTCTACATGCACAGTCATGTAGCTGCTAAGTACTCGTACACGACTGTATCAAATACCTTGTGTTGGGATGGGACCAGTCAGAGAAGGTTACTTGCGTGCAGATTCAACTCCAAGGCGCCCATCCCGACCCCTTTCTTCGTACAATCATGGTAGATCTAGTCATTGTAGTTTGGGTAGATCTACGGATGTTGCCCAATAGATCAATGATCTGTCACTTCTGACGTTCATTGACACTCGGCGAAGATCCGTACTGCCGGCATGCTGGTTAGCATGGTAATCATGGTGATAATTCTGCGAGAACTCTCATTTGAATCCGGAGTTTCTGGACTAAACCGGTCCTGCGTATCCAGTGAATATTCAAACCGCAATGGTCAAAATGACAGGCCTTGGCTTCAGATTTCACAGCGCGCGATCGCCATTTCACTGGACCAGTACAGTGCAGGTACAGTAGTACAGAGTACAGCTGTGGGTAGCGACTTTTTCGGTTTTCTTCCACTCATCTACAACGGTACTCGGTAGAGCAAGTCGACGCCAAGGACTTAGGTAGGATGTAGACCATCTGATCTACATGTAATTGTTCTACGCAGCTGCATACAGCCAAGAAGCAATCAAAGTTCAACTGTTCGTGTTGTTGGTGGTTGGGACCTTGAATCTCATCGAGGCTCAGCCTCTCCTCTCAGCTTGACGACGGTGCCGCCTCTTGCGGCCTGGAGGGAGACAAGGCGAGTTACTACCGAGAGTATAAAATATCTTTGAGCTGTGCGAGGGCTACTGCCGACGGGAACGCCAAGGTCTGGCGAGTTGTTTATCGTCCGGGCCACGGCTGACGAGCGGGCTTGAAGCTCTGGAGAATTTTTAGCTCCGTGTGACCTGTAGTCCTCCGAGGTTTCGTCCCGGACAGCCTCTGGAGAACACATCCTCGCCGACCAGTAGGTCGTCTTTGGCCTCCCACATTCTGTTTCGCGCCTGCGAAAGCATCGAACGCAGCTCCAATATGTCGGAGCGAAGATCCACAATGAACAACGACAAGACGACGACAGCACCATGCTGCTCAAGCCTCCGGGCGCTACCAACTGGACGACGTGCATCTCGCACTGATCACACCGCGGACGACGACAAGCCTCGGCTTAGAAGAAGGTATGTTGAGTGCGGTAATGCTAGGGTCCGTAGCTACCACCGGTAATGGTATTGGGTCTTGCTTGTCGAATTGGATGATTCCACCCGCCCCTACCCCTTCCATTGCTTGCTGTTTCCCCTTTGAATAACAATCCGGTCCGTGGGCAGGTGTAAACGCACATACCTACAATCTCTCTTTCTGCCCAGTGTGGAGTCTTTCATTTTGAGAGGAGGATCATGATAGCGATTTTCCGCTTCTAATGGCCCCATTACAAACACGGCGCTTTGCAAAATGCTCGGGTATCTTGGTCTACTTGAGTTCTTCTCTGTAGCCTTGTATGGCGATCAGGACCCCAGCATACATAGTTGCACGTTCCGGTCGCTTGCTAACCTGTTCAATGGCAATGTTGTTGTGGGTGGATGTGCTGGACCGCCACTGTGAACATGGTGAATGTTCCCTCTCATTCTCATTCCCGTGGCTAAGGGCAGATGTAGCTACTGCACGCGTAATCAGAGATGATAGGGTAGAGATGCACTGCGGGGCCAGGGTGTGATGCAAATACTGGTGTTGGTCAATTGTCTGTAGGGGTTGTCCAGCTCTGACTTCATTCAAGTTCATTGTCGCTGCTTAGAGCAGACATCAGTGCCTGGACTGGCTAGTTCTTACATGCAATCGTCTTCACAGAAAAAAGTTCGTCATTGCCCTAGCCGTATGCCGCTGAACTAACAGAATCTCTTTCACAATGGATTAGCACTTTGAAGTAGAGCCATGTCGGTTAGACACACCTAGCAAAATGTATTCATCACATTATTCCATGTGTTCATTGTGTGTGTTTGTGCTATTTGGGTACTTGTTCAGACACACATTGCACCAGTATGCATTGACAGCAATGCTACTACTGCTGCTGCTAGTGCTGCTCCCGGCAGTACCCATGACACGTGGACAGACGGACTCGGATCCTGACCCGCAGTGCGCAACGCAGCTGAGAATACCGTTTAGGATCAACGACCTGAACAGTATCAAGAGTGTCCCAGTGTGTACGCAAAGGGAAGACTGCTACTTGACGTATCAGTTCGATGCCATCGAAGACAAGCTATTCAACTCCATCCTGGCCAATGATTTTGGACAGCTGGCACTGAATTATACACGTGACAGTCGCGCTCCGCAGCTGGTTGAGTTCACTACATTTAACCTGAACAACGGCACTTTCCGCCTGATTTTTGACGAGGTAAGTGCTCACAATCATACGGTATACCGTGTACTACATGTGTATGGCCATACTAGTACCCAGAGTGTGCTGATCATGACTCCTAGCATTGTGATATGGTAGGTGAAGTCCGGATGCCTGGAATTCGACTTTGATTTGCCGCCGGAAACTTCCCACTATCCAGATGCTCTGTTGTCCGTGACCTCTACGAGGTCCCCTTTTGGCCGTGTGTGTATGTGTGGGTTTGTGACCTCTACGAGGTCCCCTTTTGGCGCTGTGTCCGTGCGGACCGCGCAGGTTGCGCCACTGTGCGGTGCTTGTATTTGTGTGAACTTCATGTGTTGTGCCATGTGTGACTGCTGTACATGCTTTACTATGCTGGGTGCAGGTGATCAATGCCTCCACAGTGAACCCTTCGAGCATCACACTGGGCGACTGGTATGGACCGCCGCAACTCACCGCACAGTTCAACCTCACCGGTGGTGAGCCGGTATTCACCTCGTTCTCGACCATCTCGACGGCCGTGGAAATCCAGATGACAACGGCCGACCTGAACCGACTCAAGATCGAGGCGAGGGTGTGCCAGAATCCACGCTCGTGCTGGGTCCAGTACACGGACGCGTTGCTGCGGGACATGGCCGGAAACAAGGTGAGGCGCACACACACATACACACACACACACTCACACACTTGTCCTTCCGTGGGGTTTTGCATTCTAGTTGTCAATTTTGAAGATCATGCTCTTGCCTTTATTGACCACTCATCCTGATGTGCATATGCGTGACTGTCCACTCGGGCCATTCTGGATTTCTTTGATAGTAGCAATGCTGTGAGCATTGTACTCGTACAGTACAATGACGATTGTACACACTGGTGTGGGTCCATGATAGTGCAGTGAGAGTGTACAGGGGCGTCACAGGGATATGGGGAGTGGTATGACTTGGGGGCGCGGGGTATCCCCGGCGGGAAAAAATCAGATTTTTCGGTCAACAGGGCACGTTTTAGCGCTCTACATGCGCTCTGGGCAGACCAACGTTGACGAAAAGCGGTATGACCATGTTAAAAGGTATTCACTTGCAATGGTAGAGTGCTGCTACACAGTCACACATGAATACCACCTTGTCACATGACTGCAGCATTTGTATACTCTAAAATGGTCACACGCATTTGTGAGTAATCAGCGTCATGATTCCTTTGTGCTGCCGGTGGTGTTCTCCATCCTCCCCGGTCTTGGTTAGGTTCATCCTATTGGTGATCTGCTGGCTTTCAACACAACACCACAAGCGCAACTCTACGTGGTTGACGTCACAAGTCCCAAACTACTGTCTTTCTCACTGGATCTTGACACAGATATTGTGCGGCTAACGTTTGACGAGACCGTTGACTCATCATCTGTAAGTTTTACTTCGAAGTATGCTTGTCTGGAGCCGTGATGCAGCTATTGCAGTATTGTTGTGATGAACCGAGGGCGTGTTATGTGCTTAGCTAAGCGCCCATTCTGCATGTATTTGCGGTCAGCGTGAACATGTATTGAGTCTAATGAAGTAGCATGATGCATTGTCGCCAATCTGTGTGCTGTACCTCATTTACCCAGCGTCATTCTGTGGAATTCAACTCGATCTGCGTGAACAGGGCAGTGTCTTTCACAGCTTAGGCTGTTGTGTGAAGATGCACCTAGGTACATGTATGTTCAGCTTGACTCTCAGTGCTAAGATCTTTCTGGCAATGAGTTTCTAACTTTTTGCCACCGTGCTGTTCAACTTTTTCTGCTCCCATTCCGCCTGTAGGACAACATTCGAGGCTTGACATTCCACAGCTCTCCATATCACAATAGTACGTCTGTGGTGCTGGATGGCGAAGAAAGGAAGCTGACTGTCATCGACGATCCGGTATTCTCGTTTGTCCTGCTGGAAGTCGACGCAATTCAACTCAAGGCCGACTTTGGCTTGGGCACGACCGTCAACAATACCTACATCACACACTCATCTGCGCTGATCTCAGACAAGTAAGACCCGAATACCCAAACCATCTATCTGTTGACTACACCCTCTATAAAAACACTGGCTCTTGTTTTGGAACATCTTTTTTGCACGTACTATGGACACGGCATGTGTTTTCCACCATTTTCTCATGATACAGCATATTTCATAGCTTCTGCCTGTATGGTAGTAGGCTTGCTTTGCCACTTTGTAACTTGTGCATGCCTCTATGGCTTTGCTTGTGCTTGTGTATGCACAGATACACAAATCGTGTGGTCAACAGAACAATCGGCGTAGATGCTGTGCAGGCTAACGCTGTAGAAAGAGACGCTACATCCGGTGACCTCTCCGAGTTCAATGAGTTTGACTTCAACACGGGAACGTTCACCATAACGTTCTCTGAGCCCGTGGATGTTGATACGTTCAATGTGACTTTCATCACGCTGCAGGTAGAGCTTTTCAGCTTGTCCTGATGTCAAGATGAGAATTCATTGTACTGTGTGGCCTTGTCTGCTGACAGTTTAGCAAGTTTCTGCATACATTTAGGACTTGGTGACCAGCCAAGGCACCACGAGCACTCACAGTTCCCATCAGGAGTCAGCCCATCATAGACACCCCATGAATAGCACACATCCTGATGCAAATCATGATTGGACTCTTTTCGTCCTATGGCCGGTGGAATGTAGGGCCATTGTCTGCAACTAACAGCATGCTCATTGTACGCTATGTCGTCTGCTCGTTATCTGTTTACTCTCCTCTCAGAATGCTGCAACTCCAACGACTAACTTCACCTTGACTGGCGGAACTGTTGCCTATCAAACTCTCGGTGGATTGATCACGACCGACCGGCGCAGACTTGTCGTTTCCATGAGTGACGATGACTTGGAGGTGTTGAAGCTCAACACGGCTATGCTGAATAGTGAGACAGACACGTACCTCTCCACCGAGTATGCTGTCGTCTCCGACGCCGCCGGGAATCCAATCAATGCCCTGGCAGCACCCAAACAGGTACGGTAGAGTAGCATTATTGTGAGCACGATAATTATATGGTTGTAATTGCTGGTTGTTGAGCAGCTATAAACATTGCTGCTGCATGAAGATTACCTCGACTATCTTCAGTCCCCGTGTACTTTTCACACGCTGTCTCCAATGGACGCTTTCCATTGTGCTCTTTTCCACCGGCAGGCGTTGTCGTTCACAGTCGACTCCAATGGCCCACAGCTGTTGAACTACACGCTAGACCTAACAACTCGCCAGTTGACAATGACTTTTGATGATCCAGTGGATGTGTCCACCTTGGACACCAGCCAGCTCACCTTTCAAGGTTAGTTTGGTCTTTCTTACAATGAGTTACACACTGAATTCAGGTCAAGATGGCATTCACCCCGAGCTACGGAAAAGTAGAAGAAGCCATAACCATATTCATGCACCAGTGCTATAGTGATTGTTTATCTCACATCTCTCCAGTAGTCTGCATGGAGGAGTCACTCAGACCTCTCTATGTAGCCACTTTCTGGAGACTTAGTAGTGCTTTTCATACAGCGTGTGGTACATATTTCAGTTCTTATGCACGGGGTATGTCAGCGTTGCGTGAGGAATTGTGCAGTGTTGACTCTTGAGCCAGTCCGTGATGCAGGCATGCACATGAGGTTTTTCTGTCCGCACTCCATCAATTTATACAATCATGTACACAATGCACACAATCATGTACCCATGTGCTTCTAACCTCCTTTTGTTTTAACTTGCTACGTCCTAGTTAGGAAGACCGCCGCGTACATGATTGCTGTACATGCTGGCTGTGTGGCTGGTGCAAGACTACTCTCCATACTCCATGATTTGTGTGGCGTTCCATGTCACTCATTGCCAGTATCCTACCACAAAGGACCTTTGTACTATGTTCTATTCTGTCACTGTGCTTTGCAGGTAGCAGGACCCTAGCGGCTGCAGGTGGCAACACGTACACCATCAAGGATCGTGCAACCACCAATAGTTCTGATGGTTACAGGATCGTCCTGCTGCTGACACAGAGCGATGTGAACGGACTACAGGCGCTACCCGGACTGGCAACGGATACTAACAATACCTTTGTGTCAGCCAGTTCTGGATTTGGTTCTAACAGCCGACGTGCTACGTTTGAGGCGATTCCCAATAACAATGGCCTGCGGGTGAGTTTCCACTGCTTCTGCTGCTACTGCTGTTGAGTATCTTTGCATAATAGAGCAGTCACACTATTTCGAAGTTTGATTGTAGCTGCACGGCATGTTCTTTTTAACAATATTTTAAACATGGAAACTGTGTCAGGGGTGAAGAAGGGCCAGGCATTATGCAAGTGTGTGTATGTGTTGATGGGTGATACATGAGCTGCTGGGTTGTGGCACCCGGTCCGGCCTGTCCAGCCATGGTCGGACCTTATTTCGAACAAAGTTGACCAGCCCAGTTCGTGCAAAAAGGTTTTTTTCTCACTAATTCTCATCCTGGTGAAGTATCCCATTTGCCGGGCCGGACCACCTGGAATCCCCGGATGCTTCGGCCGTGCGCTGGCTGCAATGCTGTTGTTCTTGGGCGTCTTCTGTCCAGGCGAGCGCTGTGTATGCGGATACTATTCGACCCACTTTGGTCTCGTTCCGAACGGACATGACTGCCGAGACACTGACGATGGTGTTCAGTGAGGTTGTGAACGCCTCTCAGCTGGACGCCACACAGATCACGCTGTATGAGTCAGCAGACAACACATCACGCTCTTATCCGTTGACTGGCGGGCAGGTCATTAGTGGCTTCTACTCGGTGGAGGTGAGTTTTATTGTTTATCGAGTTAGCAACTGTGCGACGATGGCAAGTTGTGTTTACTGTGACGTGTAGCTGCATTGTGTTACATTCTATTGTTTGAGTCGGAAGGGGTACTCTGCAGTGCCAGCACCTTGACACTATGATGCCTTTGTGCCTTGTAGCAGCTATAGTTGATATGATGCCACTCTGACTGCATATTCCGGACACTAGGTTGTAGTGTGATGTAGTGTAGCTGTTGCTCCTTGATCCTTGAGAGTGGTAGCGTTTCTGCTGATGTGGAAAACTCAATCTGATTGAGTCTCACACGAGACCGTGAAATTTATATATTATATTTTATTTTGTGTGTAACTGTTTTGTAATTGTGTCTGTATGTATGTGTTTGTGTGCTTCTCCCATTGTTGCTCAGGTTGTGCTTTCAATGACTACAACTGACCTGAATGTTCTGAAGCAGCGTACCTGGTTGGTCACAAGCCAGAACGACACGTACCTGTCCCTGACATCAAGTCTACTGTCGGACATGTGGAACAACGCTGTGGTGCCAGTTGAGATGCCACGCGTCGGTACCGGCTTCACGGAAGACAGCACACCACCTACACTGGACCGGTAAGGCTCTTCACTGTGACTGTGACCATAGGCTATGTAGCATGTGTGATCATAGTATGCTGCAGTTACTAGTACTTTGCAGAGCTGGAAACGCTTAGGTTAGTTGCTTGGCATCGCTGGAAACGCATAGGTTAGTTGCTTGGCATCGCTGGAAATGCATAGGTTAGTTGCTTGGCATCGCTGGAAACGCATAGTTTAGTTACTTGGCATGGCTGGAAACACATAGTTTAGTTGCTTGGCATGGCTGGAAACGTAAAGCATACATGTACTGTAGTAGTCACTTGGCAGAGCTGGCAATGACATGCATAGTCTTTGCTTGATGAGCTCAGATGCTGTGGTTGTTACTTGAACATACACAGGTAATGATGTTTTATCAAGAGCTCAGTGTTGGAGTGTTGTCCACGTGTCCCGATCTCTGCAGGTTTGTCCTGGATCTAGATGAAGGCCTTCTGTATTTGACATTCTCTGAAACAGTCAACAGCTCCAGCTTTCAGATAGGAGAGCTGGCTATCCAGGAGACATTCACTGCACTGGGTACAGCCGGTGTTGTTCTCAGCCAGAAGAATGCCACGGCTGTGCCGCTCCACATCATCACCGTTGAGCTGTCTGAAGCCGCTTTGAATGCGCTCAAAGCAGACACTCAGGTCAGTGGTGAACTCTGGTGGCAATATGCAAGACGAACTCACGTCAAAGCATAATTTCCTTTCTCCGATCAGCATGAATATAATTATGCTGTTCTCTTCTTGAAGGCTTTGAGGCTCAGATAACGTTATCTCCCTGGGCCCCGGCATGTCTGCTTGTTTGATGATAGCTACACTACATTACGGTGATACCTTTCAATTTGAAACCGTGATGGTGCCGGTGATTGTATTAACTTCTGCTTATTACTCACTGTTGGTGCATTGGTGTTTGTGCAATCCTGCATTTAGTGTCTGGTTTTCAATTTCACTTTAAAATACTTCAACTGTTCTTGTGTGTCCGTCCTGTTATGCTCGCAGCTGGCCATTTCACCCGGCCGAACATACATCCGTGCAAGTCAGCTTGCAGTGAAAGACATGAACAACAACTCACTGACTGCTATCTTGTCCAACGCCGGTCTGCTATCGGCTGATCTGATACCGGATGGCAAGCATCCCACGCTGACATCATACAACCTGAACATGAATTCAGGCTTGCTCATGTTGACATTCTCTGAGATTGTCAACGCCGCCTCATTCGATATTGCCGAGGTTGTGCTGCAAGGAAACGCCAGTGTCAGCGATGACGCTGACTTGATGCACCGACTAACGCCCGGGGCAGCACCAGCAGGAAGCACGAAATCCACAGCTAACGACGTGTTTGTGACCGTGAGTTTGACTACGTGTGTGCTTGATAGGCAGTACTTTTGCTGATAGAGCCTTGAATTATAGACTTAATCGTGAGGTTCTCATCTTTCTTTGTCTTGATCATTAGAGTCACCGTTTTTTCTTCATACAATGTGTGTGGTGTGTTTTTGCATGTGCAGTTGATGACTGTATGCATTTATTTATTCGTGTCCTGGTGCGTGCTACTTTTATTTATATTGCTGTCATTGTTCATTGTGCTTGTAGGTCACTCTCGGGACAACCGACTTGAATGAGCTGAAGCGGCTGACGCAAGTGGCCACAGCAAACACCACAACATACATCTCAGTCAGCAATGCTACGGTCTGGGACATGAACAACAATTCACTGACCGCTATCGGACAGGACGCTGCCAAAAGAGTAAGTCAGCTTAGCTTACCACCATGTAGCCCCAGCTGCCGGTGCTGAAACTGTGACGTTTGCATGTTTTGCAGTTTTTTACTTGTACAGCTCATCATTACCTTCTCTTTTTGCTTAACTCCCTGTTTTGTTCCCATGCTAGTTTGTTAGCCCTGGTAAGGAGGTTTTAGATTATCATATTGGTTGACATGTAATAGTATGGTACTCTTACTTACTTGTTCTCTCTCTTTCTCTTTCTCCTGCTGCTGCTGCTGCATTGTAGGTTCTCTACTTCACGGAAGACATCTTACCACCATTTCTGACCAGCTATGTGTTTGACCTTGACAAAGGCTTGATCCATATGGAGTTCAGCGAGACTGTGGAAAGCGGTACCTTCAATGCCACCCAGGTCACGGTCATGAACAACGTCACGTCAACTCTGGCAACACAGTCCTACACGCTGCGCACCAGTGCTCTCACACAGACCGTCAACGACTCCACGAGTCTCTCAGTCAGACTCAGTGCCTTGGACCTGGACTCGATCAAGTACATGCGCTCACTGGCCACCAACGGCCTGAATACGTTCCTGCGACTCGGCGTGACATCTGTGTATGATATGAACAATAATGTGTATCAGTTCACTATGCAGGCTAAGCCAGCTGCCCAGCACATTCCCGACGGCACCCGGCCGAGCTTGGTTAGCTTCGATCTAGACATTGACACTGCTGTGTTGAGTCTGACTTTCGATGAGCTCATTGACCCTCTTACTGTCGACGTTGACCAGATCTCCCTGCAAAGTGATCTGGCCAGAATTGCAACAACAGCATTTCACAACCTAACTGCTGGCAACTTGTCAGGTCCGGCTCTGTTTCCTGGCCATCCACCCATTCTTAACATAAGTCTTCTGCCCGACATCAACAGGCTGAAATATCTGGACGGGCTGGCCGTGAGCGAGCTGTCAACGTACTTGACGTTTACGCGTAACTTTGTCAAGGACATGGCTACTCTCGACGTTAATCCCGGACTGCAGACATCTGGAGAGGGGGTGACGAACTTTTTTCCGGACGTTACGTCACCACGCCTGACCAATTTTGATTTGAACTTAACCAGTGAGAAGCTAACAATATGGTTCGACGAAACTATCAGAGTGTCCTCGATTGTCGAGTCTCAGATTACATTGCAGGACGCTGGGACAAAGACCACCGAGAGGGAACTGACAACAAGCACAGTGGAAACAACTGACAACGGCTTACAAGCCGTGATCAGTTTGAGCCGCGATGACCTGGACGACATCAAGCTGAACCGAGGTCTGTGCACCACTCCCGACAACTGCTTTCTGTCGTTCACCGGCGAGGCAGCGGATGACATGGCCAGAAACAACCTGACTGCACGTCTTGACGGCAACGCTCTGAAAGTACAAACACACTTTGAGGATCGCACTCCACCTCGCCTTCTGGACTTTGATTTGGACATGAACAATGCGACGGTGACGCTGTCCTTCAGTGAACCCGTAGATGTTCTAACTTTGAACATCAGTGATGTGGTTATTCAGATGTCAGAGTGGAGTAACACCAGCGAGACTCAAGTCCGATTGAGTGCTGGTGCTGGCCCGGAGCTGACCTTCACCACCTCCCCTAACGGCAACGACGTGCTCCTGCAGCTCGGGACTAAGGACTGGTACAACCTGCAGCGTAGGCGTATGCTTGCAACCGGCAGAGCAAATACCTTCATCACCATGGCTGCGAGCGGAGTGAAAGACATGAGCAGACTGTCATTGGTCGCGGTGCCCAACGGTAACGCCACACAGGTGAAGGGCTTCACCGAGGACGAAACCGGCCCTCGGCTGCTCTCCTTCGATTTGGACATGGATACAAACGTGCTGAATCTCACCTGGAACGAAGTGGTGGACGTGTCGAAGCTGAACATTCGTTTCCTGACACTGCAGTCTCTAACCAGTGCACTGCTTGCTGACAATGTGACCGTGTATGAAGAGTACGATCTGACCGTACCAGAACTGCGGCCCAGCAACGATTCTCACATCACACGCATCGTACTAAGTGACTCCGATGCACATCAGATAAAGCTGCAAACACAGCTGGCTACCACATCCGGCAATACGGTTCTCTCAGTGTCACCCGGTACTGTCCAGGACCTGGCAACTACACCCAGAGCAGCTCAAACAGTCGTTCTTGGTGTGTCTGGCTTTCTGCACGATACCACCTCGCCAAGTGTGACCATGTTCAATGTAGACTTGAACAGTGGGCAAATCATTATTGATTTCAATGAGCCTATTGATGTGCAGACTGTCAACTACACACAGGTAACCCTTGTGGATGCAATGACTGGTTCTACAACATCACTGACGTTGCGTGGAGGCTCCTCGCCCAGCGTGAACGGACTGCAGTTTGTCGTAGTGCTCACCACTGCAGACCTGAACGATCTGAAACGCGATACGACTCTGCACCACAACCGGTCGTTTGCCTACATGACTCTGACATCCGCCTTCATCCGTGACATGCTCAACAACCCTCTGTCGCCGTATGGTCCCCGCCAAGCGGCACAGTTTGATGACGACAGTAATCGGCCATCGCTGGTCAGCTTTGTCTTCGACAACGATGCTAGCATGCTGTCACTGCGTTTCAATGAAACTATGGATGTGTCCACACTGCGCTATGACCAGATCACCTTGCAAAGCAGCAGCTCAGCGACTATGCCTGGAATGAGTCACACACTACAGGGTGGTACACTAAATACAACTCGAGATGACATCTTCGTACACATTATGTTGGATCAAGCAGATCACAACGAATTGAAGAGGCTGGAAATCGGCAACCAGGCCGATCGCACTTTCCTCGTCGTAACAAGGAACGCAGTGAAAGACATGAAGAACAACGACGTCCTGCCACTCGTAAACGGTGCTTCAGCTCGCAAAGCAGTGCCTTACATCCGTGACATGACACCGCCGGAGCTGACGGCCTTCTGGCTGGACCTTTCAGCAGAAACACTGTCCCTGTCCTTCTCAGAAACAGTTCGCCGATCAAGCCTGAACACAGATGAAATAACGCTCTTCTCCAAGGATGACTCATACACACTGTCGGCATCCAGTGCATCTGTGAGTGATGATGGCACGTTACTGGTCGTGGATATCAGCCTCTCGGACCTGAATGAAATCAAGAGAAAGCCATTGCTGGGTACAAAAACTGGTGACACATCCATCTCGTTCACGTCACGCATGGTCCTGGATATGGTTCAGAATCCTATTGTCAATCTGACTGTGGCGGACAACTTCAGTGCGCAGAACGTGACCGGAGACAACATTGATCCGCGTCTCAACAGCTTTGAGTTAGACCTGACCACGGAAGAGCTGCGCTTGCACTTTTCCGAAACGGTGAACGCAAGCAGCATTGATACAAGTGCTGTCACGCTGCATTCCATGCATGCAGGCGGTGTTAACTTTACACTGACTGGTGGTGTGGTGGGTAACAGCAGTCACGATCTTGTCCTACAGCTGACCGAACTCGACCTGAACGAAATCAAGAAACTGACTATGCTAGCAACAGCAGAAGCCAACACCTATCTGTCCTTGACCAGTGCCTTCATCCGAGACATGGCCAGTAACAGTATTGTGGCCGTTCCCGCTAACAATGCCACCGCCATTGCACCTGGCACGTTCACAGCGGACGGCATTGCTCCTGAGCTGCGCAGCTTCAACCTGTCCATGGACTCTGGCATCCTGACGCTTAGCTTCAGCGAAACTGTCAATACCAACTCTCTTGGCCCGCAACACATTACGCTTCTGAACAGCTTGAATGGCACCACACAGCTTCAACTGTCTCCTGGCACCAAGCTAAGCACAGACGGTCCTGTTCAATCTGTTCTGCTCACGCAGGCTGATTTGAATGTGATCAAGAGTCTGGATGCACTGGCTGTGTCCCAAGACACCACACATCTGTTCTTTGCTGCCGACTTGGTTCAAGACATGAACGGGAACTCTATTGTAGCGACCGATGCCGGCACATCCACTGACGTTGATGATTTTATCCCAGACACAACATCACCAAGTCTCGTCGATTTTCATCTGGATTTGAACACTGGCAGGCTGCTGTTGACATGGAATGAAACAGTGCGTGTCAACACTAGCTCCCCAGCAGAGTTCACTCTCCAAAACCAGCCAAGCTGGCAGGCGAACACCACTGTCACTCTGCAGCTGACCGGAGGAAACATCTCCGAGATCAACAGCATTGTCACCGTCATCACGTTTCTGCCGGATGATCTCAATGAGATGAAGCGCCTATCAAACCTTGCCATCGCAGCAAACTCCACGTTCCTAACATTCTCAACACTCGCTATTGACGATATGAATAAGAACGACATCGTAGAAATATCGCCGGTATCCGCAAAGGAAGCATTAAATTTCACCCGTGACAGCACTGCACCTCGCTTGCTGTCGTTTACTGTCAACATGACCAGTGAAGTCATTCACTTGTTCTTCAGCGAGACCATTCTGGCATCGTCGTTCAGCGTAGATCAACTCGCCATCCACTCTGGCCGCGATACCAGTGCACCCGACTACACGATGTACACACTCACGACTGGCAATGTGCTCACCAATGATTCGACGTCACTGCAGTTCAAGCTGTCACTGCGTGATCTGGATGAGCTCAAGTTCCTTGCACTGGCCAGGACCATCAATGACACGTACATGACCGTTTCCAACGTCACAGTACTGGATATGAGTAACAACTATAATGAACTGGTCGATTTGCCCAACGCTGTTCAGGCCAATAGGGTGGCGTCTGATACCACTCCACCGGAGCTGAAGTCATTCCATCTCAACGTCAGCTCTTTCCTGCTCACTCTCAGCTTCAGTGAGACTGTGGAGGCAGCTTCTGTTGATGTTACTGGCTTCGCATTGCACTCAGTGAGGAACATCAGTGACAATGCCTCTGTTGTACAGTCATTCAGACTGACCAACACGTCTACCGCATTGATTCGCAACAACCCTGTCATCTACGTGACCGTCAGTGTGAGTGATATGAACGAGATCAAGCGACTGCGCAGCCTGGCCACGTCGAGAGATAACGCCTTCATCAGTGCCGATGCTGCCAGTATCCTGGACATGAACAGGAACCCGTTGGTTGTCGTGACAAACATGTCTGCCCTGCAGGTCACTAACTACACTGTGGACAGTGTACCGCCACAGCTGGTCACGTTTGATCTGATCATGCCAGGCTTGAAACCCCCACTTGTCATTGAGCTGGAGTTCGATGAGACGGTGCTTGCCAGCAGCCTTGATCCAAAGTCTATCGTAGTGGCCAACAGCACCACAGCAGGTGCTTCGACTTTCAGGTTGACAGGAGGCACGGTTCAAGTCGAGGACAGTACACGCATACAAGTGACACTTACTGCAGATGATCTGGAGTCAATACGTCAGCTGGACTCTACAGCTCTGCTGACCCAGGCTAACTCAGCGTACGTGTACATTGATGGCGACGCACTGTGGGACACGGCACAGAACAACTTCACGGGTACTGCGCTGGACACGGCGGTGAACATCCGCAATGGCCAGATGCTCAATGCTGACTTGCAGCCACCGATGCTTCAGTCCTTCGACGTCAACCTCAACACTGGCATGCTGTTCTTGTACTTCTCCGAGCCCGTCAACGGTAGCACAACTCTTGAGCAGCGCATCTCACTGCACAGCTCAGAGGCTGGTGCTGATGCACTGGCGTTGAGCAGTAACAGCACAGTGTCAGTGGACCCAGCATTCCCATCAGGCCTTGTTGTCACACTCACTGATGCCGATTTGAATGAGTTGAAGAAGCGCCGGACGTTGTTTGTGTCCAATATCACGTCGTATTTATCCATACAGCGCGGCATCATTCGTGATCTCAGCGAAAACGAAGCCGTAGTTGTACCCACATCTTCAGCACGGCCCGTGAATGTTTTCCTGCAGGACGTCAAGAAACCAGAGCTGCTCAGCTTTGATTTGAATCTCGTCGATGAAAGCCTGCACCTGACGTTCTCCGAAACCGTCAATGCCACAAGCTTTGACATCACTCAGGTCACATTCCAGAATGTGCGCACTGCGTCCAGCACTGCTGACCTGCTGACGTACACCATGCAAGACAGCTTTGTGTGGCCTGTGGTGGACAGCACGGTCATCTACATCAATCTGACCGAGAACGATTTGAACGCAATCAAGGACATAGAGCAGCTTGTAACCACTGGCGCGGACACCTTCATGCGAGTGACTGCCGAGCTCATCCAGGACATGATCGGTAACTTCCTGGTGTCCATCGTGCAGGAGAATGCATTGAATGTCACTACGTTCATGGAGGACAGCACACCACCAACATTGCGCAATAGCACACTGGATATGGACACGTCGCAGCTTATTCTGACATTCGACGAGACCATGAAGCAGAATACGTTTGACATCGCCGAGCTCACGCTGCAGGACAGTCAAGTCAACCGAACACTGTGGCGAGACCTGACGGCTGCGATTAGCTCAAGTGATGATAACACGATTCTGACACTGCGTCTCTCTGATGCTGATATCGACGAGGTCAAGCGAATCAATTTGTGTACCTCACGGAGCAATTGTTATCTGAGTTTCACCAACGATTCTATTCGTGACATGGCCCAGTTACCTATTGTAGCGGAAGAAGGTGATTCCTCTCACTTGATCGATGTCTTTATCCCTGACACGACCTCGCCACAATTGCTTCAATTCTCAGAGCTTGACTTTACCCTGGAGACGCTAACACTCAGCTTCAGTGAGACTGTGGACGTCAGTACGTTTGACATCACACAGCTGACTCTGCAGACCCTGTTTGAAAGTCCACTCAGCAGGCTGAACCTGTCCAATGGATCAACACCGGAGCGGGACACAACACAGCTCGTAGTCACACTATCGACGGAAGATGTGGACCGCATCAAGCTGAACGATAATGCGTGCACGCGCCGTGGAACTTGCTACGTCACAGCAACATCTTCCTTGATCAAAGATATGAACGGTAACGACATTACCGCTGTTCTGGATGGCTTTCCAGGTCGTGTTGTGCAGACTTTCATTGCTGACAGCAAGTCACCGAGTCTCCTTCACTTCGATCTGTTCATGGGAGCCAGCCGACTGGATTTGGTCTTCGACGAGCCTGTGCGGGCATCTTCCCTGAGCACAATGTCCATTTCTCTGCAGTCCACTGCAAACACTACCGACGTCCCGGAAATCATTGCCTTGACCGGTGGAACAAAATCCACACGCAATGGTCGCTTGCTGAGTGTAACCCTCAGTGATAGCGACTTGAGACGGTTGAAGAGTTCAACATTCATCAAGGATTCAAACGACACCTTTCTGGCCATGGCTGCCTCGGCTGTAACTGATATGTCCTTCTCACCTAACTCTGTGAAGACCATTCCGACAACTGATGCTCTGCAAGTGCGCAACTTCTCCAAGGATGCCCAGGGTCCGCGCTTGGACTCATTTGTTCTTGACTTGAATGCTGATACGCTTGCATTGGTGTTCAATGAGCCGATTGAGCCGAGCACTCTGGACGTCACACAGCTCATGATTGGTTTTCCAGGAGCAAGCAAGCACCAGCTTGCCAGCGGTGTTTTGACGGACGCCACCAATCGCAGTGGTGTTACCGAGCTGCTCTTGCAGCTGCAGAGAGTGGATCTTCGTGAGGTCAAGCTCCTTGCAGTGACCAACAGGGGTAGCACCGCTCAGATCACGACCACTGCTGGCTTCATCGAGGATACGGATGATGATAGCAACCAAGTACAGAGCAATGTCGTTGGTCAGTTGACCCATGACACAAGCCCTGCTAAGCTGGAGCGGTTTGAACTGGATCTGAACGCAGGCCTGCTGACGATGACGTTTGATGACGTCATGAATGCCATTCCGTTCGACACATCAGCCGTGACCGTTCAGAGTATGGAGTCTCGCCAAGGCCAGGAGTTTGTCACCCTGTCATCGTTGTCCTATGCCAGTTCCAGGAGTGGCTACGAGTTCACAATCACACTGCATGCTAGTGATCTGGACGCAATCAAGGCTGATCCCAGTCTGGCCACCAACATGAATAACACGTACCTGACCATGTTGGCTAATGCACTGGATGACGTGTTTAGCCGCGATGTTGTCGCTACCACCGATAGCAAGGCCCTGAGAGCATCACTCGTTCGCCAAGACAGCACACCGCCGTCACTGGACGGCGCCCATCTGGATCTCAACCAGGGCAGTCTCTATCTGACGTTCACGGAAACCGTCCTGGACAGCACGCTGTCCCCGGAGCGCATCTCACTCATCGCAAGCCCACTGGCAGACATCACCAACACCAGCACAGGTGATGTTCTGACACTGCTGGCAAGTAGCACACACCGTTCTATCAACCTCACTACCATTGTCATTGATCTGGACACTGACCAGCTGAATGTGCTCAAGTCACGTAGCTTCCTTGGAACTGGCTCCAGCAACACTTACGTCACCTTGCTGGCGGATGCAGTCTTTGATACGAGCCGGTTTGGAAATCTAGAGCTCAACGAGACATTCTCCAAGCAAGCAGCCAATGTTGTCTTGGACACCACATCGCCACAGCTTGTCACCTATGATTTGGATTTCGACTCTGGCAATCAAGCCATTCTCACGCTGTATTTCAATGAGATGGTTCTCTCATCAACACTGAACACGTCTGGTATAACTATTCGCGGCAGTGACACGCGGACGGTGCTGGCAGAGCAGCATAGCTTGACTGGAGGTGATGTTACAGAGCACAACCTTACCACTGTGATTGTTACCGTCACCTTGGCCGACACGAATCGGCTGAAGCAGCTTCTGACGGTTGCTTCGGCACCGGCGGATACCTTTCTAAATATCGTCAATAACACCATTCAGGATAGCAGCATGAACTGGGCCACTCCAATTCCATTCCTGGACAGTGTTTTCCCTCTGGTGTCTCTTCCAGTCAGTCAGTATGGAACCGATGGCATTGCGCCAGAGCTGGAGAACTGGAGTCTGGATATGAATACCGGCACTGTTGCACTGTCGTTCTCCGAGACTGTGATGGCAAACAGTGTCAACATCAGTCAGTTCACGATCAGCTCCAGTGCCAACAACTCCCTCACAAGCCTCCGACTTGGCAGTGCACTGCCGCTGACTGAGGATGGTCCAGTTATTCAGATGAGACTGTCTCAGGCTGATCAGAACAATCTCAAAGTGGACGACGGTCTTGCAATCTCTATGAACACCTCCTATCTCTCTTGGGTTATGAATGCAGCCGTGGACACATCAACCAGGAGAAATCCACTGGTTACTCGGCACTTCACCAATGGCCTGCGTACGGAAAACTTCACGGAGGACATGTCTTCACCGAGTCTGGTCGACTTTGACCTAGACCTGAACTCCAGTATTGCAACGTTCTACTTTTCAGAGATAGTTCGAGCCACGACATTCAACCTGACCCGTATAGTGATGCGCAGCAGTCAGAACACCAGCACAAGGTGGCATCGTCTAACACAGGGCACTGCTAGTTTGATGGACAGCACCACTATCACAGTGGCACTCAGTGAGGATGACTTGAACGCCATCAAGAAGGACAGGCTGCTGGCTACAAGCGGTGCCACAACGTATCTGGAGATAGACACTCTGCTGGTGGATGACATGAATGAAAACTCCGTCGTAGGCGTTCCCAATACCAGTGCCAAGCCAGTGAGGCGTTACGTCCCTGATCGCGTTGACCCAGTGCTTCGACGCTTCTCCCTGGACATGACGGAGCTTTCACTCTCGCTGACGTTCAGTGAAACAGTGCAGTGGAGTGCGTTCATGTCATCAGCAATCACGCTACAGAACACCGCCTCGTCGCCTACACAGTTTGTTCGCTTGCAGGGTGGCAGCGTGTCACGCGAGGACTCCACCATCCTCACTTTGAATTTGTCTCGGGAGAGCGCAGATGAAATCAAGCGTCTCGCATCGCTGGCAGTATCCAACGAGACGACATTCCTGTCACTGACCCCGCAGGCAGTTAAAGACATGGCCATGAACAATGTCAGCTCTGTAGTTGCCATGGGTCAGCTTGCCCAGCAAGTCGAGGTCTTCACGGATGATTCGCGTTCACCGGAGCTTACGTCATTCTCTCTGGACATGAACAGGGCCTTGTTGACTCTGGAATTCTCTGAAACTGTCAACGCCTCGGCCCTTCAGCCCAGCCAGATTATCATCCAGGGAGGTGATTCACAGTTGTTTGAGTTTGTGCCTCTGACTGGCGGCACATGGCAGCGTAATGACAGTGCTACCATTCTCCTGACACTAAGCCATGCTGACGACAATGCTGTCAAGGCTATGCGGGCGCTAGCAAAGCATCAATTCAACACATACATCTCCTTCGCCGCTCGGCTTGTCACTGACATGCGAGGAAATCCCATCAAGGACATTCCTCGGAGCCAAGGGAAACTTGCTCTGTCTTATGTTGAAGATCACACTCGCCCTGCCGTAACAGCGTTCGACTTGGACCTCAATGTAGGCCAGTTGACTGTTTTCTTCACTGAAACAGTGGACATCAGAACATTCTACTCACCCGCCGTTGGTCTCCAAGAACAGTTCATCTACCATGAGAATGTGACACGAGTTGCGCTGTCACCGGGTGCTGTGGCCTCGCCGAACGAGTCTGACGTAATGGTCGTCCAGCTGACCAAGGCAAAGTGGGACACTGTGCGGGTACTGCGCGAGCTTGCCACCCTGGATTCCAACACATACTTGTTCACACCCAACAGCACCATACAGGACATGTCACTCAACAACAATACGCTGCACTTCAGCACGGTGCGAGTCACCAACCTGACTCAGGATATCACTCCACCGTCACTTATTGGCTGGGAAGTGGACATAGCCAACCAACAAGCCTTCCTCACACTCAGCTTCAACGAACCTGTAGAAACGGACTCGCTGAACGCAACGTCCATCCGCCTTCAGTCCTCGAGCAACTTCTCATCTGGAGATGAGTGGCTGGTTTTGACCGGTGGCCGGACGCTAAGCCCCGATGGACTATATGTAGTCGTGGAGCTCACTGGACCGGATCTCAATGCAATAAAGCTGAGGCCTGGACTGCTTGTGGACATCAGCTCATCGTACATCAGCATTGAGCACACTCTCATGGAAGACATGAACAAGAACAAAGTGAACGCTATCGGTATTGACTCAGCACTGAAGGTAGACGCTTACTTCAACGACACAACCCGGCCGGTTGTGACACGTTTCCATCTGGACATGGATGCCAATCTCATCACGCTGGAGTTTGTGGAGACCATGAATGCAAGCAGTGCCAATGCATCCGGCATGACGCTGCAGACACATGGCATGCGTGACGACGGAGAACACCATCGCTTGACCGGTGGCACTGTAGTTAGCACGGACGGTATTGTGTGGCAACTGCGCATGACCGTCGATGACGTCAACGAGTTGAAGCGCCTGGGCATCGGTCGCCTCAAGTCTACCAGCTATGTTGTGCTGGACAGTTACGCGTTGCAGGATATGAATGGTCATCCACTGCGTACGGTGACCAACTCCACCAGAGCACTGGCAGCAACCAACTTCACATCCGACACTACCCGACCATACCTTACATCATGGAGAGTCGACCTGTCCGTGAATCGCCTGTGGATGACGTTCGACGAGACTGTCCAGCCCACCACACTGGAAACCCCGGAGATCAGTGTGCAGAACACAACGAATATCACAGCCAGCACCGATCAGTTTGTTTTCACAAAGAACAGCTTCAGCAGAAGTCTACCCAGAACTGTTGTAGTGATAGAGATGGGCCGTCTAGACCTTGACCAGATTAAGAGGCAGTCGGCATTGCTTATTGACAACATGACTAGTTACCTCTTCCTGACCAACCTTACCATCAAGGACATGTACGGCAATGCAGTTGTTCCCGTGACCAGTGCAAATGCAACTGAGGTAAGCAGTCGCCCTGTTAGGTTCGTGTAGTGGATAGCGCGGTGGGATAGAGCTGGTCAGGTCCCACCGGTACGGCAGGTATGGCCATTGCCATACTGGCTTGTGAAAATTGGGAGTTGCTGCTCATGGTAATTGGTATACTGGTGAAAGCTGATGTTAACCTTTGCTGCCTCTAGTTTACAAGTTCATGTGTCCTTTAGATCACGGTGAATTGTAAATTGTTGATCATGTGCATTGTGCATGCTCTGATCCTTTAACACCTACAGCTTTATTATAATGGAACTTAGTTATAACGGCAAAACACAGTCACTTTATTTGGTATGTCACTAAACCTGATCTTCAGAAAGGACTTGTTATGAGACTTGGGTACTTGTAGTATAAAACATAGTCAGTAACTCCATCTCTTGTTATTGCGAGGTCGTTATAGTCCAATCTCCACCACACATGTATTTGAAGAAATAGCTCTTGTATCAGTTGTGATCCCCTGCTGGGTTTAATACTCTTGTCCTCTACTGCTATGTGATGACAGGCAAGTGAGTATGTCTACGACATTGTCCGTCCTGTGCTGGATGAGTTTGAGATCAACTTCGACCTGGAAACGCTGACTCTGATATTCTCAGAGACGGTACGCTCGTCCACCCTGAATGTGACGCAGATCACCCTGCAGCAGACTGCAGACACACTGGACATGGGTCAGGAGTACACTCTAACAGCGGGTACACTGAACACCACCGACGATCCCATTGTTGTGTTCACCATTTCAAAGCAGGTACGTCCCTCGATGTTCAATTCACAGTCCAATGGCAGCCACCTTCTGCCGTACAAGTATTAGTTAATCAGTCCAAGGCTTTACCACTGCCATTATAACACGTAGAATAGGATGGGCAGTTGGTCTGTTTTCTCCCGTGAATGTTATCCTCCGTTACATTGGACGGCGCAGGCAGGTCCGTAATTTTATTCTATTTATTCAATTTTCTTGTTTGTATGTGTATGTCTGTATGTGTATGTCTGTATGTGTGTGCGTGTGTGTGTGTATGTCTGTATGTGTGTGCGTGTGTGTTTAGGATCTAGTGGCAGTCAAACAGCGTATCTTCCTGGCAACCGACAGAAACAACACATACCTGGCCCTGACTAACTACACGATCAGAGACATGGCTGGCAACCTTGTCAAGGAGCGCAACCAGAGCAGTGCACTGCAGGTGCGAAACTACACGCAGGATATCACACGGCCGCGCCTTGTCGCCTTTGACTTAGACATGGATGCTCCCACAATCACTCTTACGTTTGACGAGGCCGTCAACTCACTCACTCTGCAGCCCACTGCCATAACGCTACAGGATCTGAAGGCTCCCGTCGAGGCTTCGTACACACTCTCTGGCGGCTGGACGCTCAGCGTCAACGGAACAGTCATTATTGTGAATGTCACCAAAGTTGATTGGGATGCGCTGAAGAAGAACACCAGTCTGGCTACGGACAGGGCAGATACGTGGCTGTCGTTCACGTCCTCCTTGATCACGGACATGGATAACAATACGGTAGTGGAGAGAAGCACACTGATGGCAATGCAGGTCACTAACCACACTCAGGACACGACGTTCCCAGAGCTGGTCGACTGGCAGCTGGATATGGATGCTGGAACGATGAGATTCTCGTTCACCGAAACGGTCAACGCTTTCTCCTTATCGCCAGTGGAAATCCTCCTTCAGGACACTGACAACACGTTGCCGAATGAGCCTCTGCGACGCTTTGCTCTCCGTGGAGCAACATGGAGCATGGAAAACCTCACCCACGTCAACATCACATTCACCAAGGCCGATCGTGATGAGATCAAGAGGCTGTCATTGCTTGCAGTATCGCAGAACACCAGTTACCTCTCGTTGACCAATTCCTTCATCAATGACATGAACGGCAATCCCATCGTACCTATTCCCATCACGGATGCTACACAGGTGGTGAACTATACGTTTGACACCACGCGTCCGGTACTGGAAAACTTCCATCTCAACTTGAACACAACAATGCTGACACTGACATTCTCAGAGACCGTCAATGTCAGCACGCTGCAGCTGAACGAGATCACATTCCAGCCGGTCAACACGTCCGACATCTTCAACTTCACACGCTATACATCGCCTAACTATACAGGGCCGTTGCCTATCCCGCATGCAGTGCCGGTGTACTTCAACCTGACGGGTAACGATACCCATTACTCGTACCGCGAGTCGTTCCTGAACTACACGCTCATCGGCGGTGCATGGCCCGGTGATCAAGACCGTGTGATCGTCGTGGTGACGCTGACAGAGGCAGACCGCAATCGCATCAAGCGTCTTGACATGTGCACTGAAATGAACCGCCGCGGCGATTGCTACCTTTCCATGCCGAACATCACTGTCACTGACATGATGGGCAACTTCCTGGTACCGATCGATCCCTACAACGCCCAGCAAGCTACGAACTTCACTGAAGACCGTGTGAAACCTGAACTGGAAGAGTTTGTATCTCTCGACCTCACTGCCGAAGAGGTGGTGATACGCTTCTCTGAGACTGTCAACGTCAGTTCCTTCAAGCCTGACCAGCTGACGTTTCAAGAGTGGCCGCTGAACCAGTCGCAAACCTCCGCTGGTCTGCCACCAACCTACTGGCTCCTAACAGGCGGCTATAACATCACTCAGCTTGATGACAAGACCATACGCTTTCACATGACTACGTATGATCTGAACAAAGTCAAGCAGAGCCATCCACTGTGCTCAATCAATCGATTCTGTTGGCTGACTCTCACCAAGGACCTGCTCAAGGACATGGCTGGCAATGAGATTGTAGGCTTGCACGCCCCGTTGAATGCGAAGACGTTCAATCAAGAGACAGAGCAAGTGCAGAGCTTCAACACAGACGGTATCAAGCCAAACCTGGTCAACTACACCATCGACATGGACTCTCACATCTTAAACCTCACATTCGATGAGACAATCAGCCTGCCCAGTTTCCGTGCCACTTCGCTTTCTCTGCACAGCGCATCCAACACCACAGGTGATGATTATGAGACTTACACACTGCAGTTTGGTGACGGAGCTACGGTCATTACCACTGTCAACTGGCTCTACATCACGTTCAACTTGAGCTTCCTTGACATTGACAACATCAAGAGCTTGGAGAGCCTTGCCACAGCCCAGCCGACAAGCTATCTCCAGGTGCTGTCCACAAATGAGCTGGACACAGTGGTGCGGGACATCCAGGGTAACATCGTCACCGAGCGTCTTCACCCTGAACAGTCACTGCTGCCTGCTTTCTACGTGCCAGACACCACTCCGCCGCGTGTCACCACGTTTGAGATCAACCTGCAGGACAAGTACATGATTCTGTTTGCCAGCGAGCCTGTAAACCTAGCATCAGTGCAGCTGATCAACATTACCTTGCAGAATACATTCAATGATAGCAGCAATGGGTTCACCTTGACTGGCGGAACAAAGACACATGTCGGCGGCACGCGAAAACGTCAGATTCGAATCGACTTTTCTCGCCAGGACCTGCGCTCCATCAAGCTGAATGATCTGCTTGCAGAGGGACAGGGCAGCATTGACACTTTCCTGGCATTCCCCGAGGGCATGCTGGAGGATACATCGACTAATCCCGTGATCGCCATACCCAGTGATAATGCTTTGCCGGTCAGCAGCCATACCGGTGATTCTGAAAAGGCAGACCTGCTCAGCTTTACGCTGGACATGGACGAGGGACAGATAGCAGTTACGTTCAACGATGTCATCCGCTCTCGCACTTTCAACAACAACCCATCCAGTCTCTACATTCAGAACAATGCCATCACTGGCTTGGCAAGTCGTCGTGTCAGCTTTAACCCCGGCAGCAGAACTGATAGCAGTGATGGATATGAAGTACTCATTCAGCTCTCCATCCCTGATCAGAATGTTCTCAAATACTACCTGGAACTGGCTACGAACTACTCAGATACGTACCTGACCACTGAGGATATTGGCAATGCTGCATTCTCTGACGAGGGCGGACAGGATATAAACGCTGTCGTTACCGGCTTGACAGTCAGCAACTTCACAGCAGACACCACGCCACCCAGGCTGGGACTCTGGCAAATCGACATGAATAGCGGCATGATCGTGCTGAGCTTTGAGGAGACAATGCGAGCGCGTACTCTCAACGTGTCTGAACTGGTAATTCAGAGCCATGGCAATTCGTCAGCTGATGGCTTCAGATCCTACCAACTGACCGACAGCAATTCTACCCAGAACGACTCCACCATGCTGCGCGTTCGCCTCAGCTTCACTGATCTAAACGAACTGAAGAGGATCACGCCAGGCCTGGTGACGAGTATGAATGACTCCTACATTTCTTTTGCAGAGGGTACAGTGCTGGATATGGCTGGTAATCGTGTCGTTGAGCGGAATCGCGATGATGCAATGTGGGTAGACTCGTTTGTTGAGGATACGACAGCGCCGAAGCTGACCGATTACCGACTGGACATGACTGCAGAGTTGCTGTCGCTGACGTTCGATGAGACAATTGATGCCAGCACGGTCAATGTCACTCAGATCACCCTGCAGAACACACAGGCATTCAGTTCACAGGACCACACGTTGGACTTTGGTGTGGTGTCAAATGCCGATTCTATCTACATCAACATCACTCTCCTGGATTTAGATATCGACCGGATTACATTCTTACGGCAGCTAGCTACCAATATCAACAACACCTATCTCTCTTTCACTGACCTGCTCCTCATGGATATGCGCGGCAATCAGAATGCAGATATTGGTGTAAATTCTGCCAGGAAGGCAACTTCATTTGGCTCTGACAACACACCACCTGTGATCCTCGGCTTTGATTTGGACCTGGACGCAGACCGGCTGGTTCTGACGTTCTCCGAAACGGTAATGTGGTCCTCTCTGAACACGTCTTCTATTAGCATTGTGGATGACGTGGAACTCGGGCTACTGTCGGGCACTACAAACCGCTCTAACTCCAGCCGACCTGATCGACATCGCTTGACTGGTGGCACCGTAACACCACTTGACAGCACTGTTCTGTACGTCGTGTTTAACAAGCCCGATTCGGACGAGCTTCGGCGCTTGTTTGACCTGGCTACTTCTGTGAACAGCACTGGTGTGTACATGGATCAAGGTGGAGTGCTTGATATGGTCGATAACCCCTTCACTGCTGGCGGGCATCTTGTGACAAACTTCACACATGACACGAGTTCCCCACAGCTTGTGGAGTTCCATGTGGACCTCTCGCTGGGCACACTCTACCTCTCGTTCAGTGAGACTGTGAACACCGACACAGTGGATGTGACTGCGATAACGCTACAAGACACTAGTGACATTGACATGTCCACTAATAGTTACACACTGAGGAACAGCACGACATCGTCAAAGAACGGCACCAGTCTCACCATTGACTTTACCGCGTTGGATCTGAACGAAATAAAGCGCCTCAGCAGCCTGTGGACGGATACGAACAGTACCTATCTCAGCTTCACGTCCAGCACGATCATGGATATGAATGCCAATAGCATTGTGTCCATCAGCAACTCAACAGCAAACCTGACTACACTGTACACAGCTGACATGGTCAATCCGTCATTGCTCTCATTCCGCTTTGATCTGAACAACTCACTCGTGTGGCTGACGTTCAGTGAGACCGTGAGGGCAGATACGTTTGACAGCACTGGCCTGACGCTGTACAACAGCTCTGAGTTTGTAGCTTCTCCCAGCAATGTCCTGGATGGACGCTTCACGTTCACTCTACTTACACAGGAAATCAGCCCTGACAGCACTGTCATACAAGTCTCCATTTCCATTCCGGACCTGAACGAGATCAAGCGGCAGCGGAATCTCGCCTATGATGCCAACTCGACGTTCTTGGCCGTGCGGCCGAACGCGATCAAGGATATGGCGAAGAATCCCAACTCGATCAATGCCGTGCCGCTGAACAAATCACAGTCTGCAAGTGAGTTCACAGCGGACACAACGCCACCCGTTCTGGTTGACTTTGATCTGAATCTGAACACGGCGAAGCTGATGCTCACGTTTGATGAGACTGTTGCCCCGGGCACACTGAATGTATCCAGCGTTGCTCTGTGGAGCGCAAGTACTTCTAGTGCTATGGGTGCTGAGTCACGCTTCCTGTCACCTTTGCACTCCAACACTACCAGTCCCGATGGCACACAGCTAACTATTGATCTTGGTCGTGGTGATTTGAATGCACTAAAGCTGCTGCCACCGTTAGCTCTGTCTGAGAACACAACCTATCTCAGTGTTCTGCCACTGGCAATTTATGACATGAGCAACCAAAGCGTTGTCCCGATTGATGCAGTGGGGACAAAGGCTGTGAGAGGTGGTGGCTACACGCCCGACGGAACAGGACCAATCCTTGAATACGCTTTCCTGAATCTGACCTCAGAATTGCTGGTACTGCTGTTCGATGAGGTGGTCGATGGCACGACTCTCATGGCTGGTAGCTTGTTGTTGCAATCTGATGGCTCTGGTGGAAATCATCATCGACTTCTAGCCAGCTACAGCAATGATACCCTGGCAGAGAGGATCACGGTGCAACTTGCACAGGCCGACCTTGATGCTATCAAGCTCAACCAACAGCTCGCTGTTTCCACAAACACTTCATTCCTGAAGATCGAGCCATCGGCCATTAGTGACTCGGCGATGGTAGCCAACACGGCACAGGTAAGAGTTCGTGTTGTCGACCAGTTCACGAATGACTTCACCTCGCCCACCGTCACATCGTTTGTGGTGGACCTGACACGGGAAGAGATCGTCATCAATTTCGATGAGCCAGTACTGCGCTCCAGTCTGAACCTCGGGGCGATCACATTCCAGTCTGTGATCAACTCTAGCAGTGATCTGAATGAAGAGTTTACCATCAACGGTGGCGTGTCTGACAGTGTGAATGGCAAGCAGATTCGCTTCACCTTCTTACGCACGGACTTGAACGCTATCAAGGGAACGCGCATGCTTCTGGATGACTTGGAGACCAGCTACATGCGCTTCACGTCCAGCTTCATAACAGACATGAACAACATCACCGTTGCACCCATCCTGGCGTCGTCGGCGCTCAAAGCCATCGACTACATCAACGACACACTTGCACCGCAGCTGGTGAGCTGGGACTTGGACATGACACGAGGCCATGTTGTACTGCGTTTCAACGAGACAATGAACGTTGATGACATTCTCTTCTCGGGCATTGCACTGCACTCGGCACCGAGTAGCGGCTTTTCACACGTGCTCACGGATGGAGTACTAAACAAGACCGGACCAGCCACAGATTTTGTCTTCTCCATCGTGAAGGATGACCTGGATGAGTTGAAACGTCTGCAGATTGGTTCCAGCAAGCTGACATCATGGCTAACAATGTCCTCAGCCACACTTCAGGACATGCATGGACACGATGTCATAGCTCTGGTGATTGGCCGTAATGCACGGCCGGTCACTGGCTTCACAGTCGACGCTGTACAGCCGAGGCTGCTGCACTTTGACTTGGACATGTCCCTGGACGAACTCTACATGTCATGGAGTGAGACCATCGACAAGATATCCTACACTGCTGCCGTGCTGACTCTACAGAACACCTTCACGGCATTCAACAGAAGTGAGCAGTATAACCTGTCGATTAGCAGTTCTCTGAAGAATGCCGGCAGGGATGCCACTAATCTGACCATCCGCCTGAGTCGCGAGGACATGAATGCAATCAAGAGACTCCAGATGCTGGCAGTAGGCTACAGCTCTACGTTTGTGACGTTGAGTGGAGAGTTCATCGAAGACATGGTGCAAAACCCTGCGGTGAACATCAGCAACATGGATGCCCAGCAGGTGAGGATATTCACGGCGGATTCAGTGCGGCCCACGCTGGAGACGTTTTCACTCAACATGAACGACAGTACTCTGACGCTGAACTTTGACGAGACGGTCCTGTGGCTGACGCTGAACGCCACACAGATCACACTGCAGTCTGGCCGTGTCAATGCGTCATCCAGTGCTGCTGACCCACAGTCGTACACATTGACTGGGGGAGATGTCTCAAGGATGAACAGTCATCAGCTTACTGTCTCACTAACCCTACTGGACACTGACGAGATCAAGAAGCTTACTGGCCTAGCACGCTCACCCACTAGCACCTGGATTTCCTTCACCAATGCCACAGTACAGGACATGAACAGAAACTGGATCCAGGAGATCAGCCCGGAGAATGCTAAGGAAGTGGTAGGTTTTACAGTGGATTCCATTGACCCTGAACTTCTCTCATTCACGCTGGACTGGAACACGCATCAGCTTACGCTGAGTTTCAGTGAGACTGTGAAAGCCTCCGAGCTGAGAGCCAGTGCCATCACCCTTCAGGATAGCTTGGTGAACGCCGCGTTTAACTTCACCTTGACTGGCCGTGTCCGGCATGTTCCTGACCTGACTGACTCACCAGTGCAGGTCATTGAGCTGGTGAAGTCCGACATCGAGTTCATCGAGAAGCTCTTCAGCCTGGCGACACACGTCAACAACACAGTGTTAGCTCACACTGCCCTGCTGGTGCGGGACATGGAGGACAGGCGCATTGTTCCGAGAACTGCTGGACTGCAGGCTCTGCGTGCGTTCAACTACACTCCGGACACAACTGCTCCAGAGCTCAGCAGGTGGGAGATTGACATGAATGCCGCCAGCAAAGTCACCCTCTACTTCTCTGAAGTGATCAATGCAGAGACATTCAATCCCGCTGCCGTAACTCTTTTCTCCACGCAGTCTGTAGCTATGCAGCGAGAGGCATTCACTCTGAACTCTTCACTGCCGACAGTCATCAATGAGACTGTGTTTGAGTTCTCCTTCACGGTGGATGACTTGAATGCCTTGAAGCAGCAGTCACGACTTGCCATCGATCCCTACTCATCCTACATCAGTTTTACCGCGGAAATGATCCAAGATATGAATGAAAATGCAGTGACAGCGGTGACCAGTTCACTGGCACAGAATGTCTCAAAGTTCGAGTACGACACCACCCATCCACAGCTGACGTACTTGACGATGGATATGAACACCGGGGAGATGAGACTGGTGTTTGACGAGACCATGCAGAGGCAGCGTCTGAACTTCACCAGTTTCACGCTGTACGGCGGGTTTAGCAATGACTCTGGCGTTGCACTGCACACGCTGACGGGAGGAACGTCGATCAGTACCGACAATACCAACATCACCATGAAGTTCTCCACGCCGGATTTGAACGAGATCAAACGCAAGGCACTGTGCACGGATGCGAACGGCGAAGCTGACTGTGTGCTTGTGTGGCAAGCCTCGGCATTTGCTGACATGGCTGACAATGCTATCATCCCTGAGCTGTATGGTCGTGTTGTGGACAAATTCATCAGAGATGACCAAGAGCCCGAGGTACGGTTCTTCAGTGAATTCAACCTTGAGAACTTGACCTTCACTCTTGAATTTTTAGAAACCGTCAACGTCTCCACAGTGGACTTCACGCGCTTCACATTCCAGACTTTCTTTGAGAATGCAGAGTTCTCCCTGCCTCTGACTGGTGGTAGAGTATTGAATGTTCTGGATTTGCCTATTGTAACCATGGCCTTGTCTCAGACTGACATTGACCGAATCAAGACGCACAGCAAGGTTTGCACGCAGCGTAATCTTTGCTGGATCACGGCAAGGGCAGGCGCAGTTGACGACATGGCTGGCAATCCACTTGCAGTGCTGAGTCAGGGTCGCTACTCGGAGCGGTTTGTTGCTGATGTGTCCGAGCCATTGCTCACCTCCTTCAACATGTCTCTGGAGGACCACACTCTGACCTTGAGCTTCAATGAGCCAGTCTTGGCATCTAGCTTGAATCCAACATCTCTGACTGTACTGGCAAGTCGAACAGCCGGTATGGCAGAGCGCCACACATTGACTGCTGGTCGCACTCTCAGTACCAATGGCCGCGAGATCGTCATCCAACTAACAACTGCTGACGTGAATGCACTGAAGTCATCGACTTTTTCAAAGAACGAAAACAACACGTACATCTCCTTCCTGTCCAGTCTGATCACTGACATGGCTCACGTCCCCAACTCTGTTAAGCCACTCACCTTCAGCGAGGCTGAGCGGGTCGATGTGTATGAAGCGGACACCACACCACCACGCATAGTCCACTATCAGCTGGATATGGATGTAGACAGGGTGACGCTGACTTTCGATGAGCCAGTGCGACCGCGCACGCTTAACTTCAGTCTCTTGGCTATTGTAAACACCAGCGTGAGTGCAGCGCCTACACAGAGAGTTCAGCTGACGGGTGGACTAATCACAGCACAGACGGCCCATGATGGTGTGCTGTCGGTGGTGTTTGATCTGTTGAAAGTGCCGGATACTCGGTCCTTGAAGGTCTTCCTGGACATTGCTACTTCGCAAAACAACTCGTACCTCTCCATTGGTGCTGGCAGCATTCTCGACATGGCAGATGACGGTAATGGCATACAAGCTGTGTCGGCACGTACGCCCAATGCCTTCGTAGCAGACACTGAACAAGCACAGCTGGCTAATTTCACCATAGACATGGATGCTGGTACACTGGATCTAGTCTTTAACGATGTTATGCTTGCATCGTCATTTGATGCTCGCGGCATTACCCTCCAGGACTTCCGTTTCTCCAACGGGCCTTTGTATATGTACCGACTGAGCAATGAAAGCCGCACAGCCAACAGCAGTGGGTACTACTTTACTGTGCAGCTATCTAGCAATGACCTGAATGCAATCAAAATGCTGACACTGCTTGCAACCGATCAGAATAATACTTATCTGAGGCTGGATTCGTCTACAATGGATGACATCTATCAGCGCAATGTACTGGCCAAGACGGACGGACAAGCCATCCGTGCCAGTGGGTACACCAAGGACGTCACCGCGCCAGAGCTCAGCACGTTTGATCTGGACCTGACGTCGGAGACGCTCACTCTGGTGTTCAATGAAGCCGTGAGCAGATCTACACTGCAGCCGGGCGCTCTGGTGCTGCAATCACCAGATACGCTACTCACCGTAACACTGAACGCACTGAGCACAAGCAGTACCGTGTCGCCGACGACTATTCGTGTCAATCTACTGAACTCCGACCTGAACAAGCTCAAGCTCAACCCCAATCTGACCACCAGTGCCCAGGACACTGTTCTAACACTGGGTGATGCGGCCATTGAAGACTACGACAGGAACACGCTTGTAGGGTTCAACAGCAGCTTTGCGGCACCCATCCGTATCTTTGTGCCCGACAGCAATCCACCTCGTCTTGTCTCCTGGTTCTTGGACATGGACCATCCGGCCAGGCTTGTGTTGAGTTTCCACGAAATCATCAACCTAACAACAGTCCTGCCTAGTCAGTTCACCGTTCAGGACCAGCCAGACCGCACCAGTCCCCAGCACATGTACCGACTTACCGACGGGCAGGTCGATACCAGTGCACAGTTTTCTTCGTCGGTGATCGTATTGCTCTCACGTTTCGACACCGATGAGCTGAAGCGCATCACGGCGATTGCAACTGCCAAAGAAAACACCGCCATAACATTCACCAACCGCACGGCACAGGACATGAACGGCATCTTCAACGAGGCCATACTGGACAATTTTGGCCGCGTGGCCGCTTCAGTTGACCCCGACTTGACTGCTCCCGAGCTACTGTCATGGAACATCAGCATGTCAACTGGTCTCCTGACTCTGTCATTCTCAGAGACAGTCAAAAGTAGTACACTGAACGGCACGCAGATTACTATCTATGGTGCTAACTCTACCGGTGTGGGTGTCTCCAGCTACCAGCTGACCGTCACTGACGTTCGAACATCCGACAATGCCCTGCAAGTCTTGCAACTGGCTACCGTTGATTTGAATGAGCTGAAACGTGACCTGGCCCTTGCATCGAGTCAAGAAGACAGCTTCCTGTCCATCACTTCTCTTGCTGTTCAAGATATGAACAAGCAGGCAGTCATGGCAAGAGACACGGCTGATACACTGCTACAGGCCGCAGCGTATGAGCAGGACGCTGTGGCACCTGTCCTGAATTCATTCTCTCTGAATCTCAATACATCGACCCTGTACTTGACGTTCAGCGAAACGGTGGATGCCTCCAGCATGAACGTGTCTGGTGTGACTGTCCAATCCAGTCGCTTACCAACAGCTATGAGAGTTCGTCTGACACCATCCAGCAGTGTAGTTTTGCAAGATGATCCTGTAATCGTGGTGCAGGTCTCTGTCCAGGATGCCAATGCCATCAAAGTTCTACCCCGACTGGCAGATCACAAAGATCGGACATACCTGACTATCGACTACGCTGCCATCAATGACACGAGCGGCGTAGCAAGTCTACAGCGCTCAAATGCAGACGCTCGGCAGGCAGATTTTGTAATCAATGACGCAATCAGTGCTCAAATCGATGGGTATCAGCTGGACTTGAACACGGGTGTACTGTCTCTGACATTTGTTGAGCCTATTGATGCATCAACCGTCGATCCTCTGCAGCTTTCATTACAGAACATGCAAATTCTTGATAGTGGTACGGTTGTGAGAAACCTGACAGGAGGTACATCATCAGTAGTAGACAGTACAACCATCATGATCACACTCAATGACAATGACCTCAACTACCTGAAGCGTTTCCGCCAGTTTGCCGCTGATGTCAACTCGACGTTCTTAGTGATGGGTGAAGCGTTTGCGCGTGACATGGCTGGTAACCGTGTCAATCCATTGCACGTGGGTAATGCTCTGAAGGCATCTGATGTGAGTGATGATGTGACCAACCCATGGCTACGCTCATTCATCTGGGACCTGAACTCACAGACCCTGCAGTTGACGTTCAGCGAGACTGTGGACCCAATGTCTGTTGAAGTGACGGCGTTCACACTGCACAGCTCTGAGCTGGCTAACCAACGCAGCTATGCCTTGACAAATGGCACTGTCATCAACACGATGGATGCAAGCAGAGCAGCAATCCCCAGTCCCACCATCTACTTGAGAATGTCAGATGGCGACGCCAACCAGCTGAAGACATTCCTAGATCTGGCCACACAGCAAGCAGACACATTCCTGGCAATAACATCCAATGCTGTCATGGACATGAGTGACTTGGCCGTCAATGCAACTAAGCTTCCTCCCGCTGCCCAGGCACAGTCAGTCATACCTGACATCACTCCACCAGAATTGAGCTCGTTTGAGCTGGACATGGACGAGTCAGTGCTAACTCTCATCTTTGACGAAACCGTCTCGTCACCTTCACTGCGTATCGGCCTCTTTACGCTGCTCTCCGAGCCTCATCTGAATGCTTCTTCGAGCTACACGCTGCAAGGCCAGACAGTTGACAGTGTCAACAGCACTAGGCTGGTTCTGCAGCTTGTGAACAGCGACATCCTGGGCATCAAGAACAAGACGGACTTGGCCACATCTGTGAACAACAGCTATCTGTCAATGCAGTACAGTGCCGTGTTGGACATGGCTGTTCGTCCGAATCTCGCTGTCCCCTCGCTACAGCAAGCAAGCCTCTTCGAAGCAGACATGACCAGCCCCATACTCTCCAACTACACGGTGGACTTGAACCTCGGCCGTATCTACTTCAACTTTGACGAGCCAGTAAACTCCGCTCTGTTGAACAGCACGGGAATAACGGCTGTATCGCGTGTGAACGCTTCCCTATCAGAGCAGTATACACTAACACTGGGGCGCACAACCAGCCCCAATGGCTTCACCATCGTCTTCATCATCAATGTGACGGACCTGAACGCCATCAAGCAGAACCCGCACCTATGGAGCAGCCCTAACAACACATACCTGCTACTGGACTCACACGCCTTTGCAGACATGGCTGACAACCCGGTTGAGGAGATTCCGCTCAGCAAGCCTCTTGCACCTTTGCTGTTCATCAACGACATGACCCGGCCTTCACTCACAAGCTGGGGAATTGACATGGACGCTGGACAAGTGACGCTTACTTTCCTGGAGACGGTCAATGCTTCTAGCATTGTCTATCCACTGGTGTTCTTGCAGGCAGCCTTTTTCCAGAATGCATCTCAGGGCGGCAATGTGTATCAGCTGACGGGCGGTTCACTCGTGTCTGTGGAGGACACTACGCAGATTGTCTTCAATCTGACACTGGATGATCTCAATCGAGTCAAAGCCCTGGAAATCGCTGACACCAAGCCGAGGTCGTACATCCAGCTGGCTGAGGGTGCAGTGCGTGACATGAATGGCAATGTTAACAACGGCGTGTACAATGGTCTGAACGCCATGGTGGCGGATAGCCATACTGGCGACACAACAGACCCGGAGCTCACAGACTTCGATGTGGACCTAACTAGAGAGGTGCTGACGCTGTACTTCACCGAGTCCGTACGTGTTACCACTCTTCAGGTGTCAGCTCTGACTCTTCTCTCATACCCTGGAGCTGTAGCTGACATGGATCGCTTCTCACTGACAAACAGCAGCTTTGCTACATCAGCAGATGGCCCAGTTGTCAACATCACACTGAGTCTTCAAGATTTGAACGCTATCAAGCAACGGCACAATCTTTTCACCAACACATCCAACAGCTACCTGGCTGCTGAAACGCGTCTCATCGAGGACAAAGTCAAGAATCCGTTCGTGACAGTGAATGAAACACACCCTCTTGCCGTTCAACAGTTTGCTAACGACACCACGTCACCGGTTCTGGAATTCTTTGACCTTGACATGACACTGGAAACGCTGACCCTGTCGTTTAGCGAGACCGTGCTTGTGTCCACGGTCAACCCCAGTCAAATCACGCTGCATGCTGGTCGAAACAACGCCAATACTACCTATGAACACTACACACTGACGGACGGTACCGTAGAGCATGGAGACCAGCCTATAGTAGTACTCAATCTCACCACCACTGACCTGAATGCTATCAAGCGCCTCATCACTCTAGCCGTAAACAAGGACACGACGTGGCTATCAGTCACCAGTGCCACACTCACCGACAGCAATCACAATCAGCTGCAGGTGATTCCGTTCAACTTCTCAAAGCCTGCCCAGCGCTTCTCCCCGGATACCACTGACCCGGTGCTGGTTGATTTTGACATCGACATGGATGCCAGTCCACGGCTCTTGCTAACATTCTCCGAGACTGTCAACAGTCTTACGCTACGACCCACACATATCCGATTGATCAACACTGAAGATGAGATTAACGCAACGGCAGCCTATTCGTTGACGGGAGGAGCAACAGCGAGCGTCAATGGGACACGTGTCATCGTCGACTTGACTAAGAACGACTCTGACTACATCAAGACAAACACCAGTCTCTTCACTGGTCCTGTTGACTCCTATCTATCTATTGGCAGTGAGTTGATTGAGGACATGGCCAACAACAGCGTAGTCACCATACCAAACACCAGTGGTAAGAAGGTACACAACTACACGGAAGACACAACACGTCCATACCTTGTAGGCTTCTCACTAGATATGGACTCAGCCACTCTGGTCATAACATTCTCCGAAAGCATAGATACATCAACACTGGACTCTGCAGAATTGAGACTACAAGCCTTGGTCAACCTGACTTCTCCATTGCCGGTCAATGGCACCATCAACAGGACTGAGTTGGAGCAGTTCCGACTGCAGATCTTTGACCTGACCGGCCACGACAACCGAAGCACGGTCGATGTACCTGTTGTCTCATTCAACATTCTGAAAGCCGACATGGACATCATCAAAGAGCATTACCTGGTAGCAACGCAGCTAAACACAACCTTCTTGTCCCTAACCAATGCTACAATCAAAGATATGAACAACAATCCAGTCATACCGGTCACACAGACCCTGGCTTGGCCGGCACATACATTTCTACAGGATACCACCGAGCCAGTCATCATGCGCTGGAGAATCGACATGGACAAGGGAACATTTGAGATTGACTTCAGCGAAACCGTGCGGAGGCCATCGCTTGTATTCCAGTCCTTTGTCATACAGGATGCACCTGACATTGATGATCCCGTACTCCAGCTAACTGGCGGCGTGTGCAATGATTTCAACAAGACCACCTGGCTGCTAGAATTCAACCCTGCCGATTTGAACGAGATCAAGAGACTGGAGATCTGCTCTGAACGTTTCCAGAGGGATGACTGCCATCTCTCGTTTGACTCCTCCGCCCTGACTGACATGAACAACAATCCCGTCAGACCGTTCAACTCATCGCAAGCTCGCAAGGTGCAGTCGTATCAACCAGATCGCACAGCCCCGGACCTGTACCAGTTCATCGACTTCAACAAGACCACCGAGTCCATCACGTTGAATTTCACTGAAACTGTCAATGTGTCCACGCTGGTTCCGTCCGAGATCTCATTCGCAACGGATTTCTTCCAATTCGCCGCCAGCCGAGACTTTGAAGCAATCAACATGACAGGAGGCTCCTTGCTCAGTCCATCACAAGACGCCAATTCAACATCAAACAACAACTTCGTGACATTCACGGTCAACTGGTACAGCTGGAACCGCATCAAGGAATCGGACAGATTGTGCAGTAACATCCCGACGTGCTTCATCCGCTACTCCAACCTTGTGATCAAGGATATGGCGGGTAATGATGCAGTACCTGTGTTGACCAGACAGAGTGGATCAACCAAGGAAGTACCGTCCACGTTCACGGTTGACAATGTACCGCCTCGCCTCGTCAACTACAGTATGAACCTCGAGACTGAAGTCATGGTGTTCACGTTCGACGAGCCCGTCAGATTCAACACATTCAACCCGCAGGCCATCACGCTTCACAGCAGCACTGAAGATGGTCCTCTACTGGAGGAACACACTTTCCTGGGCGGCATGATCAACACCACACGTAACTGGCTATACATTGGTCTCACTCTGGGCAAACCTGACGTACTCATCATCAAGTACCTCGAGGAGCTTGCCAACAATCAAACCGACACGTACCTCAGCATTTCGCCGGAACTGGTACGGGATATGAGACTGCCAGATACCACTGGTGGAAATCAGATTGTCCAGTCTAACCGATCGCACGGCGCACTGCTGCCGTGGGACTACGAACGCGATGTTTCGCCGCCGGTGCTGAGTAACTACACGCTGAACCTGGAGCTGGACGAGCTGTATCTGACGTTCACCGAGCCAGTCAAGATCCTCACTCTCAACACCACTCTGATCACACTGCAGAGCTTGCCAAAGCTGAGCAGCCCAGGTGTAGAGTACGTCACTCTGCGAGGGCACCAGCGAAGACAGTATGAACGCGGCACAGTCGACAAGACCAGGATCACCGTCACCATACTGCCCGAGGATATCCGCGAGATCAAGGTCCGAGATAAGCTGGCAGTGCGTGACACTCAGTTCATCAGCAACAACGGTCTGTACCTCTCCATGCCCGAGGGAGCCGTTGGTGATATGTGGTACAACCCGCTGGTAGAAATACCTGCGGAGAACGCCCAGGTGAGGGATGTGCTGGTGGAAGATGCGGAGCAGCCTAGTTTGATTGACTACGATATTGACATGGACAGTGGACAGATGACGTTTGTCTTTGACGATGTGGTGGAGCCGCTCAAGCTGACCCCGGCGGCGCTTACATTCCACAATCAAAGCACTGCAAGTGGCAGCAATAACTTCACACTGACCGGCGGTACACCAATTTCACCACGCGGCTATGTCATCGTGCTCAACTTCACCACCGGCGACTTCAACGCACTGAAGAAGAACGAGGGCCTGCTGACGAACAAGAGTGACACGTACATCACCTTCACCCAGGACATGATTACTGACGAGCGTGGTCTCTTTGTCGTGGAGATCCTCAGCATCACCAAGCGTGTGCGCAGCTTCACCGCTGACACTACACGCCCTGTGTTGCTTAACTATACTCTGGACATGAACTCATTCACGCTGAATCTGACCTTCAGCGAGACAGTGAAAGCATCAACTTTGAGCCGGTCACAAATCACACTGCAGGACCGTGCGAACATCTCACAGGACTTCATCTTCCCACCTACAGTTCCGCCGACGGTCCCACCAACGGTCACTCCAGCTACGAATGTGACTGGTGCTAATGGTTCCAATCCAACAAACAACGGCACATCAGGCAACGGAACACTGTGCACTCCGAACGCCACTGCCAACGGAACGTGTAACAATGGCACAACATTGAACAACACTCTGCCTCTGGCGGGAGGTGCAACTGTCATCTTGTGTCCCGGCTGCTTGCACTACACACTGCGTGGCAGTTCACACACCCCGGACGACTCCACCGAGATCATTCTGACTCTGGATGTACCGGATGCGGACGAGATCAAGCGTATCTTCGGACTCGCTATATCCCGTGCCACCACCTGGATATCGTATCCGCAGACGTTGATCCGAGACATGAACTTCAATAGCATCAACTGGCTGATACCGTATGCGAGCACCAGTGCCCAGCAGGTTGGTGCATTCATTGAGGATACCACACCACCTCATCTAGTCTGGTACACGCTGGACATGGATGAAGGTAGACTGTTCCTGCAGTTCCAGGAGACTGTCAACGTTACGTCGTTTGACGTCACACAGATCATCCTGCAGAGCGTCGCCAATGTCACTAACCAGTCCGAGCCTGTGTTCATGTACCGCTTGACAGGGGGAAACAGTACGCTCAACCTGATCAACTTTGTGGAAGTGAACCTGACCATAACCGATCAGAATAATATCAAACGCATCGAGGGATTGGCTACTTCAAGGAATGACACGTGGATCACCTACTCATCCCAGCTGCTGCGTGACATGAATTCGCAGCCAGTGGTGGCCATCTTCAATGACTCTGCCGTGCAGGTGCAGAATTTCACCGAGGACACCAGTGCACCAGTGCTGGTCAATTTCGACCTTGACTTGGACGGTGTCCCCAGCCTGACGCTCACATTCCACGAAACCGTCAAGTCCAATACGCTCAACTACACCTCACTTGCTCTGCAAAACTCAAGCTGGGCAGCGAGGGGAAATGTAACCAGCCAGCGCTACTGGCTTGTTAACGGTGCACACGACGAGCTATACGATGACACAGTCATTGTTATCACGCTGTCCAAGCAAGACCGGGATGAGATAACGCGCCTGGCAGACTTGGCATACTCCAGTGTCAGCACCTATCTTGTTCTGTCAAGCACTGCTATCTTGGACATGAACGGTAACAGGCCAGTTCCTATCATCATAGGCAATGCACAGCTTGTTCAGTGGTACACAGCAGACAAGAGCGAGCCTATCCTAGAACGCTATCACCTAGATCTCACAGCGCAGACACTCTGGATGTCCTTCTCCGAGACAGTCCTACTGAGTTCATTCAAACCGACGGAAGTCACCCTGCTCGGCGACGATGTTCGCGTGGCCAACTCCACGCAGGAACGCAAGCTAGTTGGTGGTGATTTCGAAATGGTGGATGCAACCACTCTGTTGTTGAACTTGACCAAGCTGGACTTGGATGCCATCAAACTGCAGCAGAACCTGTCAGTGAGCAATGAGAGCACATATCTATCTCTGACTGCAGCTAGCATTCAGGATATGGCTGAGAATACCATCACGCCCGTACTGGTGAATGCCAGTCAGCGCGTTGAACTATTCACAGATGATCAAATCAAACCGGAACTTCTTTGGTTTGACCTGGACCTGACACGTGAGTGGCTGACTATGCACTTCTCCGAGCCTGTTCTGGCTGACAGTATTAACGTAGAGCAACTTACCATTCACTATGCTGCCAACACGACGACTTCGGCACGAGAGTTCACGTTCAATGCCAGCTCAACCAGCAACTTGTCGCCCAACGGTCTGACGCAGATCCTTGCCATTGGCTTGGCGGATCTGAATGAGCTAAAGCGCATCCGATTCTTAGCGACTGCAGAGAATGACACGTTCCTTGCCATCACACCTGAAGCGGTGCAAGACATGAACTCAAACCAGGTCGTTGCTATTGATCGTCGGCAGGCCAAATCTGTGCGACGCTATACCAATGACACCATCCTGCCCCGACTGACAGGCTTTGATTTGGATATGAACATGGCACTTTTGACGCTTAGCTTTAGCGAGACAGTTGATGCCACCTCGTTGATGATTGGTGAACTCATCTTCCAGCCTGAGCAGAATGTCTCCTCAATGCTTCTTTCACACCAGCTCAGAAGCGGCTCATTGCCACAACTGAGCAGCTCAAGCAGCCCTGATGGTACTGTGATCCTGATCAACATTGGTGTGCTGGATATGAACGCAATCAAGAAGATCAAAGCCCTCGCACGGCGGGTGGACAACACTTTCTTGACCTTCAGCCCTGCACTCGTCTCGGACATGAATGGCCTGACTGTGGTACCAAGCATGGCGCAAAACTCAACACAAGTTTCGCCTGTCGGCTACACCGAGGACAGCACCGCCCCCGTACTGGCGTCGTTTGCCCTGAACCTCACCAGCGAGACACTGACACTGGTGTTCGATGAAACAGTGGATGCCAGCACTCTCATGGAAACCAGGATAACACTGCACGCCGCCAACTCTCTGCTGAATGGCGGCAAGCACAGACTGCGCACTGCTCGCCGCAAGACCACCGAGGATGGAACCACTCTGGAGGTCCTGCTCGCCATCAATGACCTGCATGCTGTCAAGTTACAGCGTGACCTGGCCGTGTCTATGTCGTCCACCTGGCTAACACTGCAGAACACTACGCTGGAGGACATGGCGTTGGTCCCGAATGCCAATGACTACACTCTACAGGAAAGCACCCTGTTCTACAATGATACAACTGCGCCTCGCCTGACCAACTTCAGTGTCAACATCAATGCAAGCCAGCTCTTGCTGACCTTTGACGAGCCTCTGGATCGCAACACGCTCGTCTTCCAGGAAATCACACTGCAAAGTAATGAATCGTCCAAGTTTACCAATGAGTTCCAGGTCCTGAGAAATGCCTCATCGGCTAGTCCTGACGGCCTGGTGTTTGACATCATAATACCAATTGAAGACTTGAATGAAATCAAGCGTAAGACAGGTCTGTGCACATCACGTCATACCTGTTACATCCTGCTGTCTGCTGACTTCGCCACTGACATGTTTGGCAATCCACTTAGCCCGATCGAGAACGCCGCTGCCTTCCAAGCCGGTTCATTCTTGGACGACTCCACGTCACCCCGTCTCCGTGACTGGAGTTTGGACTTCAACACGGGAACATTTGTACTAACGTTTGCAGAGACAGTGGACGTTCAATCCTTGCTGTTCACACAGCTGACACTGCAGTCCAGCATGAATGTTAGTGGCAGCAATGACAGCTACAAACTCACCAGCGGAAGTCTGAACAACAATACTGACGGTACCACGGTCTCTGTGCGCCTGTCTGATTACGACTTCAATCAGTTGAAGGCGGCTCGCATTGGCCTGACTAGCCTGACATCATTCATCAGCTTCCCATCCACAGCCCTAGAGGACATGAACAAACGTCCTATTCTGCCATTGGAGTCCGATGGCTATGCTCAGCGTGTCGGTGGATTCATCAATGACACCAGCGCACCATCGTTGATCAGCTTCAACCTGTCCATGAACAGTGGCCAGTTGTTCCTGCAGTTTAACGAGACAGTCGATGTTGACTCGCTCTTCACCAGCCAAATCACTCTGCAATCCGATGCATCAGGTCTACAGAGCATGTATGTCTTAAGGTCACCGTTCACAAGGAGCACCAGTCCAGACTGGACCAACATCATCATTGACATCAACAATGACGACTTGAATGAGATCAAGAAGCTATCCCAGCTTGCTGTAGGTGGTTCTTCAACCTTCATTGCCCTGCCACCAACGTCCATTCAGGACACCAGTGAGAACGAGCTATCAGCAATCGACTCCAGCGATGCTAAAGTTGTGAGTATTTTTGTTGCAGATTCAACCGACCCAGTTCTGCAGGGTTTCGATCTGAACATGTCCACGGAAGAGCTGACACTTCGATTCTCGGAAACCATTGACGTATCCACGGTGGACCTGACACACATCAGTATTGGCCAGTTCATGGATTTCAGTACAACAGAATCTATGGTGAGACTGAGTGGTGGGTTCATATCGTCTGGTGACTCTCCAGAAATCACCGTCTTGCTCAACAGCCCGGATGTCAATGCACTGCAAGTGCTGTATGAGCTTGCCATCGATGCCAACTCAACCTACGTGTCCATCCAGTCGGCCTTACTCGCAGATATGAACGCTAACCCCATTGTGGAGATCAACAGCACCAGTGCATTGCCTGTTAGCAGGTATACCAGTGATACCGTATCACCGCTACTGACTGCGTACAGCCTGGACATGAACGCTGCACCACGCCTCATGCTCACTTTCTCCGAAGTGGTGGACGCCTCAACTTTGATTCCCACCGAGCTCAGCTTGCTAGACGCAATGCCAGCCACCAGCAGCTTCAACCTGACAGGTGGGCTCACAGACTCCCCGAACGGAACTGTTATAGTACTGTGGCTGAGCGAAGAGGACAGCAACAGCATTCGCCAGGATGCCCGCTTGGCCATCTCCCAGAACACCACGTTTGTCCAGTTCTCAAACTCGCTCATCATGGACATGGCCAGCAATAACGTAACTGCGGTCAGTGCACAGCGGGCTAGCAGCTTTGTGCAGGACCTCACCGTGCCTACTCTAATTGCATTCCAGTTTGACATGTCCACGGGCCAGTTCAACTTCACCTTCTCCGAGACCGTTGATGCCTCGAGGTTTGAGCCTTCAGCCTTATCTGTACAGAACATGCCAGGTGCAGGCAGCAGTGTTGTCTCACATGCTGTTGTGAATGGCACTTGGGATGTGTCAGCCGATTCCACCGAGCTGCAGTTCACCTTGAGTTATGATGATCTGAACACGTTGAAGTTGCTGACGGCGGTGGCTACAGAAGCTAACAACACCTACATCAGCTTCTCTTCTAGCCTTGTCGCCGACATGGTCGGCAATGCTGTTGAGGAAGTGGCATCGCTGACTGCCCGTCTGGTGACTGACTTTGAACCGGATCAGGTTCGGCCTTCACTGGAAGTTTTCACAATTGACTTGGACGGCACGGGTCATCTGACTCTGAGTTTCAGCGAAGCAGTCAACATCTCCTCGTTCAGTCTCAATGACATCAGGCTACAGGATTGTTGTATTGCTTCGAACAGCACAACCATACCAACTGCGTTTTACCAGCTGTCCAGCCCGACTCAGTGCACCAGCCAAGCTCAGACACAGTTTGACTGTCCTCTCCCAATCACCGGTTTGAACGAGATCAAACGTCTTGCCTTGTGCACACAGACGCACCAGACTGAAGACTGCTGTCTGGTACTGAACGACGGTGCCGTGTTGGACATGGTTGGAAATCACATTGTTCCTCTGCCTGGTGACTGTGGATTCAAACCAACCACCTACACGGAGGATGACACATTACCGAAACTCACCTCAGCCGCAGAGTTCAATGTGGATGCTTCCACGATCCAGCTTGTGTTTGACGAGACAGTGGACTCAGACAGCACCAATCTGACACTGCTCACGTTGCAATCGTTCTATCGCAGTTCATTGTACAGAGTACCGCTGACCGGAGGTAGCATTCTATCACTGCCCAACACGGTGCTGAACTTCTCCCTGACCAAGACTGACATGGATGCCATCAAGAGATTACCAGGTCTCTGTACAGATCACAACAACTGTTGGGTAGTTCTAGAGCCTGGCTTCATCCTGGACATGGCTGGCAATCCATCTGTAACTGTACCCATGACTGCTGCTATGGACATCAAGTCATTGCGACCGGACATCACCAATGCTGATCTTCAGGCATTTGAACTGGACCTGCAACTCAACACTCTGACAATGAGCTTCGACGAGCCGGTGCACGCTCGTACCCTGGATGCCCGTGCTATCACCATCCAGGACGGGCCCACAGCCTCATCCGCTGCTCACTCCGTCACGCTAACCGGCGGTTACACTGTGAGTGCCAACGATCTCAGCATCGTCGTCAACCTGCTGACTGCAGATGTGAATCGTTTGAAGGCAGTCAATGACCTAGCGAGCAGTGAGCTGGACACCTATCTTAGTTTGAACATGTCAGTCGTCAGTGACATGGCATGGGTAGTACCAAACCCAACAAACATGATCAACTTCACAAATGCACTGGAGATCTCTGCTGGCGGCTACACAGTGGACGCTACTCCGCCAAAGATTGCCGCGTTCGACCTGGATCTCGACAAAGACACCGTTCGGATTGTATTTGACGAGCCGGTACGACGCTCCACACTTGACATAGAGCAGTTTGTTCTTTCCGGTGGTCAGAGTGGTTCTAACATTGCTTTGCCTCTCTCTGGTGGTATGGTGGATGCATCAACTGACAACAACGGCACGCTTGAACTGCTTGTACATCTACTGCAGCCTGACATTCGCTTCCTCAAGCTAGCCACTGGCCTGGCTACAAGCTCTTTGGACACATTCCTGTATCTGAGTAACAACACTGCTGCTGTTGACGACATGGCTGGCAACTCAATGGTCTCGTTTGATATGTCTACGGCAATTCCCGTGAGGTCGTTCGTGTTCGATCGCACTGCACCTAGCCTGCTCAATTTCACCTTGGATCTGGACAGCGAACTGCTAGTTCTGACGTTCAATGACATTGTCAACTCCAGCACGTTCTACGCACCAGCACTGAGCTTGCAGAACATGGGACAACGTGGCATGGACACAGTGTCACTCACAACGACCAGTGCCACATCCAGCGTCAATGGCTATGTTGTTGTTGTCAACATCAGCGTTGCTGACCTGAATAACATCAAGAGGAACCTGGCCTTGGCTACGAACGTTTCTAACACCCACTTGACGATGTCTGCATCAGCGTTTGATGATGTGTACGGCGTTGATGTTCTGGCAACAACTCGTTTTGAAGGTATTCAGAGTGTGGGATTCATCAGCGATGGAATTAGCCCAACACTGACATGGTTTGACTTGGATATGGACCAGGGTCATGGCATCATCACACTGTCATTCGATGAAACAGTACGTGCGCGCACGCTTGACCCACAGCAAATCATCCTGCAATCAGGCAGGGACCTGGACAGTCTGCAGACCAGTGAGTGGTATCAGTTAGTCAACAGCAGTCAGTCCATGCTGGATGGTACAATCCTTAGCGTGTCCCTCAGCAAGCATGACTCTGATGTGATCAAGCAGCGTTTCAGCCTGGCCGTGTCAAACTCCACCAGCTACCTGTCATTCACGGACATGCTCGTTCAGGATATGAATTACAATCAAGTGGAGTCGTTGGAGAACAGCACTGCAATGCGTGTACGCCATTTCACTGAGGATATCATCAGGCCAACTCTGATATCTTATGATCTAGATCTGACCAATAACCAGCTCATTCTGACATTCTCTGAGACAGTGTTGGGACGAAGCCTCGATCCAACCAAGTTTGGCCTGCAGAATGTAGCCGACTTGAAGACGCTACAGGGATCTGCTCCGGCATCTTTCTCTGCATTCTGGCAACTGACAGGAGGAGACATTGCTGATTACAACTCCACAGTGATTGTCCTGGAATTGACTGTGACAGATCTGAACGAAGTCAAGCGGCAGCGACTCCTTGCTAATGCCCAATTCAACACATTCTTACTGATGAACGCCACTGCCATCGTGGACATGAATCAGAATCAAGTTCTCGGCATTGCTGATGGCCAGGCCAAGCCAGTACTGGTCTTTACGCCTGATCGTGTTGAGCCAGAGCTGGCTAGCTGGTCATTGGACATGGACGGTGAAACTCATCTCAACCTCACATTCACTGAGACCGTGCAGGGTGCAACGCTGAAGCCAATCTACCTGACTCTACAGAGCAGAAGCAACAGCACAAACAGCATTATAGGTGATTTTGAAGAGCGGACATTGATTGGTGGCAACTACTCACAGGTTGACAGCACTATACTAACCGTTGTGCTTGTCAAGGAAGATGTAGATGTGATCACACAGCTTCAGAGTCTGGCCATTGACGGAAATTCCAGCTACGTGTCCATCCTGCCGGGTGCTGTCTTGGATATGAATGGTAACAACTTGACGTCGATTTCCGAGAGTAATGGTCGGCCGGTAGAGGGTTACACTGCGGATGAGACCAGGCCATCGCTGGTCAACTTTGCTTTGGACATGAACACCGGAGAGATTCACTTCACATTCTCCGAGACTGCACTTGCATCGAGCTTAACCATCACGGAAGTGACTCTTCAGAATCACAGAAGCCAATCGATGGCCGTTGATGTCTATCCAGTGAAGGCATTGGTATCACAGCCCACCATCAGTTCGACCATGATCACTGTCCGTCTCTCTGATGCAGATCTCAACAGCATAAAGAAGCTGCTCTTCGTGGCTACGAGTGCAGACATGACCAACATTGTGCTGACACCGCGCTTCATAGACGACATGAGTGACAACAACATCTTGGAAATCGCTGACAACGCTGCCAAGCCGGCGAATAACTTCACTGGAGACACCACCCCACCCGCACTTCTCAACTACACCCTCAACCTCAACTCCAGTCAACTTCACCTGACCTTCTCGGAGACAGTCAATGCACGTTCTCTGCAGGCCAGCGGAATTGTGCTGCAAAGTTCAGAGAACGAATCGCTGAGTGACCCATTGCGCCACCACCGACTCACATCACTCACCGGAACTACATCAGACAATGACACCAGCATCATAGTCTTACTTGATGTCATCGACACTAATGAGCTGAAGCGCCTTACTCAGCTGGCCACCGAAAACACCACCTTCCTGTCCATGGCTCGTTCAACTATCTCCGACATGGCAGGAAACCGGGTGGTGGAGGAGATCAGTACGAATGCTGTACCCGTTGCTGTATACACTCCTGACCAGACGTCACCGACTCTGGTTTCCTGGGAGCTGGATATGGACAACTCGCCGCTTCTCACCTTGACATTCGATGAGACTGTGGAATCGGACAGCTTGCAAGTTGCCGAAGTAGTATTGTATGAGTCCATGACTGACACGGATGGTTTGAGTTTCACGGGAGCAAGTAGTCAGACGAACAGTTCTGATTCTACGGTGATCCATGTTGTCATTGGTGTCGATGATGCCAACGCTATCAAGGAAAGGAGCCTACTCGCCATCTCACGATCCAGCAGCTATCTCTCATTGACCGGCAGTGCTATTCGAGACATGCGCTCTCTGAGTGTAGTACCGGTCAACAAGAAACCAGTGCTAAGCGGCGGTTACACACCGGACACCAGTGCACCAGTTGTGCAGCGCTTCGACCTCAACCTTACTGCTGAAACCATCACACTGACATTCGATGAGACAATCCATGCCCTCACTCTACAGGAGCAGCGACTAGCTATTCTCTCGGATCCAACATCCACACAGCGATACAACCTAACGTTAAATGTCGGCATCTCCGCAGAAAACTCCACCTCAGTTACCCTGAACCTGACTGACTCTGACCTTCACCAGATCAAGCTGAACCTTGCTCTGGCTACCAATGAGAACAGCACCTACATCTTCCTGGACAACGACGCAATACAGGACATGGCAGTACCATCCAATGGAGCTGTACAACGTACACTGTCCGTCACCGATTACACGGCTGACCTTGTTCCACCGCGCTTGTTATCGTTTGTTTTGAACATGAACGATGAGATGCTGGTGTTGCAGTTTGATGAGCCTGTGGACAGTGGCTCACTCAATGCCACTGCCATCACCTTGCAGTCCGCTGCGCAGCAGGTTCACTTCCATCGCCTCATGGGTGGCTACACGAACAACACCAACGGATTGAGCATAACCGTCCATCTTCTTCTGGACGACGTGAATGCTCTGAAGGTCAACGATAGTCTGGCAACGTCCATCAACAGCACCTGGATCAGCATTGACAGCAGTCTTATTCTAGACTTGAACAACAACCCCGTAGTGGACATCCTAGCCTCGGATGCACTGGAGTCAAGTGACTTTATCAATGACACTGTTCATCCTGTTGTGCGGCGCTATGATCTTGACATGAACACTGGCGTGTTGACACTATACTTCCGTGAGGTGGTGCGTGCAAACACACTCATCTTCATGGAGCTGACACTGCAGAGAAGCTTCAATGCCACAGTGGAAGAGCAACACACACTAACTAACGGCAGCCTGGCTGTGCTACTGGACACAACTAGCATTACAGTTCAGCTGACAGACGGTGACTTGAATGAGATCAAGCGGCGGCGCATTGCCGAATCCAAGGCGACTACCTACCTAGCGCTGAGCTCTGATAGCCTGAAAGATATGAACATTCGCCCAGTCAGGCCCCTTGTGAATGGTCGCTCAGCTTTGCTTGTCACAAACTACACCATTGACAGCACTATGCCTCGCCTGACATCTTTCAATCTCAATCTCACATCGGAACGCCTGGTGCTCTACTTCGATGAGACGGTTCTAGGAGATTTATTCCAGGTGACCCAGGTCACACTTCAATGTGTCGTAGACTTGAGCTCCGTCACTTCACCTTCCTTAAACTCGTACACACTCACTTCAAGCAGTACAAAGAACTCTTCCAATGCCGTCTTTGTGGAGATAGCACTGGGGCTGATGGACCTAAACAACTTGAAGCGCTTGACCAACGTGGCGTCATCACATGCAACAACGTACCTGTCTGTGTCAAGGGATGCAGTGCGTGACATGTCTGCCAACGGCAATACTCTCCATGCTATCCTGAACACCAATGCAACAATGGTGAATGTCTTCTTTGCCGATGTGACACCACCTGTTCTGACTGGTTGGACAATTGACATGCAGCAGCGCGTTGTCACCTTCTTGTTCAGCGAGACAGTTAGGCATATGAACTTTGATCCTACCCGTGTCATCTTGCAGTCAAGCAGTAATGCTAGCGCTCCTGGTACTGAAACCCACCGGTTGGTGAGTTCCACTGTATCACAAACAACAGATGAACCCCAGGTTGCCATCGCACTTGCTCTGGACGACTTCAACAGCATCAAGCAGCTTCTTGATTTGGCCGTGGATCGACAGTCATCGTACGTTAGCTTCTCCAATGCTCTTGCACTGGACATGAACAATAACAGTGTGGTTGCTGTACTGGAGGATGATGCACGCCTCGCCGGCGTCCCGTATGTGAGAGATGAGCTACCGCCGACACTGCAAAGCTTCAATCTGAGTCTCGATGCTGCTCAGCTGGTGCTCAGCTTCTCAGAAACTGTGAACATCTCGTCAATCGTTTACACATCGCTAACACTGCAGAACTCGAGGACATCACAAGTGGTAAGCATTGATCTGACTGGTGGTGAGATTCGTAGTCTGCCTGGTCCGCTGGATGCTGTAAATGGCCCAGTCATCGAGATCAACTTGACCAAGTATGACACAGAGCAACTTCAAAAGTCGATTTATCTTGGCACCTCCATCACAAACACCTTTGTTTCATTCAATGACGATCTGATCAGTGATATGGATAGCAATCCGGTTGTTGAGCGATTGGTTGGCAATGCACTGAACGTAACACATGTGACGGCTGATGTAACTCGGCCGGTCCTATCCCAGTTCAACGTCTCCCTCAATGACAGTACGATAACTCTGAGCTTCACCGAAGTGGTCAACGCATCCTCGTTCAATATCACGGTGGTGACGCTGCAGTCCAGTGCATTCGTGGGAGCGATTGACGCACCAAAGCGTGCATACACTCTGTCTGCAATGTCCTCTGTCAGTCAAACCAACGATGTCGTGCTCACCATCACCCTCGATCAGAGCGATCTTGATAACATCAAGCGATTGACTCAGCTGGCGACTTCACCACAGAACACGCTGCTAACATTCCCAGCTAGCTTGCTTAGAGACATGGCAGGCAATGAGATCGTTGAACAGCTCAATGGCAATGGTGTGAATGTGACGTCGTTTGAGCCGGACAGCACGGCACCGAGCCTGCTCCGCTTCGACCTGAACCTGACCAGTGAAATACTCGAGTTACAGTTCAGCGAACTTGTCAACACAGCCAGTCTGGACATCGAACAGTTCACGGTGAGTGACGTGGATAGCTTTGTCACCTTCCAGCTCACTAATGCTGTGCTGCTGAATACGCGCAATGAGACATTTGTCAGACTGCAGCTGATCCAGGATGACCTGAACGAGATCAAAGAGCTGTACACATTGGCTACAGAAAGGAACAATACCTACGCTCTCATCACCAGTGATTTAATTCAGGATATGAACAGCAATGCCATTGTCAACATCAGTGTTCCACAGCAGGTCAATGTGTATGTAAGTGACAACACACCACCAGCTCTGCGGAGTTTCAATCTCGATCTGGATGGATCTGCTGTGCTGACATTGTCATTCAGTGAAACTGTATCAGCACTCTCGCTCAACGTCGATGAGATCGTCTTCCATGATGGCAAGACGCCAGAGAAATCGTACACGCTGACGTCGTCATCTGGCACAGCAACCATGAGTGAGAATTCCACGGTGCTGTACGTGAACATTAGCACGGTGGACAGCAATGCTATCAAGGCACTGCCATCACTACTGATCTCAGGCAACACCACTCTTCTGACCATGCCACCGACAAGTCTCAGAGACATGTTTGATAACATGCTGGTGCCGGTGGATCACCTGCCCGTCACACACTACACCAACGACACCACTGAGCCAGAGCTGCTGCTCTACAACGTTGACATGAGCCTCGGCCAGATAGAACTGGTGTTCTCGGAGACGGTTAACACTGATCTCACACAGCTCACACACTTCACTCTTCAGAGTTCTCCTGTACTGGCGATGAACAGCAGCCTGACTCTGACTTCAGGGCATGTCCTACGTGTGGAATACAGCACTAATGTCACTCTTGTCATGTCCGAAGCTGATCTGAATCGTCTGAAGCAGATCACCACACTCTATACCAACACATCGGACACGTTCCTGTCATTCACAGCAGCCGCAATCACCGACAGTGCCGGCAATCCGGTGGTACCCGTGTTGGACAGCGATGCCCGGGATGTGTCCGGGTTCACGTTTGACACGGTGCCTCCTCGTCTGACTGGCTGGTCTCTGGATCTGACTGCAGAGACCCTATTCCTGCAGCTCAGCGAGACTGTGGATAGCAGTGGTTTCAGGCCACAGGAGATAACGCTCGTCAACTCCTATCCATCAGCAGATGTTTCATACAACATCACAGGATTCAGCCAAGCAGTAGCTTTCCAGACGATCAATCTTACATCCATCTCACTGCCGCTGTCACTGATAGACCTGAACAACATCAAGGCTAATGTCCAGCTTGCCACGAACATCAACAACACGTTCCTATTGTACTCTGCACAGCTACTGTCGGACATGGCCGGAAATTCTGTTGTGCCTGGTCTGGCTCCGAACAGCGCACAGGTGTCCAACTACACAAAGGATTCTCTGTGCCCCAAGCTTGTGTCCTTCTCACTCGATCTCAACTCCAGTCAGCTGATTCTCAGCTTCAGTGAAACCGTCAACGGCACCAGCCTGCAAGTGAGCGAGATTGAGTTGTTGAGTAGTAGGACAGGCAGTGTGCAGTATGTTCTGCAGAGCAGCAAGGTTGTTGGTGTGTATGCACCGGTGGTGACGGTTGACATTGTGCAGCGTGACCTGGACCAGATTAAGATACAGACTGGCCTGTGCACTACATCCAGCAACTGCTGGATACACCTGACGGCAAACTCGGTGCTGGACATGGCAAACAACAAGTACTGTGTTACCACCGACGCCGTCAGCATTGACTCAGCGCAGTACTTCCAGGCAGATGAGATCCCACCTCGGTTGCTCTCGTTCAATATCAGCCTTGACGCTTCCTCCATCACCATGGAGTTCTCCGAGGCTGTTCGTCAGTTGGACACACGCTATGTTGGCCTGCAAAGCAGCCAGGTGGCAGACAATGACACATCAACCATTCAGCTCTCACTAACGAATGTCATCTATCATTCACCCAGCCAGCCTACACACGTGACAGTTAACGTGACTAAAGCTGATCTCGACGACATCAAATCACTGCCTTTCCTGGCTACGGATCTATTCAGTACGTACCTCACCCTGCAGGCTAGTGCAGTGCAGGATTACAACAGCAACCAGGTCACTGCCATCCTGGTGTCGGATGCCGAGCGAGTGTTTGACTTCACTGGTGACAGTGTGATACCCGAGCTGCTCTACTTCGATCTGGACTTGAATGCCAACCTGTTGACGCTGCAATTCTCCGAGACCGTCAATGCGTCCTCTGTCATTCCCACGCGCTTCATTCTGCAGAGAGCACCTGGTGTGCGCAGAGTGGATCTTTTCCATCAGCTGATATCCGCAGAGGTTTCGCAGCCCACCGTCACTTCAATCCAGTTGCTGCTGTCTACGGCAGACGAGCATCAGATCAAGTCACGGACTGTCCTGGCGGTCAGTAATCTCACTACCTACTTGCAGGTGGATGCGGCGGCTGTCCGTGACATGTCCATGCATGCGATTGCTAACATTCCTAACAGCGTGGCACGAGCGGTCAGACTGTACATTCTGGACGTTACGCCACCGGAAATACAATCATTCTCGTTCAACATGACGTCAGAAGTGCTCCGTATCAGGTTCACTGAAGCCATCAGGGTAGACAGCTTCGACATATCACAGACGCTGGAGGTAGTCAGCAGCGACGTCAGCTTTATCAACTCTGGTGTGACGCTCTCCGGAGGAGTACTCACCAGCGCGGAAGCACCTTACTCCATTGAAGTCAACTTGCTCATGCGTGTCGATGACCTGCACTCACTGAAGCTGGATACTGACCTCGCAACTGAGCTCAACAATACTTGCCTGATCATCCATCCCAATGCTCTGTATGATGCCGCGTTACAGCCAAACTACATCAGACTGGGACGAGTGTGCGCGATTAACTACACGGAGGATCGCGTGCGGCCGACAATCTCCTCGTTCTTCCTGAACATGAACACGGGAGAGCTGGGTCTGAACTTTGACGAACCCATCCTACGCGACTCTCTCAACTTCACAGCACTGACTCTGCAGTCATCACTCAGTGCCAGCGGTTTGGCTAATGAGGAACACACTTTCACTGGTGGATGGACTAACAGCCCCAATGGTCTGCAAATCCTACTGAACGTCACTCAAGATGACCTGAACGCCATCAAGTCCAAGCTGGTACTTGCTAGGGCGTCCAGAACAGCATTCATCCGTTACGAAGAACACCTGGCAACGGACATGAGCGGCAATGCCCTTGTCCCGCGCCAGCAGGATTCTGGTCTCCCGGCCGGAAGTTTCATTGATGATACTACTCATCCGATGTTGCTGAACTGGAGTCTGGACATGGATCGTGGCACTGTGACCCTCACGTATGATGAGACTGTTCTGATTGGCTCACTGCAAATTCCTAACCTGGTCATGCAAAGTAGGACATCAGTCAGCCCTAGCAGCTCACAGTATCGCTACCAACTGACAACATCTTCCACTGCCAATCAAACGCATGATGGAACAACAGTTTCAATTGCTCTGGGCCTGCAGGACCTGAATGAACTGAAGCGACTGCAAATCGGCCTCGCGGATCAGGTATGGCTTGTGTATGAGACTGATACCATCACGGATGCGGAGGGTCGCAAAACACTCGCCCTGAAGAATGGCCTCAACCCTGCAAAGGTTAGCGGACATACAGCGGACCAGACTCCGCCATCGATTGATAGCTTCTCCCTGGACTTGACCCAGGAGGTTCTGACGCTGAGCTTTAGCGAGACAGTGGATGTTGCCAGTACACAGGTAGTGCTCTTCACACTGGAAAGCCATTCGAATAGCTCTGGAACCGCTTACACATTGACACACAGCAGTACTCGCACCACCATGAATGATGGCACCACACTGGATATCAAGCTAGGCCTGGATGATCTCAATGCCATCAAAAAGGATCGCCTGCTGGCTGTGAACTCCAGTACAAGCTTTGTTCGGGCTACACTGGGTGCCATTGCTGACATGACCGGAAATCTGATGCGCAATCAGACGGGAGTGCACCTCACAACAGGCGGTTTCACAGCGGACAGGAAAGCACCAGAGCTGCTCGAGTTCGACTTCGACATGGACTCTGCCCAGCTAACACTGCGCTTCTCTGAGACTGTGCTGAGCAGCTCGTTGAACACCAGAGGAATAACTCTGATCAGCCTATCTGTACCCACGGCACCACCGGCGTACCAGTTCTATGATCTTGGCCATAATCACATTACAGTCAGCGAAGACTCACACGAGATCACTGTCACTCTCAACAACACGGATATGAATGAGATTAAGGTATGTTGATCTGACAACGTCACCCATGCATCTCCTGTACCGCCAGTTTCTCTCCAGGTCCATCCGACTGACACAGTCAGTAGCTGATGCATTTATTGATCTGTTTTCTCTACCAAACTGGTGATGAGTTTAGGATGCCAAGCCCTTGGAGCCGATACTCATCAGGAAGAGTTACATAACAAGGACTCACGCGTCTGTAACATGATTCGCGATTCAAGTTTTTGGGCTTTATTTGTTTTGTTTCAGGTTCTTCAAAGACTGGCTGTGTCCAATGAGTCAACATTCATAGCCGTTGGTGGCAGTGCCATCACAGACATGGCTGATAACGCTGTTCAGGTTCTCTCCAGCAGTCTGGCGCTCAAGGTCACTACCTTTGTTACCGACACAACTCCGCCAAAGCTGAACAACTACAATCTAGATCTGGATCAAGGTCAGTTTGAAGATGATGTCATAGATCATGTGCTCATGCATACTTTGTGGGGTATTGTCACTAACTTACTCAGTACCAAAGTAAGCAGCTTGCTATTGCATGTCAGAAGCACATGCACACATGCAGTCCGTGGGTGTGGAATTGTCTGCTAGTGGGTCGCGGGCAGTAAATGTGCTGCGTACCTAACTATAAATTCACTGTTTCTATAATTTAGCCAGCTCACTATCACGGCGTGCTATTCCATGAGGTTGGTTAGGAGGGGATCTAGTGAAACTGCACTGTGCCAGTTCACTGCTGACTGCTGGACGATGACCGAAACTGAATGATAAAGCTTTGAGTGAGATGAAAATAGACATGTGTTGCCGGGCAACAGTTACTGGTGCAGCAAGTCCCTCTTCCTTGGAAACAACTTAGAGTTCAATTTCGTGATTGTTGTATCTCCGTGTGTTGGTTTTAGGTGCGCTTCAATTCAATTTTGATGAATCTGTCCTGAGCTCATCACTGAATATGACCTACTTCACACTAAGAGCAAACATCACCAATCGTGTCAACGAACATGTCCTCACTGGTAAGATGATACAACATGTATATGTGTAGTATGTCTACTTTATAACACGTAACGAGTAGACACATAAATAGTGCACCGTAGGAATTCATGGTTAGCTGTGTGCATACTCACACTGCCCTGGTCTTCTTCTCATACCCACACAATTTTAGTCGCCGGTTTTGTCCTCGGCAGGGAAGACACCTCCTCAGAAGAGACCAGTTGCATCAATATTGTGTGTCTGCATGTATGCATGTGGGGAGGCATGTATGTATGTATGTATGCATGTGTGTGTGTGTGTGTGCATGTGTGTGTGTGCATGTGTGTGTGTGTGCACCTTGTCCTCACCCACTTACTGAGGTGTGGTGAGCCCATAAGTGGGATCATTTCAAGTCCACCCTAGTTTGGGGATTTCAGGGGGTGTCGGCCGTTGGGTGGTTCAATGGCCAATTGAGTCATCTTTCCAAGATTCCTTTTGAGTCTCTCTCCCCTCTCCCGGGGAGACCCATGTGACCAGTTTTGGCAGTGAGCAACAAGTACAAGTACAAGTGTGTGTGTGTGTGTGTGTGTGTGTGTGTGTGTGTGTGTGTGTGTGTGTGCATGCGCGTGTGTGTGTATGTGTGCACGTGTGTGTATATGCTTGGTATATGTGCTTGTAGGCATGCGGGCAGGTGGACGTGGCGTGCTTGTGTGTGTATGTGGAGGGGCGTGCGTGCATGCGTGTATGTGTGTGTGTGTGGAAAGGATGGGTGAGTGACGTGTTGCATGTTATTATAAACAAGTAGTCCCAATTCATTTCTAGCTCTGACACATGGCTGTTCTTCTATTTCCCTCGATTACAAATTTCTCCTGCTGAAGTAGAATTACCTGTGTGGAATCCACCGCTCTGTGAAGTGCGGGGTTGTTATAATGCAGTGAATTTGGTGCAGCCGCTCCTGTATTGGATGGAGATCATGCTGACCAGCGTGAAATGGGAATGTCTCCGTCATGGCAATGGCAGCAGCACATTAGTCATGACAACGCATGTAATTGTGTTTTCTGTGCTTCTGCTGCAGGCGGTATAAACCTGTCCAGCGATGGGCCGCAGTTGAACGTGGAGCTGCTCTTGGCCGACTTGAACGAGATCAAGCGCCTGGACCTGTGCACACGCCATCGCAACGGCACTGGTGACTGCTACCTGTACTGGAGGAACGACGCTGTACGAGATATGGCTGATAACATCTTCGACGGCTGCGGCGTGTGAGCCACCCACCAGCTACCATGATCCAGGTACATTGAGGGTGTCACATAACTGCTACCAGGTCACTAAGCCATTATTCTAATTTACAGTATTGGTCCACCGGTATTCATTCTCCAACACTTTATCCTGAACACAAACAGGCGTGGCCACTGAACTCATCAGGCCACACTCATCTTGATTAACTTGCAAACTGCATTCCAACTATTTCTCACTGGATACGCTTGCACACAGATGTACTCCTAACAATATCATGATCTTCATTGAATTGTTTGATAGAACCCTGCCGTAATTTTATGTATTGTCCTCCAGGACTTGACTACCCTCACACCAGGGCATATTCTTTCTCTGTTAGAATAAATGTTAGCGGCATTCCATTGTCGTTTAGACCCCGCTAGATGAGTTGAGATAGCTCCTTCTCCAAGCCCTCACTGAACTTCAGAAGTGTAGACTTTTTTTCTCTTTCAGTTTTCCTTGGTGTCTGTACACACAATGTGTTGCAGCTGGCCATGGCAATCTGCCAAGACTTCACTTAGTGTTTGCATTCCTCTGATACCTTCACCGGCTCAAACTGAAACTAGCTTGACTTTGCAATGCCATTGACACAAAACTAATTGGGTACTTCTTTTCACTGTGGATTGTTTCACAGCCAGTTCTTGCTTTGTACATTCGACCTTTCTGGCTCACCCTCTAAACATGCTCGATGATTCTAAGGATGTATGCACGCCAGTTTTCTCCTATTCCGTTTTGATGTCATTCGCTTAGTCTTGGAGAAACAATTTAATTGATATGACAAACGTATTGCAGTCCGTCTTTGCCGCAGTGATTCTGTGTGCCTGGTTTTCACCGACCGTGCACTGTATGGGTTTGTGCACAGTCATGGCGGCTGTTGTGCATAATGTTGTTCATAACGAGTGGCCGATTCACTGAATTGTGTCATGATCAGGTGATACCGTAAAGTCGCGGATAAAAGCCGGGTTTGCATACAAGCACATCGCGGATAGAAGCCTGAAAATCAAACGGGTCAAATGCATATAAGCCTGTCGCGCGTAGAAGCCTGGCTTCTTAAGTTCTATGCAAGCGCGGACCGGGTAGGTCAAGAGTGCATGCGCTATATACAGTGCATAGTAAAACTGCCGCCATACCGGTAGTCAGTTGTAGACCTACACATATCGCGCGGCTTCTATGCAAGCCCGGATCGGCCGATGTGCATACAAGCCTGGCAAAAATATCAGTGGTGCATATAAGCATGGTTTGCATCAGGGAGTCGTCAAATTTTTTTTTTGACGACTCCCTGGTTTGCATTGAAGCCTGATGCAGAAACCGGCTTATGTGCTTATAAGCCCGGCTTTTATCCGCGACGTTACGGTAATAGTTCTTGTTACTGGTACTTTCTTTGCGCTGGTGCAAGCCAGAGTTTATGTACATTTTACCAAGAGTACATAAACGGTTTATGTACTGTATGATTTTACATATACCGGTACATGTAAATCTATGCTACACACTTATCATACAGCAATGACACACTGCCCAAGTCTTCTGCCGGTACTAGTACTCAGAGTTTCGTGTTAAAAAGAAACACTCATCAGACAGCATGACACATGTAATTATTATTATGACTTGGTTGTGTCATTGCTGTGTGATTAGTGTATTGCTGGCTCTGTCCACAGCCTCTGGACATAGGTATCTAATATTGACTGAGTACGATGTCAATATAGGAAATATAAGCCGAGTAAAAGACCGAGGCGAAGCCGAGGTCTTCTACGAGGTTTTTATTTCCTATACTGACCAAGTACGAAGTCAATATTATATTTATCACGACAATTATTATTATTTAAAATCTTGTAGGACGCATCACGCAGCTTCATAAGTAAAAAATTGGTTGTGAGCAGCACTGGCTCACACTCAAATCACTGCTTTTCACCAGAAGAAATATTTTATTTCAACGTTTCGGTCATGAAATAACCATCATCAGGAATGAAGTGGGCACACCGGTTAGGATGGGTTAAAATAAATGAGGAGCGCTGCGAACTGATAACAAATCACACCTGCATGCACTATTATTATCAAATTTTTGATAGGACAATCCCCACAGGCCTAAGGCCTTCTGACAAACAGTCCGTATTTCAAATTCCAGAACGATAACGTCATGAATCCCGGTTTTATGATTGCACAACCGTTGCACCACCACCTACTCATGCAGTGACAATGCTGCACTAGCCACCGTTCACCTGCGCAACCCCTAAGCAATCAAATAATAAGCAGTCAATATAGCCCTAATGCAGTAATGGTTGATGAAATATGGTGGTAAAGACACACCTGGCAATATGGCGGTAAACACACGCCTGCCCACACACGCTCTCTAAGCTCCACAGTTCTGGCACAGAGCTCTCCTTCTCACCACCACCACCACCATCAGTTCGCGCCTGCTATGTCGGATACCGCCAACCATGCATCGACGAGGCGCCAGGCGCGAACTGATGCCGGGTGATGGTGGTGGTGGTGGTGAGAAGGAGAGCTCTGTGCCAGAACTGTGCAGCTTAGAGAGCGTGTGTGGGCAGGCGTGTGTTTACCGCCATATTGCCAGGTGTGTCTTTACCACCATATTTCATCAACCATAAGTACAGCTGTAGTGGTGTCTTCAACTTCATTAATATAGCCCTAAGGAGTGAAATATGCAGGAATATTTGACTGCTTAGGTATAGCGAAAATCAATGGGAGTCACTACAAAGGTTCACACTACACGCGCTATGCATAACCGCTAGCTGTGCTGCATTCTCACGCTTCTTTTCATAATTATTACTCTAGCTATATAACTGGTTGTTTTAGTGATTCTTACTATGTGACGATGTTCCACTGATGATAGTCACACGAAAACGTTCTGGAATTGTTTCATTTTAATTGTTTATACATGGTTATGAGTGCACAATTGATATTTTTCATTGCTAGTCAATACTAAGGGAGTGATAAAGCACTATACAGCCTGAGGACCTTAGACAAGTGTTTATCTACACTATGTGGCAACCTGGATGGAATAATGCTCAGGTACATAAAACATACCGGAGAAGTGTATACTTATGGTGATTGCATTCATTCCTAAGAACAAACTTTGACGTACATAATATTACACAAGGGAATGGTCTCAAACTGCGGAGAGTGCTCAATGCAAGCGAGGCAGAGCTTCATCACACACAAGCGGAAAAATAGGCCTTGGCGGATAATGCCGGCAGAAAAATTGGCAGAATTCGGTATTTTTTCTGGTAAGTTTCATGCATGTTTGGTATGTGGATAAAGAAACGGAGCAGAATTCGAGGAACTGCACGCCATAAGGTTTGTATGGTTCTGCCAATTTCACTGCTTTTCGAGCAGAATCTGCCACCTTTTCGAGCATTATCCGCCAGGGCCTACGGAAAAACCGTCAGAGATCAAATTCCATTACACAGTGTTTCACCGTTCAAGCAACGGATCATCAGACGTACATGTACATAATATTATTAAAAGGCATAATGGTGATGGGTGCAACAGAAGTGAGGACACCTGTAAATTGAGGACATCTGGCCTCAGTCCCTTGGGTGTCCGTACTTGTCAGGTTCGACAGTCTGTATCATGTACAGACTCAGTGACCTGGCAAGCGTGAACACCCACGTCATTAGTTGATAGTAGAGAGGTTAAGATGCACGTTATTTCCGACGTGACGCGCAATTTCACGTCGAATTTGGCGTAAAACTCCAAATTTCGACGTGAGCAGCAGGTCGCTCGCGTTGATTTTTCGACGTGCGAGCAAATAACGCGAGCACGTCGGAAATAACGTGCATCTTAACCTCTCTAGTGTTTTTTGCTTGAAGTTTTATTTTACATCGCAAACCAAACGGGCATTGATGCCCAATATTATGATGGCGATAGAATAAAAAGTGTAGCTCGATAAAGCTTCACTTGCGAAAATGAGAAAACAGTCAAAAGGAAGTATTTGTACCGGTAGTATTTGTACCGGTAATTACAAGTCAAGTTCGAACGAAGTAACAATCAGGGAGAAATAGGAAGATGAGGACCTATGCCAGAGGGAGGTGCTATTCGGCCATATTAACCGTAGAAAAACACTTTCAGCAATCTTTTAAACGGGGTTGGACGACGAGCGGACGTGAGTTCCTGTGGCAGGGTGTTCCAAAGCTTCACGGCGAAAACCAATGGCCGGTAGTGTGACGCTGTCACGGAAACAAAGCTCTCTACTCCAGCTCTAGCTCTGTGTCGGCGACTGATAAGGCGCGATCAGGTGGCGGCATTGGTGACAGGCTCCACAGCTATAGCTACATGTAACTGATATTTTACTCCATCGCTTGGGAGATACATCATTCTACACAGCGGAATTCCGCTAAAAATGTCGTCAGTCGATGGAAACTCACCCAAGACTCGGAGCCAGTTGAGCTCCGTGGCCAGGTATTTTGCTATGGTAGGTTTGTTCCGTGTTTTCTTTTCTTTTTGCTACTCCCTGTTGGAAGCTGCCCATGTTGTGCTTTTGGTAATGAATCAAGCCGAAGTATTTTCGACGCCGTCATGGAAAGTAGTTCGAAGCAGCCGAGTGAAGATTTGCCGAAGGAAATGTAATATGTACGACGGCAAGACCCAACTCGACGATTCCTCGTCTTCGAAGCAGAAGCACGGCATGCGAGAGGCTGGTAGTGTACCCTGCCAGCGGAACAAGGTTTCTTTCGTTGTAAAAATTGAGCCAATCTGCTGGACGGACGGATACTGAACGGCTGACGCCGGCACGGGTATTTGGGTGCAACTACACATCAATGCTGACAACTGCTACAACTTACAAGGACTGGAAAAGCCATGACCATGTCTTCATTACGAGGGGAGACGGACCAGGGCTTCATTTGCGAAGTATCCACTCGCCCGGTGGTACCGAAGCTTCTTTCGACCTGGGGACAAATGTCGGGTAAGGAAAGTCCCTTGTTTGTCACCGTTTCTGAAGACCTTGCATACGTCAAGTTTTTAGATCCTACCACGTGCATCTGCGTATAGTTGACTCCACGAACTCGCATAGAGCGAATCTCGTAATACAGCGATCTGTTCATGCCACTGTTGAACCCAAACATTATGCGAAGGACTAACGGCTTAGTAAAGCCAAAAAAAAAGGACCGTCACTTAATTTTTTGCAGACTACCCGCCAAAAAAATCTTTTCGTTTCATGATCATGTGTCAGACACGTCCGCGCGCGTACGACTCGACTCGTCCTTGATGATCAAGCAATCTGTTCACGCCAAATCATGGCTGGATAGCGCGTACATATAATGTACATGCAAACATGAAGAGTGACGACTTTAAAGGGGAAGTATACCCTAAAATCAAATTTTCACCAGTTGTAGTCTTCGGGGTGCTGAGTCGAATGGTCTTGGTCCGAGGAAGCTGAGACGCTCCCTTCCTACTTGAATCCCAATCGAACTCGCGCACTTCCACCGAAACTGGGTGACTGCGCCCTACTAGATGGGGATTTGTATGCAAAATGTCACTAAAAGCGCCATTTCGTTCTTATAAAAGCACGGATGACCGCGATTGGCCCATATGTTGTAGTCTTTTGGACGCTGAGTCGACTGGTTTTGGTCCGAAAAGGCTGCGATGCAGCGTTCCTCCTTTATTCCCAATCGAACATGGTTGAACAAGCGGTCACGTGCTCCTGCGTACACCAGTCACCTGGTCACCGTGCCTGCAGGGTACAACTTACTAGCCTGTTTGACCTTTTTTGGGTGCACTCCTGTCACTCGAGTTGAACTCGAGTTGAACCTTGGTGTGAAAGTTGTCGCCTGCTGGCG